CTGCTGTACGCTTCCAATGTGCATCAATTTACACAGAAAGGATCATTCTTGAGAGGAAGTCATGCACAAAACCAGGCCTGTCATCTGGTATTTCAAAATAAAACACTATATGCAAACTCCCGACTGTGTATCAGTTCATGTAGATGATAAATATTTCCTGGTTCTGGATTTATCAGTAACACAGAACAATCCGGTGGTCACTCCTTAAACCATGTGGACCCCAACAGGACTTTGAACTGCTAACTCTGTCTGAGGGTAACAGCACAGCATAAAGGAACATAGTTTACTTTATTAAACACGAGTAAACCTGCAAAAACACAAACTGTTGCTTTTTCACATATAGTAGAGGCTCAACAGTCACTGAATTATATCCAAATTATCAGGATATCAACCACAGAAAGGAAAAACAATCTGTTGTGAACATGTTGTTTCCTCTATACTGAGCCCAGCTGACCGGGGCTGAGCTACGCTGCTGCTACGCTCCAAATACACGTCTTGTATGCGATACCCAATTCTGCTCTATGGAGCAAATTCGGAACAACGTGCTCAATACGGATCCTGTATGTTTGTGGTTTAAGACTGTCAGGACTCTGGACAGACTGAGTAGAAAGTTGAGGAGTGTGGTATCCTCCTTCAAAACAGCATTGACCCTCTAAATAATAATGATAAAACTGTATGTTTGGTTTAAAAGACACATTTAAATAACTTAATTGAATCTAAAAGGTTGGTTTCTCTGTAGAGAAAACACCAGGATAAAAAAAATAAAAACAAAGGCGTTTCAGTGTGTAACTGTAACTGACCAGAAGATGGCGCTGCGCTCAAGTTAAAGCTGTGTCATGTGCTATCACACCTCAAGTATACCTGCCCCTCTCAGTGCTGTCTTTGCGGATCCAGTCCAGACTTAACTTAGGGATCAGGGAAACGTCGCGAGGAAGATCAATCTAAAACAACAAGGGAGCGAGATAATCCACAACACCAGAGTGCAGAACAAGGAGTTATGACGTTTAATATCCATAAATTCAAATTTAATAATAATAACAATAATAGTAATAAGACAAAGCTTTCCATGCAAACAAAAAGATCTACAGTATATTAGAGACGAGCACATTTTGACCATCATACTTTTTAAACCAGTGGTTCTCAACTGGTCTCACTCTGGGACCCACATTTTCCCATGGTCCTTAAGTCGCAACCCACTTTTATAATTTTTTTTAATTAAAAAAAAACCTGTAAAAACTCAAATCTTTAACATAAATACACCCGTGAACTGAAGATGTCAACTACTGAAGTTGCATATACAGAAAATATTAAAATTGCACAAAATAAAGACAAAAAAAAAAAAAAAAAACATGAATTTTTACCATATTCAGGCCAGATTAATAAGAAACTGAGGAGGACCTCGGCATGTCAAACATCAGCTGCATATTAAATATTTACTTTTTTGACCAGCTGTTTGTGACCCATCCAGAATGTGTCCGTGACCCACCAGTTAAGAACCACTGTTTTCAATAACACAACAGATCAGCTTTGTGGTTTTCTCTACAGCAACAATTAGGAAAGAGGAGTCAAGGAGGCCGTCATTGTCAAACTGGAGAGACCATCCTTAAACAGAGGCAGCGGACAAAGACACTTCTTATCCACGACTTAGAATTTAGCTTTGGATTCTTCTAGACAATGATCGAAACAACGCTCTCATGCTTCAACATCATATAGAGGCATGCCAAACCTGAGGAAACCCAGGAGCCTGCTGACTACTCTCAGGTGACCACCCAGCCTTTTTACAGCTGGAGGACAAACAGAGACCCTACATTTCCAGCTTTGATCAAAGTCACTTTGGAGCTGAAGAAGCCTTTTGGAAGAGAGGAGAAACGTCTTACTTATGAGAATGTCGAAGAACCTCAAAAAAGTCCAGCTGCCTTCAACAAAGGATTGGAAAACCATGACCTGGATGAATGAGAACCTACACTAATAGTAGATCACTAATGATCTACTGATGGCCATGGACAGCAATCTTCTCTAAGTTCCTGGTTCTTTTACTACAATGGACCATCAGATCCTTGAACAACAGAAAGGTTTCACAGGAGCTGCTTTAGCTCAGTTTAAATCAGATTTGTCTGATCAGTTCGGGAATGATAACGAAAATTCTTCAGAGCACACCGAGGTCAGTCACGGGGTTCCACAGGGTTCAGATCTAGGAACAATGCTTTTCACCCTATAGAAAACCTTCTGTACATTTTCACTGCTCTGCAGATGACACTCAATTATACCTTTCACTAAAACCAGGAGAAACCAGGAACCTGAAGCAGATCCCAAAGATAGGGTGACCATATTCTGAATCCCCAAAAAGAGGACATGACCATATATATACACTCACCGGCCACTTTATTAGGTACACCTGTCCAACTGCTCGTTAACACTTAATTTCTAATCAGCCAATCACATGGCGGCAACTTAGTGCATTTAGGCATGTAGACATGGTCAAGACAATCTCCTGCAGTTCAAACCGAGCATCAGTATGGGGAAGAAAGGTGATTTGAGTGACTTTGAACGTGGCATGGTTGTTGGTGCCAGAAGGACTGGTCTGAGTATTTCAGAAACTGCTGATCTACTGGGATTTTCACGCACAACCATCTCTAGGGTTTACAGAGAATGGTCCGAAAAAGAAAAAATATACAGTGAGCGGCAGTTCTGTGGGCGGAAATGCCTTGTTGATGCCAGAGGTCAGAGGAGAATGGCCAGACTGGTTCGAGCTGATAGAAAGGCAACAGTGACTCAAATAACCACCCGTTACAACCAAGGTAGGCAGAAGAGCATCTCTGAACGCACAGTACGTCGAACTTTGAGGCAGATGGGCTACAGCAGCAGAAGACCACGCCGGGTGCCACTCCTTTCAGCTAAGAACAGGAAACTGAGGCTACAATTTGCACAAGCTCATCCAAATTGGACAATAGAAGATTGGAAAAACGTTGCCTGGTCTGATGAGTCTCGATTTCTGCTGCGACATTCGGATGGTAGGGTCAGAATTTGGCGTCAACAACATGAAAGCATGGATCCATCCTGCCTTGTATCAACGGTTCAGGCTGGTGGTGGTGGTGTCATGGTGTGGGGAATATTTTCTTGGCACTCTTTGGGCCCCTTGGTACCAATTGAGCATCGTTGCAACGCCACAGCCTACCTGAGTATTGTTGCTGACCATGTCCATCCCTTTATGACCACAATGTACCCAACTTCTGATGGCTACTTTCAGCAGGATAATGCGCCATGTCATAAAGCTGGAATCATCTCAGACTGGTTTCTTGAACATGACAATGAGTTCACTGTACTCAAATGGCCTCCACAGTCACCAGATCTCAATCCAATAGAGCATCTTTGGGATGTGGTGGAACGGGAGATTCGCATCATGGATGTGCAGCCGACAAATCTGCGGCAACTGTGTGATGCCATCATGTCAATATGGACCAAGCTCTCTGAGGAATGCTTCCAGCACCTTGTTGAAATCTATGCCACGAAGAATTGAGGCAGTTCTGAAGGCAAAAGGGGGTCCAACCCGTTACTAGCATGGTGTACCTAATAAAGTGGCCGGTGAGTGTATGTCCGTATATATTATGGACAACTTGGTTCCTCCTTCTTCCAGTATATGGATTTCAAGCCAAAAAGCTCTCAGTAATTCTGCTTTTTTTCTCCATTTCCTGAAGCCAACATTGCGCAGTGGTGTTGTACGCATTCGGTGGGAGAGTTGCTTATCCCCTGATTGAGCTACGCAATCTTCGCACACCCATAGGCTGTATCAGGTGTAAGTCATAGAAAATATGAAACCCCTAATAACTTCTAAAAATGGAGCTGTACAGAAAAAAGAGGACTTGAGCACAAACCAGTCTCACCCCCAATTTCCACCGCATCCTGAAAAGTTACAAAAAGGCTGTATCCGCTGATTGCTGTTTCCATTTAAGTTAATGTGTCAATTTCCACCAGCTTCTTTCTGTTCCGCTGTGGATTGCCGGACTCCACAGCTGATCGCAAGAGTTCTGTTTCTTCCAGACACCGGAGCATGCCGGATAAATTCAGCACAGATTAACCCGTGCTGGAAAGGAAGCTGGGCACAAACACAAAAAAAAACATCCGGCTTCTTTTCAAAATAAAACACTCCATGTTTCAGGCGAATTGTATTTCCCACCATGCAAACGGGCAGAGACGAACAAGTGAAAGTTTTATAGACGTCATTTCACCCCGATGACACCATGGATAAGGAGATGTTGATTCTAGAAGTCTAGAAGTAGATGTCCTCCTCTGGAAGGACACAAACTACTGCTTATATGGTTAACCTATGTGGCTAAAGACAACTCGGTATCACGCGATTGCACATGAATCTGCAGGTTCTTGTGAGTTCTCGCGATTCCTGCTGTTGCCAACATCGCAACGGGGGGGGGGGGAATTATATTCTGTGTAATAAATTTCCAAAGTTTGTCCACAGCCCCATAAGGATGGCTGGAGGAGGCTGGATTTATGACCTACACTGCAGCCTGTCACCAGAGGATGCTGTTCTCGGAGTGGCTTCACCCAGCTAGGAGGCAGACGGCGTCCATTCTATATACAGTCTATGGACACAACTACGTGGGGGTGGAGTCACAGAGTCACATGTAGTTAATTTTGAGAGTTTTTTGGGTCAGGTCAAGTGTTTTTTATGCGCTTGCGGTCCACGTGACACAAACTCAAAACTTCGGACAGACCGGATGGCCCCCAAAACAGAAGACATGTCCGGGTAAAAGAGGACGAATGGTCACCCTACTAAAGACATAAAGAGCGGGATTAGAAGAAACTTTTTGCTGCATAATTCTGACGAAACTGAAGTTCTTGTTCTTGGTCCCAAACACCTTAGAAAGACACTTTCTACTGGTATAACTGCTGATGATATAACATCAGTCTACCATCCAGCACCTCTGTTAAGAACCTGTGAGTTTTCTTTGACCAGGAAACAGAATTGAGTGACGACACACACAACATATTTGTAGAAAAAGTTTAGTTACAAAATGAGTATCCATGAAAAATAAAGAGGAATATCCTGTTACAGTTTTCTCTAAAGGAGATAATTTTTTAAATATTTATAAGTATTGAAAAGAATACAAAGGAAAAACTAGCTTCCCACTGTTATATCATTACAGGCTCAGCGATCTTCACAGACTACAGGTCCTTACACACCGGGACAGTTTTTTTCATGCGATTACTTTGGTCGTCAATATTTATACAAGCGTTCACATCAGCAACGTTTTTCCCGTCCTGCCATATTGCGGCATTTATTTTTTCGGCTCATAGTCGATTTTTCCAAAGTTTCGCATACTGTGTGTCCACTTCTGACCAATCAGATTTCGTGTTCTTGCGACGTCAGATTCACCGGTATATCCAACATGACCGACCGGCTGATTGTTTATGATCGTTTACACAAATATTACAAAGATAAAAACCTGAAGGACAACTTTTGAAGAGTAATAGTGTTGGATTTCTGATATGACGATGTTTTGTGTGCTTTAACAGTTTGCTAAACGTCTTTGTTTTAACTTTCATCTGTGCTAACGTAAGCTAACGGTTGTTACCATAGTTTCATGTGCTTATCTGGTACTGGCCCCAACTTAGTACATGCTATCATTACAGACAGCCATCTCAACACTAGTGTCTGGTGTCTAGTCCTCTGCCTCTTCAAACTTGGAGCTAATTGTTTCAGCAGAACTTCAAATTGCCCAACGGACATCCGAAAATAGGTTCTGAAATGACCGTGGTACAGTTTCAGCTCCTGAACCAAGCAGTGAAACTCACCAAGTTCTCTTCTTTTTTGTAATATTGGATGCACCCATGTGCTATGTTTCTTTTTCTTTTGAGAAAGCAAAAGAAGTACCAATTCGCCATCACTTGAAGTTGACGTAGACTCTATTTTTGTCCTCACGTTTCCACCCGGGACGATGTAGGTTGTTAAGGGAACGTCCTGCCCTCCTTCGCTTCTGATTGACTATAAGTGCTGACCATAGACTGTATATAAGATGGACACCGTGGTTCCGCCTTCCGCCTGTATACGGATTTGAAGCCAAAAAGCTCTCGGTAATTCCGGGTTTTTCTCCACTTCCTTGAAACCAGAGCTGTGCAGTAGCGTTGTGCGCATTCGGCTGCGCAGTCGCTGTGATGACCCTCGGCTCAAACAGCATATTCCCCCGGAAGAGCTACGCGATCCCTGAACGCCCATAGGCTGTATCAGGTGTCAATCATAGAAAACATGAACCCCCTAATAACTTTTAAAAACGGAGCTTCACAGAAAAAAAAGGACTTGAGCACAAACCAGTCTGACAGTAACTACATGTCAACATCACAACCAGGGGGGAGAAAAATTTATGTTCTGTGTGATAAATTTCTAAAGTTTGTCACATAAGTCCCATAAGCTTTGCTGGCGGAGGCGGGATTTATGACCTGTACTGCAGCCCACCATCAGAGGGTGCTGTTCTCGGAGTGGCTTCACCCAGCGAGGAGGCAGACTCTGTCCATCTTATATACAGTCTATGGTGCTGACCGTTTGGCTTGAACGTGTGATGACGTTTCCAGCTTTTCTAGCCAATCAGAGGCGAAGGAGGCGGGACTTTCCCTGGGAAAAGTCTTTTCCTGGGATGCATTTTTTCCCCCTTGAAAGTCGCAAAATTGCATCGGGCTTAATGTGTATAGTCAGGTGCGTCAAAATTCGGCTCAGAATATTTCAGAATTTTGCGTTCTATATTTGTGTCCGCCCCGGTGTGTAAGGACCTTACAGCTCCATCGATGCAGATGCATGCATACAGAGGGTGAACATAGTACTATTATAGTTACTATTGTCATTATCATTATTGTTTTGATGGTGATTATTTTTATTGCTATCATTATAATGATTAATATTGTTATATAATATTATGATATATATGTAAATCATGAGTGTAGGAGAAGAGTTGGGACTTGACAAGTTTCGACTTCTTCCCACTCCTTTTTGAACATGAATAACTTTTCATCGTTTGTTGTTGTATTTTTTTAACTTTTTTATAATTTTTTTTAATATGTTCAAGTTCAAAAAGCATAATTCTGGTTCTATGTTGCAGCTCAAATCCAGCACAGTCCTTTAATTCATTCTGAAACGAGTTAAGCGCTGAGTGCCTGCTTTGCACATATCCACAGCGTGGTTATCACCCTCAAAAACAGTGCTGATGAACCAGCCGGGGCAGCTGACTGACTCGAACTCAACAAGATCACCTTCGATCATCTTGCGGAAAAGAAAACGATGCAGCTTCACATCTTTGCTGATCCTGGCCAGGTTTTGTGGAGGGCATTGCTGTTAGAGGGACGAGAAAGAAAAGGATGTTTCAAAGTTCTTCATCGGTGCATGTTGCTCAGATTTGTCTGAAAGATCAGATTGGTTTAGTGCTCACCTCCACCATCAGCATAGCTTGGTCTTGATACATACAGCAGGAGAGGTTGTAGTTGCCGATTGACAGATGCACTACCTGACCATTACCGTCCATATTAGAGTTGTACCTCGACAGTGTGAATTTCACTGAAGACGAAGAAGAGGAAATGTGACTGAAAATGATGAAGAGGAAACTATTTGTATGTCACCAAGAGTTAACTTTCAAATGCCTGAAAATCCCCATTTCTACACTACCTGTAAAAGGTACCTCACACACCCCACTTTAAAAACTGGATCATCACGCTACGTAAAAGTTGGTGTTTCTTACCCGTGTAGTTTTCGTGTCCTGATTTTAGAGCGACGGCGTGCAGTTTTGTCCCTCCTGATGCAAGGACGATGCTTTTCTGTGTTAAGTCACTCAGAGTGACCTGAGTCTCGCTGTCAGCTCGCTCGAATTTGTGAGCCCTCGTAGAGAAGTTCTCAGCCGTCTCCACAACAGTTTCTGCAAAGATTTGGAGGCACACGTTTTAAGAACCTTCAGAAAAGACTGAGTATCACATGAAAACTGCAGTATGGGGGAAATCTGGCAACCCCTTTAAAAAGTAGACTCAAAGACACTCGATAGTGTCAATGCACTGACACTGTTAAAGGGATATTTCAGGTTTTTAGGGTGAGGCTGTATTAGCCACAGTAGAGGCCAGTCAGTTCTCAACTGCTAAGACAATCGGCATGCAAGCTAGGCTACAGTTTTCTGAAAACAGGGTCAAATCTAGGATGTAATCTGAATCTGTAATCTGCAGCATCTACATCTTGGATAGCTAAACAGTTGCATAGCCATGGCTTGGATAAGCCTGGCTAGAATAAGCGTCTCTGAAAAACAGCTGAGCCTCGTTAGTGGAACGAGTCGCAGCTAAGATTAAAGTGGCCGCTTTTTCAAGCCACGCTTACCGGCGATAGCCCAGCCTTCTTTAGCCAGTTTCGTGGAATACCCCCCAGTTCGGGGAGGTGGATAACGGCTTTGTTTACATTTAGAAATAGCGGGCCGCTCAAAAAATGTAAAATGTTAACTACATGGAGATAAGAGAACACAGCAATATAGTTATATTATTAAATGTCATCAATAACTAATAGCTATTGAAAAAAAAAATTAATATACAACACAATTTTTTTAATATACAACACACAAAAAAATGCTTCTTTAACAGATTTCTGCCCACCCCACCTTTAAGTGCTCTAAAATTTTTAATTCTGATGTAAAATAGGAACTACTCACCTTCCACGATGCTTTCCAGTATGGCGCTGCAGAGCTTGTTCCCCTTGAGATCCTTGCCACTGCGAGCCAGGATTTGTTTAAACCGGTTTGACGCAAGCAGCACAGTAGCGTGACACCAGGACTTGGGGCCACAGGAAACAACCAAGTCCAGTCCGTCCTCCAGTCTGAGAGTGCACTCCTGAATATCCTGCAGAAGATGCACAAAAGACTAACAATCATTCTAACCCAGTGAGCATTATTTACATTCTGTTCGAAATAAGGAACTATGTGTTTATGAGAAAAAGGGATTTGAGAGTGGAAACACACTCATGTCGGAACCTACCATCGTGCCACAGCAGCTGGTCTCAGAGGCGACCTCCTCACTGAAGTCTGGTGAGCTGAAACACAAAACATATTCACCATTCATTGGATCAGAATAATCAGCTGCGTCTAAGCTCAAAGTAATCTTTTACAGCTGGAAACTTCATTTAGATTTAATTCAAAATTTTTTTTTGGAAAAGGCCGATTCACAACAAGTGTTTTCCCAAGACTCTTGTTATCAGCCGGTCTAGATCAGACTCTGTTTACAAAGACCCAAAGTAAAGACGGGAACAGACTGAGCCCTATCGGACTAACCGCAGTGGTCTAACCATCAAAATTAAAGGTAAAGGTAGAGGGTGTCTGCGCCCTGGACCTCGACTGGAAGATGATTCCCGAGGAGACGAGCCTGATCACTGAAAGTTCTACCACCCAGACCACTTCTAGAGACCTTCAGTACGATGAGCAGACCTGCATACCAGGACCTTAAAGTTCTCGAGGAGTACCAGGGAACTCTGAGGGATCTAATGGTTCCTGACCATGAAGAGAAAATTTTAGATTTTACTCAAACTTAGCCAGTGTCGAGAAGCTCCACCACAACTTTATTCCTGCAAGATGACAACTTTGTCTCTAAATCTTGAGTTTAACTTTGAATGTGGTCCTGAAGCTCCACCATAAAAAGAGGCATGAAGAAGAGAAATCATGATCCTACTGGTCTGAGACATTTTAACCCCGATATTATGCTTTAAGTTCATTTGTTACTATGAAGAGTCTGCAGTTTTTTCTTAATATTGTGATTTTTATTTTTCTAAATCCATCTGCAGAGCTGGACTAAAAAGTTCTGTTTTGTAAAGAAGAAGTGGAATAAATCACTCACCTGCTCAGAGCCTCACTCAGGGTGAAGTCCCTTTTTTTCTCCATGTGTTCAGGAACGTCCTCGGTCTCTGACTCTTCTCTCTGGAGGCTGAAAGCTAAATGACTTGTCTCTAAATAATCAGCACTTCCTTATATAGCACACGTCATCTCAGACAGCGTCTACTTTCTCTGAAGAGACCAAGACAGGAAAAAGACGACTCAGAGCGAAAGAAATCTTTCAAACCCTACCATTCTTTCAAATCTATTTATACACTTTCAAAGGTGTTTCCATGTGAGCTCAATCGACCTAGAAAAAAACCCCGACAGGATACCGGTGTCTCGTTGGTGAGTTTGGTTGCAAATATTTCAGATATTACACACTTTTGCAGAACCTCTTAAAGAATGAATTCAAAGTGTTGAATAAAAGGAGAAGTGCTTGTTATGGTGTCTTGTTTTTGTGACACTCAAACAAGCAACCCCTCCGAACGGGGAAATACCGATTCTGGTTGGGTTATAAGTGTGTTACGAATCAGTGACAAGAAGACTTAGAGGCTAACACCTCAAAACCAAGCCTCTGCTTGCTGTAACAAATCAAAGCACCAAAACACGATGACACAAAGTCAGAGTGATACAAGTTTGTTCTGGGCCACTGTAGAAACATGGCAGAGTAACATGGTGGCCTCAGTGCTCCTGACTTAGAATAGAAGAATAGAATATTCCTTTATTGATCCCCCATGGGGGAAATTTTTTTGACTTGGCCTGTTTGCTCAAAGTCTGAGCAAAGGTGGGTAGAACTTCACCTACATAGTAAAAGTTTGGATTAAGTTTGGCAGTTTATTGGTAAAACTTCCAAAGCAAGAATTGGGCAAATGTTGGGTAGACTTGATTAGTTTGGATAAATGTCATTTTCTGGGTTAAACTTGGCCTATTTGTTCAAAGTTTGAGCTAATGTTTGGTAGAATTTCACCTACATAATGAAAGTTTAGATCAAGTTTGGCAGTTTTTTGGTAAAACTTAAAAAAAATTGGGGTAAAACTTGATTTGTTTGGATAAACGTCATTTTCTGGGTTAAACTTGGCCTATTTGTTCAAAGGTTGAGCAAAAGTTGGGTAGAATTTCACCTACATAATGAAAGTTTGGATTAGGTTTGGCAGTTTTTTGGTAAAACTTAAACAAAAATTGGGCAGATTTTGTGTAAAACTTGATTAGCTTGGATAAATATGTCATTTTCTGGGTAAAACTTGGCCTATTTGTTCAAAGGTTGAGCAAAAGTTGGGTAGAACTTCACCTATTTGGGAAAAGTCTGCACAGTGTTTGGGTAAACTTAATCAGTTAAGATGAATTTGCCTGTTTTTATGTAAACTTGGTCAGTTTGAGCAAAGTCTGACTAATTTGGGGATATGACTTAGGGTATTGATGCCATGTTTAGCTGGGGTTGGGTAAAACCTGAAATGTTTCAGAAATTGGTTAAGTTTTTCTATTTATGGGTTGGTAATTTTTAGGTAACATAATGTAAGTTTAGGTCACGTTTGGCAAAACTTTTTGGTAAAACTTTAAAAAATTTGGGTAAATGTTGGTTAAAACTTGATTAGTTTGGATAAATATATCATTTTCTGGGTAAAACTTGGCCTATTTGTTCACGGTTAAGCTAAAGTTGGGTAGAACTTCACTTATTTGGGCAAAGTCTGACTAATTTTGGGATATGACTGGTCTATTAGGGCAATGTTGAGCTGAGGTTGGTTAAAACCTGGACTATTTTCGGCAGAGTGTTTGGGAAATTGGACAAGTTTGTCCATTTGGGAAAAGCTGCTAAATTTTTAGGTAATATAATGAAAGTTTGGATCAAGTTTCGCAGTTTTTTTTGGTAGAACTTTGGGTAAATTGGGTAAAACTTGATAAGTTTGGATAAATCTGTCATTTTTTGGGTAAAACTTGGCAAATTTGTTCAAACATTGAGCAAAAGTTGGGTAGAACTTCACCTATTTGGGCAAAGTCAGACTAATTTGGGGATGTGACTTGGCTTATTAAGGCAATTTTGAGCTTAGGCTTGGGTAAAACCTGGACTATTTTGGGCAGATGTTATGTAAAATTTGATAAGTTTGGATAAATATGTCATTTTTCTGGGTAAAACTTGGCCTATTTTTTCAAAGGTTGAGCGAAAGTTGGGTAAAACTTTACCTATTTGGGCAAAGTATGCATATTGTTTAGGTAAACCTGATCAGTTTAGTTAAATTTGCCTGTTTTAATGTAAAACTTGGTCAGTTTGGGTAAAGTTTCAGCAGATTTGGGGTAAGGCTAAGAAGAGCTTTGTTAAAAATTGCTGTTAGGGTAATATTTAAACATTTTTAACACTAGTAATGGTGAAAGTATCACCCCAGCTATCTTCACACACACACAAAGGTAGACCACTTGCACTTCCTGTTGAACTGCAGCATCAGCAGTTCAGCTTCTAACCACAGAGCAAGTTCTGGGTGCTGTTCTTTGCTGCAATAAAAAGAATTTAATTTGATTTCTTTTTAATTTTTCCTTTAACTTTTCGGAAGCACCATCTAAAGGAACAGTTTTTGAAGCAGACCTTTGGCCTACCTTTGGTCTGGAAAATACGCAGAAACTCCCACTGTGTTTGTGTCAAATAACTTCCTACAGGTGTGAAAAAAAGGCAACAGGTGCGCGGACTTTCCAAGAAGACCACTTTGTGTTTTAGGTTTGACTCTTCTCTGAAAGAGGCGCTGCAATGAGAGACCTCTTTAGATCACACACACAGGGGATACTTCCAGCGTATGAAATGCTAAAACAATGTTAAGCTCCTTTTTAGATAAAGTTATAGAATAACTCAACTTTATTTTAGCACATCAGGTATATGAACAAGCATGCAGCCCAAAGGGACCGAGAGGAAACAGCTTCAAACAGGAAAGGAGAAGTGTTTCCATGATAAAATAGAACTGAAATACCTGACAAGAAACTGGACTTTGACAATACTTGGATGTTTTAAGTGAGGATTTTGGACTTTAAGCTGTAAAGTGTAATCATCAAGATTCAAACAAAGAAAGTCTTAAAATGTTTTTTAAAAAGTACAGTAATAAAAAAATCAGACTTTTTGAGCCCCACCTGGACAGTATTCCACTCCCATAAATGTCAGGTCTGTTTTTTGTCTGAACAGCAAAAGTGAGATTGTGTTGAGAACGGAGTTCACAGATGATGATCTGAGAGTTGACATTTACCACCTCCTAATATCGCTTGTCTCATCTTCTGAACCTGAAAGCAGAAGTTCATTGTCTTACACACACCTCAGGGTCAGTCACAAGAGTTCAAATATTTGTCTGGCTTTACAGAAATATTTTAAAACAGTCGCCTTCATTTGTCTCGTGTTCGACTTTTGTAACTTGGATTTTTTTTTCATGTAAACTAACATGCAGCTACAATATCCAAACTTACATCCTTGAAATCTCTGAAAAACAAACGAATAACATCGATGATCAGCACAACAGGCGCAGAGCTGCAGAGGTTAATGTTGATGAGGACGGTTGTGTGACTTTCTCATCACGTTTTAATTTGCAGAACATGCTGACCATGAAGTATGTGCTACTAGAGACTCAAATATAACCGCACAGTGGCTGTGACACCAGAGGAAATACAACCTCATGTGAAGTGAAAACAACCAACCTTCTCAGATATCTGGGTCAGATGTTTAATAATGAGAGTAAGGGGTTAGATAGAGTTGTAAATATACAGAAAAGTAAACTTTGGAGGATATCATATTTTAGGGAGAAAGTCTTCATACTGGGAAAGTGAAGTTACAAGATTGAAAAGGTCGAACATTCAAATAAATTCTGTAAATTTACAGAAATAAAGTTGTAAAATTATTAGGGTATTAGTCTACGTTCATACTGCAGGTTATGATGCACAATTCGGATTTTTTGTTAAATCCGATCTTTTTGTGCAGTCATTCACATTACAACGATGAATGCGGCATCCAATGTGAACAGAATACGTCCGTGAAGTGACCCGCATGCACACAAAGCACAAATTGCTTTCCGCGCCTGATTGTGTTGTCGAACAATGGTGACGTTTGTCGCATATTGATGACATATACAGTACAGGCCAAAAGTTTGGAAGCAAGGCCATTACAGGCCAAACAGTTGGGTGTAACTTCAAGTTTTTGTTCACAATGCTTTTTTAAAAATCCAGCATGAGTTTTATGTATTTTGGGATGAATTTACTCCATGATCAGATGTTACTTTCATGGAAATGCACCATTTTACTCCATTTACCTTTAGATATACATTGATGTGAACAGACCATTGCTAAATATATGTCAGCAAAAGATAATATGGGCTTAGTTTTAGGGTTGATAACATTTGCAAGAGTCACAACTTCAGTGCAAAAGCAAAAAAATAAATCACAGTTGGATTATTCACTTCAACTTTTTAGCTTTTGAGAGTCTGCAGACAAAAATCCTTATAAATCTCAACTGCGTTCAAACTACCCCAAAAATGGCTAGAAAGAAGCAACTAAGTAAAGAAACAAAAGTACAGATTTGTACATTGAGGAAAGAAGGATACACAGAAAGAGAAATTGCAAAACGCCTTACGGTGTTTAACAAAGGATTCTGTAAGAATGACCCTGAGAGCGGCCGTGACCATATGAGGAGGCAGAGGTAGGAGATGAGTAAAACCCACACAGTGGGCATTTATTTACAGTGTATGGACCAAAAACCAATAAAACACACCATGCTCAGTCCATTGTGCACATGAGAGACTCCCAGCTCAAAAGGAAAGCCCTCCCCTATATACCCTCCCCAATTGGGTGCTACCATGTGTAGGGGTGTGGAAAAACTGTAACAAGTTTAATATGACTATTTAAAATGACCTACTTAAAATATACAGACCTATGACCAAGATTAAATCACAGAACATGACTACAAGCGTACATTAGTCACATACTGTGATCATCCTCCCAATTTAATGTTAAACGTGGCAATGCTCACCCCCCATACACATCTGCCAGTTGGAACCCTCCCGGAACGCTAAAAAGGCTGTTTGTTTCCCCGGGGACTCTTTTACATACGCACCCTGGGAGTGGAGACAGAAAGGCACAAGTAAGGCTGTGTCCGAAATGGCACACTGCCTACTGTCTACTTACCTACTCAATCAGTACCTACTGCATACTGACTACTCAAAGATGATTCGAGTATGCCGCGGCTGCCCGAGCGTTTACATACAGATGCATACTAAATACCCCAGAATGCATTTCGTGCCGGCCGGACGCAGTGCCGGGAGAATTTAAATAGTCCTACCACAAGCAACACAAAACGACTGCATTCCGGACAAATTATATAAATTCATTCAGTAATATTATTTTTTTCTAGCGATAAAGTAAGTGTTTACATCACGATTATGAGCCCAGTTGTTTGAAATAGCTGCTGTTTGTAAATTTGTCTCGGTGTTTTCGGAGACCGAAGCGTCCGCTTGGTGGGTGTTCGCGTCCATTTACCGTAAACACCGGGCAGCAGCAGCTCCCCCTTCACGTTTCCAAATTATTGAGAAGTGCTTTCATAATCAACAACTACGCGACACAAACTCAGCGGCAGTGGATGAAAAAAATAACAAACACCTGTGTATCCATGGTGATAATGCTATACACCACCTGCCAAGCGTGTGATGAGCAGCAGAGGGCTGCAAAATGACCAACACACAACATAATTATTATGACCTTGTTTGGTTATTCCTTGGCAAATACATCATTTCCCGACTACATTCTTCTCATGTACAATGATAATGTCAGAAACCATCAGGTAGGTCTGCCTGGTGTAGGCTGAAAACCATAAAGCGCCGCCATGCAAGAAGACAAAGACGTCTTTTCTTCAGGGCAGCTATGTACTTTCAATGGATTTTCAACCACAAGTAAGAATTAGTAAAGCTCACATACATTGTCAACTGGAAACTCTCGTGTTTGTATATTCTGAAGCATGTGCTCTCTACCAATAATAATTTTTATTAATCAGAGGTCTGTGCTTAATATGAGTGACCACTTTGATGATGCATTCAGAGATGAGAAGATGCTCAAACTTGTTGTAATAAATACATCTTTAATAGACACTTAAATAAATAAAGTCAATTCATACGAATAGTTAAAAACATAACCTACAATCCTAATTTAAAATACAAATAAATCTGGTAAGAAGATAAAAATATGATAAAATGATAAAAAATTGTGTAATGTATACTGACTAAATATTGTTTATCTATTCATATATATCATTATTATTGCAATCACATGCCATCTATTTCTTTTCAGCCTCGGGAAAGAGGGCCATATTGCCAGCTGAAGTGTGCAATGCATTGTGGGGCAGAAGCAGTACGTGAAGCAAGCTCCACTCCATACTCAGAAATCGAAGCCGATTGAGTATACAGCCGGGCATTTCTCGCATACACAAAATTTGCATACTGCACAGTGTGAACGCACTGCCTACTCAATTCGGGGGCGGGGTTAGTATGAGTAGTACGAGTAGTATGCAATTTCGGACACAGCCTAAGTGTTCACAATATTCACGTCAGTTCTAATTTTAGACTGCACTACTTCCACCTTTTACTCAAGCACACAAATCTGCTAAAACCCTCATTCACATCGTATGAACTGTGTTACAGGGGGTGCGGCTAAATTAACCCCCCGGCTATTGGACGAGCTACTGGACGTCCCCAGAAAACACCTATACAGATACACACACACCCACACACACCATTAACCAAATCTGAATAAAAGTATTTTAACTGAAATACCTCTGTGGCTCATCATTTGATAATCATGTGGTGCTTTTAATTTAACAACCCTAAATGTTGTGTCTACCTGCAATATATATATTAACACTTTTTAGCTGCCCCAATCCTAAGCGATTCGCTGCAGTAGTAACGGAGACAACAAAGGCCTCCGTTACAGAGTCCACTACACTCTGAAGAGACTAGAGGAACCTGGAAGTTATGATGATAGAAAAAGACCTGGACGAAAGAGAGTTACTACAAAAGCAGAGGATAAACATAGCATTGTCACTAGTAAGAGAGATCGGCGAAAGACAGCACCACAAATAAGGGAGGAGATCAACATGACAAGGTCGAAACCTATATCTCTGACAACCGTGAAAAGACGTTTGAGAAAGGCTGGTCTGAAGAGTTGTGTATCTGCAAAAAAACACTACTTCATCCACAGAACAAGAAAAAGAGATATGAGTGGGCAAAAGCTCACAAAAATTGGACTTATAATGACTAGAAACAAGTTTGTACTGTTTGGTTCAAAACGCAGAGTCTATTTCTGCAGACAAACTGGTGAACGTCTGAAAGCACCATGTGTTACACCCACTATTCAGCATGGAGGTGGTAGTTCCATGGTATGGAGATGTTTTGCAGGTGATGGAGTAGAAGATTTGTTTGAAGTAAAGGGTATCATGAAGAAGGAACAGTACCACTCCATCCTCCAGCACCATACTGTTCCATCTGGACTCAGACTTGTGGCTCATAAGTTTGTTTTGCAACAAGACAATGACCCTAAGCACTCTGCCAAGCTCTGTCAGGGTTACCTAGACAAAATAAGAAGAGGAAGGAGTTCTTCAAAATGGGTTGCCCACCTCAGTCTCCAGACCTTTCTCCAACTGATCTTGTGCGGGATGAATTGGGTCAATCGGTCAGAAAAATGCATCCCACGAATCAGAAGTCTCTTTTTAATGAACTGAAGAAAGCTTGGAATGTAATCCCTGGAACATACCTTAAAAACAAGAGCATAGGTTTGGTCTCAACATTGGAAGGGACGATATAATAAGACCAAACTGATTCGGTGAATGGGAGACAGGGCTACATTTCTCACGAATATGAACCTCATGAATTGTTAGGCTAAATGACCATGGCAAAATAAATCTTTATTGACGTAAAAAGTCGTAGTCATCAGTGTCTAGTCATCAGCCAATCAAACATGCGTTTGAGGGAAAAAAAAATGGACCGGCACATTCAACAAGTGAAAAGGGGTAAATGTAAGTCAGAACATAATGAAAATAATTCACTTAATAATGGTAGGGTCAATTCTATCCTTACAAAATATGGGAAGACAATCTAAATTACCTATATAATTGCACTCATTATATAATGCAAATAAGGTTGCTTAAAAGTTGGTGGGGACAATTTGAGCACCCTGAAAAGTTGGTAGTGTTATGTCCCTACTGTCCCTATGCAAACCTTGTGGAGACTTGTGGAACAAATGCCTGGTACTTGCCAAGATGTTGTTAAAACCAGTGGAGGTTATTTTAAAGAAAGCAAAGTCTAAGCAACAATAACTCAAATACCTAATAATTATAGTCCAAACGTCTTCTGATAAGTTACTCTTTACATAATAGTCAGGTTTATTGTGTTGCAAATGATATATATGAAACTATGATCTTTTTTTGTACAAATGTGATCTTGCTTCCAAACTTTTGGCCTGCAGTGTAGGCCAGATGAACGCGACCTGAGCGTCCACACTGCAGTCACATCTGATACATATCCGATTTATATCCACATACAAAAGAGGCCTGGGTCGGATTTGAAAAAATCAGAATTGCACTTTTCACACTTACATGAAAAAATCAGATATGTGTCACATATGGTTAAAAAATCGGAATCGACCTGCAGTGTAAACATAGCCATAGTCTCCAGACAGGGCTCGACAGTGCACTCGCATTTGCGACTAAAAATAGATGTGTGCGAATTGTAAAATGAATTTTAGGGTACATGTGTGCAAAAAAAAAAAAAAAATCAGCCGAGGCAACAAATGTTTTTTCATGTAAATGCCGCGGTGAAGTTAGTTTTAGGTTGGATATTTGACGGACATTCACTGCGGATCTACCAGTATCTTCTCACTCTCCATAACAGGGAATAGCAACAGCAGCGTGGTTAAACCTACTCGGCACCCTCGCTGTCAACGTCAGGTGTTGAATAAGGGACCATCAATAAATTACCGGTTGATGTTCTTATAAAAGGCTGTTTTTCTTCAAAAGCTTCCATGTCATGTAACCAATTGACCTAAAATCGATTTAAATAATAATACTAAGGTCGGACAATAAAACACACTCTTTATTTCCCTAATTTGTCCTTTAAAAATGTTTTTGTTAAATTTAAAGGCAAATTCTGAACATTTTCTTCAATAGCTTCCATGTCATGTGACCAAAAGACCTAAAATTGATTTGAAATAATAATACTTATGTCAACCAATAAGGCAAACATTATTTGACCACATTTTATTGTGCCCCTTAAGTTTTTTTGTGTGCTCCTTACTTTTTCAACTAATGAGAACATGTGAAAAAAATTTGTGTCAAGCCCTGCCAGATTATAAAAGTTGTACGTGGGCAGGACAGAATGTAAATTCACGGGAATATATCCTAATTTTTCACAAATGACGTTTTAGGATTTTAAAAAAAAGTAATAAGAAGCATGAAAGAGTCTGAAATTTTGAAAACTGAAGTTGTTACATTTTGTAGTAAAGTCACAAGATTAAGAAAGTAACAGTTATTGTATTGAAAAAGTTGTGAAGTCAAAAAGATAAAAGTTTAAACTTGTGAGACTACAGTTGTAATATTTCAGTGATTAAATTATTTAAGTATGAGATTAAAAAAAAAGTTGTAAATTCAAAAAGAAAAAGTGTAACTTTGTGAAAATAGGTCATATTTTGGAGTCATAATAACATTAACAACCATGGTGCCTGACAGTTAAACTGCTGTTTACTCATTTAAGCCTTTCGGTGACATCTTCTTCCTGCATCATCACAGTTACAGTCATAGTGAACATCTGCACATGAAAAAACAGGGTGACAACATTTGACCTTTAAAAATAAACAAAAAAAAACTTTTCGATATAAATCATCAGCGAGCAGCACGGGAGCACCTGGGTCACGGTGGTTTTATGATTGCAGTGTAGTGAGCGGATGTAGTATGAGATGGCGTGATCACATGTGAGACCACAACACACACACACACACACACACACACACACACACACACACACACACACACACACACACACACACACACACACACACCATTAACCAAATCTGAATAAAAGTATTTTAACTGAAATACCTCTGTGGCTCATCATTTGATAATCATGTGGTGCTTTTAATTTAACAACCCTAAATGTTGTGTCTACCTGCAATATACAGTTGTGCTCAAAAGTTTACATACCCCGGCACAATTTTTGCTTTCTTGGCCTTTTTTCAGAGAATATGAATGATAACACAAAAACTCTTTTTCCACTCATGGTCAGTGGTTGGGTGAAGCCATTTATTGATAAACAACTGTGTTTTCTATTTTTAAATCATAATGACAACAAAAGACACCCAAATGACCCTGATCCAAAGTTTACATACCCTAGTTCTTAAAACCGTGTACCGCCCCCTCTAACATCAATGACAACTTTGAAGTCTTTTGTGGTAGTTGTGGATGAGGCTCTTTATTTTCTCAGATGGTGAAGTTGCTCATCTCTCTTGGCAAAAAGCCTCCAGTTCCTGTAAATTCCCGGTCTGTCTTGCATGAACTGCATACTTCAGATCTCCCCCAGAGTGGCCTTAATGATATTGAGATCAGGAGACTGAAATGTCCACTCCAGAACCTTCACTCTGTTCTGCTGTAGCCAATGACAAGTCAACTTGGCCTTGTGTTTTGGATCATTGTCATGTTGGAACGTCCAAGTACGTCCCATGCGGAGCTTCAGGGCAGATGAGTGCAATTCTTCCTCCAGTATTTGCTGATAATGCACTGCATTCATCTTTCCTTCAACTTTGACCAAGTTTCCTGTGCCTTTGTAGCTCACACATCCCCAAAACATCAGTGATCCACCTCCGTGCTTTACAGAAGGAATGGTGTTCCTTTCATTATAGGCCTTGTTGACACCTCTCCAAACAAAACATTTATGGTTGTGGCCAAAAAGTTCAATTTTGGTCTCATCACTCCAAATTACCTTGTTCCAGAAGTTTTGAGGCTTGTCTCTGTGCTGTTTGGCATATTGTAGGCGACATACTTTTGACATACATGCGTTTGTGCAGTAATGGCTTTCTTCTGGCGACTTGACCATGCAACCCATTTTTGTTCAAGTTCCTCCTTATTGTGCATCTTGAAACAGCCACACCGTTAGTTTTCAGAGAGTCCTGTATTTCAGCAGATGTTATTTGTGGGTTTTTCTTTGCATCCCGATCAACTTTTCTGACAGTTGTGGCCGAAATTTTTGTTTGTCTACCTGACCGTGGTTTGGTTTTAACAGAGCCCCTGATTTTCCATGTCTTAATCACAGTTTGAGCACTGCTGACTGGCAATAGCGATTCCTTGGATATCTTTTTGTATCCCTTTCCTGTTTTATACAGTTCAACTACCTTTTCCCGTAGATCCGTTGACAATTCTTTTGCTTTCCCCATGACTCAGAATTCAGAAACGTCAGTGGCTGGATGAAAGATACAAGAGTCTGTCTGGATCCCAGAAACTCACACAGCTTTTATGCACGCACACTGATTACAAGCAAACAGATCACAGATCACAGGTGAGGATGGTTACCTTTAGTAGCCATTCAAACCCATTTGTGTCAACTTCTGTGCATGTTATCAGGCCAAAATCACCAGGGTATGTGAACTTTTGATCAGGGTCATTTGGGTAATTTTTGTTGTCATTATGAATTAAAATGAGAAAACACAGTTTTTTGACAGTAAATGGTTTCACCCAACCAATAAGCATGAGTAGAAAAAGAGTTTTTGTGTTATCAGTCACATTCTCTTAAAAAATGGCCAAATAATCATAGATTCTGCCAGGGTATCTTAACTTATGAGCACAACTGTATATATTAACACTGTTTAGCTGCCCCAATCCTCAGCTATTCGCTGCAGTAGTAACGGAGACAACAAAGGCCTCCGTTACAGAGTCCACTACACTCTGAAGAGACTAGAGGAACCTGGAAGTTATGATGATAGAAAAAGACCTGGATGAAAGAGAGTTACTACAAAAGCAGAGGATAAACATAGCATTGTCACTAGTAAGAGAGATCGGCGAAAGACAGCACCAAAAATAAGGGAGGAAATCAACATGACACGGTCGAAACCCATATCTCTGACAACGGTGAAAAGACGTTTGAGAAAGGCTGGTCTGAAGGGTTGTGTATCTGCAAAAAAACACTACTTCATCCACAGAACAAGAAAAAGAGATATGAGTGGGCAAAAGCTCACAAAAATTGGACTTATAATGACTAGAAACAAGTTTGTACTGTTTGGTTCAAAACGCAGAGTCTATGTCCGCAGACAAACTGATGAACGTCTGAAAGCACCATGTGTTACACCCACAATTCAGCATGGAGGTGGTAGTGTCATGGTATGGAGATGTTTTGCAGGTGATGGAGTAGGAGCTTTGTTTGACATAAAGAGTATCATGAAGAAGGAACAGTACCACTCCATCCTCCAGCACCATACTGTTCCATCTGGACTCAGACTTGTGGCTCATAAGTTTGTTTTCCAGCAAGACAATGACCCTAAGCACTCTGCCAAGCTCTGTCAGGGTTACCTAGACAAAAAAGACGAGGAAGGTGTTCTTCAAAAGATGGTTTGGCCCCCTCAGTCTCCAGACCTTTCTCCAACTGAGCTTGTGCGGGATGAATTGGATCAATCGGTCAGAAAAACGCATCCCACGAATCAGCAGTCTCTTTTTAATGAACTTAAGACAGCTTGGAATGTAATCCCTGGAACATACCTTTAAAACAAGAGCGCACACACACACACACACACACACACACACACACACACACACACACACACACACACACACACACAAGAAAAGATGTGCACAATTGTCCAGAAGAAAAATAAAGTTTAAGAGCTGACCTCTGGTATTTTACCATCTGTACTGTTGATATAGTTAGGTGCTGGTTAGCTGCTGTTCTGAGCATTATTTGTGGCTATAGAGTGGTGCTTTGGTTGAGGTTTGTTTATGGCTCCTCAGACCGCTGTGTATTGCGATTGTGGCAGGCAGCACCTTGCTGCTATTGAATGCAGCTCTCCCTCCTCCTCTACCCCCTCCCTTCCCCTAATCAGGTCAGCTGAACAAAAGGCAGCAGCTCACCTGCAGTCGGCCTTCTGCTCTGCTTGGAGTGCTGGTGGTAGACCTGCTGCTGTTTTGTTGCCCCCATTAACTGTCATTATTTTTGCCTGTTTACTTTGGTTGTTTCTGCCCTTTTGATTGGTTTCCCCCCTTACTTGGTTTGTTTCTACCTCTAAGTTTGGTTGTTTTACCCAGTTACCCCCCATTAGTTTGCATTCTGTTCTTAGTTACCCTTAGTTGCTTTTCTCCTTAGTTCCCTCTAGTTTTACCAACTGGGTTCGCTGTTGCTGGTTTGTTTGTTTCTTTGGTTAATCCTTTTATTTTATTTCAGAAGTTGAGCCCACTAGTTTGGGAGGCTAGGCACCCCGGGTGAGGGCCCTCCACCTTTGCATGAGTTTGACACGGGGTCACAAGACTACACCGATTTGTTTCTTTTGTTGAAGGTTTGCAGTGTGTGTGCTGTGCTTCACTTGGTGAGTATAAGGGAGCACCCCCCTGCACTTTCCCTCTGTAGTCTGCCTCCCTTCTGGTGGCCTCAGCTTATCTTAAGTTAACTTAGTTTGGGTTTCTTTGATTTAGTTTAAGTTGGGGTTATTGTACTTTTTAACTGTAGAAGGCCTTGTTTTAAATTTATTATAGCAATAAAATTAACTTTCTTGCCCCTTATCTGTGTTTTGTTATGTTGTTTTAACTTTATCCCTTTCTTTCCCTCCTAGGTTAAATTTCTCAGTTATATTTAAGTTTAACTTCATTTTTTGATCTACTAAACATTTTGAAATATTTTGAACTCTGTCTCTGCCTCTTCAGAACTTACCTGTGTTGCCTTATTCTTATTTTAGCTTCCTGTTATGGTTTTAGTTTGAAAGTACAGTTTCCTGGGGTGCAAGTCCCCAGGTGGCGTTGCTTATTGGAGACAATATTCTCTATTTATGAACAAAATAGCACCCCCTTGCCACACTATCGTGTGGTCGTAACGAAAGTTAGTATAACTACAGAAGCAAGCTGTCAGCGACATTCAGCGCTCGAAGGGGGTGTCTAACTCGGTGTTGCGGTGTGTTTAACCATAACTGAAATTTACATCGGAATATCCTTTTAATGAAGTTTTCCTCATAATAGTGTGACCTTTAATTCACTACACGCCTACCTTTAAAGGTAACAGTATCACTGACTGTTTCTTTAAAAGGCTCATCTATTGGTTGGAAACACACAAAGTCACACCGGCACCTTTCTCTCTTCCTCATGAAAGAGAGAAAAATTCAAATCATGGAAACCACATCCTCCACTCTACGGAGGAGGGAAAACACCAGGGTTGTCCAAATCCAGCATCCCTGATAGTATGGGGATCATCAGAGCCCATGTCATGGGTATCTTATACATCTGTGAAGGCTCCAAGTTCAGGAGCAACATCTGCTGGAGGACTCTGAAGTGGGAATCACCGCATGGAAAGGACAACTGGACTTACTTAACAAAGAATTGGAAATCATAGATACTGCATCCTCAGTTTTAAACAAGACACAAAAACTCAGAAGTGGGGAGCAGCTGCAATCTGGTTTAAGGTAAGAATGGGGTTAAATTTTACAAAACTGGTCTGCAGGGTTCTCAAACCTTTACAAAGTGTTGCTGAAGGAGCAGAAAGACCACCTGCTCCCAGTCTAGATCTTTATGAAATGCACATTTTCATGAAAAAGAAAAAAGGGTTTAGACTATTTTTTATTCACAAAAATGCTGTGTCTACAACACCTGTGCAAATGTGGATTTTATTTTCATTCGATTCCTATAAAATGTACAAAATTTCAAATCAGGTCCAGCATTTGACCTCATGACGACCCTGTTTGTCTGGCTTCTTAAAGGTCAGAAAATCAAGTAAAAAAAAAAAGAAAAGCAGAATTGCAAAAGTGTGAGGTAACCCCCAATGTTCACCGCATCCGGAATGTCTCTGATCCTGAAGGGTGTTGATTTTTGCTGTCCGCTGAGTCCTACTGGGTGAATTTTGTGGCGGATTATGGACAGCGGTAATCGTGAGAACTAACAAGAACCCGCGGATTCACGTGCAATTGTGCAATAACAAGTTGTCTTTAGCCACAGAGGCTAACCATAAAAGCAGTAGATTGTGTCCTTCCAGAGGAGGAAATCTACTTCTAGACTTCTATAAACCTTCAAACCTCATGGTTTGAAATATGTTCCCCTGAGTGTTTTATTTTGAAAAGAAGCCGAATATTTTATTTTGTGTCTGTGCCCGACTTTCTTTCCAGCATGGGTTAATCTGTGCTGAATTTATCTGGCATGCTCCAGCGTTCGGAAAAAATAGAACTCTTGCGATCAGTTGCGGAGTGTGGCGATCTGCAGCAAGACCAAAAGAAGCCGGTGAAAATTGACACATTAATTTGAATGGTTACGATCAGCTACGATCAGAGGATACAGCCTTTTTGTGGCTGTTCCGGATGTGGTGGAAACTGGGGGTAGGACGACCATTTTCAAAGGTTTAGTCTAGATGATTTGAGGAAAGACGTTCAAAGATGAAAACCCTCATCACCTGTTAGAGATAATTCTTGGTGTGTAGAAAAAAAAACAGGCCAAACAGACGGGACACTTTTAAAACAGGATTGAGTTTATTTCCTAAGAAACTGTATTATTGAAAGTGTTAAATGCAATGGCGTCTCAATGCACCCAAAACTGGCAGCATTCCTGAAGAAAGTCCAAAAAAGTCTAAAAGTTCAGACAAATGTAACCGGGACAGGAAGAGGACTCTGTTTTTGACAACAACAACCCTTCATTACAGCGACAGTGTTTTTGTACCTGAAAACTGAGGCCGATGACCTAAAAACTAAAATTATATTCTATATATTAATACACAGTTCTCCGTAACTCTCAGTCAGTAAAAGTAGCACAAAGTTATGATTACCTTTTTACATTCAGTCTCCAGATACCATAGAAATTAACTTATTACATCAACACAAAGTCTAAAAGTACACAGTTGAAAATATTTACTCAGAATCACACAGTCCAAGATTTCTCCAGGAGAGATGGTCAAGAGAAAGAGAGACAGAGAGAGAGAGAGAGAGAGAGAGAGAGAAAATAAAAGTGAAGTGATGCCGATGAAGTTTAAACTCCTAAACAACCAAAAAGCTGTTTGAGATTGGACTTGTTTGTGTTCATACAGCGCTTAGGAGTTATTGCTCTGTCTTTACATCACAGCCGTCTGTGCGTCACGGATTACCATCAGAGGGGTAATGACCAAAAACATCAAGACTCCCTTTTTTATTTAAAGTGACCAAGGAATCTGCAGGACTGTTTCCATCTCTGATGTGTTAAAGTTACGATAAGTTTGTGTTTCCAGCCTAAAGCAGGATCTTACTGTCACGTTTTCACCTTTTTAAACAAGTATGAAATCAAAGTCGTCTGTCATGGTTCTTGTTTTACAAACTTATTAGTTGGAAAGTGAAAAAAAAAACTTTTTTGGTGCAGTCTGACAGAAAGGAAAAAATAGAAACTCCTGGTGATTGTTATCGCGGCAGATTGCGATAAGTGAAACTCTACCTACAAATATTGCAGAGCATCACGAAAAACAGACCAAAGCTCTCTTTGTTTTTTTTATTTTTTAGACATAGTTATTTAAAAAACTTAATCCTCCAGTCTCTTGAATAAAAATACTTTTGGAATTTAAAAAAAAAAGTTGCAGAGCTGAAAGAAAAATTGTTTTACAGTGAAAGAAAATCGTCCGACATAAATCTCAAATTCCCTGATTCACGTGTTATTTGGAATTTCAAAAAAATAACTATTTTACAAATTCCAAATTACACAAGCCGCAAAATTTGCAATATTTTTGTTGTTTTTCAAACAAAGTAGAATTTATTTGACCTTTGGTTGAACTAATCTACAAATATTTCCATCGTGTTTAAAATCTTCTGTCAATTTTTTTTCAAATGAGACAAAAGGTTTTAAATATTTGTTAAAATATGTCAATACTGATGGTAAGAAGAGGGTGCAGAGTTGTGGGAAAAATAGTATGATGGAGAAGAATAATCAGAATGTGACATGACTTTCTCGCTTGTTTACGAACTTCCACAAATGGCGAAATATCCAACTTTTAAAATAGTCAAACAATGGTGCAGTGAATATACATCAAATTTGTCCTACAGGCAAGTTTAATTGCATTATTTCTTTATTAACATTAGTTAAACTCAACCCTACACGAAAAAGATTCAGTGTTTTATATTTTTTGGGACCTCTGAAAATCTCCTTCAGATTTTTGTTTAACTATTTCAGAATTTCAAAAACAGGGTGTAGAGATGTGGTAAAAACAGTTTGATGAGGAGGAATAATCTAATAAGTCTGGGAATTTCCAACTCTATAAAAGTGTAACCTTAAAACTAAAGATCTGACATTTTCCTGAAGTCACACTGGAAGTTAATCTTGACATCATCTGATGATCAAACCCACAATTTCCATATTAAATGTCAGACAACGTCACAGGAAGTCCTACATGAATTTCTGTGTTCAAGACGAGCGATAACTCTCTGAGTGCTGCATTCAAACATCAAAGTTCCCTGTAGAGAGTCAGCCTCAGAGTTCTCCTCTTTATCATTAAAACATCAAAAACAGGAAAACAGGAGGGTGATTTAGAGAGCGGACGTGACCAGTTTCACATGTCGGCTTACATGACACAATGTAGGACAAATATTTTGAATGCAAAGGCGTGGAGAGACGGGAATAATGGAGTTCAGGTGAAAGCTGGATGCTTGATCGCCGTCACATCAGACTGAGATACTGAGTTCACACACGCTCAGACACAAACAGGAATGTTGACGGAGCTCAGGGATGTGGAAGCAAAGACAGGGGGCGCCAAAAGGTGCTTTAAAGGTTTTTAAATCGGAACAGATATACAGATTTTTTCTAATTTCCAGCTCTAGGGTTGGAAATTACAGTGCAGGTGACAGATTCACAGCGCCCTCTGCTGGACAACAGCTGCAGAGACCTGGGGTTTCTTTTTGTGAAAATATACATCACAAGATTTGCCAAAAAGGTTGTTTATTTATGTGTTTAGTGATTTTGTAGGATTTCTTAAAAGCATCAGTGCTGTCCACTGTTTCCTTCAAGCATCCCAACAACAAACGTGGCCTAAAGCTGCAAGTACAGCAGATCTCTCAGCTCATATTCTGAATTAATAACGATAATTAAACTCTTCATTACATCATTAAACTAAAGATTTTCTTTATATATTTTCTTGTTTTGACAAATTAAGAGAATAATAGCCTAAATAGTCTTCAACTGAAGTGACCTAAAGCTGGAAAAAGAGAATCTACGTCCGTGTTTGCCAAAAAAAAAAAAAATCACAAAACTGATAAAAAAAAAAATCAAAGTTTGGTACGATTACCAAACACATCCTTGATTGAATACTTTACTTTGAGAGAAGTCAAAAATCAGCAATCAATACCTCTCTCTGTTATTTGACACTGTGTTGATAAGAGGTTGATCAAAAATGCCAGAAAAGAAAAGAATAAAATTCAGACATTTTTCAGGCATTTGAGCAAAAATACAAACAGAAAAACGGGTTTATTTTCAAAAATACTTGACCCTTACTGTCCATTACTTTACTTTGACTTGGCTGTTGTGGTTTTTGTATATTTTAAGTATTTTTAACAGTACATGTCTACGGAGATTCTCCAGTGACATTTGATCGCAACAATAAAGAAAAGCAAATTCAGGAGACACGAAATCAGGATCAGAATACTTCGTTTATCCCCGAGGGACAGAATTAACTTGATGCACCGATCCAAGACTTCCTGAACTTAAGGCAGCTTCTTTATTTCCTGTCTTACATTATTAGACAAACTGATTCATACAGGAGTGTCTAAGCAGTCACACCTGGATTAATGTTCGTGTTCATACAGCGCCCAGGAGTTATTGCTCTGTCTTCACATCACAGCCGTCTGTGCGTCACGGATTACCATCAAATAAGAGGAGGAATGACCCAAAACATCAAGACTCACTTTATTATTTACAGTGACCAAAGAATCTGTCGGACTGTTTCCATCTCTGACGTGTTAAGGTCCTTTCACACCGGGACCGTTTTTGTCATGCGATTATTTTAGATGTCAATATTTTTTTTGGAACCATACCTTGTCAATATAAGTGTTCATATCACCAACGTTTTCCCGTCCTGCAATATTGCAGCATTTATTTTTTCGGATCATGGTCGATTTTTCTAAAGTTTTGCATACTGTGTGTCCACTTCTGACCAATCAGATTGCGTGCTGTTGTGATGTCTGATTCACTGGTATATCATACATGGCCCACCAGCTGATTGTTTATGTGTCTGAGAACAGAGTGTTTTATGATAAAAGACACAAATATTACAATATGACAATGTTTTGTGTGCTTTAACAGTTTGCTAAACGCTTTTGTTTTAACTTTCATCTGTGCTAACGTAAGCTGATGGTTGTTACCATAGTTTCATGTGCTCATCTTAATGCCTCTGATTGGCTATAAATGCTCACCGTTGCTGAGTGTGTGATGAGGTTTCCAGCTTTTCTAGCCAATCAGAGGCGAAGGAGGCGGGACTTTCCCCGGGGAAAGTTTCCCCGAGATGCATCTTACCCCACCCAAAAGTTGCAAAATCGCATCGGGCTTGATGTGTATAGTCAGGGCCGTCAAAATTCACCTCCAAATATTTCGTAATTTTGTGTTCTATATTCACGTTGGCCCCGGTGTGTAAGGACCTTTAAAGTTACGTTAAGTTTGTGTTTCCAGCATAAGGCAGGATTTTACTGTCACGTTTTCACCATTTAAAAATGACTAAAATCAAAATCGTCTGTCATGGTTCTTCTTTTACAAACTTATAAGTTGGAAAGTGAAAAAAACTTTTTAGTGCTATTGGACAAAAAGCTAAATTTAAAACTCCTCCGGTTACTAGGGTATGTTTTATCGTAGTAGATTGCAATTGGTCAACCTCAACCTACGAATATCGCAGAGCATCACGAAAAAACGGACCAAAGCTCTCTTGGTTTTCTGTTTTTTTTTTTTTTTTGGCGTAGTTATTTGAAAAACTTCTTGCCCTAGTTTCTTAAATCAAAATACTTTTGGAATTTAAAAAAAAAAGTTGCAGAACTGAAAGAAAAAATTTTTTTACAGTGAAAAAAAAAATCAAGATAGGTGTCAAATTCCCTAATTTACGTGTTATTTGGAATTTCGTAAACTAACTTTATTTTACAAATTACACAAGAGGCAGCATTTCCGGCGTTTTTGTAGTTTTCCGTCAGTTTGTTCAATACTGTAAAACAGGAAATAAAGGAGCTGCTTTAAGTTCAGGAAGTAGTGGAGCTGTGCATCGAGCCCATTAGATAATGTGTACTAGGTAAAAGTTGTAGATGGGGCCCTGTATCAAAAGTTTTATTGGTGATTTCTTCTTTTTTAATGTGAGGCGTGTTTTTAGCATTCGGTAACTTACAATCTTATGAATGAAAAAACAAACACTTTTCTTAAATTTTGGGCTACTTTTTAAAATCTTTTAAGAAGTTTCATGCTTTTTAACCTTCTGCTTTTAATGGGTGACTTTTGAAAATGACACTTTTTGGCTTCACAGGAGCAAACTGTGAGTTAAATACAGACTTACTTTAGGGCTTTTGTAATAGCTTCATAACACTGACACTCAAAGTGCACAAATGTCAACTTTTGGCCAAGTTTTGTGTTTTTAGTGTCTCAAGTGGACAAATACTTTAAAACACACCGACGCAGACACACACTTACAGAAACACACTTTCAGCTTTGGCACCCAGAGAAGCAAAAATGAGGAATGACAAAAACAAAAAGGCGAAACCTGGAAGAAAGGATCACTGAGTCCAATAAAATGCATCGTTCATAATATAATATTTATATACAGATAGAATCCAGAGTGTAAGAAAGCAGGTAAAAGAATAATTTGAACGAAAAGGAATGAGGATGGAGACGAGACGTGTGAATGGGATCTAAAAAACAGACACATAAAATCACTCTCACTCCAGTTTTGTCCAAAAACTACGTTCCAGCCATAGATGATTCAGCGATAACAAAGGAAAGAAAACCTCTACTGAAATGGAGCAAACTGGGCGGACAGAACCACACTACCCATGAGCCTCTTCTTCTGTGGAGCTCTCCTGGGCTTTACTGCCACCTGTGGGACCCGACCAATGAGAGGAGAGCTGAGGTGAGTGAGGGATGCACAAAAGGGAACCACACACTCATACACACACACACACCTGGTGTTAATGTAAGGGAGGGTTAATAAGGAAGAGAGGGAGGATGACGCAAGAAAGAGAGAGACTGAGAGAGTCAAGAAGGAAAACTGAAGATTTGTTCGATTTGAAGAAATCAGCAGAGAGAAAAAACCATAGAAAATTAAAACTTACAGGAAAGTTACCCTGTGAGAAAAACGTGTTTTTAATCTTGAATAATATTTACACCTGATGTGAAAATGATTAATCCCTACAGAACTACAAGAGGTTGGATAAACCCGAGGGAGAAAAGGTGAAACTTCTCCAACTGTTTCTTTTTCTTAAATGTGCTTTTTATTCAACTGATATATAAAATCACTAATATTTGTAATAGCCCATGTGTTTGCACTTTTTTATTTTGATTTCTGTTTTCAACTTTGGGTGTTTAACGATCTTATTTATTGCTAATGATTTTGTGACAGGATCTTTAATATCAGTCTGTTTAAATATGAAGGATGTCGTTTTCAGACTTCAGGTTCTTATGGTGACTTCCTCGATTATTTTCACGGTGATGAAGACAAGAAAAAAGGATCCTGTGACACTAAATCAAAATTCACATTTCTGTAAGTATTTAAAAAGCTGTGTTAAGAAACAGATCTCTTTTCTCTCAGATCTCGGTGTAATTTTGGTCGTTTATTTACATTTTACAGTGAATACTGACGTCCATCTGTTGCCTTATTAGATCCATTCTCAATCGTCTCTATTTCTCATTATTCACAATGGTTTTTAAGTTTATATTAGTAAGTTTAAAGCTCCTGTCAGAGACTCTCAGCCCCCTGCCAATTCCTACCGGATACGTTTGTGAGGCGAATTTTTTGGCGGATTACAGACAGCGGTAATCGCGAGAACTCGCAAGAACCTGCGGATTCACGTGGAATCGTGCAATATCAAGTTGTCTCTAGCCACATAGGCTAACCATATAAGCAGTAGATTGTGTCCTTCCAGAGGAGGATATCTACTTCTAGACTTCTAAAATCAGTATCTCCTCATCCATGGTGTCATCGGGGTGAAATGACGTCTAAAAACCTTTCACTTGTTCGTCTCCGCCTGTTTGCATGGTGTGAAATACGATCCACCTGAAACACAGGGTGTTTTGTTTTGAAAAGAAGTCGGATGTTTTATTTTGTGTCTGTGCTTGACTTCCTTTCCAGCATGGGTTAGTCTGTGCTGAATTTATCCAGCATGCTCCGGCGTCCGGAAAAAATAGAACTCTTGCGATCAGCTGCAGAGTCCGTCAACCCATAGTGGAACGGAAAGAAGCCGGTGGAAATTGACATGTTAACTTGAATGGTTACGATCAGCTGCGATCGGTGAATACAGCCTTTTTGTAGCCATTCCAGATGTAGTGGAAATTGGGGGTCAGCCTGCGCCCCCTTGTGGTCAAAGAGATATCTCCTCTGTCTTTGTTGACATTGTCCTGAACACAGAAATAACGTTTTCTTGCTGTCAGTTAAGAATCAAATAAGCTGTTAAAAGACCTTTTTAAAGGGAACTGTCAATCATCTGCACCAAAACTGACACGACAAAAAAGGTCCGGTCCGGTTGCAGATAGTTTTGATTTTGCTGCCATAGGTCATGCTGTAAATTTTAGTCTATTGGACCTCCTAAAAACACACACTCAGTACGTTTACATGAAACTCAAGAAAAATGAATTATTGCCTTATTCCGAATAAGACCGGACAACTGAAGTGCATGTAAACGCACTGAGTGTCTCCCTTTGACTCCCCCGTGTAATGACTGATTTTCTCTGCCTGATATGATTCATGTTGGGAGTCCCTGAGCGGATCTGCTGCAGACGTTCAGGTCCTGCTGCTTCACCTCCCTCTCTCTCCTCTCTAAACCTCAGCTCAGTCTCAGCAGGTGACGGTCCAACATCACTCTGGTTCTGCTCGAGGTTTCTGCCTGGTAAATGAAGTTCTTCCTCTCTGCTGTAAAGTGGTTTAGGGTAGAGTCTGATCCAGACCGGCTTCTCTTTGATGAGAGTTTTGGGATAATACTTGTTATTGTGAGTCGGTGCAATCTCGTTTCTTTGTTATAGGTATGCGGTTAGTGTAACTCTGATCTAAAGTTTGTGTTTGTTGTTAGTCTTTTTAAGCGTATTTACAGACGTTTTATTCACAATGGCTACTTTTTCAAAAGAAAAAAAAAAAGATATCATTGATTTTAAAGTCACACAATCTAAAAATATACATTAAAGTCGTTTAAGTCACTGAGTTATGGCTCAAAGAAAGAGCACAGCTTATGTTAGAAATTGTGTCTTTTTACCGTTTTGAACTGTTTTTGCCGGCTTGTTGTTGTTTTTGTTCACTGTTGCTGCTCCGGTTAGTTGATAAGCTGCAGTTTAATCGCTTTATTCCCCTATTAAAACACCTGTAGGCACCTATTCTCCCCCCTCAGGCGATGTCTCAGCCTCTTCTTCCTCCAGATCTTCTATCACAGACGCCTGAGGACACGTTTGGAGTCGTTTTGAGCGTGAACAGATAACCTGACTTTAACTTGTTTGACGTGAGGTTGTGGAAGAAGATGTTTGGGATGGATTGGATCAGTGAGGGTTAAAATGATGAGAAAGAGGATACAAAAGCCTCATGAACAAACACATCTATTCACACAAACACACACACACGCACGGTAATATGTCTGAGGAAATCAAGTCCACCCAGAGGGAGTCTGTGATTCACAAGGGAAAGGTAAAAACAGTCCTGTGACATGTTTAGGGGGGAGGACAGTATTTCAGGGTCAGTGTGTGTGTGTGTGTGTGTGTGTGTGTGTGTGTGTGTGTGTGTGTGTGTGTGTGTGTGTGTGTGTGTGTGTGTCTGTTCAGTTAATCGTCTTTGTCCTCAGTGTGTGTGTTGCGTCTGTGTCTGCCACTGTCATGCCACAGACAGGCTGCATTTCATTTACCTCATGCAAAAAAAGTACTAACAGTAGTTCTCAATGGTATCAAAGAATGAAAAGTTTACAGGGAACTCTGGACGGGCCAGAGAAGACGTGGAGGCACGCGAGGAAGGAAAAGAAAAGAGAGAAAGAGAGTGTTATTTTAGTTTAGCTCAAGGCAAACATGAAGAACATTCAGAAAAATACTGACGAGTGTTTTTTTAGTTTGGAAAAGAAAAGTTAGTTCTGAGATCCGGCAGGCAGACAGACAGAGAACCGGGAGGTCAGACAGCGATTTGAGCAAAGCTACCTTGTGTGGTGTTTCTGTCATTGAGCAGCTTGGTCTGACTGTTGGGGAGGATCTTAATCTCAGGAGGATCTGGACTCTGACCCACCCTGGACGCCATCAGGGCGTTTAAATACTGGAGACGGGTCACCTGGAAAACAAAGACCACATAAATAGAGTCAGGTGAGGAGAGAGGAGGTGTGTGTCTGAAAAGCAAAGGGACAGACTGATCGGGTTAGCTGTAGCATCCCTCTTAGAGATGATTCGGCACTTTAAAAATCGAAGTTCAAAATTTAAAGGTGGGGTAGGCAGAGACCTGTTAAAGAAGCATCTTTTTTGTGATGTATATACAAAAAAGCTTTTAATATCAGTCAATAGCTATTAGTTATTGATGGCATTTGGGGATAAAATGATATCGCTGTGTTTTGTTATGTCTGTGTAGTCAAAATTTCAATTTTTTTGAGCGGCCCGCTCTTTCTGACTGTAAACAAAGCCATTCTCCACTTCCCCAACCTGATTGGTTGTGAGGCAGACGCTGCTCCCCCGTGTCGTTCAGGAGCCAAACAAAGTTAGCGTGCTACAATATTGGACATTACAAACCAACCAGAAAGTACTGAAAATTGTCTGAATCCTCCTTTGGCCACGACTGCAAACACAAGCAAGAAAACAAAGTAAATACAGGAGACTCTGGAGGAATAACGGATGCTTAGAACTGAGGTAGACCGGACAAGAGCTAAAAAGCCGGGTCAACATAAATGATGGGGGACACTTCGGGATCTTGGTGACCTTTAACCTTTCTGCTGGACAGGTAAACCACTTTAACAAAGTAAGCCAAGAGTCTGTAACTGAAGTGTTTCTTGTCAAACGGGACCTGCTGCATGTTGTAGCTCCGCTAAACTGTTGACTTCGGGTCCTGGACTATGTCACTTTATCGTAGTTGTAGAAGTCCTGCAAACATTGTGTTTGCTGGTAGTCTGTTGGCATCTACAGTAGCACCAATGCTTTTTACTACAACCTTGACTGGGTCCCATTTGTAATTATCTGAAGTATTTATCTGCATTATATCTGAGCTTAATTGGAATGATATGAGCGAGCAGGAGCGTCTGTTTGTGGGCGGGGCTTGCTGGAGCAGAGGGAGAGGAGAGGAGGAGCTGAGGGGAAAACTGGTTGGGAGGGGTAGAGTTTACATTCAAGATTTCTCCCTAAAACTGGAACTTCCCCAGGTCCTGACTACCCCACCTTTAATATTAAATCAAATCGAGGTTTGAAGTTCTGTCTCTTTGGGCTCCTAATCCACGAGTGGACACACAGTATGAGGCTCAACATCTCAGGTTTAGACTCATCAGTTATTCAAGTTTTCTCTAAATGACTCAGAAATTAGCTGATGAAGAAAATCCTCCATGTTTAAATATCACCTGTAGGTACAGCAGATATGAATAAAGCCAGCTATGTTTGTTTGTAACACTCTGGGGTTCGAACTCTAAAGACACACAAACGCACTCGTATGAGCTGCAGGTCGGTGAGCGCTCGGACGGTGTAGTCGGGACAGTAGCTGGACGGGCTCGTAGCTTCTGCTGCCTCAAAGGGATCCCTGGGAGAGTGACGCTGAGTCGACACTGGAGACTGGTGCACTGTAAACACACACACACACACACACACACACACACACACACACACACACACATACACAGAATCAGCACAATACATTCACTACTGCAGACTCAGCCATGTAAATGTGTCTGTAAACGTCATTTATTAAGAAAAACATCATTTTAACCCATTTAAACCGGGACAGCATGAACACATTTCAACCTTCTAAGCCAAGAGTGCGGATATGCCATAATGTAACATTCTGTCGTTTTTCAATCATTTCTGGAGTCGTTGCGAATCAAATCATCATACCCGTCTGTCTCTGACAGGCTAATAAAGCCTAATAAAGTGATCAGATTCGTGCTTGTATCTTGCAACGTGTTTCGTGAGTAAAGTAAACAATGACGGAGGCAGAGAGCAGCTTCAGAGGAGATGCATCCATTAGCGAAGGTAGGGATATTGACAGAAATGATGACGTTGACGACCTCTATTTGAATCTTCTGGGCCACAAGATCAGGGTTTGTGGATGAGAGGAATGTTTTTGGTCAACTTCACCCTGAAATCAAGAGAGCTGGTGGACCTCCAGTCTATGACTGTAAGCAGTGTGAACAACCTCTTCATATTGGGACCTCTGGCTCACACTATCAGCGATTTTTGTGAGTGTCGCATGACTTTGACTGTCTTTTTGAATTTTGTTTCTATCTGCTACAGAGGCCGAGATATCAGCTTTTTTGTAAACCTAAACACTCCAGAAAACCTCAGGATCTGGGGGCCCTTCTCAAAGTCGCCCTCAGGATTTCAGAGGTGTGTCTCAGACCGGGTTCAGGTCTTAATGGGTTAAAGAGACAGAATAAAAGATGACGCTTGACTCTTGTTGACTTTGTTTGCAGTTCCTACTTCTCACCTGAGGATGGCAGAGTCAGAGCAGACACTCCGTAGTATGTGAACGCCCCGTTTTCAAACTTCAGCCCCTCTTTGCCGATCTCCACCTCCACACGGCCCTGAGGACACAAACAGGAGGTGAGAATAAATACGTTTTTGAGTAATTAATGGAGACTAATTGGTCGTAAACAAAGCTCCAGCTGATTTCAAGTTCACAAACTAGATCTACTTAACATCCTGTGGTCTGCAGAGGTGTGTGAGGAGGACCACAAACCTGCAGCAGCAGAATGAAATAGTCCACCGGGTGGTTTCTGGTGTACAGGTAGTGACCTGCGCTCAGACGGTTGTTGGGGTCAAAGTGCACCTCCTGGTTGACACTGGGGTGACGGAGCAGGTGGAACAGGACCTTCTCTGAAACACGTGCAGGGCTGAAGTGCTCCACTTCTGCAGGGGGTAAAAGGTTGGAGACACAGAGTACAAGGAACGTCAGCCTTTAGATGGTCTAATTTCCATTACCTCCTTTTCACTTTACATTACCTTTACGAGTAAACAGGATGAGGACACAAGGAGTTAAAGTGTGACTAATGGGACGTTCATGTTCAACCACAAACACACACTCATGCAGGTAAAGATTCACACAGCACACACACACTAACACACACACCTCTGGAGAGGAAGCGGTGTGTAGCCAGCAGGAGCTGTGGTGACGTCTGGATTTTAGGTTCTCCTTCGGGAGGCTTGAAGAGAGAAAACTCTTCGTGGACGCTGCGAGGCTCCAGAGGGATCTCCAGCGGGGGAAGAGGACGCTTCACTTTCCTGTCCACTGCAGGAGGAGGATGAGGAGGAGGTGAAGAAGGAGGAATTAATGACATCAAATCATAAAAACACGTTGGGTACTTACAGTAGCCGTCAGACTCATCCAGGATCTCTGATTTGATGATCTCCTCAATGACGTCCTCCAAGGTGACCAATCCCAGCACCTCATAAAACGGATCCCCCTCCCCCTCATTGTTCACTTTCTGAACGATCGCCATGTGAGAGTTACCTGAAAAGATCAAAAGGTCAAATCATAGGAAAAGACTCTTTTTAAAGTTTTTTTTTACTCATAGAGTTAGGGCTTGTGTCCACTAACAGCATGTTTTAAAAACGACCTGTTTTCAGTACCTTTTAAAGTAGGGGTGTGTTTGCGTATTCCTCACTGACCAATAAAAATAAAGAAGGGGTGGAGCTTCTGATAGCAACAAGGTCAACAACAATGGGGGAGGTTTGTTTTTGAGTAAAACCGACCAAAGCTGATTTTTAATTTTTTTATTCTTTATTTTATTTTATTATATTGATTTTATTTTATATTTTATTATTTTTATTTTATTTTATATATTATTATATTATTTATTATAATTATTTATTGAATTTTCCTCCGGGGATCAATAAAGTTCTTCTTATTCTTATTTTTACAACTGTATAATTTCCAGGTCTAGAGCAGCTTCTAACGCCACAACATGATTTCTATTCTTTTTAAATCTTTGCGAGGAATTCAACAATTCTTCTAATAAAGCAAACAAATGATTTTTTAACAGGTTTAACAGTCAATACTGACCAAAATAAAAGTGCTAAGTAACTTTCATTATCTTCCAACAGTAGGTGAAGTCAGGGAGCGCTCTGAAATTTAGGTTGTGGGCACTGCCAGCAAATAAAATGCTGTTGGTGGACACAGGCCCTTAACTTTTCATTAAAGGGCCAGTTCATCTTAAAGCTCCTGTGAGGAGTTTTTAATAGGTTATAGAACAGACTGAAATTAACTATCAGTGAGTGATGCTACTCACAGATGAGACCATTTGGTACAGTAAAGAAACCGCCAAGCAGAAACCGTAAGTTGTCTTTAAGTGTGAGCGCACCTTTCTTGAACTCCTCCAGCATGGCGTCCAGTTTGGTGTCATTGAAGACGAAGTGCAGCGGGTGGTTGTAGAATTTGGTGATGGTCGTCATGGGGGTGCAGTCCTCTGGGTCTACGAGGGCCAAGTCCTTCACATATAGAATCTCCACGATGTTTGATCTACAGAGTAAAATACACGGTGATGATCCGACAGAAGTTAAAGAACATTTATCAGAGGAGCAGGACGCTACAATACGCTCGTTTACAAAGTTCTCACCTCTCTTCCTCATATATGGGCACCCGTGTGTATCCACTCTGCATGATCTCAGACATGGTGGAGAAGTCCAGGACGGCTGAGCTGGGCAGCATGAAGCAGTCCTTCAGGGGAGTCAGGATGTCCTCCACCGTCTTAGTGCGCAGCGTCCCTCGGCTGAACTCCTCCTTCACAAACTCACTGGGCACAAAATTTAAGGTCAGACTCAGACGATGACACATTAACACTTATAACTCCACTGGATTGCCGGCAATCCCACGTGACACCATTAGGGAACTATACTGTGTGACGTTTGATGGTAAATCCGCAGTGATATACAAGTGAAAACATGATTATTTATCATATTGTTGTGATAAAAGAAGATCGCTATCGCTAAATGCCACTAATGTCTTCCAGGTTTGACAAGCAGTTTTGATGACGTCTTTTTCTGTCAAACTTCGACCAATTACATGGTCTCATATTCTTCTTCTATTGTTCCCTTGATGGTAGTGTCCAATAAGAGGCAACCAAAGATCAACAAGAGACAAGAAAGTTCCCTGCTTGTCTGCAAAATAAGAAATAATGGTCCTAAATGTTTGGAAACAAGCAAAGAAGAGATTATGAGCAGTATGAAGTGGCCCTCTGTCTCATCCCAGACAGGAACTGCTTCAAGGAGTGGCATAAACAACTGTAAATAATAAAAAAAACGCCTGGAAGAATTAGTGTAAATATGTAAATAGTTTCTGTTGTGTGTTTGTTCCAATACCAATATTTCTTCTCCTGATAGCTAAGACTTGAGAGAATAATGTGCAGGTGAGAAAAGGCTTGTTCACTGTAGATTTATGGTTTTTTTGTACTTTTTTAAAAGTACTGTTGGTATCAATTTCTGTTTTGACTTTGATGGTTCTGAATCTATTGTCACGTTCATTTTACATATTTCTTGCACCCATAAACTGACAGCTGAGGTTGTCCTGAAAAAAAAGATGTGTTTATATTTGCTGTGCTTAAAAGGATAGTGGTGCTACACAGATTTTTACAAAAAAATAAAAAATAAAAAAGGCGGACCAAAAATAGCAAAATATAGCTGGGAGTTCTGAGGGTTAAAGGACCAGTGTGTGTGTGTGTTTTTTTGTTACCTGTAAGGGTCATTGACACTCGTGCGGATCATCTCCATCGCCCTCTCCCTGATCCCACAGGTGCTGATGTCTCTCCTCAGCCCCAGGTCCAGAATCAGCCCCAGAGGGCAGGACAGGGGGCAGGTGAGGACCATGCAAACCTGGGCCAGCCAGGTCAGACCCGGGGCCAGCTGGAACCCGTACCCGGAGCACAGGATGTGGGGAGCCAGCTCAGCCACGAAGAAGATGAGGAAGCCGCTGGTGAACACAGCGGAGAGGATGGAGCCCAGAGCCCGGTACAGGAGGACCCCGAGGACAGAGTGTCCCAAAACGCAGAGGAACAGCAGAGAGCAGGTCTAGGATGGAGATTAGGGGTTAAAAAAAGGATAACATGGTGACTACTTACAACACGAAGATGCTAATGCATGCTTTTATCACCAGCCGTATAGACTATTGTGACGCCATGCTTTCTGGTCTTCCCAAAAATAATATTTCAGGTTTACAATTATTACAAAACTCAGCAGCACGTGTCCTGGCTAAGACCAGGAGGTGGGCCCACATCACACCGGTTTTAGAATCATTGCATTGGCTCGCCGTGTGTTTTAGGATCGATTTTAAGCTTCTTTTTTATTTCTATTTATTTATTTATAGCACAGATTAAAAACAGTGCAAGGAGGGAACAAAGCTGATAGGCTACAGAGTTCCACTCCCGTCAGGGCAGTGAAGGCATAGGGTGCGAATGACAAAGTAATTAGGACATAGACAGGTCATAAATATACAATGGGTAGGGAAAGGTCAAAACATATACAAATTGTCATAAATAGAACATAGACTAATCATCAACCAGAGACTGAGACAATATAAGTATACATAAAAAGGAAAGAAACATGATCATAACAGATAATAACGTGTTTCAGACATGATTAGATGAGATTTTAATGATATTTTATAAGATTTGAAGGGTAATACTGATTATAGAGATACATTCAGATCATTCCATAGTTTTGGTCCTCAAAAAGTGATATTAGACTGATGATAAGAAGTTCCACAGAAAGGTAACTGAAGATGGCCATTTTGTCATGTTGAGTACGGGTGAAGGTTAAATGAGAAGGTAAAAAAGTTTCAGGAGGAGTCAGGAAGGTTTGTTTTCCTGTTGATGAACTTATGGACAAACAAGCAAGAGTGAAAGACATTGAATTTGTCAATCGCTAAGATTCTTTTAGTTGTTTTTAAATGTCTTCATGGTCTTGGAACTTCTTACCTTTCAGAAATTATTTTACCTTATGAACCTTATGAGCAGAGGTTTGTGGTGTTAAACTCTGGAACAGCCTGGATGTCACTTTAAAAATGTCCAATGACATAAAAACTATAGAGAAGTATGAAAAGATTCATATAAGTAAAATAACAAAAAATGTGGTTTTAGACTAGATATACTTGATTGCATAAAAGTAGTATTAATTCTGAATATTATAACACTGATTATTGTGATATTTTTAGTATTCTTTTTTATTTGCAGTAGTGACAGTTCTCGGCCACCGTAGAAAGCACTTTGAGTTACTCTTCCTGTAGGAAAGGCGCTTTATAAATAAAGTTTGATTGATTGACTGTTTGATTGACTATTTAATGGTTTTCAGGAGCTTACCATGAAGTTCCCCCTCCTCCTGATGGGCTCCAGGCGCTTGGCGGCTCTCTTCTCCTCCTCGGACCCGCAGCTGTGCAGGACGTACAGCTCCACGGGGTCCAGCCACAGCAGGCTGAGGTTCACCGTCCTCAGCACCGCGCAGACCACCAGCAGCAGCACGATCAGCACGGCCAGACCCCATGGCGGGATGTGGTCTGCGGGAACACTCTTCTCGGTGCTTACCCGCAGCCTGTCCGGCCCCGCAGAGACCCATATCCCTCCGCTCCGCACGCACAGGTGGTGGTAGGTCTGCTCGCCGCCTGCTGCCCCCGCAGGGATGCTCTTCTGCCGGACCTGCACCGTTATCAGCCCGCTGTAGTCTTCATCCGGGGTGAACTCCCCCGTCACCTGGAAAGCGGACTCCTGACGGTTGGACTCCTTCTTGCAGGGGTCAGGCGCATCCCCGACCGCCCCGGCTGCTCCGCCAGCTGCCCCTGCTGCGAACGCCACCCACGGCCAGCTTTCATTCAGATCAGTCCCGAAGAGACGGAGCTTGAACGTGGCTCCTTCAGGCGCAGAGATGATCCGATCCTTCATGCACACCAGACCCACCGGGTCTTCCAGTCTGAGCCCCAGAACCAGCGGGGCTTCCTGGCTGCAGGCGCCGTACCTGATCCCGCAGAACAACAATATCATCAACAGGAACCGTAGACCTGCCAAGCTGGCCACCATATTGGAATTGGTCAGCCTGGCTCTGCGCGGGTCATGTGACTCGGAGCTCCGCAGCGGCTCCGCCCACCGAAGCTGCGAACACTGCAACTGTAAAGCCAGCCCGCCATCTTGGCTCTAAACACGCTAGCAGCGCTCTGGGAAAACAGTTCATTTTGGGGCCTGATTGAGACCATTTGCGTCTTTTTCGCACCTCCTCTTCTCAAAAACAGCGAATGGGAGTCTGGATGAGCTCAGGGCCAATAAAAAACGAGAAAACAAGAAAGGAGCTCACGCCCATATTTGTTAGACTCAGTGAAAACAAGTCATTCATCACTCTGGGCCTCTTAGACATAATATGAAATGAATAAAGAAAACCGAAACATAATAAACTTTTGGACATGATCACTAAAAGATTCCTTTAACACTCCACACACTAAATACTGCGTTTGAATCATGTAAAATAATCAAATTACCATGTTAGCTAGACTTAAACAACTTTAAAATTACACGTTAAAACGTTAATCTAACTCAAACTGAACTGAGTCAAACTGCTGTTAGTCAAACACGGTAAATTTGGGTAGAGGAAGGCCAAGTAGTGAACAAACAAAAAAAAAACATAATGGCAGCTGGACACTTATGCCGCGTTCCAGTTGTACTTGGAAGTAGTAATTTTCAAGCTCTGAGTCGGAAATTTATTTGGAACACCCCCTGAAGTCAGATTTCTGACTCGGAAATTCGGACGTTCCTTGCCAACATCTACTTGACAACAGTGTCATAATCCAGAATGGCAGCGCAGTGCATCGACAGTAACTTAAGCTCTTGTAATGTTTTATTTATTAGCACTTCTGTTTTGTTTTTGTGAAATTAAATAAGTGGTATATGTTGTACTGCCCAGCGTCTAACTGTGAGTGCTATGGTGTTGGGTAAAATACTGTGTTATGCGATGTTTACAACTGGTATCGCTAACAACAACTAACCGCTGACAACTGCTAACAATAGCTGACAATTGTTAACAACAGGTAACCGTAGGCGTCCATCTTGGTTTTTCAACTCGTTCACTGGATCGCCGTCAACTCAGCTGTAACGTCATTCCCAGCGCTGACAGCCGACCTCCGAGGTAACTGGAACGCAGCATTACTAGTGTAACTACTCAGTCTACATGTTTTTTTTTTAATTTTTATTTTTTTATAAAGTGCACCATCACATTACTTGCTTGCGAGCTAGCTTGGAACATACTAACAAAAGGTTGTGTGACAGTCAACTCAACATAAAGACATTAACTCTGAAATAGACAAATTTACGGTTTTATAAATTTGCAACTCTGCACTTTATGAGCACTGTTTGTGAGCTTTTTTGGCTTGCATCATGTAAACTTACTTGCTAACTGGCTGGAAATGTGCTAACACAAGAACAAGTAAATATTAACAAGCTAGATAGCCTACTTGGTGCTGTAGCTGCTCATGTTTGTCTACTGTATTGGCTAGCAGGATAACTCATTAGCAAACTGCTAACACCTGTCGGTCACAAATTGTATTTCTTTTACTATCAAATCTGTGTTTGATTGTAATTATTTGAGATTAATTGGATCACCAAGATTGTACAGACACAAGTTCAGTTTTTAATTTGAAATACAGACTTTTAGTTGGTTTAATGTTGGGTGAAGCTAATGGGGTCAGACACTTCCACTTCTGATTGTGAATGGTCTGAAAATGTGATACCAAAGTTAGTTTGATTTTCAAAATTTCTGCTAAAGTAAACTGCTTTTTTTTAGTGTTATCAAGTCTTTACATTATCAGCACTGACAGGGAGATCTACAAGCATGAAAGTACTGTTGTAAAAGCAGAGTAAATTTCCCCCTGAGCACAATCCTATTAAAAACTTGTCTCCAGCTGCAAAAGACACCAAATTGTTGTCTTGCATTGGTCATATTCTTGCAGCCAGCATGTGAGAAGTCAGCTGCAGTACTGTAATGACAGTCATATAATAATCAGCTTCCTTTTGATAACAAAATATAAGGATCCACCCACGTTCTGTAAACATCTTCATATCCAAAATGTGAGATGGCAGACTCAAGAGAAAACTCCAGCATCTATAAAACACAGAAAATGTTAAATGTGACACAGAGACTGATTTTCTGTAGAGAAATATATCTCGGGTTTTATTAACCTCTTGGATTTCTTCAAATGCCTTACAGTAGTTATAAAACAGTATGTACACATTGCTTCAAGTAACACAACCCATTTTGGAAGTGCTCCCTCATATCTGATCTGCTATTGAAATAAAAGAAAAATAACAGGCATTTTTCATCTTCTGTACATTTACTCTGGGGAATGGAAAGAGGAATTAACTATTTCAGTGTGTAAGAGTTTAAGAACCCAAGACACAACTTCCTGGACTTGAAGTATTCCTGCAATGCCTGCCTATAAATATTTATGTTTTCAAGGTCTTTGAATTGTCTGAAATCTGCACTGCACTGCAACTCTGAAAATTTTTGGAGGTATCGCCTGATTTACTGCATCTGAAAAGGGCAATTTCAGATGCAGAAACATGACAGGACAAACCTGAATCCTTACCCTCTTTTCTGCACATGTACCAAATCTAAAACTAGCCACATGTGAATGATACACTGTGTGGAAAGTCACTGGCCAGCAGAAAATATTTAACCTTCTCTCAGGTCTAATCATCACACCACTGCCGGCTAAAAAAAACAACACAGCGGGAGTTGCTGATAAGCCCAGCTCCCCTGCTCCGGTCCCATGGTAGAAGAGGTCTGAACAATAAAAAGGACTTAAACAGCCAGAGCTACAGGAATCTCAAAACTTGTTTGGAGCAGAGGAGAAGGAGGAGGAGGGGTGGCGATATCAGTGGGGTAGAGAATTAATAAGGAAAAAGGGAGAGAAGTTAGAAAGGAGTGTAGGAAGAGATCAGATAAAGAGGACGGACAGGAAGGGGAGTTGATGGGAAAGAGAAATAAAGCTTTGGTTATCACTTCTTATGACAAAAGAAAAAAAATACAAAAACACTACAGAAGATAATAAATTATTATTTGAGGTCAAGTCTGTGCAATGTTTATTGCTATTTAATGCCTTCCTAGCAAAACATGGAAAAAAAAAAACTTTGCAAACACTAGTATTAAAGAGCACACAGTCACCATTTTCTACAAGCATGAATAATTAGTAGCAGACTGGCCTTTCAAAAACATTATAAAATACATTTATTCTTTATTCTGCAAGATTCTGGGTCTACGAGGCCATCAAACAAGAGTTATCCCTCATTATCCTCCTTATTACTGCGAATGACTTTGGTTTTAAAAGTAAAGTAAAAGCACAAGTAGCGAAAATCTGCAGTTTTTCTTACGACCAGCAGGGGGTGACTCCATCTGAGTAGAAAACGGCAAAGCAAGGTCTACCCCTCTTTTTGTTGGCAACATAATTAGTTGCTTGCAACCATGGCGGCCTGTTGAAGCAGTCCACTGTGTATTTGTGGATGTGCAGCGAAATGCAAAAGTTCGGCCATGCCCACTTTTTTTATAAACAGTTGTTTTCCGAGTCCATTGATTCCAAATCGAGTATATTAAAGACCGTAACTCTCCAACAAATTCCTACTCTCATTTCAAAAAGAAAGGAGTTACATGTAGCCCTTAGGCTCCAAAAGGGAAGCCAAAACAGAAGCCCCTGCAGTTTTTCTAATGGCCACAGGGGGCGACACCACTGCAGCGGAAAAAATGCTACAAGGCGAAACATGTGAAACTGTTTGGTTAATGGCCAGTGTGTTTACATGACGCTAAAAATATATATTTATTGCATTAATCTGACTTTTCGAGTGTATTTAAATATGTTAGATTGACTAAAATTGCACAAAATCGAACCTATCATAGTCAGTCAAACAAATGTAGATAATGCAGTTAGGTCCAAGCACATCATGCTGTATCCAACCGGCCAATTACAGACTGTAATAGACAAGGTAGCAATGGTCAAAATGCGGAATTATGGCTATGATGGGAATCTGATAATGAAGTCATAATTCCTAGACGACAGATTTCTTTGAGAGTAAGCAGTAATAAAGAGGTAGACTAAGGCATCAGTTAGTGCTTTATAATGTCCATTAAAGGGCCAGTTTGCGCAGTATACAGCCTGTAGGTGATGGTCAATGTGCTCCTTGATTTAAAGTGTTGCAGGAACTTGAATAATGTTTTGTCTTTCCTTATAAATAGATCTATTTCAACATCTCTCTCAGCGATTTATCTCTTCATGTACAGAGTATTTACAGTAAAATATAACACGAACAGCAATCAGGGAACTGAACACAGTGTTTCTGGGTGAATTAACCCAATAAAAGCTGCGTCTCACAGCTGGAAGCCCGTTTTCACCAAACCACACCCTCAGGTGCACGCCTACAATAAAATGATACATAAACAACAACAACAACAACAATATTAATAAATACAATGTTTACAATAAATACATCATGAATAAGAAGAACATTTGTTTTCACATTTCCCCAGTACTCAGACTGGTGGTCCCACAGCCAGCCAGTGGCTTCACTGGAAACCAGTATAAGACCAATTGCTACATGAGACCTAAATGAACCAGCAGGCAGGTCTAAGTTCCTTCAATTCCAGGGTAAGGCTACGTCCACTTCATATTTGCATTTAATACGCAGGTTTTCCCTCAGCTGGATGGTCCTGCTGGATAAAATGGTTTTCACAGATTTTCTCCATGGCCGGATTCAACTGGTGCGGGGCCCCGGGGGCAAAATAACCAGATGGGCCCCCATAAGGCCCCCACAAGTGCTAGCAATCTCTGTGCACTGTGCATGCTGGAAAAGTGCATGTTTGCTGTGAGGTCATTTGACAAAGTAAAAAAAAAATTTGCAACATGCAACATGGTAGCACAGAAATAAAATAACAACACAATCTTATTTACAACCTGAGAAAAATGGCAGCTCAGACAATGACTTTAAACATGACAATCTACACGAGCTCAGTGTCTGCAGGAACAAGACCTCTAGTGTCCCGCGCAGTGAAGTGAATTTCTTTATGGATGGATAAAAACAGCAGAATTTTGAACAACACCTTCTTCTCAACATATAAAAGGACGCACATGGGAATGAATGGATTTCTGGTTGACTCGTCTCCATGAAGGTTTATAAATGCGAACAAGTGTCACATTCTTTGCTATGCGTCACCTGACTTCAATAATAAGCTAAGCAGATCTTTATATCCTGAACTAAGAAAACTGCCATTTTTAACAAGTTCAAAACAAGACTGTGAACCAAATCATGAAAATACTCAAACAAGACTTTGACACCGGGATTCCCCTCAGATAAGAAAATAAACCTCTAACGTACTCTTTTTGGAGCCTCTTTACAATCACCTTTTAATAAATAAACATTTTACCACAAACCAGCTGTGAACCTGCAGCTTTCAGGGTGACCCAGATCAGGCGGCTCGTTTGCCCGCTTGTAAATCTCATAGTTCAGAAATCTTTGGAGTTCTTCCCTTTTTTAGATTCAACAAAAAAAGTCTTGTATAACTCACAAGTTTTAAAGTGTTTTCAAATCAGTGCTAGCTTATACAACAGTTGTTCTTATTATATCCTCAAATAAATCACTATATCATCTGCAAAATAGTTCACCTTTGATTGTTTCAGTGTCACTGCATTCATAGGAAAACAAACGTAGGTAGATTACATGCTAGCAGCTTTAACGTGAGCTGCTACTGTCGTTGTCTTCGTCGTAATCTCTTAATCTTTCCCACTTCAAACGTCCTACAAGTCCTCATCTGAACGATTCAGAATAATTTACATACACAGTAAAATGTACTTTACATTGTATCAGGTGAATATGAATGAATCCCTGTTTTTTTTTTTTTTATTATTAATTTTTGAGGTGCTCTATCCGGTCACAGGGAAGAACAGCTGTGGGATAAGACAGGGTTAAAGTCACCGGAGCGAGGACATGCAGAGGAATGTTTGTCATCCATTAAAGTTATTGTGCTGTAAGTGTTTTTAGTATTCAAGTGTCAATTCTTAACCCTGCTCTTACTGCAAGTTTAAAGGTTAACAGACAAAACTGAACAGATTAACAGATAAACGGAGGGGCTCAAATCTGTGACTTTAGTACTTTTAAAAACTTCGCTTTAACCCTGTTTGGAACCAAAACAGTCCAGAGCCTCTGACAGAAAAGTTTGGTCAGGTTCATGCTACAGCTAGTTATCAAGTTCACCCTCTGAAATAAGATTATGGAGCAGAGAAGGAGTAGAAATATCCTCAGTACAGCAAACTTTACTGCAAGCGTACTCGCTTCTGAAAACCGTAAGAGTTTGACGACTCAGCGCTCTGGATTATTTGGTAAAAATGTCAAAACTAACTCAAAACGGCTCAGTTCAAGTCCCAACCAAGAGTTTTGACATCAGTCCACAGTGTGTCTTGATGTTGTGAAGCTTCGAGGACGCTGGCGCCACTCTGAGCTCTGTTCACAGTGAGAGCGAAAGACGTCACAATAAAACAGTCTGTGCAGTAAAAGTCACGAGAAATATTCAGCTGCACTTTTAAAACAGACACATTCAATAAATAAAAACTCTAAAGATACGAAAGAAAAAATCATTTAAACTGTATAAATAAAATAATTTAAAATAAATATTTTTACCTCTTGGACATGAAATAATTTACACATATTGTTATCGTCGAGAGGTGGGCCAGACACAACACAGCCCACCTTCATTTCACCAGTGGCATCAACTTAAAGGACCATACCGCTGTTTCTGCACAGTTAGCCTCTTTTCTACTCATAAACTACCTCTATATATACATCGCTACATATTTTGTTATAATGCATGCATGTCTTTTATTTGTTTCTATTTTGCAGGCAGCCGTTGGTTTGAATTCATGTTTATGTGGTTTAAAAAGAGAGCTATGTTGTTGTCAGTTTAAAAAAGTGAATACTTCATTCGCAAAACATGCCTTTAAATTATGCATTACGATGCGAAAAAAATAAAAGCTATATTGGGGAAAAACAGATTTTTTTTGCCCAATGTGAAAATAAAGATCTGAAAAAATGGGAAAAACTTTTTCACACTTTAAATACTTTTTTTCTTTTGCATATTTGTACCCACTTTTAATATCTATGGGTTTTTTTTAATTTAAAGGTCAAGTAGACTTTTTTTTCTTTTACAAATATACTTAAAGTGAGCGGAGGCAAACAGGGCTCTGATTGGCCATCTGCTCAAAAGCCAATCATATCTCTAGCTATTGCTTAACTGAATTTGATGTAGGTCCATGAAAATTAAAGTAAATAAATGGAGTTTGTGAATTATTTCCAAAAAGAAAAAAAAAGCTGCAGTGTCGTTTGCATTTGTATGAAAAGTGGCGAAGTCGTGCAAAATCAGCGTTATGGTTGTTCAACTCTCAGTTCAGACTAAAAACTCTTATGGTACAGTGAATCTGGTCCATGCTGGTAGTAAAATAGACCTACACAAAGAGGAGGCTGTTCATTTAGGGCCTCAAATCTGTCCCACCACAATAAAAGCCTTTAAATTTCCAAAGATCACACTCAAACAAACAAACTGCTGTTCTAAAACGAACTCTAACAGAAGTTTTACTCTTTGAAAAAGAACGAAAAACCTGGACGAATAAACCAAAAGTTAAACCAGGTGAGCAGTGTTTGGGGCAGCAGGGCTAAGGGGACACTGCAGATGGAAGTTTTCTGTTAATGTCCTGTGAGTGGATGATTAAAGGGTCAGCTCACAAAAATGTATTCACAAACACCGTGAACAATATTTACAGCTAGGTAAAGTCAGAGTTGGAGCACAGTTCTTAAACTTACCAGGGGCAGTATTTCATTTTTAGAGAACTTTCCTACAAAAGTCTAAAAAACACCCAAATCAAGAACAAAACTCATCCAAAAAATGTAACTGCAGCCGGTTTGACCTGAATATAATCCAAAACTTGACGGCCCGAGCTTCATGTGAAAATTGTTGAAAATTGTCATCTGGTAAACAGACAAAAAGATCACGAAAAACATCAAAACAAAGAGACTCGTGTGCAATTCATCAAACATTGAAGACTTCACTCCAAAATCTTAAAAAACTTGATCACTGCAGATTTGATGAAAAACAAACGACCCATGCTTAATGCGAAAACTTTCAAAACACTGTCAGACGCCTACCTGACAGGCAATCATCATAAAAAACAAAACAACAACGGACCTAAAAAAATCTGAAACTGAAGGACGCCTGGTTCTGGTGAAAGTTTTGAGAAAATATTAAAGGGATAGTCCGGCGTAAAATTCATTTAGGGTCAAACACAGCGTAACATCGAGTTAGACACCCCCTTGATAGATGAATGTTGCTGACCGCTTGCTTCTCTCGTTATCCCAACTATAATAACGACCGCAGAATAGCAATACACAGTGGTCTGAGGAACCATAAACAAACCTCAACCAAAACACCACTCTATAGACACAAATAATGCTCAGAACAGCACCTAACTTCATCAACAGTACATATAGGGTCCCAGCCATAGTACTAGCCACCAAACATACCATACATCCGCTGTAGTCAATAATGGACTGGCCTGAAGTCTTGCTACAAACAAGCGGCTGCTGGAAGAGAGAGAGTGAGTTGTGTTTAGTCTCTTTGCTAAAGAAATGAGTTAGTTAAAAAAGATGTATGTTGGCTATATATTTATTTATGGTATATTTCTTTAGCAAAGAGACTAAACACAACTCACTCTCTCTCTTCCAGCAGCCGCTTGTTTGTAGCAAGACTTCAGGCCAGTCCATTATTGACTACAGCGGATGTATGGTATGTTTGGTGGCTAGTACTATTGCTGGGACCCTATATGTACTGTTCATGAAGTTAGGTGCTGTTCTGAGCATTATTTGTGGCTATAGAGTGGCGTTTTGGTTGAGGTCTGTTTATGGCTCCTCAGACCGCTGTGTATTGCTATCCTGCGGTCCTTACTTAAGTTGGTATAACTAGAGAAGCAAGCGGGCGGCAACATTCATCTCTCGAGGGGGTGTCTAACTCGGTGTTACGCTGTATTTGACCCTAAATTAATTTTATGCCGGAATATCCCTTTAATGTGAGAACTTTCAACACACTGTCAGCCGCCTACCTGACAGGAAATCTTCATAAAAAACAACGGACCCAAAAAAATCTGAAACTGTAGATCGCTGACCTTTGAACCTGCCTGGTTCTGGTAAAAGTCTTGAGGAAATATGCTGAGTTTGAGTTACCTCGGAAGTCAGATGTCGGAGCTGAAAATGACGTCACACCCGAGTTCCCAGCGTTTCAGTTACCAGGTCGGAAAAAAGTCTACATCTACAAAAGTTATTTTTATTGATTGCCTTGTCTGAATAAGGCAAGCGCTAAAATGACTTTTGTAGATGTAGCCATCTTGTTTCCACCTCCGATTTTGCTTTTTTCAGACTTTATAAGTGAGACACTGGTAACTCGGGTGTGACATCATTTTCAGCTCCAACATCTGACTTCTGAGGTAACTTGAATGCTAACATATTTACAGAACCCAAAAGTGACTCTGAGTATGTTTCTCTACGCTGAAGGCAGAAACCTCGAACCCTGAAACTTTGAAACATTCCATAAACTGATGAGAAAAAAATCTGTCTTTTTGGGTGAACTGACCCTTTAAGAGCTCACAACCCTGTCTGATCACACTCGCTCATGTTCCCTGTGCCTCCGCCATCTTTGTAGTCTATTCTTGGTCTTTTTCAGTGTTAGGAGGGGAGGGGGCAGCATGCAGGAGGATCTGTGTTTACAAAATCCACAGCTGTGCTGCTCCTCAGACGTCTACAGAAAGTTCAGGAGACAACGAGCAAACAGGAAGAAGTGCAAGTGTGTGTGTTAGGTTACTGAGTACACGGGTGGCGTCCCCACAGGAGCTCGGTTAGATGGTGCTCTCAGTGTGTGTGTGACTGATGGTGTGCACCTGTGGGTGGGGGTGGGCCTGGCCGTGGCTGGGTCTGCGCGGGCCCACACAGTTCTGCTGCTCACTGAGCAGAGTGGTGGTCTCCCCCGCCCCGTCCTCCGAGCCAGCAGAGGGCGGGGAGTGCTGCTGGGACTTGGAGGAGGTCAGAGTCGGGTGGGGGTTGGAGGTCGCTGTGGTCATGGTGGACGAGGGGGTCTGAGAGATTGAGGTGTGGTTGCTGGGAGGGGGAGTGGCTTGCGGCAGAGACTGGCTGGGTCTACGGCCAGAGGAGGGCGTGGTTTGGGGTAGAGAGCGGCTGGTTGGCGGGACTTGAGTGTTGGATGGCTGGCGCTTCACAGGTGGCGTGGCCAGTGGCAGTGGAGCGCGGGTCCCCGGTGGCGTGATGGGGGGCAACGAGACAGACGTGTCCAGGCGAGTGTGGCTGCCGTCTGGGGTCTGTGGTGAGCTGTCGAGCCTGGACGCCAGGAGACCGTTCTGATACTGAGCACGAGTGATCTGAGGGCAGAAAACACCGTCAGTGACACTGCAGAAAACACGCTCAGCTAACAGAGTGCTCTGGTGACCCCCGGTGGAGCTAACCCTGAATGTGCGCATGTTTCCTGTGAGTCCTTAGGTTTGGCTGGTTGTAACCCGTACAACTCCTGGCTATATTTTGCTATTATTGGTCCGCCTGTTTTTTTTTCTTTATTAAATCTATGTAGCAACTCGATCCTTTCAAGCACAGCAAATATCTTTTTTTTCAGGACAACCTCAGCTGTCAGTTTATGGGTGCAAAAAATATGTAAAATGAACGAGACAGTAGATTCAGAACCATCAAAGTCAACCAAAAAACAAAAACTGAAATTGATACCAACAGTACTTTGCTTAAAAAACACATAAATCTACAGTGAACAAGCTTTTTCTCACCTGCACATCATTCTGTTAAGTCTTGGCTATCAGGAGAATAAATATTAGGATTGAAACAAACACACAATAGAAACTATTTATATATTTACACTAATTTTTCAGGCGTTTTTTTTTACTATTTACAGTTGTTTATGACACTCCTTGAAGCAGTTCCCATCTGGGATGAAACAGAGGACCACGTCATACTGCTCATAATCTCTTCTTTGCTTGTTTCCAGACATTTAGGACCATTATTTCTTATTTTGCAAACAAGCAGGGAACTTCCTTGTCTCTTGTCGATCTTTGGTTGCCTCTTATTGGACACTACCATCAAGGGAACAATAGAAGAGGAATAGACGGGTTTCTTGTGTACAAACAATACTATGTGCGCGTGCAACCAGGGGGCAAAAGCCTGCTTCAGAGTAAACTGATATCAATGAAGATGCTGTATTGTTTTCAAGTTCTCCCTGACACAATTGCAATAAAATGTCATTTCATTGAAAAATCACTTTGTCTTTCATTGCATCAAAATCAGAAAAACACTTAATACTTTATTGCAGGTTCATTCCCATTCTTTACATATATGTTTTCCATTTCAGCGTGTTACAAGTTCTCAACTTGTTTAATTCATCCTGTATTTCTTTTTCTCTTTTTTAAACACTCATGAATAAAGAAAATACGAAAAAGGAAATAATAATAATAAGAGAAGGGGGGGGGGGGGGGTTTCCTGTAGTGCTCCTGAGTCTGTTTTGCTGTTGTTGTTGTTTTTTTTAATACATATAATACATAATAATATATAATATATTTCTATATTTATGAGACCCATTTACTCTAGTTTCTTGTGAATTCATCTTCACAGTTCCTTATTTTGTAGGTGATTCCTTCCATGTCTTTAATCTCTTCAACAGTTTTTTTCCAGTCATTACTTGATGGTGGCTTTAGGTCCAGCCATTTGCGTGTGATTTGTTTTGATTTGTTGTAAACAGATATTTATCTCTCTCTCTATCTATTTCTGATGGGATAATGCCTAATAATATATTAATTGGGTATAAGGGATTCTTCAATCCAAATGTATTTGCTATTTCCACCTTTACTGTTTCCCAAAATTCTTTCAACACTGGACAGAGCAAGAAAATATGGGCATGATTGGCTTCCGTCTCTGCAAATTTCCTCCAACATTCCGCACTGCCAGCTGGTCTATATTTTGATAGGGTTTTGGGTGTTAAAAAAGTCTTCATGTTAATTTTCCAAGCAAATTCTCTCCAATACTTTGATTGTGTTGTCTTAAAAATTCTTTCACATGCTTCATTTCAATCTTCTCCTGATATTGTTATTGTTAATTCATCTTCCCATTTTTCTTTCATATTATCAACATTAATCTTAATTTCTTGCATAATTCTATAAAGTTTTGAAATTTTACCCCTTTCACTATTTTTATTTTTGCTCAAAAAGTCTATTATCTCATGAATTCTCTGTCCCTGTTCTCTTTGATGTTTCATAAGATAACTTCTAATTTGTAGGTATTTAAAAAAATGATTATTGCTTATATCAAATGTGTTAACTAAAGTTTCAAATGAATCTATTGTGTTATTTTTAATTATCTGTGAATACACATGTAATCCCTTTCTAGCCCATTCTTCTGGAATTTTACCAGTTTTATTTGGCAGAAAATCTGGATCTCTGGCTATCTCTCTCAAATATATACAATTTTCATCACATTTATACATTTTACGGATACATTTCCAATTTGTTCAAGTGTTTTCAACACATGCATTACTTCCGCTATATTTTTGAATATGTTTTAAACTTAAATGAGGTAATGTTCTAATTGATATTAAGGTTAATTGTTTTTCTATTATTTTCCATTTTGTTTTAACCGAGTTATTCATCCATTTCATTATGATGTCTATTTGAGTAGCATGAAAGTAGGACATTAAATCTGGGAGATTAAGCCGTCCATTTTCTTTGGTTTGAGTTAATAAACTGAATTTTTTCCGTTTACTTTTATGATTCCAAATAAAATCAGAGATCATTTTATTCCATCTTTTAAAGCTACTATGTGGTATGGGTATTGGCAGAGTCTGAAATAAAAACAGAAATTGTGGAAGAATCATCATTTTAACACTTTCAACTCTACTCAGTAGTGATTCAGGTATTACCCTCCATCTATTTAGATCTTACTTCACTTTATTCTCTAGAGCTTGATAGTTGTCTATATACAACGTTTTTAAATCTCCAGTGAGGTAAATTCCCAAGTATTCAATTTTTTTTAAAATCCCATTTCAGTTTATATCTTTCCTTGATTTCTACTGGTAACTGTTCACCAAGTGTTAATGCTTCACACTTACTTTCATTTAATTTATAACCTGAATATTTACTATACTCTGTAATTGCTTCCATTAAATTTGGTAGCGATTGGTCAGGTGATGCCAGGTATATGATAACATCATCTGCATATAATGCCAATTTGTGTTGCTCCTCCTTTATGGTTATTCCTTTAATGTTATTATTCTTTCTTATACTTTCTGCTAGTCCTTCCATACATATTGCAAATATCATTGCCGAGAGCGGATCACCTTGTCTTGTGCCTTTGTAAATTGGGAATCTTCTAGATATTGTGCCATTCACTTTCACTCTTGACATTGGATTTTTATACATTGCTTGCAGCCACTCATTAAACTTCTCATGAAAACCAAAGCTTCTTACAATTTCAAACATAAACGGCCATATGACCCTATCAAATGCTTTTTCGGCATCCAACGTCAAGAGTAGAGGGGTTGTGTTATTTTTATGTGAATAATCTATAATATTTAGAGTCCTTTTAATATTATCTGATAACAGCCTACTCAATATAAGACCACACTAATCACTATCTATTATATCCGTCACTATATCCTTTAATCTATTGGCTATGATTGATGTTATTATTTTATGATCTGTATTCAGTAGGGATATTGGCCTATATGAGGAACATTCTGTTGCATCTTTACCTGCTTTGTGAATCACTGTTATTATAGATGAGTTCCAGGTGGCTGCCCATGTTCCTGTTTGTAATGCACAATTGTAGGCTTTTAGAAGTAATGGTACCAGCTCTTTTTTAAAGGTTTTATAGAATGCATTAGTATATCCATCATCACCTGGTGTTTTGCCCATTTTTAGTCGATTTATTTGTTGTAGTATTTCCTGTGCTGTGATATCCTTAATTAACTTCTCATTTTGCCTTTCCGCTACCCGTTATAGATTCAGCTTATTTAAGAAGCTTTTCATTTGTTCCAAGTCCATATCACCTGTATTGCTGTTATAAAGTTTTTCATAATATTTAGCAAATTCTTCAGCTATTTTTTCTTTTTCTGTTAATATTTCAGAACCATTTGCTGTCTTCAATTTAGTAATATATGCTTTTTTACTCTGAGTCTTAAGTCTATATGCTAGGAGTTTTAAAGAATTTCGGCCTCCATTGTAGTATTTCTGTTTAGTGTACGTCATTAACTTCTCAACTTCTTCCATACGGATCATGTCCAGCTCGTTATATCTATTTTTTAATTCAATTTTTAAGTTGAGTTCATTTGTGTTTTTTAATCTGTCTTCCAAAATTTGTATTTTTTGTTCAAGCGTCTTCTGTTTTTGTTGTTTTTGTCTTTTCTTAAATGCACCGTAAGCTATTATATGTCCTGGTAACACAGCTTTAGCTCCTTCCCATAAGATAATTGAATTAGTATCTCCATCATCATTGATCTCTAGATATTCTTTTAGATCTTTATTTTTTTTTTTTACAGATAGCTTGTTTTTTAGAAATGAGTTGTTTAGTCTCCATATTTTTTCCCCTTCCTTTATGTTAAGATTTATAGTTATCGTTACGGTATCATGGTCTGATAAGTCTCTTATACCAATTTTGCATGTTTCAATCAGCTCCACATCTTTTTTAAACATGAGAAAATAGTCAAATCTATTAGAAGTAGAAGTTCATCCGCCATGTGTCTACCAAGCCAAACTCTGCCATTGCACCTCTTAAAATTGATGATGTTTTATCGGCTCTATGTGCTTTATTATTTGAGGAATCCAATCAGGGGTTTATTGTCAAGTTCATATCTCCTCCCATCAAAGTAATTCCTTTAAATTTAGCTACTAGCATTTCAATTATTTCTGACATAAAATCTGGGCCCAATTCTGGTGGATAGTATACATTTAGAAATGAAACTGTAATTGACTCAATTTTACCAATTACTAACACAAACCTACCCTCTTTATCAACTATACAATTCTTTTCTTTAAATGCAATGTGTGGTTGTATAATTATAGCAACGCCCCTCTTTTGTGATCCATATGAGCTGGAGTAAATGAAACCCTTACCCAACTTATGTTCTTTTTTCGTCAAATGAGTTTCTTGTAGGAAGAGGACATCTCCTCCAGCTCTTTTCAACTGAAGGAGAGTCTTCCTCCTCTTAGTTTGATTATTAAGTCCATTAACATTTAATGAAATTGTTTTCAACTTTGTCATTTCACCTATTAACAATTTTAAATGATTTTGAATTGCTTTTGTATTTCGTAGTGACAATTTGAGTTGGGTAAAATCATGAGCACCATGGGAAAGGGGAAGGGAAGGAGAGAAAGAGGAGAATAGAAAGAGAGAGAAAAAAAAAGAAGGAAATAATAAAAGAGCAAGAAAAACAGACAGAATTCATTTGTACCACCATAAAATCAGGTAGTCTTTATCGATGACCATTATTGAGGTACTCAAATGGTCCTTAGGGTGGACTGTATCAGCCACCAAGATATTCTTTCTTAAACTTGCCTTTGCCGCTAGCGTTATATACTCTCTATTCCCCTTTAACGTACATTAAAATAAATTCAATTCAATTCAATTCAATTACTTTACATCATTATGTCTACTGCTCAAGTCTTAACCCAGAGACAAAATTAAATAGGTCCACATTGTTCTTCAGATGATTCATTTATTAGTCCCTCCCCAAAATCTATTACTTAATCATATAATTGAAATATAAAAGTAAAACAATAATATTAATTAAAACCTTCAAGAAAACATTTCACCTCAAAAATTAATAGTACAATATAACTTAAACTTTCTTGCTTTCTAATTTATCATTTTGCTTTTATTTCATTATTTTAATCAAGGAAAAAAATAAAAATAAAAAAAAAATAAATTAACAAATAAATCAATAAATAAATTAATTAATTAATTAAATTAAAAAAAAAAAAAAAAAAAAACGAAGTTCAAATAATATATAGGGTCACATTAATTCCCCTTTATCATGCCTACATACCACTGCTTAATTGTTGTAAAATAAAAAACAAAAAACAACATATTAGATATTAAGCAGATTACCAATACTTTTTAAGTTTTCGTTCCATCTCTAATCCTACTGTACCAAAAGTGTACCCACTCTTCCATTCATAATAGAGAATTAAAAAATTATCAAAAACAGATTTAAGTTAATACCTAATCAGCACTAATCTGATCAAGCAAAAAACTAATCAAGCAGAGAAAAAAAAAATCAGAGAAACACTTGCTGAAATGTCCATGAATTTCACTCAACTTACCAGGTTGTGTGATATTGTTTTAGATGTTCCTAATATCAGGAGCAGGGTCGTAATATTTGCTGAAATGTTTGCGCAGACACTTGCGATTTCGTTGCACAGAAACCCATCTATACCGTGTATCTCTACGGGATGAAAAGTGTTCAAAAGCTTACCCTTTTGTCAATCTATCGAGGGTTTCCAGTCATTTATACACCTCCCACAAGGTTAACAATCCAGCCACAAATATAGGTGTTTGATCAGAGACGTTTGATGGAAAATCGGCGGTGATATACCAGTGAAAACATGATAATTTATCATCTTGTTGTGATAAAAGAAGATCGCTATCACTAAATGCCGCTAATCTCTTCCAGGTTTGACAAGCTGTTTAGATGACATCTTTTTCTGTCAAACTTTTGACCAATTACATGGTCTCATATTCTTCTTCTGTTGTTCCCTTGACAGTAGTGTCCAATAGACGGGTTTCTTGTGTACAAACAATACTAGGTGCGCGTAACCAGAGGGGCAAAAGCCTGCTTCGGAGTAAACTGATATCAATGAGGATGCCGTATTGTTTGCAAGTTCTCCCTGACACAATTGCAATAAAATGTCATTTCATTAAAAAATCACTTTGTCTTTTATAACATCAAAATCAGGAAAACACTTGCTGAAATATCCATGAATTTCTCTCAACTTACCAGGTTGTGATATTGTCTTAGATGTTTCTAATATCGGGAGCAGGGTCATAATATTTGCTGATTGTTTGTTTTGCCGATTTGTACGGTTTACAGCAAAACAGCTCCTTGTCAATTTCTTTCTCCATTGACTCCGCTAGTAAACAAATAAGAAATGTCCTGATTTCTGCCCCAAGGCTGCGTGCGCATAGCTGTGATGACACTGCACAGAAAGCAGGCTTTTGCCCCATGCACCTAATATTGTTTGTACACAAGAAACCTGTCTATTGGACACTACTGTCAAGGGAACAGTAGAAGAAGAACATGAAATCATGTAATTGGTCGAAAGTTTGACAGAAAAAGATGTCATCAAAACTGCTTGTCAAACCCAGAAGACACTAGCGGCATTTAGCAATAGCAATCTTTTTTTATCAAAACAATATGATAAATAATCATGTTTTCACTGGTACATCACTGCCGATTTACCATCAAACGTCTCTGATCAAACACTTATATTTGTGGCTGGATTGTAAACCTTGTGGGAGGTGTATAAATGACTGGAAACCCTCAATAGATCACCAAAAGGGTTAGCTTTTGAACACTTTTCATCCCATAGAGATACACAGTATAGTTCCTGAGAAATTGTAAACAATATTAATGGTGCCACGTGGGATTGCCGGCGAGCGAGTTGTAAGTGTTAAGGCTGAGATGAGACTGTCATGTTTATGGAGTTTTTCTTATGCAGATGATGTTTTTATTTATGACATTTCAGGTAATACCAGCCCCGGTCTCCCCTATTCAGCAGGTGTGAGTTACCTTGACAAACTGCAGGTCCGTGAGAGCTCGCACGCAGAAGTCCGGTATGTACTGAAAAGGAGTCCCTGGGATCTGGTTGATGCTCCCACCCACCGAGCCGCTGTCTGGAGCGCGCTCAGTGCAGCTCAGAGACGCAGAGCGGTTGAGGTTGCCCCCGTGTGACGGAGAACGAAACTCTAAGGTCAAGAGAGAAGAGAGTGAGCGAAAAATACACACACAGTAAACGCACAATTTCAACACAAATGGAGAGAAACACACCCAGAAACATCAGAAGAGATGTGAGGTGATGAAAAATGGAGTTAGTGAGAGCTGGTCACACTAAAACACACACCACACACCACACACACACACACACACACTCACACACAAACACACACACACACATTTATATCAAACATTAATATTAAGTATATTAGTGTCAACATCATCGCTGTGCTGTGATTGGCTGATGGAAGAGATGAGCTCGTGTTTGTTATGTAAAGAATGCGACAAACATGCCATGCGGTGAGGCAGAGTGCATCGTTTGAGCATCTCATGACCACAGAAAAGGACCGTCTGAGCTCGCAGGAGGAGGAGCCTCTCTGATTGGCTGCTTTTAGTGATGTCATGGAAAAAGGGGTGAAAGTGCAGGAAGAGAGTTGTTGTCATCACTTCTTTCCTGAAGGGTCGTGTTTAAGGAGAGAGAGAGCGACGGTGATGGTCGGAGAACGAGTAAGGGTCTTGTGCTTAAGGGAACAGTTCAACATTTTGAGAAAACACACGTTAGCTTTCTTTCTTTTTCTCTTTTCTTTTTTTTCTGTCTTTTTCTCATTCTTTCCTTTTTTCTTTTTCTTTCTTTTTTTTCCCCTATTTTTCTTACTTTCTTTCCCTTTTCCCCTTTTCCTTTCTTCCTTGTTTTATTCTTTTTTCCCTTCCTTCTTTTCTTTCTTTTTTTTTCAATCATTCCTTTCCTTTTTTCCTTTCCTTTCTTCCTTTCCTTTGTTCTTTCTATTCCCCTTTTTTGTTTCTTTTTTCTTAATTTCTTTTTTCCCTTTTTTCTTTCCTATTGCCTTTTTTCCTTTCTTTTTCCCTTTTTTCTTTCGTTCTTTCTTTTCATTTTTCTGTCTTTGTCTTTTTTCTTTCTTTCTTTTTTCTGTTTCATTCTTTTTCCCTTTTTTTCGTCCTTTCTTTCATTCTTTTTCTTTTAGATTTTCTGTTTTTTCTCTTTTTTGCCCTTTCTTCTTCCCTTCCTTTTTTTCTTTTTCCTTTCTTTTACTTTTTCCCTTTCTTTCCTTTTTTCTTCCTTTTTTTTCTTTTTTTTTATTCCTTTCAGAAGATTTGCACTGCTTTTTTTTCTTTGCAGCAACTTTACAAAATAAATTACGGCTACTAATGAAAAGTGAGTCTAACTATGTTTAGGTTTTTACAGCTTCATGAATCTTGCTTGTCTCCTAGAGTTTCTTAAAAGGTCAAATTAGTTTCACAGCAGTGCTATAGACCTGAAATTGACAGTTTCCTGTGATCTAACTGTTCTAATAATTACTGTATGATTATTTTTAGCCAAATATTTACACATCATTTTAAAAGAAAGACTATTATCTTCAATACAGGTACAGTTGCAGCCCTTACACAAACATTTTTTAATGATTCTCTGACTGAAAAGCTTGTAAACTGAAACAAGATTAGATTTTTTTAAAATATTTATTAAATATTTTATTATATAAAAATCAACAATTAAACACAAATTTGTAAAATCAACTCTTGAAAGAAATCAAACAAGTGTAATTCTCAAAATGTTGCACTTCTCCTTTAACCAGAGGTCTACAGTCAGAGTTTCCCTCTGATTCAGCTCGCTGTCCGGCCTGACCGTAGATCAGTGGTTAAAGGGAGGAGGCCGGTCAGAGGATTAGAAATTAGTCGCAACACGCCAAGAGCCCCATCCAGCAAGTTTTTTTCTAACTCTGCAGCTGAAGGTTCTGGACCACTAGTCCTTGGTCTGGGACTTGAACCAATGATCTCTTTAATCCGTTTACGCTAATGAGGGTCTCAAATGTCTTAAAATCCATAAAAAAAAACTAAATCACATCCAAATATTTTTATAACTTTTTTTAAAACACATCCTGCACAGGCTCTCCTGGTGCACTCACCATGTTTGCATCAGTCTGCACCCTCCATCTTCAGACCAGATTCAGAGAGCCCCTTATTTCTATAACATCCTGTCCCCTCAGATCACTGAATGGATGAGAGGCTGCAGATCCTCCACAGACGCTGATAGCGTTAAATACGTTCATAAAGGACTTTTAAACCACACTGTACTCAGGTAGAACAAATGCACATAAATCTGGCCCTATATCCTGATAATCAAGTCCTCTTCTTTGAGGACCAGTGTGAGCCCAGAAACTCATGAACAAGCAGCAAAAAGCGAATTAGACTTTCAAAATAGCAGACTGCCTTTTACTTGTTTTGTTGTGTTCGGTACTTGCTGGATCAGGGCTCTGAAGATGATGGAAAAAAAGGGGAAAATGGTGAAACCGCCTCAAAGAGGAACACCCCACCCCCACCCTCACCCTCCCTCCTCTGGCCCATGCGAGTGTTTACCTGGGAAACGAGAGAACAGAGAAAACCTCTTAAGAGAGAGGCGTCGTGGAGGGGGGGACGCCACTGATGGGGAGAGAGGAGGGGTGACAGCTGACAGAGGAGGGGGAGGAGGGAGCAGAGAGAGAGAGAGAGAGATGGGAGTTTGTTTATTTGATTTTTTCATTTTGGCCAAGAGTGAATCCCTCATCTGTTCATGCTGTTGAGATAAGATATTCCTTTAATAGTCCCACAGGGGGAAAGTCTGCTTTTGCTGCACAAAAACATCTGTAAATTTTCTGTCTCAGGTACAAAAACAATAACATAATACTTCAAATACTGCGACACATGGTTACCAGTTTGAGCGGGTGTACATTTTATAATTTGGATCCAATTTAGAGATAATCTATTGTGATTTCTAAGGGTGTAACTTTTCTGCAAATGTCTTTGACACCGTGCTCTTTCACTTAAAGGGATATTCCAGCACAAAATTAAGTTATGGTCAAACACATTGTAACACCGAGTAAGACACCCCCTCGAGAGATGAATGTTGCTGACTGCTGGCTTCTCTAGTTACACCAACTTTAGTAACGACCGCAGGATAACAATGCACAGCGGTCTGAGGAGCCATAAACAAACCTCAACCAAAACGCCACTCTATAGCCGCTTGTTTGTAACGAGACCTCAGGCCAGTCCATAACGGACGACAGCGGGGTGACGCAGCTCAAGCAAGAACATTTATGATCATTTCTTTATCATTTCCTTGAAGTAATAATCGTCATATAAATCATTTTGCACTGCAGATGTGGTAGTTCTTCTGCCTTAGCGTCTCGGTCTGATTGCATTTCCATGAAGAAATGATCATAAATGTTCTTTCTTGAGCTCCGTCACCCCGCTGTAGTCTGTAATGGAGTGGCCCGAGGTCTCGCTACAAACAAGTGGCTGCTGGAAGAGAGTGGGTAAGATGTGTTTAGTCTCTTTGCTGAAGAAATTAGTAAAAAAGAAAAAAAGGTTAAAAAGATGTTTCCTCCCCTCCCATTCTTCAGAGCAATGGATGGCCGATGTACAGAGGCTGTCAGAGCATTTCATTGCACTGTTGACCTTGACTAACATGCACATGACAAATAAACAAATCTTGAATCTTGAATGTTTGGTGACTAGTACTATGGCTGGGACCCTTTATGTACTGTTGATGAAGTTAGGTGCTGTTCTGAGCATTATTTGTGGCTATAGAGTGGCGTTTTGGTTGAGGTTTGTTTATGGCTCCTCAGACCGCTGTGTATTGCTATCCTGCGGTCCTTACTAATGTTGGTAAAACCAGAGAAGCAAGCGGTCGGTAACATTCATCTCTTGAGGGGGTGTCTAACTTGGTGTTACGCTGTGTTTGACCCAAAATTAATTTTACACCAGAATATCCCGTTAAAGGTTCCTGCTTGTACTCAAAATTTGATTCTCTAAAATAAATAACAGTGGATAAACAAATAATGCAGAAAGTCCCTGCAAGCAAAGACATATTTGTATTTATAACAGGTTTATTTATGAGGACAAGCACAAAGGTATGTTTTTGTGTAAGGTCAGGTCTGACTGCTGCCTCAACCTGAAACCTTTGACACCTGTTATTTTCTATTTTTCACCTCCAAACTAAAACAATCTGCTGAAGAGCTTCCAAAACAAAGTATTTGTCATTTTCGCACCAAGAATCTAAAGTAATAAAGCCCAGTTTTATGTCGTGTTGAATTGTTACCACAACTATCGTGTCCATCAGGTAACATTAGGGTAACATTTCGGAAAAACAAACCTAGGAACCAAGAAAGCGTATAGTTTAAAATAGAAATGAGAGTAAAGCATGAGAAAAGGAGTTGAACATAAATACGTTCAAGGCTGCACATGCACATGAATTGAGCTGCAGGACATAGAGACAGAAGTGTATCCAGGACAGAAAAAAGGAGGGAAACAGGGACAGCAGAGAGGAAGGGAGAGAAGAGAAGTCGTCAAATTTATCTGCAGTTACACTTCTGAACCACCAGGAGGCAGCGGTGTTACAGTAACAGTGGTAAACAGCAGCGATGTGGTGTATGTACTGTAGACTCTGTCTGCAGGCTGACACCAGCAAGGCCTGCTCAGGTAGGCTTACATCATCCACCTGGACGCACCGCACAGCCTCCGCCCTCTATTTCAGCTTCTCCGTGAGTCAGCATTGAATATAAACCGCCTGTTAGATAACCCAGCTGATGTTTGACCTGCTCTGTTTTAAACTTACTGTTTTAATTTCACTCAAATCAGACTTTTAAGCTTCAAAGGTGCAAATAAATTCTGTTTATGTGCCACGGTGATAACTCTGCAAACTCTTGGCTTGTTGGTTTGTTTTATGCACAAAGGTGACAAAAGTGGAGGATCCCAAAACTGCAGTGAAACCTCATCCTGAGTCCAGCCATCATGACTCTTCAAAATAAAAGTCTTTAATATTCTTAGTTACCATGCAGCGCCTTGTCTTCTGTGGCGTTTTACACCTGCAGCATCTCGAACAATGGATGTTCTCCTGAATCCATTTTTAATTAACCTCATTAACTTTTTAATTAACTCCATTAAGGTAAGCTGCTGCAGTCTCGATGAACGGGGGGGAACATCTCTTTAGAGTCTCTGCTTGATTTCTCAGGTGTCACCTGATCGCTCCAAAGACATGAAACGAACTTGGTTTGACCTCGGTCCACAGGAAGTGTTTCCTTATTTGGACTAAGCCTGTTGACATTTAGCTCCCGTCTTCAAACAGAAAGCTTGACTTTGCTCTCACTGACGCAGCACTTTGTGACACAGAGTCCACACAGACTCTCTTTACACACTTAATCAGATTCAATTATTATAAACTTTAATTAGTCATGACATACAAACCTATCCATTCATTAATGTGTAAAAATCATAGAAACCACATTTTTAATGTTGACTCTGATATATATACTGTATATATCATAATTCTTTATAGTAATAACCATAACACATTATAAAGCATTTTATCATGACTTACAAAGTTAGGTATTATAATGTGTTATAACTGTTAACAACAGTTGCATTGCATTATCTATGTGGGCATTGTCAGTGAGTTGGTAACAGTTATAACACATTATAATACCTGACCTTGTAAGTCATAATAAAATGCTTTATAATGTGTTGTGATTATTTCTATAAAGCATTATGATCATTTATGAGTGTTTATAACTATAGTTACACAGTGCTATAACGTGATTATAACGCATTATACATATATTTAGAATGCGTAGAGATAAGCGACTAAGTGTTACTGATCTCTCAAACTCAATCACAAAAAAGTTTTTACACTTTTTAAAATATTCATGAAAAATTAAATTTAATGACTTCTACATTATTTTTAAAAAGTGAAAAAAGTGCAAGGACCACAAATGATTTGACAAAGCGTCCTAACTTTAATAGAGCTGGGGTTGAAAATGGATCTTGTGTCGCAGGTTTGACTGAGAAGACTTCCTAGTTTAAGACCACAGAGGAGGGGCAGAGGGAAAAACTGAGACCTCAGAGTCACTAAAACTGAGAAACCAAACACGACCAAACAAAGAAAACAGAAACTGCACATTTCAGCTTTACTGAATTCAAACTAAGGGCCTTGTATTTCTGTTCCTCTTAAAACTTCATGTGTGTGTATTTGTGCATATGTCCTGTTTGTGTGTGTGTGTGTGTGTGTGTGTGTGTGTGTGTGTGTGTGTGTGTCGGTCTCACCTGCTGTCGGCGAGCTCAGAGCCATGACCCCGTAGTACGAGAAGGGACCGGTTTCAAACTTCATGTTTTCATTTCCAGCTTCCACCTCCACTCGACCCTAAAACACAAAAACACACACACCATAACTTTATTTAAAAAGTTTATTTACTTAACAACACCTGTTTGTGTGTGTGTGTGTGTGTGTGTGTGTGTGTGTGTGTGTGTGTGTGTAAAAGGAAGCTCTGCAGTCGTCTCCTGTGGCAGGTAACAGAAACACTTTGACGTCCTATGAATATTACATCCCACCAGAGGCCCAGTGTCTTTTTACATAACACACACTCACACACACACACACACACACACACACACACACACACACACACACACACACACACACACACACACACACACACACACACACACACACAGATAAATGTATAGATTTCAGGTGTGAAACAGGAGCAGAAGGGCTCAGGTTGCTCTCTGAGTGTCTCCGGTCACTTTATCCACACCTGAGGCGTCGACAACAAAACCTCAGAGTGTGAAAACACACACGCACACACACACTCCAAACACACCTCCTAATAACAGCCGCAGCATTATGATGTTTGAACACAACGAGCAGAACACGATAATACTTTATTTTGAAAGGATGAGGGTAGGTACAGCGTACAGACTAACTGAACAGGGTGATGGAGGCTTGAGCTCCGGCTCAAACAGCTGTTTTCTTCCCTCATGGACTTTTGGAAAGGGGGAAGGTGGAGCGTATGGTCTAATCCTGCAGGAGGAAGGGTTTCTGTTTCCTCTCTGTCATCACCTCCTTCATGAAAATGGAAAAAAACAGGGGAGGTAGAGCGTACGGCCAAACCCAGAGAAGGGCTGTCTAAACTAAACAGGCTGTCTAAATTTTACACAGATTTTTTTTTTTATTAGTATTCTCTCTAATCTCCAAAAATTAGGGGTAGCGCAGGGAGATAGAGTGTACGCCCTAAACTGGCCAGGCAGAAACTGGCTTGAGCCTCAGTACAAACACACTTCTGTTCTTCTGTCTCCCTTTTTCTTTGCTCCTCCATATAAAAAATTGGAAAAAAGGGGGAGGTAGAGCGTAGGGACCAACTAGTAAGGGGCATTAACAAGCCTGAAATACTTCTATTTTCTTGTCTTATTTACTCGTCTCTTTTCTTCTTTTCTTCCTCACAGAATTTGGAGAATAAGTGGAGGTAGAGCACACAGCCTAATCCTGCAGAACGAAGGGTTTCTGTTTCCTTTCTGTCATTACCTCCATGAAAATTGAAAAACAAAAACAGGGGAGGTAGAGCGTACGTCCAAACCCAGTGGGGGGTTGTTTGAACCAAACAGGCTGTTAACAATTCTACAGAATTTTTTTTGTCTGTTTTCTCTTTTCTCATCTTTCTTATCTCCTTAAAAATAGGGGAGCATGGAGAGGTAGAGCGTATGCCCTTAACACTTGTACTTTTCTCTTCCTTTCTTTTCTTTGTACCTCTGTAAAAATTGGGGGGAAAGGGGGGAGGTAGAGCGTACAGACAAACCTAGTAAGGGCATTAACAAGCCTCACAAATACTTCTATTTTTTTGTCTATTTTACTCCACTCTTCCTTCTTTCTTCATCACAGAATTTGGAGAATAGGTGGAGGTAGAGTGTACAGCCCAATCCTGCAGGGAAAGGAAGCTGAGCTCTACCCCAAACTGGCTCCCATAAGTCCTCTACAGATTTTAAAAACCTGTTGTCTACCTTCTGCTTTTTCCTACCTTAAGGGGAAGGAGGGATTGCAGAGCGTACAATCTAATCCTGCAGAGGGATACAGAGTTGAGCTCAAAATAAAGTGAGTTCTTTACATTTTTCTTGTAATTCTTTGTATTTTTCTCTCTTATCTTCTTTTCTGCCTCATAAAAACAGGGGAACAGGGAGGAGGTAGAGCATGCAGGCTATTCCTACAGGAGAATGAAGGTTATACTCGAGTCAAAACAGGCTCTTCTGTCATTTCTACTTCATAAATATGAGGTACAACCTAGAAAAAACAGGCCTCCTGTCCTGGTTTTCCTTTCCAGTCCTCTTTCTAATCTCTTTCCCTCATCTTAAAAAATCCTGCTGTTTTGTCAGCTCTCGTTGGACCTGGGGAAGATAGCCTCCTTTTTGGGGGGTTTGTGGTCTCTCTCTCACTCTCTGGTGGCAGTTTTGTGGGTTATGGAGTTAGTAAGGCAAATGGTTCCTTTACATGTAAGAAATGTCTGACTTCAGCATCTTCACAGTTTAGCTACAATCCCAAATTAGAAAATGGGACAGTCTGTGAACTGCAAAACTGCACCAGAAGAGAGTAAAGCTGGCTCTCTACAGCCCTCCCTCCTCCTCCTCCTCTTCTTCCTCTCTTTCTGCTGCAGAGGAGGGATTTACTGACAGACACTCCTCCACTTCATCTCCACATTCATCCCTAACCTTCGCTCAGCTCTTTATTTCACTCTCCATATGCTCCACTCCTGATTTTCAACACCGTCTCCTCTCATCTGCTTTTCTTCTTTTCCATCCTTCTTAGCCCTTCAATCCTCTCTCTCCCCCTTCACTCTCCCCCCCCCTCCGGTTGTCTCCCTCTTATGTAAGAGGATCTATTAGTGAAGGTCGTGCAGAGAGGAGCCCCTCTGACACACCGAGATCACACAACAGGAGCTATTCATACAACGAGACTTCAGTTTATCATGAGCTGCGCGTCTGATTTACTCCTCAGAATATTTAATTTTCATAATTTCCCCATTATTGACGATAAAATTTACAAAATTTCTTGATAAGCGGATAACTGAAAAAAATTTCACTCAGTTTTGATGATGAATAACATTGTGTCGAGGAAAAGTGCCAGAAGTCAGGAGTGTTGCTTCATGTCGAAACTGAGAGAAGTCTCCATAGTTACCCGGAGTCACGCGAGTCTTAAAAGGTCAACCTGTATGGGTGCTAATACCAGCTCCAGACTGACAAAGCGTCCCGAGATAAACCCGTGTTTGTTACCAGCTTAAACAGGTCGGCCTGTGCCGTCTAATCTCACTCCATTATGAATCTTCGACCTGCTAGCACCGCTCTGACGTGGACAAGTGAAAAAAAACCACTTCAATTAAACCCAATTAGATCGTTGTGATGGTGTTAACATCTCAGCTTTATCATCACTGATACTATCCTTAACTTAAAGGATGAAATTGGCTGATCGTCTGCATAACAAATGAGCTGACTCAGACCAGGTGTACAGTAAAGGAGTTTTTAAGTCCTGACATACAGATGTTTACGTTGTTATCATGCTACCAGGCCAACAACACGGTCTTTAAGAGACAGTTTGGTGTTTTTAAAGTGGGTTTGCATGAGTTACATGTAACACTACAGGGCTTGACACTAACTTTTTTCACAAGGAGCACATGTGCTCCTAAGTTGAAAAAGTAAGGAGCACACAAAAAACTTAAGGGGCACAATGAGATTGATCAAATATTGTTTGTCTCATTGGTCGACAGTACTACTTACTATACTAAGTACTATTATTTCAAATCAATTTTAGGTCTTTTGGTTACATGACATGGAAGCTATTGAAGAATATGTTCAAAATTTGCCTTTAAATTTAACACAAACATTTTTAGAGGACCAATTAGGGAAATAAAGAGTGTGTTTTATTGTCCGACCTTCGAACTATTATTTGAAATCGATTTTAGGTCAATTGGTTACATGAAATGGAAGTTATTGAAGGAAAACAGCCTTTTATGAGAACATTAACCAGTAATTTATTGATGGTCCCTTATTCAACACCTGACGTTGACAGCGAGGGTGCCGAGTAGGTTTAACCACTCTGCTTTTGCTATTCCCGGTTATAAAGAGTGAAAAGACACCGGTAGATCTGCAGTGAAAGTGCACATGTGCCCCAAAATTAATTTTACAATTCGCACACATCTATTTTCAGGCGCAAATGTGAGTGAAATGGTTGCACTTTTAAGCCCTGCACTAGTTCATGTTTGGATGTAAGTCGTTCGACTGAGAAACTGCAGGGAGAAACGGAAGCAAGCTAAGCTACAGCTTTCTGCATCATTTAGCTAACTTAGAGGGACTCTAATCCAAACACTCATCTCAGTTTAAGATCACACTCTTTTTCAGCACTTTCACGTCAGAGAGCTCATCTTTTTGTGCTCTATTTGCAGACATGAAACACACGCTCTTCCACCTTCAGCACACTGATCAGCTGTTTTGGTTTGCAGGCTTCAAAGAGACAAAAATACGACCAAACGAAACCATCAGCGCTGATGGCAGAGAAGCTGGTCTATGATGGGGTGAGGTGACTTATCCATCATGGACCTGGAAGTTTCTAGTATGTAGAGTGACTCCTCAGACCATCACACCTGTGGTCTAACCTGCTCAGTAAGTAAACTCCCACTTTTCCAGAAACCAGCATGACCCACAGACTATGGTGCAGACTGGGACTTGAACCCGTGACCCTCAGAGGTTTCCAGTCAAAGTCCCCACAGACTGATTTACTGTGTATGTTTGTGTGTGAAAGCATGTGTGTGTGTTGTGTGTGTACCTGCAGAATGAGGACGAAGCAGTCCACGGGTTTCCCTCTCTGGTACAGGAAGTGCAGCGGTGAGCGTTTGTCGCTCTCGTTGAACTTGAGCTCCTGGATGACATCGGGGTGTCTGAGGATCCTCAGCAGGACTTTCTCTGTGATCTGAAATGGACTGAACAGACTCACCTCTGCAGGGGGGACACAGAAATACAGAACATCAGTCTGAAATGATCTAGATTTGTATATTTGTCTAAAGTTTAAAACCACAAGGTTCATGGTTTTTCATAATTACCTTTAAATATTCATATTTTTTATTGGGTTTCTGGACATTATGTACTTTTTCCACTTTATTTACACTGAAATTGACATCAACTTCCAACATTTTTAATCACAGTTATTCATTTTTTGTACAGTGTTGTGCATTTAGTGTACTGCTTTTCAACAAAAATGAAGATTTCAAAGGTCATCTCCAAGAGTAAAGTCGTTAATTCCAAGAACAAAGTTGCAAGTTTACGATAATGAAGTTGTCCATTTACAAGAATAAAATAATTAATTTCAGAGTATAAAGTCATTAATTTTCAAGTTTAACAAATAAGTTTTAAGCAAAATAGTCCAAAATCAGCAAAAAAAAAAAAAAAACTTAAAATAAAAGTGATGACACGACAAGAATATTAAAGTCATGAATTTAAAAGAATAAAAGTTAAGAGTAAGTTTGCAAACTATGAGAATTAATTTGTTAATTTTGAATTTACAACAATGCAGTTGTAAATTCATCAGGATAAAGTTGTAAATATACAAAAATTTAATCCCAAATTGACAAAACATTGAAGTATTATTTTAACAAGAAGAAAGCTGGAAATTTATGAGAATTAAATGTGAATTGCAAAATATTGTAAATTTACTCGTAAAATTCATAGGTTTACAAGGATCCAGCTGTAATTTTATAAGAGTATAGATATATGTTATCAGAGTAATAGATGTAAATCGAAGTCATAAATCCGCAAGAACAGTAAAAACTTAATAAAACACAAGTAAATTTACAAGTAAAAGTTGTAGATTTACATGTATTTAGTCATAATAGATAAGAATTATTGTGTAAATTTACAAGTTCAAAGTCCTTAAATTAAGTTTCTAATCTACGCGTAATCCAAAATCTTCTTCATCTCTTTATTCATTGAGAGTAAATGATTTAGTAAATAAAAAATAATCAAAAGAAATAAGAGTTTTTTTTTATTTAGTTTTAATCAAACTGATAATATCTAAGAAACCACTGAGGCTTAGTGTTTCTTCGAAGGTCAGTATGTGTTAGCCTCATAGTGTCGATTGTTAATCCAGAAACTCTCCTGCTGTTGAAACAAACCTGTGCGGGCTCACTCTCATATTAGCCCCACCCCCCAGAGCTCACCTGTAGCCAGGAAGCGATGAGCTGCCAGCATGAGCTGAGGTGAGATCTTTACTTTGATGTCACCGTCGTTCTTGAAGGCTGAGAAGTCGGGTTTGTTTTTATTGGGGTCGACCTTTTTCCTGTTCCTGTTGTCTGCTGCAGAGGGACACAAAAAACATTCACTTAGATATAATTGAAAAGGACAACTGGACTTACTTAAGACGTTTTGCCTGTTTTCAGATATTTTACTTTATTTTGTTACATTTTAATTGAATTTAATGTTTTATTCTACTTTATTTCTATCTTATCTTTATTTTATCTACTCCATAAATTGAAATAATGATACAAATGAAAAACTGTCTTGAAACCTGACAAATGAAAATGTGGACTTTTTGGAAACCATGGACAATCTGTCCTGCACTAGAAAGATTAAAGTGTCCACTCAGCTCGTTCTTAGCTCCCAGTCCAAAAGGACAACTGGACTTACTTCAGACGTTTCACCTGTTTCAGATATTTAACTTATTTTTTTTTACATTTACACTTCATTTAATTTAAAGTTTAATTCTATTTTGAAAATTTTGAATTTTGGAATTTGAACTTTTGGAAACTATGGACAACGTGTCCCCCATTCACAAGAGAAGAGGGACAACCCAGCTGGTGCTTAGCTCTCAGTCCAAATCCAGCACCCCTGATGATGGACAGGACTCTGAAGTGAAAGTCACCGCATGAGATGTTTTGCCTGTTTCTGATATTTAACTTTATTTTTTTTTTTACATTTACATTGAATTAAATGTTTTTTTCTATTTAATTTATTTTTCATGGATTTTTTTTCTACCCTGCAAAGGAGTGGGGAAAGTGAAATAATAATGCAAATAAAAAAAACCTGAAGAATGAAAATTTGGGATTTGGTCTTTTTGGAAACACTGAGTAGAGGGACAACCCAGCTCGTTCTTAGCTCCAAGTCCAAATCCAGCACCCCTGATGACAGACATGACTCTAGAATGGAAGTCACTGCTTGGAAAGGACAACTGGACTTTCTTAAGATGTTTCGCCTGTTTCAGATATCTAACTTTACTTTTCTGCGTTTACATTTTATTGAATTTAATGTTTTATTCTACTTTATATCTTTTTTCTTTATTTTATCTATCCTGTAAAGTGAAATAATGACGTGAATGAAAAATTGTCCTAAAACCAAACGAATGAAAATTTGTAATTTTAGAATTAGTATTTTTTGGAAACTTTGGACAATGTGTCCTCCCTTCAAAAGACTTGAGGGACAACCCAGCCGGTGCTTACCTCCCAGTCAAAGTCCTGCACCCCTGATAACAGACAGGACTCTGGAGTGGAAGTCACCGCATGGAAAGGACAACTGGACTTACTTGAGACATCTCAAGTAAATCCAGTTGTCTGTTTCAACGAAGAATTGGAAATCACAGATGCTGCGTCCTCAGTTTTAAAGAGTGGAGGGTCTTCCATGTCTGTGAAGGCTCCAATAATGCTGAAGAAGTGAGGTTAAACATCTCCAGGATGTCAGTGTGTCTGCCTTCCTATGTGTTTGTGTGTGTTTGTTTGTGTTTGGGGCTTTGACTTCAGTATCTGTGCCAGGACCGGCAGCAGGACACGCTGACTCACTGTAGAGGTCAGACTCATCCAGGATCTCCGACTTGATGATCTCCTCGATGACGTCCTCCAGCGTCACCAACCCCAGCACCTCGTAGAACGGATCTCCCTCCCCTTCGTTGTTCACCTTCTGGACAATGGCCAGGTGGGATTTACCTGCAGGGAGGAGAGAGGGAGAGCAGAGGTTACAAAGAGACCAGAACCAGCTGTAACAGTGATTTTATCCTTTCCACACCCTCATAAACATCTCCAATAAAGTGTTGAGTCAGAAACTGTCGGTAAAGTAGGGCAGAGAGACAAGAAGAAGAGGAGAGGGTTTGAAGCTGCTGTTCTGTTGGATCTGTCAGTGGATTTATCCCGACCGCTGGGAGGACAGATTGAAGCCTTAAAATAGCCCAGACTGGACTAAGAGCTTTGAAGAGAAAGGAGCAGGAAGAGGAGAGGGCCCAGAAGAAAGAGAGATGGATGTGAGGAGGAGGAAGAGGAGCAGCGGATTTATCCTCTCCTCGTTAAAAATCTGCAATTTTGTTCCTGCTGCTCTTGGCTCGCTGTAGACATGATGTAAGATCAGCGACAGCTGCCAGAGCGGAGACATTTTATCCGCTGAAGCTGTGACAGTCAGGACAACACCTCCAGCTATTTCTGTCTCTCTGCTGTGGGAGACAAAAGCTGCAGAAACACTCGAGTTTCAGGTCAGGGGCGTGTCCGAACTACAATCAGAGCCACGGGGCGAGGGTACCGATTCAAGCAGGGGTGGCCTGAAGTCTGCATGAAGATTCACTTAATAACATTATCTATTAACTTAATCATAAATAACAAAAACAGCTGCATCATCATTATTATTATTCAAACTTCATTTAAATAAAAATCAGAAAAAAGTTCCTGTCAAACTCGAAGTGAAACCCTCGTGTTTTCATTCTGCTGAAGCTGATCTGCTGACCGTGACCTCTGAACCGTCTGTGCAGACAGTTCAAAGGTCACACGGTCAGCTGATGAAGAGGAAGGCGATGAAGAGGAGGAGGAGGAGGGTGAGTCATCCCGTCAGTCTGTTACACACAGTGCTGAGTATACAAACGGTGCTAACAGTCCCAGTTCTGTTCAGCGGGGACAGTTGGCGCTGACATGGTAGCGGTGAGGATGAGTCATCATAACACACACACACACACACACACACACACACACACACACACTCAGAGACAGTCTGACGCTGCTGCAGACTCTCTCAGCTCCTCTCTGCAGATCTAATTCGGCTGTTTCTGAATGTGAAGCTGCTCCTGTCTCAGCTGCAGCTTAAAAATTTCATTAATTCACTAATTCTGGAGTTAGAATCAAATATTGGCCTGAATTTCTGCACAAATCTGTCTCATCAGCTGTGTCTCATCATCAAGTTCTGGATCTCTACAGTCCCAAACAGGACAAAGAGACGATGCATGAGCTCAGCGTTTAGGGGATATTCCGGTGTAAAATTAATTTGGGGTCAAACACACTGTAACGCCGAGTTAGACACCCCCTCGAAAGATGAATGTTGCTGACTGCTTTAGTAACTGCTTTAACAACTTTAGTAACAACCGCAGGATAGCAATACAGAGAGCCACGCGCTCAACCAAAACGCCACTCTATAGCCACAAATAATGCTCAGAACAGCACCTAACTTCATCAACAGGACATATAGGGTCCCAGCCACAGCACTAGCCACCAAACATCTTTTTAACTTTGACTAATTTCTTTTGCAAAGAGACTAAACACAACTCACCTACTCTCTTCCAGCAGCCGCTTGTTTGTAGCGAGACTTCAGGCCAGTCCATTACAGACTACAGTGGGGTGACGCAGCTCAAGGAAGAACATTTATGATCATTTCTTCATGGAAATGCAATCAGACCGAGACACTAAGGCAGAAGAACTACCGCGTCTGCAGTGGAAAATGATTAATATGGTGATTATTAGTTCAAGGAAATGGTAAAGAAATGATCACCGCTGTGTATTGCTATCCTGCAGTCGTTACTAGAGTTGGTATAACTAGAGAAGCAAGCGGTCGGTAACATTAATCTCTCGAGGGGGTGTCTAACTCGGTGTTACAGTGTGTTTGATCCTAAATTAATTTTACACCGGAATATCCCTTTAATGCACCATGAATGCATCTTTATCAGCACACAGACCTGCATCTACCAGGTTGTGCTAAAGTCAATAGGAGGACTTCTTTCTAGAGCGATTGGAGGGATAATGCATAAAAACTACACTATCATAAAGATGTGATGATTAAGCAAAAACGTGATTCTGCAGTATTAGCGTGATAAAGCTGCGTATAAGTGTCATGTTTATGTTTGTGCACAATAACGGATGAAAATCTGCATCTACTTCGACAAAAACAAAATTTCAAAAAGGTGCGTCTAGATCCATTTACTGCAGACTCGTGAATGTACACCCACTCTGATTTATAACACATTTTCACACACATGCATTTCTTCAATCTGACCAGATGAATGCAGTTTTCTGTTCCTGCTGCATGTGCTGTTTTTTTTTCTGCTCGGATGTCTTAAAATAGCCTCATCATCATCATCATCATCCTCCTCATCATAATGAGCTTTATTCCTCTGCAGGTCTGACATTGTTGTCGTGATCACTGCAGCTTTGTCCCCACAGCATGGATATCAGCGCTGAGATTTCCCACATTAATCCCCTGCGCCTGAATGTGCAGATTTTCATCCCATCAAAAGGTTAGACATGCGGCGGCTCATTTCACTGATTAGTTCCTGCTCAGAGAGGAAAGACGACCATCAGCAGCTGCAGCAGTGGCGGCGGCAGCGATGATGATGACGGGAATAAAAACCTGCTGCAGGATCAGGATTAGACCACACAGGGCTGAAGCCAATAAATAAAACAGAAGAGGAGAAGAGGCTCCATGTTTGGACTGCAGACAAACACGACATGGATGTTGTCTGGGCTCACACTTCCTCCTCAGCTCCTAATAATAAGATGCAGTTGAGTTGTTTTGCAGGAAATCTTGGGAGCTGATTTTGTAAAGATGTAAATAAAAACTGTAAACTCACTTTTTGGTTTATTTCTCGGCAGTAAATAAAAGTTGAGAAATAGATTTAGGTTTGGACAGTTGGTACAAATTGCAGGCAGATGTGAGGTTTGACCTTGCAGCAGGAAGAAGAGGGCATTATCATATTTGATTCATCAGATTTTTACGGTTATGTTCATGTAAAGATGTAGATAATTCAACAAGATTATCATTGTGCAGCCGTGCCGATAAAACTCTCTGAACTGGATTATTGAACCCTGAAACTCAGGGTCTGAACAAACACAATGAAGCTCAGATTTTTACGCTCTTTTTCACATTTGGGCAAAGCCGGTTCTGATTCAGGAGGACAGACAAAGAAAAAAACAGGTTTGTGGTGGACGTACAGAGGCAAGTCTGCAAAAACTAAACAGTAACTGAACAATGTGTGCTGTGTTAAGTTGATGTAGGTTTTGTTTTGTAATACAAAGTCATGAACGTACTTTATTTATCTATAATTATCAGGTACATCTAAACAAGTTGCAAGGAAGCTTGGTGTGGATACTTATTATTTAAAGGTAAGGGGTGGGAGTTCAGAAGTTACTCTTCTTCTCACTCTTTTTAGAATATGTATTTCTTTTTTTTAAGTTTGAATGTTTTGCCTTTTTTTCTTGTTTTATTCTTTTAAAATATTTTTGGTTTGCATATTCGAAAAAAACTTAAATCAATCAAAAATCAATCAAATACGAGGTGAAGATAAACCCGGACTACAAAAACAATAACAGTCGGTGTCAGTAAGAGTTTACCTCATTCGCAGTTTGGACTTTTTATCTCTAATATCTGCAGTTTTAAACGGTTTTAAATTGGAATTTCTGGACTTTTCTTCAAATAATCTCGACTTCAGTTTATTTGCTTTAAATTAAAATGAGAAACTGAAGACTAATGAGTCCAGTTTCATCAGTTTCCTCCTTGTTTCCTTCAGGGGCCTATTCTACGGAGCAAGTTCACTTAACCCAGCATGGTAGCCACCGGTCTTGTTAAACGGTCTTACCCATAGACTGTATATACTATGGACAACCTGGTTCCGCCTACCCCCTGTATACAGATTTGAAGCCAAAAAGCTCTCGGTATTTCTGGGATTTTTCTTCATTTTCTGAAACCCGCGCTGTGCGGTAGCGTTGTGCTACGGCCGCGCAGTCGCAGAGAGTCGCTGTGATGACGCTCTGTTCAAACAGCGTGTCCCCCGGGAGAGCTACTCAATCCCTGAACGCCCATAGGCTGTATCAGGTGTCAATCATAGCAAACATGAACCCCCTAATAACTTTTAAAAAACGGAGCTTCATAGAAAAAAGAGGACTTGAGCACAAACCAGTCTTAAAATAACTATATGTCAACATCACAAGCAGGGGGGAGAAAAATTTATGTTCTGTGTAATAAATTTCTAAAGTTGGTCCACAGCCCCAAAAGCTTTGCTGGCGGAGGCGGGATTTATGACCTGTACTGCAGCCCATCAACAGAGGGTGCTGTTCTCGGAGTGGCTTCACCCAGCGAGGAGGCAGACGGCGTCCATTCTATATACAGTCTATGGTCTTACGATGCTGGTTATCAACCTCGTAAGTAGATCCAGCTTTGCTATGAGCGCGTGCACGCATGTAAGGCGGAGCCCGCCGCCTCTGACCAATCGCGAACATGGACCAGTCTGGAGCGTCACAGCAGGCCAGAGAGCGAAGGACCGCGTACTTTACAAACGAGGAGCAGGAAACGATCATGAGAAAGTATGAAGAATTCAAATCTATCATATACCGTCGCCGCTGCAAAAGCACGGAGGGAATGCTGGAAGAAAATTGCAGACAGTCTCAATGCTTAAGTATAGTGCGCAAAAAATCTTTGATGCCATTCTCACCCTGAAATAGCACTGTTCAACATGCGCTTTTAACATGCACCAGACATGTCTAATTCATTTCCAAGATGAATTCATTCATTTGTTCATTCCTACCATGTTTACATTTTTTGTGTGATATGTCGGCCATATGAGCCTTTTATAAAGGTGGTCATCCGGAAAAGTAAGTGGGTCCGTGCGGTCCCTAAAAACTCTTGTGCGCCAGAGTGCTCCTTGGACAATGCGAGCACCGTGGTCTATAGGATCCTCCAAAAATGGACAAGCCATTGGTCAGTGTGCGGGGTTTTGATACTCGGTGAGTTCAATCTGGAACCTAAGCTGCCCCGGAGCAGGTTAGCCATTCAGTGTTTGTTGCCATGGAGACTCGCCTCACTAAGAAGTGAACCCGTGTCATAGAACAGGAAACCCCGAACTTACCATCGAAGTTACCTCGCTAAGCAGTAATCCTGCTTCGTAGAATAGGCCCCAGGACGGGTTTTCAAACATCAAGAGGGCTTCAGCCTTTGATGGCTCGACACAATGAGAGGACAGAGTGTTCCTGGACCTGAACAGCATTCATGTTTAAACCAGCAGCAGCAGCTTCCTCTCAGACCGTATGAACCGTTTCTGTTTGAGCTGAACATCCAGATCTGCAGTTTAGGACGTTTGCACTGACCTCTGCAGAACTGAAATCAGCCGCAACTGTAAGCACTTTTAAATCCAGGTTAAAAACATTTCTCTTTTCATGTGCTTATGGCTGAGATCTTTTTAATAATTCTACACTTTATCTTTTGCTCCTGCTTTTAACTGTGTTTTTGTTGTTGTTGTTATGTTTTGTTTTTATGTAAGGCACATTGAGTTGCCTTGGTATGAAATGTGCTATATAAATAAAGATGCCTTGCCTCTGTCTGGATCTAATCCAACGGGGCGTTTCCACAAAGCAGTCTGGTTCGGTTTGGTTCAGTTTGGAGGGTCAAACTGAGGGTCAGACTGGACCCTTACCTTGGGCGTCGAACAAGATCAGCTGTGCAAAATCAAGTATCTGAATTCTTCTCAAAACAAAAACCTAAATTTGTTTTTCTTTCTTTTGTTGTTTTCACCGTCACCAACATTAATCTCAGGTGCAGCAGGAACCTCCTGGTACCCCCATGCCCTGCTGTTCAGGAGGACAGGGAGGGTGGGCTTGTATCGATGGGATATAAAGGGGGCAACATGGAGGGGGCAAAAATCAAATATCTGATTGACCCCCTTGAGTGTTGTTTTTCTGTTTCAACATTGAGGGCTGCTGCTCCATCCTGAGCTGCTGAGACATCTTGGGCAGGTCAAACTTATTAAGTCAAACTTTAATTAAAATTCAAGGCAGTTCAAGATCCTGTCAAGCCGCTGGTTTCCAGTAGAGTACGATTTTTTATACTGTGCTCTAGGGCTGGGTGATAAAACGATAATAATATATACAATAAAAATTTATTTCCCTCAATACCAAAATAAAACATGGTCAATATGCTTTTCAATAGTCGGCATTCTGCCATGTCTTGGTAGACGATGGGAATAGTAGGGCTGGGATGATATGCGTTTCTCCCGACTCAATTCTTCTACGATTTTTTGGATGCCTATTTGATTTAGATTGCGATTCTACGATATTGTTGATTTTCTTGATTTTTAGTCTGCATTTTAAACACCAGTGAAACTGTTAAATGATTACGATTGTCTACTTACTATTCCAGGAACCATATTTCTACCAAAAAAATACACATCACATGTAAGTCAGTTTTTAAAATTTGTTCTTAAAGAGAAAAAAAAGGGATTTTTGAACATAAAAAGCGATTTAAAAATTGTAAAACAAAAAATTGCGATACTTATGTGAATTGATTTTTTTCTCCCATCCCTAACGAATAGCCAATGAAAAGGGGAGTTTCTCCGGGTTCACTTCATGCTGAACGAATCATGTGCTGAATTAGAACCAAGTAGCAAACAACTGCGTAGTAGCAGGTTGCATGCAACTACAGCAACCAAAAAAATATATCATGATAAACTTTTTCCCATATCGCCCTGCCCTACTGTGCACACAAATTATTAACTAATGCATGTACTGTCATTATTTTGTGCACAAAGTGGAGATTTTTATCCTTTGGAACTAAATAATCATGACAAAGAGGCAGAGATGCTTCTGTTATCATTAAATATACATCTTAAAGGAAAAGATCCTCTAAGTTCAGACATGCTGGGAGGTTAACTTTGACCCCTACAGAAATCGTGTTCAGCCTGTCTCTTTACTGTCTTTTCAGCTTTTGTTATACTTTTTTTTTGTTGTACTCTTTTCTTAATTAACCTTTTAGGCCTTTTATTGTTTTATCTCTTGCTCTATTTTATCATTACTATTATTATCAGTATTACCTGTTGTTATTTTATTATCATTGTTGATATTGCTTTTTATATTTACTACCCTGTCTCCGCTTTTGTCCTCCCTTTTAGTTGCATTTTTCTTTTTTCTTATCTATTTTATGTTTTTATTTTGGTCCTCATGGTCTCATTTTATGTTGCATGGTTCTTGTATTGTTTTATGAAAATGGCCTTCAAATCCATTTTAACTGAGCTGTTTTTAAAAGTGCTATACCAATAAAGTTATTATTATTATTCACCCCACTTTTCAGCCTCTTTAATAAAATTGATCTAGTTTTCTGGAAATATTGGACCTCAAACTGAGGAAATGTAGCGATTTGAGCTTTTCCTGGTGCGTTTACATTAACCCGAGAACACTATCGCCGGGTGATTTTCACCCGACCAAACATGTTTACTTGATTTTTATGATGTTGTGGTTGTCTGAGTATCATGGGTCCCTGGGTAGCTTCAGCATTTCCTTTGACATCTTTGAAGGCATATTTGTTTCCCTGATCCAAAACCTGCTTTTTCCTACAGGCACGTGTTCCCGAGTGATTTTCACCCGGCAATAGTGATAGAGGGTAAAGTAGGTTTGGGTGAATTTGATAGCTGCATGTTGGCGAATCAGGTCAGTAAGAGTCGTCCTGGAATTTACATGCTATCTTTATTTAGCGCAATGGTTATGAATAACTATCATAAAGTAGTGATTTTAAAGGGAATTCATATGGTGATAAGAAATATTTGAGTCAAGTGGTCATTTTTTACTCACTCTAAATCTGCCATATTTTGGTTCTCTCCTGCAGCTGTTATTGTGCCAAGGACCCACTCACATGCCCCAGGAATGGGTGGAAAAGAAACTAACTTAACTATACAGTTCATTTATTCAAAAGTAGTATCGGATCGGTATCGGATATCGGCCTATACGCTTAGCCCAGGTATCGATATCGGATTAGATCAGGAAAAAAATGGATCAGTGTATCTATTTCAGTTATTTTGTTGCATTTTTATATGCGCCCCTCATGGCACTTTTTTCCTCCCTTTGGACATTACACAGTTAAAAGTAAAAGAAAACTGCTTTAATTTGTCATGTATTGTCCTATTTTAATATATTTTGATGACAAGTACTTTTTGTTGGGTATGTTAAATCACCCGGTGATAGTGATGGTGTTACTAATTTTAGCAAGAGTGTTCTAGGGTTAATGTAAACAGACAAAATGTTGATAAATGTCCTTTGTCCTACATGCATAAATATGTTTTTTTTAACTTCTGACGAACATCTCTCAAACTCTGTTACTGCTCTTATTTCTTGTGCTCATGATTGATTGGTTTTCCTGCTGATTATTTGAGTTTTTCTCTCACTAGATTCCAAATAAAATCAGATCTGATTGGACGAACAGTTTGTCCTCGAGTTCAGCGTGTGCAGATTGACTCAGCCGTGCATCATGAGACTATTTTTGTTTCACTTTTGAGTCGCTGTTTGCATGTTCTGTGTGTTTTCAAGTGGACTCTGATTTTCCATCAGTCAATACAGCTGATCATTACTGACAGAGGGGGATAGAGGGAGGGGCGAGTGTGTGTGTGTGTGTGTGTGTGTGTGTGTGGGGGGGGGGGGGGGTGAAGTGATGCCTTAAACAAACAAACAAACACACCTGAGAAATAAAACTCAGGTAGGATAATAAACATGCACATGCGCAGTAGAGACGCACCTTTCTTGAACTCCTCCAGCATGGCGTCCAGTTTGGTGTCATGGAACACGAAGTGGACCGGGTGGTTGTAGAACTTGGTAATGGTCTTCAGGGTGGTGCAGTCGTCGGGGTCAACGAAGGCCAGGTCCTTCACGTACAGGATGTCCACGATGTTGGACCTCTCCTCGTCATAGACCGGGATGCGCGTGTATCCGCTCTCCATGATCTCCGACATGGTGTTGAAGTCCAGAACCGCGTCCGCCTGGATCATGAAGCAGTTCCCTAAGGGGGTCATCACGTCCTCCACGGTCTTGGTCCGGAGCTCGAGCGCGCCCTGGATCATGTTGAGCTCCTCTTTGACCAGGTCGTTGTAGGGCTCCGTCACCTTCAGCATCTCCACCAGCTTCTCCCGGTTGTAGACGGTACCGATCTCCTGACCCAGCAGGACGTCCAGCAGCTTGCTGACCGGAAACGACACCGGGAAGGTGAGGAACATGAAGAACTTGGTGACCATGATGGTGTTGGCTCCTACGGCCAGCCCGTGGCGCGAGCACAGCGCCTGAGGAACAATCTCCCCGAAGATGACGATCCCGATGGTGGAGGCCACCACTGCCCCGAGCCCGGACCCGATCAGGTCGTCCAGGAGGATGGTGAGGGTGGTGTTCACGAGGACGTTCCCGAGCAGGAGCGAGCACAGCAGGTAGTTCCCTTTGCTGCGGATGGGCTCGATCTTCCGCGCGTATTTCTTCTCCTTGTCGGTGCCGCAGCTCTGCACGATGCGCAGCTCCATGGGGTCGAGCGCCATCAGGCCCAGGTTCAAGCCGCTGAACATCCCGGAGAGCACGAGCAGACAGGCAATGAGGATGACCTGCAGCCACAGGGGCAGCAGAGACTTCTTCTCCTCCACCACCAGCAGCCTGCCGTCGCTGTCCCCCAGCTGCACCCACCTGCTGCCGCCGTCCGCTTCCACCGTGCACGCCGCGTACTCTTTCTGCGGCTCACTTTTGCGCAGTGGCTTCACGTGCACGGTGAGCACCCCGGACGTGCCTCTGCGGCTCACATTCATGAAGGTCCCTACGCTGATGTCCTTCGTGAAATCAACACAAGTCCTGTCCATCATGCCACTGCCTCCTCTGGCAGCCGCCACCGCCTCCTCCTCCTCCTCTTCCTCCGCTCCGTCCTCCCCCTCTGAGAGCTCCATGAAGCGGATCTGCGTCCAGGCGCCCGAGTGGAGCTGCACCCCGTAAAACCGGAGCTGCACGGAGCTCTCCTCTGTCACCTGGATGACACCGTCGTCATTGGTACTGGCCGGCTTGTCGCTCCTCTCCAGCCGCATGCCGAGCACCTGGCTCCCGCTGCTGCTGCTGCCGCCACCGGACCCCGCCGCCGCAGCCGCTGCCGCCGCCGCAGCCGCCTCCGTGCGCCCCCCGACCGCGCTCCACAGGCAGATAACGACAGTGAGAATATAACCCTGCTGCCCGCTCCATTCTGTCGCCATGTTTGTTTCACTGCTCGGCGACCTGGGGCCTGACGTCATTTACTCATGTCCGAGCGGCTCCGCCCCCCCGCCGGCCCGTCACACACACCAACACACACACACACCCATTATCACCGCCTACCGGACAGCGGCAGGTAGAGCTAATAAACACACACACACACACACACACACACACACACACACACACACACACACACACACACACACACACACCCCCACACCCACACACCTACCTACCTCTTATTTTCAGAACAGTCTCTGGTTTCTGCTCTTTTTGTAGCAGGAGGAGGTAAACACACCCTAAATATGCACGCAGCCTACCTCCCCCTCCCTCCCCTCTTGTTATTGTCTGTCAGGCTCGGGGCAATGCGGCACACAGCGCGTGGATGCCGCCACAGCGTTTTATCGTCCAATTGCATCCGGAGCCAGCTGCTCTTATGTAAAGGCACATGGCATCATTGCAACCCCCATCCTCACCCCCTCCTCCCCCACTCTCCTCATCCTGCACCATCATCCCGCATCCCTTTGGCACGGAGCCTTGCGCGAGCTGCAGACACTCAGCACTTTGCGCTTGCAGTGTCTCAGCGTTATGGTGATAATTTCATATTTTTAATTATATCAACATTACAGAAAAAAAGATATAACACTAATTAAATAGTCTGCTTCATGTTTATTAACCCTCCTCAGTAATTATTAGCTCCTAATACTCAATGATCTGCAGTTACATAATACTGACACAACATGTCTGTCTGCTCCGCTGGCTTACACGGAGGCGCGCCCTGGTGGTCAAAACAGTTAGAGACACTGTTAGAGAGATTAATAATAATATTATTATTATTATTATTATTATTTTTTTTTTTTTACAGCAGGTTCAAAAACATAGGATACAAATTTTAACAAACTTTAAGAAGTTGAACAAACAGAGACTGTTGATGTTTTTAAGAAGAGGCTCCAGACTCATCTTTTTACCCAGGCTTTTTACTAATTGCCTTTTTATATTTCTCTTATTGCAAATGTTAATTTTAATCAAAGTTCTTAGTGTTTATTTTATGTCATTTTATAAATTATCTCTGTTCTTAGTCTTTTTCTTAACTCGTGCCTTAGAGGTTTTTACTTCTTTTACCCTTTTTATATGTTAAAGAGCTCTTACTTATTTGTTCATTTAATATTATTTTCTTGTTTTAGACCATCAGGTTTTAGTCTTTCTTTTCACCATTTTCTATTTTTTATCTTTTACCTCCAGTGTTTCCCAAAGGTAGCTCTTTTCTCACACAATGTCTCGGTGTCAGGCCATGTCTCTTTAACAAAATATCTTAAATTCTCACTCTGTGTGGGTGAGTGAGTGAGTGAGAGAGTGTCTTTGTGTGCGTGTGGGTCCATGGGTGGGTGTGTGGGTCCATGGGTGGGTTGGGTTTTTTTTGCTATTAATTGTTGTTTTTAGCCTCTGTGAGGCACTTTGAACTGCATGTTTTGTCTGAAAAGTGCCACACAAATAAAGTTGAATTTGAAACAGTCGTAAAGCACAGCACATCATCACATGGAAATAAAAACAAATAAAAAACAAAAGCTCAGTTAAAAACATGCCTCCAAATTGAAGGCCAATTTCATTTGTCATAAGGAATCCAGACAAAACAAGAACCCTACAACAAAAAATGAGACCATAAGGACCAAAATAAAAACATAATATAGGAAAGGAAAAAAAATGTAATAAAAACGGGGGGGTAGAAAGCAGGAAACAGGATAGTAAATATAAAAAGACAGTACTAATAATGATAATAAAATCATTAAAAAATAATAATGATGATGGTAATAATAATGATAAAATGCAATAACAAAAATGAGCAGGAAAAAACAATAAAATCAATAAAAGACCTAAAAGCTTAAATAAGAAAAGATTAAAGGTTAAACAAAGGCTAAAAAGACAGTAAGTTGAAATAAGATAAGAGGTAAAAATGATAAAAAGGTAAAAGGTAGGAGTGGAGCAAGCATGTTGTTTTTTGTGGGTGTCAAAGTTTTCTGAGGTAGGTAAGGTCATGTCCATGGATGCATGGGTGTGTGAGGAGGGAAACCTTGGACTCAATCCTGGTGGAAACAGGAAGGCAGTGGAGTGATATGATCATGTTTGCACATTCTCATCAGGATCCTAGCGGCAGAGTTTCGAATGTATTGTAGTCTCTGCAGACTCTTGCTAGGGGTCCCGATGAGAAGTGCGTTGCAGTCGTCCAGCCTGGAGGAGATAAAGGCATGAACCAGCTTTTCAGCATCTGAGAGTGAGAGAAGGGGGCGGATAAAAATAATAAACAGAAAACATGCAAAACGACTGAGTCATGTGATTATAATACAGGAATAAGAATGAATGAGCTGTTTTGTTCGTACAGTTCTGCTTTTATTAAAGATAAAATTAATATACAAACTCGATGTAACTAATAAATTAAACAGCTACTTTAAATTTTAACATGTTCATGTTTTCATGGAAGTCCTTAAAGGCAAAAACTCAGATGATCAATGAGGTTTAATCACTATGAAATCTCTCCAACATATTTGTGTAAAATACTAAAGAGGAAAGTAAATTAACTCCTCTTATATCTGTAGAGATAAAATTTATGAGTCAGTTAAAAAAAATTCATCTCTGAAACAGGAGAGGGGACATAACAAGCAACTGAACATTGTCACGTGTTTGTTGTTATAATACTCAAATTGGCCACAAGAGGTTGCTGTTCACCTTCTGGTTTTACAGGCTCTTACAGCAGAGCTTCATTATTTGCATTATTTTATAGGGATTAATATGAGTTGAGTTTTTAAAAACTAGGTGGGGTTAGAAGTGCCCTCTTGTGGCCAAAAAGGGTATTATAATAACAAACATGAGCGTCTAAAAACCTGAAATCTCTCTCACCTCTAAGACCTCCAAGAACGATCAAACGGGACATGTAAGACTATAAACCTTCATTTTTACACATTATGAAACATCTGTTTCATTATCATATCAAGATAACATGAAGAGCCTCGTCATACAAGAATTACACATGATCTCCTCTGAATCAGAGTCCTCAGGGAGGAACTCTGCTCCTCAGATCTCCTCACTGAGTGTCATCCTTCTAAAGATGAACATGAGAACTTCAGTCGAGTGTCTGCAGCTGAGCAGCAGGACAAACATTATATATCTTTAATTACAAAAAAAGAATTAAGTTTAAGAGATTTGTTCTTTTATATTTTCTCCATGAAATAAAAAAAGTTTCAAGTGGTTCTGGTTTGAAATGTTGCTGAAAAAAATGCTGTCATCCGTCTTGTCTGTTTCCGGTCTTGTCTGCCACTGGCCTTGTCTGTCTCTGTTCTCGCCTGTCTCTGGTCTCGTTCACTGCAGCCGTCTGTCCCCGGTCTTGTTCACTGCAGCCGTCTGTCCGTCTGGCAGAGGAAGGACCTCAACTTTGTAGCTCACTTTCTTCGATTGTAGGATGCTGTAGCTGTTATCAAAACACAACACATCTGCAGAGAGAGAGAAGGACAGGGTTAGTGGAGAGGATTCAGAAATGAGCACCAGTTCACCGTGTCCCCTTAAAGAAGCACCTTGAGACCTGGGTGGGGTCAAGGATGCTGTATTTGGTTTTATTCCTGTCCTTAAAGGGATATTCCGGTGTAAAATTAATTTAGGGTCAAACACACCGTAACACCGAGTTAGACACCCCCTCCAGAGATGAATGTTGCCGACTGCTTGCTTCTCTAGTTATACCAGCTTTAGTAACGACCATAGGATAGCAATACACAGCGGTCTGAGGAGCCATAAACAAACCTCAACCAAAACGCCACTCTATAGTCACAAATAATGCTCAGAACAGCACCTAACTTCATCAACAGGACATATAGGGTCCAAGGGTCTCAAGGAAGAACATATATGATCATTTCTTTATCATTTCCTTGAAGTAATAATCATCATATTAATCGTTTTGCTCTGCAGACGCGGTAGTTCTTCTGCCTTAGCGTCTCGGTCTGATTGCATTTCCATGAAGAAATGATCATAAATGTTCTTCCTTGAGCTGCGTCACCCCGCTGTAGTCTGTAATGGACTGGCCCGAGGTCTTGCTACAAACAAGTGGCTGCTGGAGGAGATTAGGTGAGTTGTGTTTAGTCTCTTTGCTAAAGAAATTAGTCAAAGTTAAAAAGATGTTTGGTGGCTAGTACTATGGCTGGGACCCTATATGTACTGTTGATGAAGTTAGGTGCTGTTCTGAGCATTATTTGTGGCTATAGAGTGGCCTTTTGGTTAAGCACGTGGCTCTCTGTATTGCTATCTGCGGTCATTACTAAAGTTGGTATAACTAGAGAAGCAAGCGGTCGGCAACATTCACCTCTCGAGGGGGTGTCTAACTCGGTGTTACGGTGTGTTTGACCCTAAATTAATTTTACGCCGGAATATCCCTTTAAGACAAAACCTCTGTGATCACCACAGGTAACTACTTTTTATCCATCTCTCATGTTTCTCATGGTGTGCCACAGGATCTAATATTCGGCCCACTCAAAATATTAACAATATTTGTATATTTTTGAAAATTTGAACATTTTCAGAAAAGAAACAAAAAACTTTGTGTCCGTCAAGCTGAAGGTTTAGTTGTTGCATCGTGACCTCTCTTTTGTTAGACCTTCACTAACTCACCTGTGAAAGAACACCTTTTTTTTTTCTCCATGTTTTTTTTAAGTGTTGGTGACCTTTCCGCTCCACATCTAAACTTCCTGATTATGGACGGGTGATCAACAGGAAAGGAAGCAGCCTGTAATCCAACAATCCTTTAACTGACTAATGAAGTGTGTGGAGACTTACAGACTCCGGGATCCTGGCAGGTGAGGCCGTTATCTTCAGGGACCAGGTGAGCGTTGTAGCGCTCGCTCGGCAGGACCTGCAGCATCTCCGCCAGCTTCTGACTGACACCCTCTTTAGTGCGTCTGTAGACTCCGAACCCGATATCTGCGCCGTCACTGGCAAACTGCCACCTGGGAGGAAAGGAGGTCAAACTTGATTCATCACCCAAATCTACGTTTGAATTTAATCAGGAAACTGAAGTTTACAGAAACACAAAGTGATGAATTAAAAACTGGTCTGCTTCATACCTCAGGAGGCTGCTTGGAGCTTTGACTTCATACTCCAGCTGCAGCATGGAGCCGCGGCTGATGGTCACACTGTTGTCGTACTGAACCTTTATTGAGTCCAGAACGTAGTACGACCTGGGAACTGTTCCGCCATACTTAATCTGAGCATGACCAGATGAGATACAGTCAGACTCAGACCATCAAAAAAGACAACACACAAGAAATTGATCTCAAAACTACATAAAGAAGTTTAAAGATTAAAGGGCATCAATACAACATACAGACCCTTTCCAAAAATTTAGAATCTCATTGAAAAGTTTATTTATTTCAACAATTACATTCAAAAAGTTAAACTTTCATGGATTATAGATTCAGGCCCTACAATGTAAACAATCTAAATTATTTATTTGTTCATTTTTACATAATTTGGGCTTCTAGCTCATAAAACCCACAAAATAGGAATTCAAAAAATTAGAATACTGTGAAGAAACCAGCATGAACATTTTTAAACTCACGGTCACACACTAATCATCTATGAAACTCAAAGCACCTGCACAGGTTTCCCTAGGTGTCATTAAATTGTTTCAGTTTGGTTTAATTGTCTCAGTTCGGTTCAATATGGGGAAGACTTCAGACTTGACAACTGGCCAGAAGAGCATCATTGATACCCTCCATAGGATAGGTAAGCCCCAAAAGTTCATAGCTAAGGAGGCTGGCTGCTCACAGAGTGCTGTGTCCAAGCATATCAATGGAAAGTCCAGTGGAAGGGCAAAATGTGGCAGGTGAAGATGCACCAGCAAAAGAGCTGACTATGGACTTAAGTGGATTATCAAACAGAGAAGATTCATGAATCTTACAGAGGTCCTGAAAGAGTGGAATGAGGGGGGAGTCACAGCTTCAAAAACCTCCACATTCAGACGCATCCGAGAGATGGGCTACAACTGTCAGGTTCCTCAGGTCAAGCCAATGTAGGAAATGTCTCAACTGGGCCAAGGAGAAGACAGACTGGGCTGTTGGCCAGTGGTCCAAGGTCCTCTTTTCCGATCAAAGTGTTCCTTTCATTCGGGAATCAAGGTCCAAGGGTTTAGAGGAAGACGGGTGAGGAACAGAACCCAAGCTGCTTGAGGTCTAGTGTTCCCAACCAAGGGATTCCCAACCAAATATTAAGGACTGACATATCACTTTAAAAACACCATATTTTGATTGATATGATGTAATCCTAATTTCTTTATTTATTTTCTGCAAAAACAGAGAAGTAAATGGTGATTTCTTGACAGTATTCTAATTTTTTGAATCCCTGTTTTAGTGGGTTTTATGAGCTGGAAGCCCAAATTATGTAAAAATAAACAAATAAATACTTGAAATTGTTTAAATTGTGGGGCCTGAATCTATAATCCATGAAAGTTTAACTTTTTGAATGGAATTATGGATATAAATAAACTTTTCAATGATATTGTATTTTTTGGAAATGGTCTGTATATATAAGAAAAACGGGAAAGAGAGGCTGGAAGGATGTTATCAGAGGAGGAATGGGAGGACGTAGATGAAGGAGAGTGGAAAACAACATGCTCCCTCTCATGGAGAGACTATGATTGGAAGAATATTGTGAGATACTTTATTACACCAATACAACAGAAATCTGGAGCCACACAATGTTTGAGACTATGTGGGGAGAATAAGGCCAATTATTTTCATCTTTTTGGAGATGCTCTGGTCTTATACCTTATTGGCAGGAGATAAAGAAGAGTATGGAAAATATTTGAAAGTGCAACTTCCACTTACATTTGAAGTTTTGTATTTGGGAAAAGAGAACCAGGAGATAACAAGGTCAGGAGAAAAATACAGATTTCCAATAATGTTGGTGGCGGCTAAAAAGGCCATCAGTAGAAATTGGCTAAAAACAGATGCACCAAAAAAAGAGGATTGGGTCGAGGTAATGATCGATTTATTTAGAATGTAGAAGCTGACTTTCTCATCTAGACTAAAAACAGATACTTTCAAAAATGACTGGAAAAACTGGGCTGATTTTGTGTCTCAGTTTAGAACAGACTTTGTGCAGTAAAGGTATTGTGTATTGTAGATTATTGATCTCCTTGGTTCAGACTACAAACTTGTTCATTGTTCGTATGTTTATTATGTTTACACTCCAACAGGAGAAAAGAGACGATGCAAGAGAGGACTGAAAATAAGGACATGACTGAAAAGTGTTTCGTTTTACTACACAGTTATTCTGTAACTGTACTTAAGAAGTTTATGTCTATGTCTATGTCTCTGCTCTGCAGTGAAGAAATATAATATACAACTAGAAATTTGTTCAACATATGTAAAATGTTGATGAAATATTGATATGTGAAATTGACACGGCGCTCTCCTCATGCTCTCCTATGTCATATCTTTATGTTCTCACCATAGTTTTGCAGTGAGGGTCTCCATCAGGGTCCGTCAGCTTTCCTCCATAAACTACAGGAAGCTGCTCCGGGTCGATATGTTTGCGTAAAACTTCTTGCCAGTTATCTGAAAAGAGATTTTTTTTTTCATGCATTAAAAACAGACAGGAAGTTGACCATGAGCTCAAAATCACTTCGAAAAGAGATTATGTTTCCTTGGAGACAAAACTATAGTGCCCCTGTTGAATAAATAAAGTTTTAGAATATTAAAAACTGGCTTATTAACATGTGCACAGACTATTCTGAGGTGTTGGAAGGAACCCCAAGCTCCCACACTGAGTATGTGGAGAACACAGATGATGGAGACTGTATTATCGAGAAGATGTTCAGGAGATTAAATTGTGGAAATGATATGATAAGAGAAAAATGGGATAGTTTTGGTCGACAGATGTGTTGACAGACTGTCTTGCTTTGCCAACTGTCTAATTTTCATTTTCTTTTGTGTTTTTATATATTTTATTATTATTACTATTTTTGACCTCCATGATATCTGTTTTATTTGATGTTTGTTTGTTTGTTGTAACATTGAAAAAATAATAAACTTTGAATTATTAAAAAAAAAACAAAAAAAAAAAAACATTGTCTGTGAGGTTCAAACTGGACCATGCAAAGCAGAAACCAGATAGAAACCAGATCCACAACTACGGTGACTAGACAAAGGAGAAGTGGAAAACTGTCCCGAGGTCTCATGAATCAAAACTGGACCTTTATTTTGGAAACCATAGACGCCACATCCTCCACTATAAGAGGACTTGGTATCAGCATCAAGTTTAAAATGAACATAAACAGTTTTTCCACAGACTGTATATACTATGGACAACTTGGTTCCGCCTCCCGCCAGTATACAGATTTGAAGCCAAAAAGCTCTCTGTAATTCCACGATTTTTCTTCATTTCCTGAAACCAGCACTGCACAGTAGCGTTGTACGCATTCGGCGGGAGAGTCGCCAAGAGTTGCTGTGATGACGCTCGGCTCAAACAGTGTATCCCCCGGGTGAGCTACACAATCCCTGAACACCAATAGGCTGTATTAGGTGTCAATCAAAGAAAACATGAACCCTCTAATAACGTTTAAAAATGGAGCTGCACAGAAAAAAGAGGACTTGAGCACAAACCAGTCTTACAGTAACTACATGTCAACACCGCAAGCAGGGGGTAGAAACGTTTATATTCTGTGTAATAAATTTCTAAAGTTTGTCCACAGCTCCATAAACTTTGCTGGCGGAGGCGGGATTTATGTAGCCCGTCAACAGCGGGTGCTGTTCTCAGCGAGGCTTCACCCATCGAGGAGGCAGACGCTGTCCATTCTATATGCAGTCTATGGTATTTTCCAACCCTTGCTGTGTTTTTTTCTCCATTATGTTCTATCAATATTAGGTGTTTGAACAATTTTCAAACCATCAAACTGTTTTTATTGACTTTTTAGGACTGAGGTTGTGACTGCGAGCAGTGCTCCCTTTTTCCAACTCAAACAAAAGTTTCCTTACTTCCTAAAACAACGATCTTGCGCCGTGTTTCCTCGCACAGAAAGTGTTTGATCAGGTTGTATGCCATCGGAAACATTCTCGGAGCTGCAGAGGATCAGAACAAAAACAAGATCACAACCTGGAAAATTTTAAAGCTGCCATCAAATATCAAAACTACGCAGATCTGTGGAGGTACCTTTGATGAGAAAGACTCTTTTCAGCCCCTCTGGATAGTTTTCTTCAAACATGGTGAGGATCTGCGGGACATGAATGAGGAGACGCTGAGCTGCTGTGATTTTCATGTGATGAAATACAGCGATTACAGTGGAAACAGCAGACTAACCTCTCCATACGCCTCGATAGCAGGTTTCCAGATGTGTTTGAGTCCCAGTCCTTCACAATCGTAGATCAGAGTGATGGATTCAATGTTCTTCCCCAACTAAGGAAGAAGAGGAGAAGATTCAGGAAGGTTTGAGGACGGATGAGGAGAGCAGACGATGAATAAAGGGATGGTGGGATGACATCCACATGGGAGAGAGAAAGGACAAAACAGAACAGATTAGGGCAAGGTTAGCTGGAAATACAAAAGGACAGGGGAGGAGGAGAAAGGATGAGAAACAGAAGAGAAGAAAGGAAAAACATAAATAAAGAGCTCAGAAGAGGAGAAGAAAAAAAGATAAAAACATGAAATATGAGTAGACTGAACTTGAGAAGAAAGAGAGAAATGAAGGAGGAGAAAAGAAGCAGGAGATGACACAAAGGAAAAGAAAGTGGGAGTGAGAGGAGGAGACATGATGTAAGAGGAGGACAAAAGAGAGTTCAGGAGGAGAGGATTTGACCCTGACCTTCTCCGACTGCCAGCGACACTCCCTCTGCAGCATCTCTGTGTGTCTGATCTTGGTCTTCAAGAAGTCCTGTTTGGTGGCCGACAGCAGCAGACCTTTGGGATCCAGAGGACCAATCACATCGTACCAGATGGGACTGCCCTCTTTGTCATAGCCACACATCCCTCCAGAGACGTACTTCTCAATCACCTGAGGAGCACATGAGTAATTTGAGTGCCCTGTTAGGTCAAAACTTTGTTTCATTTTGGGACTTTTTCCCACTAATATCATGAAATCAATCCTGTCACACTCTGACTTCGACCCGAATACTCGGACTTTCCTTCTGTAACACTGAGTATTTATCCATCAAATACTGTGACTTAGTTACTTCTTATTTATACTTTATTTTAAATTTATACTCATAATATGAAGACTGTAATTTTGTGCCTAAATAAATTATCTACTGTACGACCAAAACTTCAGGTTTTATCGCCTTAAACTTGATTCTCTGACCTTCATTCTTCCCAATCATCTATTTTATTACTTGTTTCATCATTTGACGGATCTTTTCTCAGGGTCGTTTTCACACGATAGCTAATCCTGACATATCTGTAATTTAGTCTGAGCTCTAAAATGGTCATTTATTTGTCATCTGCAGGTAAAAACCTGTTTCCCACGGAAAATTTACGGCTCAAATTTGAATGCTGTGTCATGTCTCTGCATGTATGTGTACCTCCGGAGGGTTCCAGTCTGATATAATGTTCTCTACATTCATTTTCCTCCTAAAATCCACGTGCTGCAGAGAGACAGAGAAAGAGAGAAAAATCATCAGAAACACTTTTAATAACCTCATCTTCAACCTGCAGATGTGCTGAATATAAATATTAGTGAACATGTAAAGACAGAACTCACCTTCCTGATCATGACTTCAGATTTCTGGATGTTGAAGCTTCTGGCTGCAAAAAGATGTACAGAGAGTTAAAGGAGCAGTCCGCAGAATTGACGTGTAGCAGTGTTGGAACTTCAATATATTTTACTCAAAATCAGACGAATGAAACAGTTCAGAATAATAAAACATGTTCAAAGCACCCGGTCTCTGAGAGACAGTCCAGAACCAAGAATTCCAGAACCCATTATTTTCTAAATCTTGTATTCTGTAACCCAAGATTTAAAAACCCTGCATTCCAAAACTCAGCAAACTGGAACCTAGCACTCAGAGGCATGGTTGACGATTGGAGAGATTGGTAATTATTATGAACCTAGTTTCTATGGTGATCATAGTCCTATAGTGAAATCTCCACAAAGTGAAGAGAAAAAAGAATGGAAAAAATCCATTCACCTTAGCAGCTGCAGGGCCGCAAAAAAAATTGGCCAATGGGAGCCATCCATCCCGGACAAGAAATATTTTATTTGTAGAATGGTAGGGGAAGGTCCTGCCCTCCTTCGCCTCTGATTGGCTAGAAGTGCTGGGCTCTGATTGGTTATTCCATATGACTGTGAAACGTCATTGTCTGGGTTGGATCAGACCTTGGTTTAGGAGATTCAGAAGTGCGATAATGTTCTGTAATGTTCTGTTCGATGTACAGAGCCGACAGCCCGTGTTTGGCTTGAGCATGTGATGACGTTTCCAGCTTTTCCAGCCAATCAGAGGTGAAGGAGGCGGGACTTTCCCCTACCATCCTACAAAAAATATATATCGCGTCCAGGCAGCTGCAGACGGTGCTCGCTAGCAGAGCTGGCGCTAGTCACGAGCAACCTGACATGGTGAATCCTTTTTGAAGCTAGTGTAGGATCTTCTACCACCCGGCTTCTTGCTCTGCCAGAGGGGGTGTGTTGTGGGGAGGGCGATACAGATTCAGGGGGGAGTTATGGTGGAGCACAGAGGGGAGAGGTTTGTGTGTGAGGGGTGGGACGCTTTTTTCAAATCTGCCTCAATGGCTCAGTTTTTTTCAACTGCTTCTCATATTGCCAACCAGGACTTTAAAAACCCAACATTCCAGAACCCACCAATTGATAATCTAGCATCCCAGAACCCAATATCTCAAACTGAGCCTTCCAGAATCAACATTCCAGAGTCCAGCAGGATTCCAGAACCACTGTTGTTCTGGAATCCTGCTGCTCTTTTTTGGCGGACTGGATTTTTATTTTCTAAGATCTGAAAATACGGAGTGGTATAAAAATCGACGTATTGATTTTTTTAAATCTTTGGTTCCATTGACAATCATTCCTGATCAGTCAACACTGCCCTCGCTCTAAGCTCACTATCGTCCTGTAATGTGATATCAGTCCAGTAGAAGGGCTGATGCCGCTCGATACAGTTGGCCTGATTTTTGCTCGGTCCAAGGATAACCACAGATGCAAATATTTAACAGCGGACAGAGTCTGCTATCGATCGAAGCCAAACAGTCACAGTGTTCTCAGTGTCCTGATATCAGTGTAACCATGAAAGAGTCTTTTCACTGATATTAACCTGTCCAACCTCCTCTCAGCTGTTTCAGTTATTAAAAAAAAGCCAAGTTTTAAAAACTGAGGACAGGGGACTTGATTTAAATTATGTTAAGCTTTACTGCTATCTGACTTTACACAGGGTGATAAGGAGGTTAGATTTCTCCTCTGACTGAGTCAATACTGTATACTCTGAGGGCCACCAGGTCAGAGGAAGGACTAATACTTGGAAATCAATCACTGATTAACCAGGAGCAGGCTTCATGTGTATTCAGTTCGAGAAGTTTAAATGAGAATTTCCCAAAGCTGTGTGATAAAGAGTCAAAAACACCCTGGAATTATGACTCATTCACGTTATATAATGTTCATTTCAAACGTTACCGATGTCTTTGTATGACTGAGGCCACTCTGTTATCGACATGTCTGCAGTGATTACAAAAAGTTATTTAGCCTCGCTTTAGAGGAATAATTTGACATTGTGCTAATTAGCTTAACCTCTTTTCAGGCCAGATAAGAAGATTGGTGCCGTGTTTGTATCTGTCAGCCGAGGGTACTGTCTGATTGTTGGATATCTGTTGGTGTCTGTTTGTGAAACGTCCCTTCATGTCAAAGAAACACGTTCAAATGTCGTAAACCCACTGATGAGACGGTGAACCTGATATCTGATATTTACAGAAAACTGAAAGACACTTAGCTCACTGAGTCTCATGAAACTGATAACCTGAAATGTCGGTTACATTATTATTAGCATCACTAAAGGGGAGTTGGGCGTCGGTCAGCTCTCTTTCGGAGGTGTGATATGATCGCCTCCTGAGCTGCAATTAAAACAAAAAGTTTTGTTGAAACTCTCTCAGGGAGGTGTTGATTTGACTGTTTGGTAATCTGAAACAGCACAGAGCTGGGCTGAGTTACACAAACTAGATTCTCTATTATTCCATCCAACACACTCATACACTAAAAAACACCCTAACAACAGAATAACACAGAAACCTAAAACCTCTAAACAGACATACTTTATTAATATACTTCAATACAGGGAGACAATAATCTTTCATCCCTTTTCAAAGGTTTTCCTACTCTCAAAAAAAAAAACAAAGAGAGACATCTGTTTGGAGAATTTAAGTCCCATTATTGTGCCGCCTGCTGTGTAGTCTAATATGTTGAATACTCACTCAGACAGACAAACCTGCGTCAGCAAACTAAAAAGTTATACTAGCAACTCATTTATATAGTTTTTTTTTTTTAAAGAATTCAGATTTTTTAAGGTTTGATGAGGTTTTAAGTTGAGGAAGTAGCCAAAGTGCTGCTCTACATTCATTCATGCACTACACGACCTTGAAGTTCCTGTTATCAGCCTTTCTAAGTAGTTACTAGGCTGTGTTAAATACTTGAACCTGATTGGTCAGTTAGTAATTGTCGATAATAAAAGCAGCGTCCTATCTACAAACTCCATAAGTTTTTGTAATTGATTTAAACCTCACAAATTTGATAGACTTTTATTTTGAAAGGGAGCCTGGGTAAAATTGTGGTTGGATGAAAACACCAGAGTGAATCTACCACATGGACAGGCGTCGATACCAAAGTCTCCAGCTCTGGTATTTCCCCTCAGCCCTCCACTGAAACCAGCTGTGGAGTGGAGTGTAAAAACATAGGAACAGGTTTGTTTGAGGCAGCTTCAGACCAAACAGAGTTTACAGGAGAGTGAGCGTGGCCTCAGGCTTTGACTTCCAACAACAAGCATCTGAAACATTGTGAATAACCACGGCCAATACACTGCTTTTGTTTGGTTTGTGTCACAGGAACGTTAACTCTCACGTTTTCCTCTCATAGGTTTTGTAAGGTCCTCTTTGTCAGGGACTTTTAAACTGCTGAAGAGGAAGAGTTTCTCAGACTCAAAATCACCATTTTAGTAAAACTGAGAGAGGAGTTTGGATTTTAAAGTTTTAAAACTCGAGATCTTTATTTGTCATATGATCATACAGTAAGACTGTAAAAGGCCCAAAAAAACCCTGGGCTTAGAAATTAAAAATGCAAAAATAAAACTATAAAAATATCAAAGTGCAGTGTGCTAAAGACAGATGAATGTCTCTGATGCCTGAACAGCAAACAATTGAATACCATTACAAGCAAATAGAGCCATCTTCACAAATGAACTCAATATAGGAGTTCTAAAGCTGCAGTTCCTCAAGTGTCCACTTGAGGCTGGCTGCAAAAGCACCAAGAACCACATACACACCAACTCAAAAACGCCTTTGAAGGACCCAACCTTTGTGGCCTGTGTAGACCAGTCAGTCTGCACTAAATTGAGACAATCCATCCTCTTGGAAGATTGTGTACTTGTGCACTTATACTATCAGTCTTTCCCTCCCTGACACTGGCGCCATGTAGCTTGTTTATAAGCAATGACTGGCAACTGGATTAGCTAACAAGGTAAGGGTTTGTGTCACATAACTGTTACACCATCACCAGCATTTCAAAGATACGTCTAAACTTCAATGTGTTTTTTTTTCTTTTCTTTTTTTTTTTTTTTTTTTTTACAATTTTACAGGTCCCTATTAAGTTAAAACCAAATATTATTGTACAACAACATATAACTTGGCAGTTTGAGAGTCCGCCATATTGTTTATATTGGTGTGCAAAGAAGCTCAGGGTATGTTGGGCTGCGAAGGATGCACGGGATGCAGCCTTTACGAGTTGGGAAAAGTAGGACATGCATTGACACGCCACTGTGACGTATTCAGGTTTTAATAAAACATGCTTCTATATATAATGGAAAAAAAAAGCAAAGTAACATGAATTAGAAGCTGTTGTTTGATGCATAAAAACCTTTTAAGTTTATTTTAGTTTGGTGCTTATCAACTCCACTACATTTCTTGTAATTACTGTCAGATTTTTATACATTTTTTTACAGCGAGACATTTTATTGTTGCGTCTCTGAATCAGTCTCAGTGTAATTTTTTGAAGGTTTTATGTTTGATTTTAATGCACTTTGCAAACTTTTGTTGTTGTTATTTTAAAGTGCTTTTAAAGATAAAACTGGATTTGTCTCTAAAAATGACTCTTTCTCTGCAGCCTCCAGTCTGTTCTGTTTAATCTGTAAATCTTTGGCAGTTGGCCCGCTGGCTGCAGCTCCTCATTCTGACTTGTAATAAAGAAGTCACCTCATATCCCGACAGGTGTGTGTGTGTGTGTGTGTGTGAGAGAGACTGTTGTTTTGCCAGCATTAAGCCTTCAGAGGGATAAGGTGGTGAGTACTATATGCTGTGTGTACAGGTTTCACTGTGTGTGTGTGTGTGTGTTTGTGTATGTGTCTGCTCATCTCACCTCTGAGCCAGCGCAGGAGGTAGTGGTCATGCTGTGCCGGCAGGTTAGGGAGGATGTCCTGTATTCTCCCCCGAAACTGGAGGCAGAGAGTCCAATCAGTGAAAGAAAAACAGGTAAACATGTAGAGAGATACTCCCTTGTCTGTTAGCTAAACACGAAGCTACAACCTGCAGTGGGTTAGTAAAAAGAGTGGAAAGTAAAGTTTTCTAGAAGAGACCGTGAACACACCCCTCTTTGTCAGTGTCTCCACATCATAAGTTAGAAGTTTCTAAAACCATCATTTCTGCGTTGCAACGTGTCTGCTGAAGTTTTAATAATGGCAGTGCTCAAAGAGTCCAGTTTCACACAATACAACTCGGTATCCGATCACTGACTCGGTCTGTGGTTCAAGGAGCTATGTTTGCTAACACTAGTGAGAGCGCAGCCTGGAGAATAACTGTTAGCCACGAACAGGATCAAAAGGAGCTTCAGTCAGAGTCAGTACACAATAATGGTTAGCTTAGCTTCATCTGTCTGCATCTGTCAATGGTGTCAAAGTATGGTCTTCACACCCAAACCTACACAGACTATTTTCAGTCGTGCCTAAAAAGTACATTTTCTATTTTAAACACATTTTCAGATAGTTATAACATCTCAAAATCCAACGGGTAAAATGAAACCATGCAGAGAAATCATTGCTTATTCTGAATTCTACTGCTAAATGATAAACTCCTGAACAAACAGAGTTTATCCTGATCTTTAAATCTCAATATCTGAGGTTTCACGTTTGTGAAAAACTGATTAAGTGAAAATCAATCAAGGAGAGAGTCACAGCCAAACCAAACAGTGATTTCCTACTGTTTCTAGTCCTTATCGGTGTTAATCTAATCAGCTGCTAAATGCAGATTTTCATCAAAATTATACAAATACACATTTAACATATCAATTTAAGATAGTTCCGAGAAAAACAAGCACTTTATCGAGAGATATTAGTTGGTCAGAATATTTAATTTTATCTTGAAGAAGAAACAACACGAATTGGAGGGAAAATTCGCAATTCTGCAAGTTGCGATCCTTGGAATCTCGGAATGATGAGATCAAAGACAAAGTATAAACTTTTTCCCAGAATGCTATCATTGATCTCAGAATATTGATATTATTTAAATATTCCCCCCCGAAAAAAGACAGAATTTGAAGAGAAATTTGAGAATTTAGTTTTGAGATTAAATTCGAAACACTAAAAAAATTCATACTTGAAAAACAGTTCTTATTGAGCTCTTATTCTCATACTTAGATTTGAGTTGTTTAAGTCACAATATCTTCTCAACACTCTTTTTTAAAAATCCAAACAGTTTTGTGTATGCTAGTTTGAAATGTCCTGTACTAACCATAGCTGACCACACATAGTGTAAATATTGGTAAGTATTGGTATCAGTATCAGTTTCAGGTAAAAAGTTCAGTATGTCCCCTCTAAATCTAAGGAGGTAAAGCAGAAAAGCAGAGCAGAGTTGATTGTGAACGCCTGTATAAAGTGAAGTGACTCGAACTTGTCTACTGAACTTGTTTTTAGTTTTCCACAGAGGTTAAATTTAAATCAGAGTGAAAGCTGTCCCTTCAGGCACTCTGAAGTTACCATAGGACCACAGTGTCACTACAACAAAGGCAATCATAGCTACAGCACAGAGCGCATGATTTAATCTACAGTCACCGCACAGATTAATTTCACGTTTAGTAAAATCATAGAAATAATCTGGGTTTACCTCATTCAAGATTTCCTCCTGCTTAGGGCTCAAATCTCCAACTCGCCCGCTCATGTCTGCAGTATCGTGTTCCTCTAACAGAAGCTGAGAGTGAATGAACCGCTCTGAAGGGAAAAACAGGTAGGTGAGGACACACCACGCCCCTTTACACACACACACACACACACACACACACACACACACACACACACACACACACACACACACACACACTCTCTCTCTCAGATTTACACAAGTCACTTTTGGGGGCATTACACAAACTCAACCACCTCCTGGAGACAGACCATATCTCTAAACCTTAACCTTACCTTGACCTCTGACCCAAAAAAGTTTTTACCCAGCAGCGACGAGGCTTTCGTCCCCAATTGGATAAGCTGTCCCCAATTAACTGGTCAGAAATCTGTGTCCCTAGAAAGAGGCTAAAACAGATGAAGACACACACACACACACACACACACACACACACACACACACACACACACACACACACACACACAATGTCGAGGGCTTGTATCCCTCACCTGAAGTCACTCATTAAACACACAAACTTTGCAATCTTGTTAATCATGTTTATTGAAACAAATCAGCAGTGAGGGGAAAAAATAGGAGTGAGCTGGTAGTTTTAATGTTTTCAAAAACATTGCATACCTGTGGATTTGATGCTACTTTCAATTATTCTTGCTGTTTTTTTGTTTTTTTTTGTTTGCTTTTTTTTGCTATTTTTCAGCTTATTGAAACCAAAATTTTTGCCGCGTTTTAAATATGACACTTGTGATTTAGACCCTTTTTTTGTTGCAATGTGACCATCTTGGTGCTGCTCTTGCCACATTTTTTACCAATTCAATGCTATTAAAACTTTTATCAATACGCAGGGCTTGACACAAACTTTTTTCACGAGGAGCACTCAAAGAACTTAAGGGGGGGAAAATGAAAATTGATTAAATAATGTTTGTCTTTTTGGTCGACATAAGTACTATTATTTGAAATCAATTTTAGGTCTTTCGGTCACGTGACATGGAAGCTATTGAAGGAAGACAGCCTTTTTTTGAGAACATCAACAGGTTATTTATTGACAGCCCCTTATTCAACACCCGACGTTTACAGCGAGGGTGCTGAGTAGATTGAACTGCACTGCTGTTGCTATTCCCGGTTATGGAGAGTGAGAAGACACCAATTGATCCGCCTTGAATGTCGGTCGAATATCCAACCTAAAACTAACTTCACCGCTGTATTTACAGGAAAAAAACATTTGTTGCCTTGGCCGAATTTTTTTTGCGCACGTGACCCTAAATACATTTTACAATTAGCACACATCTATTTTTAGTCGCAAATGCGAGTGAAACGGTTGCACTGTCAAGCCCTGATACAGTGCAATGGTTTTACAATCAAGTACATTTTTAATTCAATTTGATGCTAATGGAAACACGAGTTTTGGTTTTATGTCACAGAAACTGAAAAAGAGGAGACGACAAGATTACAGATGTTTCCTTCATAAAACTCATTTTATTCTTTAAATACATGAGCTATTCAGAAACGGATCAGGACCCAGATACCAGGTTCACCAAATAGAGCTGGTGCTTATGAATAAATAGATGATTTACACAAAACAATATGTCAAAAAAAAGTAAAGTTAGAGCATAAAAGTACTTCTGGACATTGTGAGTAGTTGTTTTTAATCATCCTAGAAAGAAAATAATTCATCTTTCCAAAATATAACCGCCCTGACAGGCAGTAAAGATTTCACTTTCCAAACAATCCAAAGTTTGAGTAATGCAAATATAACCTGGTCTGTAGAGATAAATGAGCTGCAGAGAAGCTGTCCATGCATGTTACAGGTGAAATCTGTTAACTTTCCCCTCGTTTGGTATCAGATATCCTCTTCAAACAGGCCCCCGTGTTTACTACAGCAGCTCCAAGAGAGACGTAAATAAATAGGACGATCGTTGGACCAGGACGATATGGATATACTTTCAATTAAAAACGGATTATAACGTCGTTGTAAGCAGATTTAAGTGTTTCCTAGTGTGTAAATGAAGAATTATAACCACTTTAGGCCACTGATAAATCCCGGAGGCTGTTGACTGGATAAGTCAGAACAGAATAAAAAAATGTTAATGGAGGGAAATGTAGTTCAGAAACTTTGCCTCTAATAAACGCCCATTATCTTGCTGTATCTGCTTTTAACTACAATATACCATCTAAGACTGTATACAAATATGGACGGCACGGCAGCTCCTCAAAAGTGAAGCCGAAATATTTAGAGCTCCTCCTGAAGTACAGCACACAAAGCCTGCCTCCTCCATGTAAACAGATGGGACACAAGTTAAACTAGAAAATCAAACTACACGTCAACTAGAGAATTTTAAAAAGCGATTTCTGTCATTTTAGTTTGTTTTTGTCATGCAGATAAACGTCTTCATGTTTATTTTTGGAGAAGTTGAGTTTTAATTAGGGATTTGGCACAAAGAAAAAACAAGTATCAGGAAGGCGAATGTTTGTTCTGATTAAATGCAGGGACACAACGTCAAAGGACTACCAAACATAAGTGCTCAGACATCACTAAAGTCGGATGTTACCCTTCACAAGGGTATTTTGGCTTCACTTGGAGACACGTCGTCCAGCCTTATATACAGCCAGTGGTAATAAAGTATTTAATCTACATAAAAATTTTAATTTTGATCCAATTTTAAATATTTTTTAAGACTAATCCTAACTTTTTACCCGGAAGGAGAACAATCAGGGTGACTGTCAGGAGCAGAGGCTGACCAGAGCCCTGAAAATTAGAATATTTTATCAAAATTGAACTTTTTGTATTTTTTATTGTGCCCAAAATCGAAAATCGACCGCCTCAGACCTTTAAGTTGCTTTTCACCCCTTAAGGAAAGTTAAACACTCTTACGTCACATACATGATGGATAAATCATTTTGTCTTGACGACAGGTGAAAACTGATGTCTGGCTTCATTCTGTTTAGATTTTTTCCTGCACATTCATCTTCATGCATGCATTTTTTTGCAGACGTATTTTTTTTATTTGCCACAAAACAATGAATTGGATTTCTTTTTTCCTCCTCTAAGTGCTTGGGGGAACTTGCTACACAACCTGCAAAGTGAACGCAGCTGATGTCCTATCAAAAATATGAACTCTGATTCTGTTTGTTAAAACTTTTATACCAATGACTCCAAAAATAACTCTTCGATATTAAAAGGACCGAACAAAAAAAACAGAACCTCTATGCGTACGTTTGGACGAAGCGACTGACGGGGACGAGATGTGTGGAACACTGCACAAAGCGGGTTTTAACAGTACATGCTAACCTGTGGGGGGTTGGACCCTCTCTGGGCTCTGAAGTCTGACCTTTAACTGCAACTCTCAGAGGATCAATCAAGCAGTCCTAACAAAGCTTTAAGATCTGTGAAGAAGACAAGAAGAAGCTGGTGAGGGAAAAAAGGGTGAGGTCTCCCTGCTACCACTCCCAAACACTGAAGCTCTTAACCTTTTAAAGTGCCTTTAAAGCTGGAGACATGAAATCAGTGTGATGATTTTCACTGCACAGAATACTGCAATCCTGCTCCGGTTCAGCTCAGAAGTTTGTTCTGCATTTTGGAAAGTTCTCTGACGGAGAGGAACGGTGAGGAAAGTGAGCGTGAGTTTGATCAGGACTGGATCTCTAGAGCGAATTCTTCTAAAATCCACCAGATCAGAAGACCTGTCCTTGTGAGTACACTAACTTGTTTTTAATTTAAATCATGAATCCGTCTGACACAAAGTTGGGCCTCATGCAGGACAATAATCTGTATTTTCTTCGCTGGAATCAAGAACGAGAAAAAAATTTGATGTGCACGCTGTGAGAACAAACAGATTTAATTGAGTGCAAAGACGAGTGAAAAGATGCTGAAAAAAGCTCCAAACTCTGAATTCATGTTTGGATAGTCGCTTAAACTTCACTGACCTGAGTGAGGAGCTGAGTTTGACTTATTAAGAGTTTGAAATTTGATCTGCTGAAATGCACAAACGATGCAAGTCTGTCACTCACCCCTTCCTCTCCAGTTCTCATGATTTTAGCACCACTTTGAATGTGATTTAATCTCACAAGAGAATTTTTTGGCTTCACTTCGTTTACATTTAAGGAGATGGAACTGTGTTGTTCATGTTTATAGTCTGTCTCCTGCGCTCCTGCATGAGGCCCTGTGTCAGAATGAACGGACAAATCAAAGCAGAGTACCATGAGGGGAAATGATTCTGTGTTTGTGTGTGAAGTAGCTTTACGTTAGCACCTCTGAAGTACTGAAAACTGCAGTCAGTCTCGTCCCGTGCTTTAATGTCATCGTTTCATTCAATAAGCCCATATTAAAATAGAATAAATACATCCAATGAGGAGAGACGTTTTAGCCCGAGTGTCTGAGGGGAACATTCACTGAGGAGCTCCGAGCTGAGACAGCAGACCAGCGGGAGCCTGGAAGGCAGAGCAGAAGAAAAAACCCTTGAAGAGTTTGCTTGTATTTGGTCGTCGTGTCGTCGTATTCCTTGTTTAGTGTTTGGCTTCTTCTTCTCGTGTTAAAGCAGCTTTGGTGAGCATGAAAACACACAGACAGGCGTCAGTCTTTCCTGAACAGAAAACCAGAATAATCTCAGTTCATATCCCGAACCTTCAGAGCGGGACGTGGAGCCGGCAGCCGCTCGTCATGAGCTGCTTCAGTCCACAGCTCCTCTCCCTCCAGTTTGAGTTCAAGTCTGCTTTAGATGGTGTGTGTGATGTAGAAGATGAACTCCATGTCCATGGCAGTCTGAGGGACACTCGCACTTCCTCCGTGAATGACGGGGATCAGGGCGCTGTCCAGCTCGTTCATGTAGCGCTGAGGGAGGAGTTTTCCTCCGGAGCCCGCCTGGTACTCCACCTGAGGGTCGACACACAAAGAGCATCCAGAGTCAGTGAGTTATCTACAGGCAGCATGAGTGAGAAGGAAGAGCTCTTTCTACCATATCAGCCTGTGTGGAGATCCGCAGAGTCAGCGAGTTGATGCCGCTAGAGGTAAGGACAGCGAGGTGAGGAGTCAGAGCGCTGCAGGCGGCTAAAGCCATCTCCTTCTGAAACACGCTGCAGGACGACAGCACCGATGCCAGGCTGCAGTCCGGAGACTTGAGCTGGTAGAAGACCTGCGGAGAAGGTCCCACACTTTTAGACACCTCCGCCGCCGGGTTGCTGAAGACCGAGGACAGAATCAGGAAACTCACCTCTGTGCATTTGATGGAGCGTCCGTCTGACTCAAACTCAGTGTCCTGCTGCACCTTCACACTGCGGACTCCATCTAGAGGCCTCCCGTCTACTCCACTGGTTCTTCTGTAGAGGAGCAGAGACAGAAACGAGATCTAAGGATGTTTTTGACCGTTCAGTGATCGTAGATTAAACTCAACCCTGAAGACTTTTCCTCAGAGGCCGAGCACCAAGTTTTTTAGGACAGTTTTTTTTAACCCTGTTGATTTCTCTGTTTAGAGATTTTCACAGAGTTCCTGCAGACCCTTTAACATCAAATCACAGCAGAATAACAGTTATTAATACATGTGAGTCACACTTAAACTAGTTTTACCCTCAAATATTATAATTAAATAAACAATATGTCCAGAGTTTCAAAGCTCTTTTACAAACTTAAGAATTGTCTCTTCGTTTCTGCTTTCATCGATCCTCACCGATTAAAGCCACGAAAAAATGGTCTAAAGTAAAATGATCTGTACAGATGTAAGGACGACACATGCACATATCTTGTTTTAACTCAAAGTTTCTTTATCTTTTAATTTTTCTCTTTTTGTATCTATACCATGCCACTGTCATTTTGGAATATCCTTGTGTGGGACTATTAAAGGAACATCTTATCTTCTTTTAAAGCAAAAATTTAAACTTATGAAACTTATGAAACAAGTCACAGAAGCAGAACGGACGATTTCAGGATATTTATCATATTATAAGACAGTAATTTTTAAAGCATTGGTTTGTCAGTTTTCCATAAATATCCTGATAATATTGTCCCTGTGAAATTTCACATCTAAGATAATCGTGAGGTGAAAATCTGATTTTACTGACAGAGCTACTAGACATGGATCAGTCAAAGTGCAGACAAAGGTTTAAGACCTCGGTAAATGAAAGTAAAAGTTTTTAAAGAGATTCAAAGTCTAATTTAGAAATCTAATTTAAAGGTGGGGTAGTCAGGATCTGAGGAAGTTCCAGTGGGAGAAATCTTGAATGTAAACTCTACTCCTCCCAACCAGTTTTCCCCTCAGCTCCTCCTCTCCGCCTACAAACAGACGTTCTTGCTTGTTTGTATTGTTCCACTTAAATTCAGATATAATGCAGATAAATCCTTCAGATAATTACAAATGGGGCCCAGTCAATGTGAAAGTAAACAGCATTGGTGCTACTGTAGATGCCAACAGACTACCAGCAAACACAATGTTTGCAGGACTTCTACAACTAGGATAAAGTGACATAGTCCAGGACCAGAGGTCAACAGTTTAGCGGCGCTACGACACGCAGCAGGTCCTGTTTGACAAGAAACACTTCTGTTACAGGCACTTGGCTTACTTTGTTAAAGCAGTTTACCTGTCCAGCAGAAAGGTTACAGGGTCACCAAGATCCCGGAGCGTCCCTGAAACGTTCATGCTGATGTTGACCCAGCTTATTAGCTCTTGTGCGGTCTACCTCCATTTCAAGCGCCCGTTATTCTGCCAGAGTCTCCGGTATTTACTTTGTTTTCCGTACTTTCTGGTTGGTTTCTACTGTCTGATATTGTAGCACGCTAACTTTGTTTGGGCTCGTGAACGTTAATCGAGGACGTGAAGCGTGCCTCACAACACAGAAAAAGCGAAGCGCTCAAAAAATTTAAAATGTTGACTACACAGACATAACAAAACACAGCGATTTTGTTATATAACCAAATGTCATCAATAACTGTTATCTATCCACTGATATTAAAAGCTTTTTTGTGTATGCACCAGAAAAAAAGATGCTTCTTTAACGGATTCCTGCCTACCCCACCTGAGTGATCAGGTTTTACCGCACAGGACATCACAGACACATGGAGAGAGAAAATACAAATACTGGATAATCAGTGAGAACTATTTAACGATTGTTTGAAAAACAGATCTGTGTTAAACACTCTGTTGACGTTTTTGACCAATCCTGTCTGATTTGACTGACTGAGCTTTACTCTGTGTTTGAGATTGACTGGAGAACATGTGTGGTCTGACGGTGACACAGAGGACAGGTTTCACAATCGGGAGTAAATAGTTGTGTTGGAATGCGTTTGCGTGAGGGATTATGTCGTTACCCTGTGTTGACAGGTGAACTCCACTCGACCCAGCGGACAGTGACGTTTTCTCGCAGCTCCCCGCCGTCGTTCCTGCCGCAGGGGATGTGGAAGTCCGTCTGATCCCTCAGAGCCGAGCGCAGAGACTCCATCGTCTCGGGAGGGATTTGCACCATCAGCCCGTCTGATACACAAAAACAAAGTTCAGATCCTGCAGAGCTCTGATCTGAAGGATGATGAGTGAAAACCTAGTAGCTCACTTCACCTTCGACAATGCTGGACTTGGCGATGAAGCCTGAGGAGGCTTTTAGGGCTCCGTTAAAGACCACAAAACTGGCTCCGGTTACTGAAACAAACACAGATCAGCTGAGGGTGAAATATTTATACCAAACAGAGTCATGAAGAAATCCTCATGTAATCACAGAGAGAGCTGCGGAGGAGGAGGCTTCTTTCATTTCACTACAAACAGAGGAAAGACGGGTCTGCAGAAGAAGTGATGATGACTCACCTGTGCGAGTTTTCCCCGGCATGCTGTTGGCCTGTGTCTGGTAGTTCCCTTCCTCGTTCTGGAAACACACCAGGTGAGAGTCGGCCTCCGCACTGAAGCGAGCGCCGATACTGATGACGTGCTCGTTCGACGCGTTTACAACCTTCTGCATCTGAAAAACACACGCAGACGTTGATTTTTCACAGACTGCAGAGTTCCTTCTTGAGATCTTAGATTTAACCTCATCCCATTATGCTGGTCTTCTCCTCTCCAGCTCTAAAACCAAAATTCTGTCATAGTTTTTAGATGATGGAGATGATGACATACAGTATATCTGCTTGTATCTCTCTCTGTTTATATCTCTGTAATGTGATTTTACAAACTCTCAGTGCAGATATCATCCCGTCTGACTCTAACAGACTTCCTCTCAATTCTAGGTTTTCCATTTTCATGTGTGAGGAAGAGAGTTTTCTCCTCCTTATTTCTCTCCAACCTCGTTGAAGCTGCTTTTGGGGATGTCGATGTAACTGTGGCCCATCTCCATGTGGATCCTCAGGCCCTCCACCACCGACAGACTGTACTGGTAGTTCCTCAGGTCCTGTGGGGAGACAGTTCCCTTTTTAAAATTCAGTCATGTCAGTCAAAGTCCTAAACAGTTTATCTCTATGTTTTTATGCCTCTGATGTTATTTTAAGTGTTTTTATGGTATTTTTAAAATCAAGAAACAAGAAGCCCAGAAAAACTACAGGAAACGTCGAACACCAAACAGCGTATTTATATCTTTAAAGACCTGATGATCAATAAAGTGAAAGCTGCGATACACACTAAAGGTTTCAGATTTATTTTGGTCTTTGTTTCCACAGTGGCTATCTGACAGCTGTTTCTGATCTTAAACAACATTTAAGGATCTGACTCTGTTTTTTAAATCTGCACCCTGAGACCGAGTCCTGCTTCCTCTTAAAAAAGATTAACTGTATTTAACAGTCAGAAATAATCTGAAGGTAGAGAACAAACCACAAGATTCAGGCCTTCCCAGAGACTATAAATAACTAGGTGGATCAGGGTTTTAATTGGATCAAGAGCAAAAAATAAATGTATAAATTAAGCAAAGTGTTAATTCAGGAAGTTAATCAGATGATCTGCACACCAGGCTTTTTATGCATCCAATTAGCACCTCCAATTCCTGCCTCGTCTGCAAACCACTCCTCTTATTTTGTCGGGTTTCACCTGAGTCCCTCATCCCTACTCTGTTTTGGATCGTGGAGTCTTTACTGCTGCTCTACCCGCCACATGTACAACATTTACAGAGTATACAGAAATTATACAATCTTGTTCAATCCAGCAGATGATAACGAAATTCAAAGCATGGAAAAACTGACCTTCTCCCTAAGACTACAGATCGATAAGTATACAAAGTTCTTGGAAAGATGGACTTCATATTCTTCAATGTGTAACTCTTTGCTTGTGTGAGTGATTATTCCAATTTGCACTATTTTATGACACATGTCAACCAGATCAACCTGTCTGTCCAGTTGTACTCTTGATTTACTTTCTGTTTTATGGTTCTTTGTTTATATGCTTGTTTATTTGTTGTGTTAAAAAAAATTGAAAATCTAATAAAAAGAAAGTTAAAAAAAAAAATCCAGTTTATGATGCATGCTCCACTCAGCTTTATTCTCCACAGAATTAAGTCAAACTCAAATAGGAGGACTCTTGCTGACTCGTCTTGAGTCAAAGTCTTATTTTGCATCATGAAAACAACAACTACATCTGCTCTGGTCTGGAGTCTGGGTGTCTCTGCTGCTGCTCTCCTCACTATGGGTTTCTCAGAGCAGATCCAGACCACTTCATATAACCTCTACGTTGTTTTTTTTTTTACTGATCTTGATAACTGATCACATCTTTCTGCCTCTTTTGAACTCAAACACTCACAGCAAGCAGATTCATGATGGTGTGTCCTGTCTCTCGATACACAGAGTCCCGAAAACGAACACTCGTCAACGTCGTGGGATAAACTGTAGAAGAGAAAACATAAACCATCACAGCATCAAATAACTGGAAAAACAAACATGATTACAACTTTCTAAACTTCCTAATTTACAGCCACACAAGATTAAACAAGTTAAAATAAAGGTTAAACTTAAATTCAGGTCATTTTCTGTTAAAAAAAAACAAAGAAGACGATCAGATTATTGGACTAAAATCTTTTTACTCATCAAGTTTGTCTCAAAGATGAGAGCTTCACTGACCACTGTATTCAGCGCCGAGCCGCAGCAGCAGCCTGAGGGGGAAGACTTTTGCCCAGGGGACCTCCAGTTTCTGGATGAGCAGGCCGAACAGGAAGGGCTGCTGTGGGAGAGTGAGGCCATCTAGAGGCTGACAGGTAGGAGAGAAGAAGAGCATCCCGGCGTGGTCTTTACTGCCCAGGAAACTGCTCGTGAAGGTTACGTTATCCAGCTCCTCCTGGAACTTCCCTACAAAACAAGACCAGGACTCAATTTTCCCTCCAAACAGAAGCAGCAAAATGACAGAAGACATGTTAGAGTGGTCTTCTCCACCTTTTTGGGCTTCCTGGAAAATGTTGAGATAAAGCGTGAAGAGGTCTTTGGGGAGAGACTTTTCTTCTGGCAGACACTCCAACAGGAAGACCACCTCCTTCTGGCCCAGAGCCTGCAGACCGTTAGAACCGAAACACCAGCACTGCCGACCGCCATCTGACACAGAAACACACAAAGGGTTAACAGAGTTGAGTTTTTAGTCAGTGGGTTTGATGAATCTTGAAGTCAGAGGTTTTCTCCACTCACATGTGACCAGTTTCACGTTGATGAGCAGGTTGGCGTTTAAGACAAAGGTCAGAGGTCGGGGTCCCCCCTCCTCTAATAAGTGCAGGATCTGACATGGAGCCGGACTTTCTTCGACTAAAACATCTGAAGGGAAAAACACAGAAACACCAGCTGAACCATCAACCTGCTGGAGGAGGTTCAGGGCACAGCTAGGACCCCCCACCCCAAAACAAGATTCAAAGTAAAGACCTTTCTGGACTAAAACTTCATCAGACCCTCACCTCCAGCTTCGTCCTCTCCGGTGGTGATGAGCAGAGGAGGGAGCTCGTCCTCGTTCTCCGGCAGCAGACTGGGAACCCTCCTCACTGAAGAACTGATCCCAGCGAGCAGAGCGTAATCCCAGGGACCAGATACAGGCGGTCGAATCGCCTCCACTGTCCCAGAGGCCTCGGGGGAGGAGACCCCTACCTCCGACCCTGCTGAGCCGGGCTGCAGAGACGGTCAGAGATGGTCAGAGTCAGTCTTCGTACATCGTTTATTTGATATTAAAATCACGGATCAGGTTTTTATGTCTTACTGATGTTTGGTCTGGAGACACGCTGAACTCCTGCGAGCTCCTGCGGCTCGTCACCGACAGCTTCGTCGTGTCTGCGACCTCGCCGTTCGGCAGGATACCATCAGCGAACCAGACGCGCTTCTGTTCACGAGGACAGCCTGATAACACACACAAACACACACAGGTCTTGTCAAGGGTACGGTCCGTGGAAGCAAACAGAAGGGAAATGAGTGTGTCATCAATTTTCAGGAATGGTCGTACTGTCGTTGTTTGGGTGTTTGAGAACAGACACGGGAACCATGACGGTGGGCGGAGGAGAGTTCAGGGTGCCGGCGGCTCGAGCCTGCTGCAGAGGGGGGATGGTGCTGCAGTACTCAGAGGGAACGTTGGGGTTTGGACTGGGACCGGCAGGACTCATCATCCGCTCCAGGGCCTGGGCTGTAAGGAGGAACATGCCGCAGACAGAGGGGTTTGAATCTTCAGTTCATGTCCTCAACCTAAGGATCAGCTCTCAGATGAGTTCACCTGTCCTACAGCACCTCCTAGAGGTCAAAAATATTGTAGTTTCCTTCATAATAAAAAATAGTTGAGGTCATCATCATCAGAAAATCAAAATGAGGGTAAAACCCTGCAGAAGAGGAGTTAAATATCTGGTCCTGAGCCGAGGAAAAAAACTAACGGCCGGTTTAGAAACTGCATCACAGCTGTAGTGACTATGCTGACCTGAATTTTAGTCACTGTCTGGGTGTGGGATTGAGGTGTTTTTGACGTGCTTCTAGTACAATCCAAGGTTGTTGTTGAGTTATATTTTGCTATTTATTGATTCAATGAAAAACAAACAAAAAAAGACAGCTGCGTCTAACTTACAACGATGGTGATGTACATGATGAGGGTGAGAGAGGTGTCGGAGATTAGCGGTAAAAACCGTGTGCTCTTCCTGTTCCCCAGATCACTGCTTTTGTAGCATTTACCTGCCCATTCACCTGAAGTGGCCCTTGTGGTGATTGTATGAGTAACAAAACAAAACCCCAAAAATATAGATAAAATGGCTCATACAACAGCACTTTCAGCAAAAATACATAATAACAAATGTGTTTTTCTGTTATGTTTCCTCTTGCTAGACTGGCCTTCCCGCAGGAGCATCATGAGACAAAAACCAGGTTAGCGTGTCCCTGTCTCCACTTCTCTGAAAAGGTGTTTCATCGTCCTTCAGCCCTCCTGCCCTCTTCCCCTCCCACGGTCCACTCACTGAGCTCCTGGCCTCAATAAAACACTGACTGCAGGCTGAGTTTGATTCATGCTGATCCTGAAACACTGACTAATGCAGGTAAGAACTGAACCTCTGTGTTCGGACTAAAAAGCCGAAGCCTGACCCTGGATTAAACACACCATTATTAGGGCTTAAACATACAGGATGCGTATTTGGAGTATCGCGTATCACGCAGTGAATAGGTTTCCATTCTAATCAATGCAGCAAAGCATACAGGACGTGCATCAGCTCCGTCGCAGCATCGTATCAAGAGCAGCACTGCTAAAGATACGCGACGAGTCTATTTTTGCTGCTCTACACTTCCAATGTGCATCAAACCACACAGAGAAGATCGTTCGAGACAGGAAGTCAAGCAGGAAAACTGCAGATGTCATCAGGTATTTCAAAATAAAACACCATATGCAAACTCCCGACTGTGTATCAGTTTGTGTTGATGAGAAATAGTTCTGGTTCTGGATTTATCAGTAACACAGAACAATCCGATGGTCAATCCCTGATCTATGTGGACCCCAACAGGACTTCGAACTGCTAACTCTGTCTGAAGGTAACAGCACAGCATAAAGGAACATAGTTTACTTTATTAAACATGAGTAAACCTGCAAAAACACAAACTTTAAAATCACTTAAAGCTTTTTCACATACAGTAGAGGCTCAACAGTCACTAAATTATATCCAAATTATCAGGAAACCGATCACAGAAAGCAAAAAAGACATGTTGTGAACATGTTGTTTCCTCTACACTGAGCCCAGCTGACCGGGGCTGAACTACGCTGCTGCTACGCTCCAAATACACTGATCCTGTATGAGATACCCAGAGCTGCTCTATGGAGCAAATATGGAAAGCACTCAATACGGATCCTGTATGTTTTCGGCTCTAGAGTCCTGATGCTTGATGGACTCTGATATTTCAGATGAAAACAGACGTGATGATGAAGAAGTTTCTCTGACTGATTATATCTGAAATTAACAGAGCGCCTGGAGAAATACTGACCACAATGATGATGATGATGATGATAGTATGAAGAGCATGACTGTACGAGCTCAGAGGACTCCTGCACGCATGTTTAAGTGACCACGAGGCAGTCACTGTTATTACTACAATGACTCATTTGTGTTTGGAGCTGTGAATCCCTGCCTCACTCGCAGAGTTTCATGTAGTTTGATCACAGATTTATGGATAAGGCTTTTTTAATAAGTGAATGGCAGCTTGGTCTCCTCCTCCTTCTCCTCCTCCTCTTACTTCCTCTACGTCACGTAGAGTGAAGGTTACAGGGCAGACATGAGTTGTTGCCTCCAGGAGAGTGAGCTGCTGTGGACTGAGAGGTTTTTCCGGCTCCACTCTCACAGAGTGCTGAGGTGGCTCTCGTCTACATTATATTGATTAAGCATCATAGATCTTTATCGATCTGTTGTGTACCGACAACGACTACAGCGTGGCTGACAAAAGCACGGGGAGGAGCACACAGCGAAGGTATTATAATAACTCAGACCACTGATGAGGAAGGATCTGGTTTTTCTTTAAACCTGCAGCCCCCTTTTTATAGTCTAAGGTCTGTATGAGTCAAAGGTAGACAAAGTTTTGGATGAGTGCCAGTCCTGAATCCTCTGGGACACATCCACCTTATAAAACACACGACCTCTTAATGTGTTTTTTCCTCTTACAGGATCAGGGTCTCTTACTAAGATTAGTCCTCGCCTCTCTGAATCAGTGAAAGTGTTATACAGACAGTAAACATGGACCGGTTCCAGAGCTCTGGTCCACTAGACTGAGGTTCTCCTGAGATATCTCTGAAAACCAGCCTCTTCAATCTTGGATGTTGACCTTTTACCTTTCACATAGATTGTTAGTTTAGGTGTAGCTCATTTTCCTCCTCAGAGTTCAAGTCATGTGGACTTATTTTGAAGGACGAATAACTTCACTTGGGAGCAGCCCGCCTCCTTTATTCCAGCGATGGCATAGAAACGTCTCAGTTATCACGACACTTAGAGCCCGTTTAATCGCTGCTGGCAGCCAGCACTAAAGAGAGAGCGACACTCACTCTATCTAAACGAAACTCAATCAAACCAAATTAAATTAACTTCAAATCTCATCAAACTGAATTTGTTTTTGTTCTTATAATAAATTGTTTTCTGTTTAATCAAATTGGCTCATCTGGTTGGGGAAAGATTTAATCCTCTAACTCCTGAAAATTCCAGAAATTTCCCTAAAATTTCAGGCTGAGCTGAACTTTGAACGTTTCACCCTGACTTTACAGCTTTTTTTTTTTTTCCTGACAGCTCTCCAGTGAAATTCCTTCACAAAGTCAGGTGAGCTGATGTGAAAATGTCAACGTAAACATCATGAAAATTCACCATGAATGAGCAATCAGAGGTGTGATCCTATGCTGCGTTTGAGTTACCTTGGAAGTCAGACGTCGGAGATGAAAATGACGTTCCCAGCGTTTCAGTTACCAAGTCTGAAAAAAGCAAAATCAGAAGCCTGAAACAAGATGGCTACATCTACCAAAGTTATTTTAGCACTTGCCTTGTTTGAATATAAGCAAGGACTGGGCAAGCGCTAAAATAACTTTTTGTAGATGTAGCCATCTTGTTTCAGGCTTCTGATTTTGCTTTTTTCAGACTTGGTAAGTGAAACGCTAGGAATTCAGGTGTGATGTCATTTTCAGCTCTGATATCTGACTCGAACGCAGCAATAGTCCACATAATGAAGCATGAATGAAGTGTCTAATAACAGGCAGGAAAGAAAAAACAGTCATCCTATCAGTCTGTGCTTCACCCACTTTCTTGGATATTCTGTAAATATTACAGAACAACTACAGCTGCTTTCTTTGTCCATCTCATGAGAGCGCCCCCTGCTGCCTGACAGGGAAAACTTTACATTGTAAAGGAAAAACAACTGTCCTGAAATATCCTGGAAATTTCCATGACTGTGTATGTGACAATGTCTCATGGTAGAGATGTTTCTGAACACATCTGATTAACAGGAAACTCTTCAGAAACCCCAGAATAAATATTTTAAAATACCGTATTTTACTGACTATGACTCACAAATCTTTCCATAGTTTGGCTGGGTTTGCGACTTACACTCAGGTGCGACTTATATATATTAAAATGTATAATTTCACACATTTGTTATTTTCACACTGACAGCTGCTAGAGGGCACTCTAGGCTGGTGTACCAGTACCTGCTACTCCTGTTTCACTAAAGATTTTAAAATTAACGTTAACTCATATCGACAACTGAGGAAAACTGAGCACAAATGCCACCAAAAAGAAAATCATATTCTGCAGATTACAAGCTGCAAGTAGTGAAATATGCAGCTGAAAATGTCAATCAAGCAGCAGAGAGAGGGTTTGGAGTGAGCGAGAAACTTGTGAGGGACTGGTGAAAAGTGGAGGTTACTCTTACTGCAATAAAGAAAACAAAAAAAGCTAAACGTGGGCTAAAAGCTAGATGGCTAGTTTATTATCATAACTTGCCTTTGAAGATGATATGTCTATTCTTGATCTTGGATTTTGTGAAATAAATTTCCACTCAAAAAATGTGACTTATACCAGTATATGGTTTTCCTTCTTCAATATGGATTTTTCGTCTGGTGCGATTTATAGTCCAGAAAATACGGTTCTTTATTTCTAACCTAAAATTTTTAACCGGGTTAGACTGAAATGTCCAGAGACGCCTCGCTACGACAAACAAAAGCAAAAAGATGACAAAGTTAAACGACGTCAGACATGAAAGTTTCAGATCAGAAAATACGTAAGTGGTATCACTTTGTCCACAGGGGGCGCCAAAAGCTCCTCATAGGAGTTCTAAGAACTATTGAATGAAGAGGGTGTATAAATTTAGAAACAAGGGAGCAGCAGAGAGACAAAAATTCAGATCACACAGATTTATATCAAAAGTACGACGTAGTTAGAAGTGAAGAGGGTCAAAGAGAGCGAACATGCATGATACCATTTAATCACCAAAAACATACACCGATGTAAACTTTGGGTCACATCACCCACCCCCCCGGTCTAAAATGTTGAATGCTTCATGAGTGCAGCTGCAGACATGACACTACTGTGTTCTGATGATGGAGGTTTGTGGCTTTATAGAAGGAAATGAGACATCTGTTTCAGGTAGGACAAGAAAAATCACAAAAATGTCTGTCTCCGGTTTGTTCAGATGATGAAATCCAAGTCTGAGTCTGTCTGCTGCAAAACGAATCACTTATATATACCTATCAGAGAAATTCAAAACTTTCTGCACCTGTTTTTTACATAAAAGTACATAAAAATAAAGCCCCAAAACACATAAATTTTACTTCTAATTGGTGGGAGCATATTGTTAGTCCCACAGCATCACTACAAGGAGAAGCTGTTCACCTTGTTTTGCAAGGAAAGGATGACAAGGCACAAAAAAGTCATCAAGACCTGGAGGCAATCTACTTCAACTATTCTGCAGGGACCTTGTTTTAAGTTCAGCGCTGATATACTGCTGCACTTCAACAGTCTCTGCAAAATGAGGTTCAATAACTCTCCTTTAAATCTCGTCAAAAAAGGGATTTGTAATATCGGCATGGATTAAGAACAACCACAACAAACAGAGAGCAGTCCTCAGGATTCAAACACAAACTCTGGGTGTTCAGAAGTATGAAAAGATGCTTCTTTCTTACCTCGTCATCTCCTCTGCTAAAACCCAACCAGTCCACATCAGCGTGAGTTTACTCCAAAGCCTGACTTTAGACACTCTCATCATCACTGCTCTCCTCAAGCTGCTCCTCGCTCTATTTCTGCCGTTAGCGGTGATAGCCTGTTAGCCCTGGGCTGGAGCGTGCGTGTGCCTCACATGCTGCTCACCGCACTGATGTGAGGCTGATGTGAAACCAGGAGGGAGGAAAGGAAGGAGGGGGGAGGAGGAGGAGGAGAGAGCGATCACGTCATAGCGCCGGAGCGTCGACCGTTCACAAAAAGTGGATCACCTTTTCTTCTTAATTTAGCCGTCGTGTGTGAGCGTCACATGTCTGCTGCTGCGTAAGGCGGGTCTCAGCACTCGCACACACATAATCAAGGACAAATGCCAGTGTCCTACTATAACTCTCCTCCCTCTCTCTCTTTCTCTCTCCTGCCCCCTCCATCCATCTTCACCACCCCCCCCCCCTTTTCATGTCCATGCTGCAGTCTTTAAACGTCTCTGAGACACCTTTTATCAACAGAGCAGAAAAGACCTGATTTAGAGAGTTTTCTACTGTAGAAGCTGACACAACACCAACAATAACAACACGCCGTTTTTGAGGAGACTTTATCAGACTCTTTGAATTTTTTATACGTGTTCAGAGTGACGTCAAAAAAGACGCCACTTAGCGTGGGACGGTTTTTGTGCGGTCCTTAAATATTCATCAGCTGCAAAATGAAAATATTTCTGTGCTGTTATAAAGTTTAAAGGGCTTCTAGCAGGAGATTCTCTATTTTAGGCTGCAGAGGTGAACCTGAGTCTCACTTTAGTCCTCAGAGAGGATGGAAATAGAGTGAGATATCTGAGACAAATGTTGATATTAAAAAGAGGAAAATCACTTCACTGTTAAAGGGATCTTTAAGGATATTTTCTTCTGCAATCCTAATCAGAAAGCTGCCCCCCTCTGTGACTTCCCACAATCCAAAAAATCTAATAATTGAGACTGAACGGTTTTGTGCGTCCAGCTGTGTCTTCCTCGTTTGGTCTTGTATGGTCAGTTAAACACACCCTCCCTTTGTTCCAGATCTTAGTTACATTCATCACTTCTGATCACAAGTTTTTTCAGCACAGTGGGAGAGACGCAGGCGTGCAGAGACGAATGATAAACATGAACTTTATGTCAGTAAAATGACTTTGAATACATCTGCAAAAAATCCTGCGTTATACATGATAGTAAAAAAAAAAACTAGTGTTGTTTATTTTGTCCTCTCTGCAGCATACCGGCTAAATGCAGTGTATTTAAAATGCTAAGAAACATTTAAAAGTTTCAGTAACACTATATTTTATAGTTTTGATCTTTGAGTCTGTTTTCTGCTCTCTCGTCACAGGGGTATAACGAGTTAACTGTACTAATAAATACAAATCAACTTACTCACAGGTAAACAACTATTTTGGTCGATGTCAGATGATATGTTTAATCTGCATCACAAGCTTGTGTGACGGTTCTTCTGATGAAACAAAAACACGACCATGTACAGTGCTTAGCATAAATGAGTACACCTCTTCAGAGTTGTCAGAAAACCTTTAGTTTCCTTTTAAAATCAACATTTTCTATGTTAGACTGTAAAACAAAATACTCCCCCAAATGTAGGCCATTGATTGCAAACAAGATTTTTTAAGTTGCATATAAAAAAGTATTTTTTTCTATTTAAAATCAGGATGCAAAAATGAGTACATCCCAATCAAAGCTCTGAGAGCAAAACTAAATTGTAGTTACCATACCATCCTTATTTCCATCATACGGTAAATAAAATGTTATGTTAAACTCAGTTTTGTCAAAACTTTGGAAATTGTACTTTTGCTCATCTAAATATTGAGTAATACATTATTCTTAATAGAGACTTTTAATACTGACTCATGCCGGGCACTGTGTGTGCAACTCTTTCCAGGATGAGGCGTAAACATCCTGCTGAGTCTGTTGGATCTGTTAGCAGGGTCATGTGCATGCTTACGTTCTTCTACAGTCATGTGACACCACCTAAACTTCTCCATTTTACTGTGTGTAATTCTACTCTGACTTTTATCAGAAATTAATCCTCAAAAATGCAGAAGTTGTAAGAGAATGATACGTTGCAGCTCATTGGAATGACACTGCACATCCTGCTAAGACAACATCTCAACTACAATAAATTGTGCAGCAATAATCCCTTGTGGCTCAAAAAACCCCAACATTATGAACTGTTTACCTCTGTCATAACACCTAGAACTTCATAGTACAAACACTTTTTGAATTACACACATACTTTCTTTATATAAAACATATTCAGTGCAGCATATTCAGGGTAACTTTAGTCTTCCTGCAGAGAAAAGTTATCCAATCAAGCTCCTCAAGTTTTATAAACAAACTGGAAAACTTGCTCAACTGGTCTGCAACTTCCAAACAACTTCTACTTCTTAAAGCAAGTAAAAAAAACTTCAGAATAAGACAAACTCGGTCTGCAAAGATCGACACGTTTACTGGGAACTCGGTACAGATAATCACAGGGATGTTTTTTAAGTTTTTACCTTTAAAAAATACAAAGTAAATTAAATATTCACTCATATCTATGATGGTTTGAGTAAAAACAACAGTTTTGCATTCCTGTAAACAACACTCCTGTAGCCTAGCTGACAAACATATGGAGGTGATACAGATCTGGGATCAGACTGAAGGGGGTCTTACCTCTGTTTATGGAATCAAAGCAGACGACACACACACGAGCCTCCTTCTCCAGGTACTTCAGTTTAGACTTCCTGTTGCAGCACACGGCGCAGTACACCTGCCGCGGAGGAGAGAGGACAACATAAAGCTACAGAGCCACATACATGCAAAGTAAACCTGCATGCAGAGTAAATAAGCAGCTGTTAACGGTATACTGGATCATGTTTGTCTGAGAAGCGGGTTAAGTGGTCGTGCCGCGAACAATAACATGTTCAAACAGTCCTCTCTAATGCTGGTTTAATCACTGGCCTTACAGGGACTTAGCTCCATGTTTAGGACACACGGCTCAGCTGGGATCTATAGAGGAGCTGGAAAAAGAAGTGCTGACTCATGCTCTCTATATCTGGTGCCGGGACGTAATCAGTATTATTGAACTATTTATGAAACAGGCAGACACAATGGGAACTTTCACTTTGATCCAACTGAGCACTTGATATTGGGTTAATAGAAGACAAGCGGCTCTTCACATTAATAAAAATAATCAAATAATAGATGCAGAGAAGACGGTGTGCTTAAGGTCTGTCACCCAAAACTGCAGAAAACATGAACGGCACAACAGCTTCCCTGAGTGAAGCCAAAACTTAAAAGCTACCCTGATGATTTTTAGAAATTATAAGCCCAGCTCCTCCATTTTAACAGATGGAACATTAGGCCTGTCCCGATAACAAATTTTGCTGGACGATAATTGTGCTACAAATTATTGCCGATAAACGATATTATTGACACCGTTTTTTAAATGATAGATAATGATATTAAATGGCATAATAATGCGAGTACACCGTGTCAAAAGTGATAAACTTTAATTTCACCCACAACGAAGACGTAACGTTGACAAGCTAAACATAAGTCGGAGATGACTAAAATGTGACGAGACGAAAGTGCGTTTACGTTGATGGGACGAGACGAAAATGACGAACAGAGTTGCAAAACTCAGTCAGTTAAACGCTAAACATACAGGAGCAGCTTCAGTCCGCTCTGACAGCTCTCATCAGCCTGCTGTGCTCCTCCAACACAGACACACACACGCGCGCACACACACGTGGAGTTTTGTGGTTGACGAAAACAATACTGGTTTAAAGCCGAAATATTCCCACACTTGGGCTGTTGCGTTCGGTTTAGACACCAAAGCTGTCGTGTTCATTCTGTTTGCTTGCTTTTTACTCACGACGCTCACTTGTAGAACTGTATCCAAAAGTCTGTGTCTGTGTGCCTGTGCGCGCCAGCCCCCTCATGACAAAGACACTGAATGACTGACAGGAGGGTTCACTAACTCCGTTCATTCCGCTATAGAGCCAACGCCCCCAGGTGCCGAGAAAAATGCGCAGAGTGAGACCTCTTCTCTCATCCAGCGTGTTTGGTAGCGACAGAGGAGGAAAACAAACGCATGTCAATTATCGAGGCTGGCAAAATGACGACCTCGTTTTCATTTACCGAGCGATAAGGCGATTTATTGATTATCGCGACAGGCCTATGGAACATTAAATTAAATATATTATAAATTTGATGCAAATTAAAAGGGATGTGACATCAGTGTTGGGCGGTGTGACTGTATATACTATGTGACGGTATACAAGTGTCTACCAGTAGAAATTTTCTGATACCGTTTGTACTGGAGAGAGAGAGCAGATGTCTGCTGCATCTCTCTGAGTCAGTGTGTAGTCGTCTGCGCTCTCTAACTTGAAAGCGGGAGCGCATCCGTTCGGGTGCATTACCTTATTTTCAACAGCGTGTCATGTGGAGTTTGTTCGCTCCATTTGATTGGTCAGGTTTGGGTGTGCTCCCTATAATCACCAGCGTGTCCAGCAGACTGCATGGCATAGTTTCAAAGAAGAAACAGCCTGACTGGTGGTGGTCATGGCGGACACAGAGACTAGTGGAAGTAGCGAGCAAACCTAGGCAGCCCGACCCACCCAGCATGAGGAAGAGGAGGAGGAACTCGTTCCGAAAAAGGGCGTGAGTCGCGACATTGGTTGTCAGGAGATTCTTCAGATTTAGAAAATCCGTCAATGATCAAACAACAATACTATGCAAAGAGTGTCGTGCTGCTGTCATTGCTGAAGGAGGAAACACCAGAAACCTCTTCCACCACCTCTTTAGGTGAAATGAAACACGCCAAGAGTCTTTCGCCAAAGGTACGCTACATGATAAAAAAATCACCAGACTGGTCTGACATTTCGTTTGCATTTGTTTACAGATCCAAGTTTAAAAATAAAAGGAAAATGAACAAATGCGACAGTATGGTTATTTTTAAGCCATTAATTGAATTTTGCAGGGGGAAACATACCATGATATATACCGTTACCGTGACAGAAGATTTTGTTCATACCGCCCAACACTATGTGACACGATTGACAGGTCTGTAGACCAATGAGGCTCCTGCTGCACTGTGTGTCCCAGATTATCAGATTACAAGTGGGAAACGACGGAACGACTGAGGGCTGTCCTTTTTAAAGTTCAATCCATGTCTTTCACCAAATAACATCTGCAGCATTAACAGTTTTATTTATGCTCACAGTGATCATGTTGGGCTTGTCCATAAACATCAGACTGGTCCTACCTTCCCGCAGGCTCGACAGTGATGCCTCCTCTTGGTGAAGGTGAACCTCTGGTAGCAGTTCATGCAGTTTGGAGCTTCAGCGTCCGGCACCCAAGCGGGCTGTTTGCTCCCCAGCTCCTCTCCCCCCTCTCTCTTCCAGTTCACTGGCCTGACACCGTCTGTGGGTGACTCTCCGGGGTACGGCGGAGGCTCTGAGAGCTCATCATACCCCACGCTGTAATCCTGAGGCTCCTGGTTGGTGTACATGGGGCTCAAGTCCCTGATGTTGGGGTGCTCCTCTGTCAGACTGGGCGAGCTCTCTTCTTCCTCTGCTGGCTGTTTTGTGGACTCACCTATCGTCTCTTCCTCTTTGTCTTCTCCTGCTGGTGGAGAACGAGCGGTTTGGCAGTGTAGCTGTTTGGGTCTGGCTCCTCCATAGGAGGGCTGCTGCTCAGGACTAGCGCTGAACTGGGGCAGGAGAGCGTTGCTGGTTGGTGAATGGTTTATCCGAGAGGAGAGCTCTTCTTGAGGAGGACTGTGAGAGTTTTGAGGTTGTGATGGAGCACCGGGGTTTAAACTTCCCTCTACAGTCACACACATCGTTCTGTCACTTTCTGGAGAAGCAAAACCCTCCAGATCCTCCTGCCCACAACATCTCAGCTCCTCCAGATCTCCATTTTGGCTCTCAGGTTGAGTAAAATCCCCAGAACTGCTGCAACAGGAGACACCTCCTCCCCCACCTTGGCTCTGCTCTGCTTCTGTGTGCGCCTGCAGAAACGCATCCAGCTCCTCGTCGGTCACCAGCAGCTCCGCCTGGTCGCTCTCGGGCAGATACTCAAAGCCAAACTCTGGAGGGTCGACAGGGCTGGGCTCAGAGCGATCGCAGGAGGCGAGGTCTGCAGGGTGAGCAGGCTCTGGAGGGAGATGCTGCCCCTCTGGTGATGCTCTCCCATCTAAAAGCTGCTGAGATACAGAGTCCACAGGTTCCTCCAGACGGGCTCGGACCTCCTGAGCTTCCAGAGCTGATAGAGAGTCAGCCTCTGTGCTCTCCACCTCATCACACGGCTCTGTAGCTGACCCTAACTCCTCCTCCGCCTGCACCAAAGCCCCACACATGGACACAGCGATAGGGAGGCAGGACAGACCCATCTGTTCACTCTCTGAGGCTCCTCCTGCTGAAGACTCCGCCTCAGCTTTGTCAGAGGCTTCAGGTGACTCTTCCTCCTTTGTTTCTGAGGTTTTTGTTGTTTCTTTACTGCTTTCAACGAGCAGAGAGTCCTTTGATTCACAGTCTGAGGAGTTTTCTGCTGCCTGGTTTATGATCGCCACCACCTCCTCCTCCTCACAGTTCCTCTCCTGTTTGTCAGCTGATGGTGAATCATCTGCAGACTCACAGCTCCTCTCCACCGCAGCAGGAAGAATAACGTCCAGCAGGCTGAGCGTGGCAGAGTAACTCCCACTCTGCAGCTCGTTTCTCTCTGCCGAAGGTTGCTCCTCCTTTAAGTCTCTACATTCGCCGCCTGGCTGTCCCCGTTCCTCTCCATGTGCCGTCACCACAGGGCTGTCGAAGTCCACCAGCAGCGCCTCCTCCTCCTCCATCTGCTTCTCCACCACATCCAGCTCGCTGAAAGCATCGTGGCTGTTCGCCCGCACCAGGATGGCCGAGCTGGTGTCGTTCACCAGGTCGCACACCGGCTTCAGCGCTCTGTCCGGGCATGGAGGGGTGGAGCTCTTAGTTGTCCTGCGGTCCACAGAGGAGAGAAGGTCCACTGTGGTGAGAGGCTGACCTTTGACATCTCTGTCATCGGGGCTGCGGCTCTGAGAGTTGGAGCGGTCGGGACAGCTGGTGGCAGAACCATAATGGAGAGAGTTGAGGTCAGGGAGGTTTGGTGGGACGGTGGACGCCTCGGAGGACAAACACTGAGATCCCAGAGAGGAGAAGGGGTAGACAGATGGCTTCAGGAAAACAGACTTACAGTCCAGCTCCTCTGAAACACAGAAAACAAGAAACAAGAGTTTAACTTTGATACCAAACAACGGCTGATTTCACCTGAGCTGACTTTTACGACTCCTCTGGATTTCCAACATGATTCATGAACAAAAGAAGTGGGCAGAACAAGATTACTCAGTTTGTATAAATATAAGTAAATTAATTTATTATCAATACCATACATATACACAGCATTTTGTATTTACACACATGGACTAAACACACCAAATGACAAGTGGCTGATCAGTATTTTAACAGCTGATACCGATGCTGGTGATTTCATCTCAGATCAGCTGATGACTGATAAAAATGCCAACATCACGTTGTTGTTGTTGTTAACAAACAAATGATAAAAACAGTCATTATTCAGTACACATATGACCCCCAATTTCCACCGCATCCGGAACGGCTACGATAAGGCCGTATCCACTGGCCGCAGCTGATCGCAATCCTTCAAGTTAATGTGTCAATTTCCACCAGCTTCTTTCCGTTTCGCTGCAGATCGCCGGACTACGCAGCTGATTGCAAGACTTCTATATTTTTTTGGGACGCAGGAGCATGGTGGATAAATTCAGCACAGATTAACCCGTGCTGGAAAGGAAGTCGGGCACAGTCACAAAATAAAACATCCAGCTTCTTTTCAAGAAGAAGGGAATCATATTTCACACCGTGCAAATGGGCGGAGACGAACAAGTAAATGGTTTTTAGATGTCATTTCACCCCGATGACACCATGGATGAGGAGATGCTGATTCTAGAAGTCTAGAAGTAAATTTCCCCCTCTGGAAGGACACAATCTACTGCTTACATGTCTATGTGGCTCTCTTTATAGAGATAACTCATTATCACGTGATTGCATGTGAATCTGCAGGTTCTTGTGAGTTCTTTCGATTCCCACCGTCTGTAACCTGCAACGAAATTCGCCTCACAAACGGATCTTTGGTGGATGGCAAAAAACGCTGCCGTTCTGGATTGGAGCCGTTCCGGATGCAGTGAAAATTGGGGGTTAATCTAACAAACATCATAATCTAGAATCTAGAAACGTGTTAAAGACAGAAAATCACACTTGGCTAATGATGTACTTTCAGAACACAACAACATATTTACAACAGAGATAATATTTAATCACATTATCCTGATCATGATTGTAGAATATACACTCAGCATTTGTCTGTAACTGTTTGAAGTGAGTTGAGATCTTTTAGGATAGAAAAACTCCTCGTTTAGGTGAAAATGATGCCTCCACTTCATCGAGACTGCCTGAAGTGTCTGCAGATTTCAGGAGCTCATAATTGTAGGTATTATCAGAAGCCAATAATTTCATAGATTAATCAATCCATCTGTACATAAGGCTTAAAGGTCTGTTACTTAATTCTGTAGACAGACTGTTTGTATTGTGTATTTTTCTTTTAAGCCTGTTGTTTGATGAACATTAACTATGATACCGAATAAAACAAACATCAGTAAGACATCAGGTTAGCAAACTGACGCTGCAAAGCTGACATGCAAACAGAAATACTCATGAATCTTCTTTAACTGTATCCAACATCACAAAACCAACTTTTTCTAACAAAGTAGGAAACTGTTCAGCTTCTCTTTGTTGTAAGTTTTCTGTATTTTTTCTGTTTTTTAGGTTATTTATATAAACTCTGACTTCAAAAGATGCAAAGAAACTGAACTTATTCTCCTTAAAAAAGGCTGAATTCCTCTGTATAAATCTTTAGTGTGGTTCCCAACTGGTCTCATTGTTTGTTTCTCTTTTACATCCACGGGACTTGGTCCAAATACATGGTTTAGTTTTCAGCACACACAAAAAATCTAACTACTACAACAGATCTTTGCTCAATAAAACATCAGGCAGATTATTCAGAGACGTAAATAATCATCCCGTCTGTGCGGCTCCTCTTCTTACCTGTGTTGAGCTCAAAGTCATCCAGCAGTTTGTCCAGATCACACACAGCTGCCTTGAAGAAGCTGTCCATGCTGGGCCAAAACAAAGGGCCTTCAACCCCCGACACTTCCTGCGTTTACAGAGAAAGAAAAAAAAAAACCAATACCTGTCAATACCTGGTCTGTTTTGGCTGTTGCATAAAGATCTCCTTAAGAGAAAGAATCTAGGTCATTTCTCGACACATTAACCCGCTGTGACGTTCACGTTTCCTCGTTCTCTGAGCAGCAGAATAAACAACAACACAAAGTCAAACATAAGAAAACTTCACACACATGAAAATAAACACAGTGCATTAAAAACCCTCCAGAGTCAATCCTGTCTGTGAGCCGCAGATGCTGAAGACGTCAATCATGAGAGCAGCTTTTCTGTGACACCAAACAATCAGATCTAAAAATCACAAAACTATCATCTCCAAACCACACCTTAAACCTGCACTAGTGTTTACAAGGTGCAGACGGACTCTGACTACATACACACTCTTTTTTTTTCTCACAGTTAAATCCTGATAGCTGACAGCAAATTTACATAAAATAAAATAATAAAATAATTTATAATAATAACTGTACTCATCTTAAACTTGTCAAACTGTGAAACAATAACTAATTAAAAAATACACTAAAGACCTTATTCGGCGTCAAACATATCCTGTTTTCTTAGGTCATCCCTGTGGTATATCAATCCCTCCTGTAAATGTATGTCACCAGAAAACAACATGAAAAGTGACATAAAGTCTGTTTTTTTTTTTATTTTAAATAAGCTGTGTGAGACAACCAGAGTCTCCTCACAGTCAAATATTCATGTTGTCTTAAATTTAAAAGCTTGGATGAATAAACACGTCTGGTTTGGAGTTCAGTAAACAACCAGCATCAAACAGGAATTTTCACCAGTTTCTCCTCCACACAAACCAGTTTCACTGCAAACACATTAGGTCCCACCATATGATTTCTTTTTCAGATAACATGCAAACTTTTCAGTCCAGTGAGGCAGCTGTAGTTCAAACTCAGACTGTATTTCCTTTTTAAATGTGAAGCCTGCCCTCGTTTAATCCTGTGTAATCTACAAAACTATGTCTATTACTTCCTAGTAAAAGGTTTGAGGGTTTTTTCGCAGTTAAGGTCTAAAAACCTCCTAAGATAACTGTCTGACTTTCACTCTCCATGTCACACAGTGAAGTTTAACACGCCTGCAGCTCTGTGGCTGAGCAAACTGAAGACAGAAATATTCAAATGTGTGTTTTTGTTTCTCATCCTCTGAGAATAAAATATAAAATAATGGGCTGATATGACTGAGTAAAAGTGGGCCGAATATCTCCAGTATAGTTAAAAATAACTAACGTATTTCTATAAATAAGTTTACGGATAAAAAGGAGTGTGAGGAGCTGTTACATAACACCGTCTTCTCCAAAAATAACATGTGGAATTAAAGTTTTGTTCGACTGTTTCTGTGTAAAATAAAACGACTGCATGAAGTGACTTTTAGTCTCTGTGAATTTGAAGAAAAGTGACGCAGATTTTTACTCAGATACAAAAGAGTGAATAACCACACAGCAGGATGAGGGCAAACCCCACAAAAACTGAACCTAATCATCTGGTTTTACCTCGACATAAACACAGGCCTCCAAAGTTATTCCTATCTACCTCTTAACCCAGTTACTCTCTTTGTCCTCCTGAAACCATGTGAGCTAAATAGAGACAGGAATGAGGAAGTCCTTTCTATTAAAAACACATCCTTGAGTTAATCATCAAAGCAAAACATGCACTCCCTTCAGGTCATCTGATATTTCTATTTATTTAAAAATGAATAAATTCATCTCCGGTCTCATAAAACATGATTCCATTTCATCTGAGCTCGGGTAGCAAGAAAAAGAAGTTATGGAGGAACTTTCTGAACTTCAGACAGCCGTCAAACCAACACACTGTGGCTATGGGTGGAGGAGGATAGGACACAGTCATTCACATTTTTACCCTTATAAGTAAAATACACAGAAATAATCATTTAATTCGCACATTCTATATCAAAATAAGTGTAAAGTTCTTCCTGTAATTTTCTCCAAATTCAGACATCTCATCTAAAGTAGGAAAATTACACCTCAAAACTGACTAAGCACAGCCTTCCTTTAGCCTGCAGCTTTAGAGACACACAGTCAATATTGAGGAAGAGATGACACAAAAACAACAAAAACTATATGGAAAAGTTATTTACAAGTTTACATGTAGAAAATATTCAAACCTTTGCTGCAAAAAAAGGACAAATTCATGATTATATAAGCAGTTAATATTCCAGTCTATATGACCCATAATCCTTCCTTGCAGCCTGATATTTATCTATTATTTCCAGACTGGAGATGCTCTCCCCAGCAGAAACAAAGTCATGGCTTGATCTTATACCAGAAGTATTCCTGACATAACCGGTTTGCTCTGCGCCTCTGTCCACTTCTTCCAGGTCTGGGACTTTTTATTTAGCACTTTAAAAGGTGACAGAGCCTTTTCCATTAGGGCCCCTCGACTTTGCACCGACCTGCCTGAGGAGATCAGGCTCGCAGAATCAGTTGCACCTTTCAGACACTTCTTTAATAAACTGACTTTTGTGTGACTTTTGTGTGACTTTTGTGTGACGTTGTCCTCTGGTTGCTGTTATCATTTTATCCTGTTTCTGTCAACGCTCCTAACAGTTTATTTACCTTACAGTCTCAGTTAACTTCTTCTGATTGCTCTTCCCTCATGTAAAGTGCTTTTTCTAAAACTCCTTGTTATTACTGGGATTCATCTGCTCGGTTGTATTTCTCTCATTATTGATTCGGTTATATTTGGATTACTTTAATGTTTTCATAGATTTTTACTTCCCTTTTTTACTTATTTACTCAATGCATTTCTGAGTGCGTCATCTCTATCTACTGCTTCATCTACTTCTTTTTATCTGCCTCAGTTTTTTTTTTTTTTACTCTAAACTGATTTATTTTATTTCATTTTACTTTTTCAATCTCCCTCCTCTCTTACTCCTCTTAGTTGGTCCTCTTGGTCTGAGTCCATACTGTTTGGTTCTTGTGCTGATGGGCTCTTATCTCCTATACTGTTGGATCAATGTGTGGCTAATGATGTTCATGGTTGCTCTGGGTTGTTCAGCTGTTAGGTTGCAGTTATTGTGTGGTTGGGATTTTATTCTGTTGTCGAGTTTGTTCGTTTGTTGCATGCCAAAGCACTTGTACACCCTTATTTTTAAAGGTGTTGTATCAATACAACTAATGTTATTATGACTGAGTTGTCATCTTTCATACATCATGGTTTACAGAAGAGGTCTTAGCTTCTCCCTCTGGTGGTGACAGTATAAAACTTACCTCACCTTTGGCCTATCTACCTTGTTGATGTTGCTGTTTGACTGATATGCGACAATGATGAGGTATTTGTTACACACAGTCTGTAACCATTTATTTTTGTGGTTACGATCTGATGATGGTTTTTAACTTGTTCCTGAAATTCTGGACAAACACAGAACAATTGTATTACAGCCACCTGCCTGATATTGTGAGGCCCTCCTTCTTCACCTGTGAAGGTGTGTGTGATGGTCAATGTAGGACTGCCAGAGGTCAATAGTTTCTTTTTAAGTAAACAGAGTTATTTGATAGTTTTAGTCATGCTTTTGTTCAGTTTTGTGATAAATTTGTCTATAAGTAATCTTAGATGTTGGTCTGTAATACAATCTGTCAGATGGATATTATTATTTAGGAAAAAAGACATGAAAAAGTGTGACTATCTGACCACTGTGGGGTGGCTTTTGTTCAAATTAGACACAAACACGCTAGGAATATGCAATTCAGGCGAATTTACGTCAAACTATCTGTCAGGCCCTAAGTAATAAATCGACTCTGCACTATGTCAAGCCATAACTTAGGTAATAAATTGTTTTCAGTGCAATCATAACTCAAATCTTTGCACTAATAGTAACATTGTGTGGCTTCTATCACACTTCACAAGCATAAATACACCGAAAACAGCAGCTATAATCGACCTGACACTGAAAACAGACATTGTTTTAAACCTTAATAAAATTACCTTACCGGTTTATTCACCTTTAAACAGCAACGATGCTTCAAAACGGCCATAACAAACACACTTAGCAATTAGCTCAAGAATTAATCATAAAGTTAGTTTAAGCAAACTATCTAAGGCTGTTACATGAGCCACTGTACGTTAGTCACCTGTACGTTAGTGTGATTTAAACAGGTGAAGTAACCGTTGACCTGTTAGTTAATATCAGACGCGTTAGCATGCTAATGCTAAGCTAACTGTGGGGTAACCTGGTTAGTTTCTACATTTCTCACCGGTTATGTTTTTATTCCATCACTCCGACGTCGTCCTCTGCAGTTACTCTTGTCTTCTGTTTCAGCGGGGGGATAAACATCGCCGGAGTCGGCGTGTTGCTCGCTGACAGGGCGGTTAAAGTTGTAGGAAAGCTAGCTGTTGGATTAGTTTTCTATGAGATGAGTAAATTCTTCACTCAAGCGGCCATCTTGGATTTTGAACAGACAGACAGACTGTCGGGAGGTCACAGGATCTGCTGCTCAGGGTTTGAAAGCCTGCCCCCCATCTAAATCCTCTGTTTTCTGTTAAAATCTGTGGAAATAAGCTACAGAACAACTTTAATACCGAGCTAAAGCATTATAACCAAACGAACCGGATTAAAAGGAGGTTTAAAGACTGGATTTTACAAAATGTAGGTCGATCTTCAGGTGGTTACAGGGATTATTGTTGAGAAATTTACAGGATTATTAAAGCACCTGTCAGTGATTTCATTTGGTTGCTCAATGATATTAATCGAATGGCCTACTATTTAACTTGCTCGGTCTGTGTATTATCTGTCCATTCAATTATTCCATTCAATCTAGTAAACGATAAATGAAAAAACGAGTCAATATTTTGTTCATTTGTTTGTCTATATAACCAGAAAGTAAAAGATTAGTGTTTGTTTTTGTATTTTCAGTTCAAAACAGAATATATTCTGCAGCTGACTTTCGTTTAGATCCGCAGAAGACGTCGGATATAAACGATTTCTGCCGACTTTGCAAAGTCAACTGCAGAATTAACAGCGTTCTGAATGAACGGCGCTTTTGAAAACTCCCGCAGCATGTGTTAGACGGCACCATCTACACATGGACCAGTCAGGGGCTGCCTTTCCCTATTGTCTGGGGAACAGTGGAAACACAGTCACTGATTGGCCCGGTTATTTTCTGATCGCTAATACACGCTCCCAATGGGCCGAAGTCCAGACTGTTGTGGGAAGGAACGGCAAGTGATTCATGCAACAGGATGGCCCAGCCAGGCTAGGCCCATGTAGCCCCCAATGCATGTATGCTCAAAACAGGTGCACTTACAATATGGGAAAATGACAAAGCATGTTTAGACAGGGAAAAAAAAACAGTAGGGCAATAAAATAAAGTAGATAGTGAAGAACAACAAGCAAACAAACATAAAAGTAACTTAAAATAAATAAAACAATTTATGTTATGCAAAGCTTTACAAGGGTTTTCTTTCTTTTTTAAACATTTTTAGCTGTTCATATCAGTGAGAAAATTCTTTAAGTTATCATATAAGTTTTGTTCCTTCAAACCAGTTAACGTTTTAGGGGTTTCAAATACATTTTAAATTTGTTTATGAAAACAATAAGTCTGGGTGATGATCTCATAACTTTATTCTTATGGATGAAATATTTGGCAAGACATAAGATTACATTGCAAGAGAGTTCATCATTTTTATTTGGTAGTATCGTTCCAAAAATAACATCATCTAGAAAAATACATCGTGGAAATACTGTAATTTTTTGTTTAATCCATTTGTGTTTTTAAAATGTCAATCAAGCGCCCCTGCCTGATTTGAGGTGTTGTGTGTCATTCACACCTGTAGGTGGCGGTAGTGATCGAGGACGCCGGCTGCCGGCCTCCTAAAACGAACATGTAAAGAAGTTGAGGAGGAGCAGGAAGAAGCAGGAAAGAGACGAACACATCGGTACCTTCACAATGACCAAGAGATTAGGAAAGGTAAGAATTTCTCTTATATTTGAGTTTATTCTTTTATGGGAATGATTTAATAAGTTATTTTGGACTCTTGTGGATAGATTTATCGCGATAGACTGGGAAAAATATCGAGTTTGGCGTCTGTTTGTACAAAATGAAAGCATAATGACGTCCCACTGACGGTTAGTAGTTAGTGAGTTTGAGCTGTCAGGGAGGCGTGATTCAGCACTTTTATTACACTGGTCCAGACCGAAATAAGTCTTTAAATATGTATATTTTATAAACAATTTGTGAGGTTGGAGAAACACCTCTGTAATAACGACATTATCAGCTGTTTATTAACGGCGTGAAAGCGAAAACAGACGCGGTTTGGGGCTGGGGCGTGACGTCACACAGCCACTTGGCGATTAATCGGTCAGTTGATCGAAAGTTCTGGACTCCAAACTGATCGATACGGTCACAGATAGGTTTCCGTTTGTTTTAAGAGAGCCCGTGGGGTCAAGAGGAGGGGGTTAAATCAGACAAAAGGGGCGTTAAGGGCCTCCATTTTGGTTCTGTTTGTTCACGGCTTCCTCTCTTTTCTGCTGGTTGATTTATTCGAGTTGAAACAGACTGAGGGGGAACACAAATGTGATAATTAAAGGGAAGAAAATTGACTTATCTAAAAGACCCAAACTTAGGATTTTTACAATGACTTCCTTTAAGTCAGGGGATAGGGGAGAGTGGGGTAAGTTGAGCCACCCCCTGTTGCTTGGAAATGGTAAAAGAAATTAAACATGTGACCAAATATTTAGTAGATGAGCATCAATTAATGGAGTCTGTGAAGGTTAGAAGCACATGGGTGAAGGGGTTAGACATTTATTTATAAAAAAAAAAAAAAAAAAACATTTTTCACTCTTGAAAGTGAGTTCAGTCTGTGATAAGTTTGATTAGAATTGTGTCCAAACGTAAAAAGATCATTTAAAATTTGTTTTTTATACATCAATTATAAAAGTCCACCATTTTAGCTTAGAGGACTAATAAAGTCATAATAGTAGTTCTGGGGTAACTGAGAAAGTAAAGGAGTCTGATGAGAGGTTTCAGTTTCAGTTCAGATTGTTGAAATGTTTTTACTTTTTCTTTTCAAAAATACAGCTGTGAATATTCTGAATCATTTAAAGGCATTTTCATGTTAAAATGACTTTTTACAAAATAGCTTTTTAGCAGTTATATGCAATAATAATAATAATAAAAATAATTATTGTACCAGTTGAATAGTGTACAATAGATAAAAATACACATGAATGTGAAGAAGTGACTGTTATTTAGAGAAGGTGAGGGAGGGCTGGGGTGGAGAGTGGGGGGTAGTAGGGACACGGCTCAACTTACCCCGCTCCTATGGTCAACTTACCCCATACACGGGGTAAGTTGACCAAAGGAGACCACTTTTTTTGGCATGCTATATTATCAAGACAGTTCTGTTTACACTCATTCTGTTGGTTTGCAAGGATGCACAACATCTTGAAATATCTGCAGATACACTAGTTAGAGACAGAACTATGATTGCCGTAAAGTAGTGATCAGAAATATGAAAAATGGCTCATCCTACCCCACTCCCCCCTATAGCCAATGTTCAAAACTCAGGTGGTCTGGATTGTCCTGGAGAGGTCTGCCCCCTGTTCCCAAAATGAGAATCAAACATGAAGAGATGACGTCTACTTTTAGAATAGAATATTCCTTTATTGATCCCCCATGGGGGATTTTTTTTTTGTCACAGCAGCATCATAGACAAAGAGTGCAAAAATGCAGTCATAAAAATAAAGAACTTAAATAAATGTAATAATTAAGAAAAAAATTAGGAAAAGGAAACAGGGAGAAGAAAAATAAAACTATATACAATATACACAATTTAAATACCAGAAAAAAGTGGTGGTGTGAGTCCAGTTTTATTACAGTTTGTTGTAAAGTCTTATTGCAGAAGGAAGGAATGACCTGCGGTAGTGCTCCGCCTTGCAAGGAATGCTTTTTATGCTCCTTATACCTGGATAAACTAGAAGATTGCCTGTCCATATAAACTCACAATGGTGTCTGATCCGCAGCTTCTAATTCAGCTGTTGTTATCTGTGAGATCTGGACCACATTGTTCTGAGGACTCAACACATTTCTCTTAAACAGTTACAGACTTGAAACGTAAGAAGATTTCACCTTTATTAAACACCCTTTAACCACACTAGACCAGGTCCAAATCCAGAAACACTAAATCTAGACTCATAAAATCCAGATTAGATTATGTTAGAGAGTCGTCACAGGTTCAAGTTTTTACTCTGGTGAAAAAACACAAACAGTTTTCATTCCTGCTTTGTAATCACCCTAACTTGTTGCTCTTTTCCTTAGTCATGTAATTTGCCATTGCTGGATTTATGAGAGCATCTAAATCCTAACCTCATTGACTCACTGACAGTGATTTAATGTCTTACAGGCTGCCCACACAGTCTCACAGTCTCAAACGTCAAATCTGACACACTTTTTATTTTTAGTTTGGACTTGTTCTTCGGCTTCTCTGAGTCATGAACTTCCCGAGTCACAGCTTCAGCAAAGCGTCCGGTTATGTCACATCTCTCTGAATTCCCCTGATAATCCAGTTCCACTGGTCAGTCAGATAAATGAGAGTTTCTGTGAGACTGGGTTTACTGCCTGTTTTTGAAACAAGAACTAACTCACTTATTCTTCTGCAATTGAGGAGAAAACCTGCGTAATGGCCAGAAATGAAACTTGGTGAAGTCCATCACTGAAGCTTGATTGTCAGAATATAAATTCACTTTCTTAATTTTACTTTCAGTTTTGAGTTTATTCCAGTTTAGTTTCAAAGAGAAGTATTTAATGTCAAACCTTAACTATTTTGGATTTTAATACAGTCTTTTTTTTTTTCTTTTTGATCAAGGTTTTTTAATTTAGTTTAACAAATTATAGTTTACAATTTAACAAAAGTCCAACAGTACAGGACTGTAAATCCTGTCCACCCCCACGAATACCAGACTTACAGAATTCACATCGCCAGACTAAAAAAAAAAGGAAATATGATAATAATAATAATGATGATGACTGAGGACAACAGCAGGGGTTTACAGAACTATATTGTAGGGCCCGACTGATATGGATTTTTTGGGGACGATGCCAATACTGATTATTAGTCAGAAAAAAAATCAGATTACTGATTAATCACTTTTCACAGTGAAGCATGAAACAATTATGATAGTTTGTTTTTCTCCATGTAACACTATGAGGCTGTTGTATTGTTTATAACTCTAACTAAAACAGAGCAGACAGGATCTGAATCACAGAGGAGGAAGAGACTCAATCATCTTCTTCCTCTTTCCAGATTTGATTCCTCCTCCTGCTGAAACAAAACGTACCGACATATGAATCTGTTTCAATCGAGAGCTTTGTCTTAGATTCCTCTTTCCACACAGAGTAGCTCATTATTCTTTTATACAGTGTGGGCTCTGATGACGAGGATATAGTCCAAGCTCAGAAGCGTCATTAAAGTCGGCTCTAGGTTGTAAATGTTTTATTGATATATGTTGTATATATTTCAGGAGCTGGAGGAGATCCGCAAAAATGGGTTGAAGTGTTTCCGCAGCATCCAAGTGGATGAAACCAACATCACACACTGGCAAGGCCTCATTCTCCCCGTAAGTGTTGAAATCCTGCCGAGCTGTCGTCGCTCTGAATGTTGCCGGACGACTCATGCTTGTTTTTTTTTTGTCTTCAAGGATTGCTATCCATATGACAAAGGAGCGTTTCGGATCGAGATCAATTTCCCCACGGAGTACCCCTTCAAACCACCCAAGATCAACTTCAAGACTAAAATCTATCACCCCAACATTGACGAGAAGGGCCAGGTGTGTCTGCCCATGATCAGCGTGGAGAACTGGAAACCTGCCACGAAAACCTACCAAGGTGAGGATGAGGATTCGTGATGGAGAGCAGCTCCGACAGGATCATGTTTGGCTGTTGCTTTTTCAGCTCCTCTGTCAAAGTTTTTTCACTTTTCTGGATATCAGCTTGTTTTCAGACATGAACAAAATTAACCCAGAGCTCCTAAAGTGTCTGACAGGCAGATAAAAACTGAGCAAATAATCTGAAAACTTGACAGTTGGTTCAAGGATATAGCAGGAAAATCTTGTTATTCTTGCGTCTCATTGGCCCACATTTAACAAGCTTTCGTACGGCAGAAAACTTGCGTACACTTTGCGTACGAAAGTTTTGATATGAGGATCGGCATTTATCTGCATGTGAGCGTACGCTACAATCAAATCTCACGACAGGTCTGACATTGTGTACGCAAGTTTGAGTCAGTGTAGATCTGCGGTGCAGCAAATGTCTGTCTCAAAATAATTGATATACAAACCTCAAACCTGTCCTTAAGCACAATCAGCCAGATTTTATTGAAGATTATTTGATAATTCTGCCCAGAAACACTGCCACAGAGCAGGAGCGCTGTTTTAACATTACACACAGGCGCCACTGTGGAGCGCTGCGTTTGACTCCTAAAAGGCAAGTGTCTCTGTCTTGGTCCAGCAGTGGGGACGTTGTTGTACACTACAGAAAGGGTGTGGGACATCATTTGGGCCAGTATAGTTTTGCACAATGTTGCACTGGTGAATGGAGTGCCGTTGGCTGTGCCAGTGCAACGTGAGGACCCGGGTGCTGTACAGAGGAGACAGGACCTTATCGATGGATTCTGACATGTAAAGTATAAGTTTAGAAAGTGCTCTTGATATTTAATCAGTGATAAAATCCAATAGAAATCCATCAAAATGTTCCTCAGGAGCAGCAGCACACCGTTTGGTGACGTTAATAATTATTTTTGTTCAGCCTCTGTCAGACTCTCCAGTCTGCTCTACATTACAAAGACGCAACAAATTCAAACTAAATACTTTCCGTAAAAGGAGCAACGAATCTTTCTAATATTTCTCTTCTTTCATGTTTGACCCCAGTGGGCGAGGCTTCTGAACCACGAATATTTAAGAGCGTGACATGATAATGACGATCGATTTCAGTCGCCGCATTTATCAAGACCCGATCATACTTACGCTGGGATTGGTCAGATACGAACCCTTTCATAAATCTCACGTGTGTCCTATCGTACTATGAATCCTGCGCTCAGTTCCATCCAAGATTGATAAGTGAGGGCCATTGTGGTTTAACCTTTAGTGCATTTTTTACAGTTTTTTTAAGCCTTTTTGCTCTCAATACATCTTAAAGAGACTTAAGATCAGCTTGTTGCAGTCTTCAATCTCACCACTAGGTGATGCTAAAACTTGCATGTTCTTCTCCACTCAAACAAAATGGAAGACATGTTTTTCTCACAGCTGTTTCTGATCCCTGTACTCATCTCTCTTTTTGCTCTAACTCTGAATTGTGTGTCTGTGTTCCTGTTCTTCCTTCTGCAGTGATTCAGACTCTGGTCGGCCTGGTGAACAGCCCCGAGCCGGAGCATCCGCTGAGGGCCGACCTGGCGGAGGAGTACACTAAAGACCGTGCCAAGTTCATGAAAAACGCAGAGGAGTTCACGAGGAAACACAGCGAAAAGCGACCCACCGACTGACGACACAACCGGCTGACGCTCACGGCTGTTTGTTTTTTCTCTGTTTCTGTTTAAAGAGCCTGCTCTGACTCTGTTCTTACTCCAAACACACAGACACACACACAGACACAGACATGCCCCTGTTCCTCTCATATCAGCAGCGTTACAGCCCTCTCCACCCACCCCCTTTAGAAGCTTTGTTTCTCTTTCACTTTGCCAAAACAGAAAGAAAAAGCAGGACTTTTTAGTGAAAGTGCAGGCTCTACCCTTTAGCTGTCATCTTTGGTTGTTTTGACTTCTTTCTACTGATTTCTTTTTAGAAAATTCAGAAAATTATCCGAGGTGTCGGCATCCAGGAGAGGAAAAAGTGCTGTTCTGCTCTGTTCTATGTTGAATGTTGTCTCTGATCAGTCATTCGCTTATGCAGACCTGTTTACACATTTTCTCATGTCTGAACTCTGCAGCATCTAACGCTGTATCGACCGACTGCCTCCTTTGGCTTTCATAGACACACTGGTGAGATCAGCTGACACAGAACATCCAGTTAAAACGTTACTGAGAAGGAAACTAAAGTGTAAAAATTGCAACACAATCCATTCGCTTTAAACAGATTTTTTTTTTGTATTTGAGATCTTTGAGTGAATATTTTAGGGTTAACGTTCTTCCTCTTCCTCCTCTGCTGTCCTCTCAGGAAAGCAGCTTTATGTTTATTTGTTTATGCAGATGGGAAATCAGATGTGTTTCATTTTGGAAAAAAACTACTGAGACTCTAAAGTCTTAAAAGCACTTCACAAGCTCGTTTCCTTACTTTGAATTGATCTGTCCTACCATCTCTAACACAAAGTCCTTTTTGCGGTGAATAAGCAGCAACCTCAGCTTTAATCTTTTAACACACACATGGTTGCTTGGCTTTATTTGACTGCCGTAGTCTTACACTTTGTTAAAACTATTTTTTTATACTAAGAATTAGAAAAGGAAAACGCTCTGATTGGTTCTAGTTTGTTTTCAGTCTGTAATGAAGTCTCTGCTCCCTTTGGCTCTCTTTTCCTTCAGTCACCTTCATGGTAGACAGTTTTATCCTGATAGTCGACATCTGACTCTTCTCCAGTAATGTTCTTGTAATGTACGGCAATATATCTGACTGTAGTTGGTGATGGACGGATGGATGATCATTAATGAATAAAGGTTGGAGATGGATGCTTAAACAAACCCCTGTTGTTGTTTTTTATGTCTTTATTAGACTGTTTTTAATTATTATAACACCCAATGAGGTGACCTTTGAACCCTACATGGATTATTTTGATGGGTAATCATAGGCTGTGTCCGAAATGGATCCCTAACCCCTATATACAGTGCATCAGGAAAGTATTCATACCACTTCACTTTTCCTACATTTTGTTATGTTACAGCCTTATTCCAAAATGGATTAAATTCATTTTTTCCCTCAAAAATTCTACACAAAATACCCCATAATGACAAAGCCAAAAACTTTTCGTAGAACATTTTGCAAATTTATTAAAAATAAGACACTCGAATGTTGCATATACATAAGTATTCACACCCTTTGCTATAAAACTCAAAATTGAGCTCAGGTGTATCCTGTTTCCACTGATCAGCCTTGAAATGTTCCTCCAACTTGATTGCAGTCCACCTGTGGCAAATTCAGCTGATTGGACATGATTTGGAAAGCCACACCTGTCCATATAAGATCCCACAGCTGACAGAGCACGTCAGAGCACAAACCAAGCCATGAAGTCAAAAGAACTGTCTGAAGACCTCCGAAACAGGGTTGTATCGGCGCACAGATCTGGGGAAGGTTGCTGCATTGAAGATCCTAAAAAGCACAGTGGTCTCCATCATTAAGAAATGGAAGATGTTTGGAACCACCAGGATTCTTCCTAGAGCTGGCCGCCCAGCCAAAATGAGCAAGCAGGGGAGAAGGGCCTTGGTCAGGGAGGTGACCAAGAACCCGATGGTCACTCTGACAGAGCTCCAGCCGTTCCTCTGAGGAGATGGGAGAACCTTACAGAAGGACCACCATCTCTGCAGCACTCTACCAGTCAGGCATTTATGGTAGAGTGGCCAGACAGAATTCACTCCTCAGAAAAAGCACATGACAGCCCGCTTGGACTTTGCTAGAAGGCACCTGAAGGACTCACAGACCAGGAGAAACGAAATTCTCTGGTCTGATGAAATGAAGATCAAACTCTTTGGCCTGAATGCCAAGCGGCACTGCACGCCACCTTGCCAATACCATCCCTACAGTGAAACATGGTGGTGGCAGCATCATGCTGTGGGGATGTTTTTCAGCGGCAGGGACTGGGAGACTTGTCAGGATCGAGGGAAAAAGCTAAGTACATCGAAATCCTTGATGAAAACCTGCTCCAGAGCGCTCGAGACCTTCGACTGGGGTGACACTTCATCTTCCAGCATGACAATGACCCTAAGCACATGGCCAAGAAGACAAAGAAGTGGCTTCAGGACAAGTCTCTGAATGTCCTTGAATGGCCCAGCCAGAGCCCAGACTTGAGCCCGATTTAACATCTTTGGAAAGACCTGAAAGTAGCTGTGCACCGATGCTGTCCATCCAACCTCACTGAGCTTGAGAGGATGTGCAAGTAAGAGTGGGGAAAATCCCCAAATCCAGGTGTGCCAAGCTTGTTGTGTCATACACAAGAAGACTGGAGGCTGTAATCGCTGCCAAAGGTGCTTCAACCAAGTACTGGGTAAAGGGTGTGAATACTTATGTATATGCAACATTTGAGTGTCTTATTTTTAATAGATTTGCAAAATGTTATAAAGTTTTTGGCTTTGTCATTATGGGGTATTTTGTGTAGAATTTTTGAGGGAAAAAATGAATTTAATCCATTTTGGAATAAGGCTGTAACATAACAAAATGTGGGAAAAGTGAAGTGGTATGAATACTTTCTGGATGCACTCTAGGTGACTACATGGGGGTTAGCACCATTTTGAGGGGTGTCCGAAATCTCAGTAATTAATTCCAGTTCCCTATATAGGCGACTCAAAATTTCCCATAAAGCATTGCAAAATGTAGTGACCATCCGATGGTCACTCACCGGTGGTGGGCATCCCGTCATGCATTGCGTCTTGCTATGTAGTGTCCGAAACCTCCGGTAATTGATTTCACTACATAGTCAACTATATAGTGAAACCCCATATGGGGGTTAGGGATTAAGTGATTCATTTCAGACAGAGCCATAGACTGTATAAAGAATGGACAGAGTCTGCCTCCTCGCTGGGTGAAGCCACTCCGAGAACAGCACCCTCAGTTGATGGGCTGCAGTATAGATCATAAATCCCGCCTCCGCCAGCAAAGCTGGGGTTGTGGACAAACTATAGAAATTTATTACACAGAGCATAATTATTTCTCCCCCCTGCTTGTGATGTTGACATGTAGTTACTGTAAGACTGGTTTGTGCTCAAGTCCTCTTTTTTCTGTACAGCTCCTTTTTTAAAAGTTATTAGGGGGTTCATGTTTTCTATGATTGACACCTGATACAGCCTATGGGTGTTAAGGGATTGCGTAGCTCTCCCGGGGGCTACGCTGTGAGCAGACCGTCATCACAGCGACTCTCTGCGACTGCGCGGCCGAATGCGTACATCACTACTGTGCTGCGCTGGTTTCAGGAAGTGAAGAAAAATCCCTGAAATACCGAGAGCTATTTGGCTTCAAATCCGTATACAGGGGGGAGGTGGAACCAAGTTGTCCATAGTATATACAATCTATGTGGGTAATATGTGTCTGAGTGGAATAAGGAGCGTTTGAGGCTAATATGTACGAAAGAGGATTAGGGCCACAAGAAGAAAAAAAAATACAGGAGGGAGATTTTTTTAAATTACCATTTCAAGATTAAAGTCAAAATTTTAGAAAGTTGAAATTTCAACTTTATCGTGTTGACTTTAATCTCCAAATTCGGACTTAAACACGTATTCTCATTATCCTGTAGTCTATAATTTTATATATATATATATTTTAGGGGAAATTGAATCTTAAAAAGTAAGTTTAATGTCACTGAGCAAGTTTGGGGGAGGAGACCTAATATTTCTTTTCTAATAAAACATCTGTCCTCATAACTTCTTTGCTCTTTAACTTTTTGACTCATTAACTTTAATTTTATTCCCTTTTTTTTTACCTGTGTTCGTACTTGTTGAGATTTTTGTGGCGGCACGTGGACAATCAGGGAAATCTAAGAAACCTGCAGATTGATAAAAGACACTCGAGTCAGAGGGTTGCGTGTTTTTGGTTTTATTGGAGTCAGGGTTACAGTGAAGACCTTAACTTGAGGTAGCATTTCCCCCCTAACTGTTTAAGATTAGGTTGCCCTAAAGATACAGAAACTCCTCCTCTGTGCTGATGGATTGGCGTGGCTCTGAGGTTCAGCGGGCAGCGGGTATCGGACAGAGCTCAGCCTCCTGCTAACACGGCGAACATGACGAGTCTGGCTTTTATTTCCTGAACTGAGCGATGGGAGCCGGGACTTTGATGTCCTGTCCCTTCTCCAGCCTCTTCTCACACTCGATCAGGTAGTGGACACCATCGATCAGGAGCTGCACCAGCTCCACCTGAAAAAAAAGCTCAGAGGTTACTCCTGCCACATCCTCGAGATCTCAGTTTAAAGACATTTACTAAATCAAGAGTGAAAAGGCAAAGAGTTCCTGACCTCAGATTTTCCCAGACGATCATTGTTGGAGATGTCAAAGGTGTCTCCGACAGCAGCTGTGTCCACTCCTCCTGTTCCTCTTTTCTGCAGCCGCAGGTTGTCCAGGATTTTAGAGAAACGTGAATCCTGCAGGGGCGTTTTAACAGTTTGTAACTACAACAACACCTAAACCCAAAAACTTAAGACTTTTGTGTTAAAAGCACAACAGCGAGATTTTCCGTCTTGTGTACCTTGCTGAGGTTGGGCAGGCGGACGTGCACGCCTGCTCTCAGCCCGGTGCCCAGGTTGGAGGGACATGTGAGGATGTAGCCCAGATGCTCATTCCACATGAACTCCCAGCCTCTCTCCTGGATCAGGTGCTCCACCTGATGTCAGACATCACATGACCAATCAGTCACTGCGTTGCCTCTCAAATCTAAAATTGCTTACATTTTCTGCGTCCCTTTAATTCTGTACCTGTTTGAGTCCTCTGCAGAACCTCTCAAACACTCTCTTCATGTTTCCTCCTTTCTCCATGGAGATGACTCTGGTGTGGTCCTCCTCATTGATCCAGATCAGGAAAGTCTTCTCATTGTTGTGCCTGAAGAAAGAACCAGCTAAAGGAACTAAATAAAGAGCTCTGCAGGTCAAACACAGTCCTTGCTAAACCCAGATGAGTTAGTTTGTCAGAGGAGGGATCTCAAGAGATGCAGTCACCAACTACAACAACAAATGATGAAGCTCTGTAAGTGTGCTGAAGTTATCTCCATGACAACAGAGAACAGTTTTGTGAATATAAGGAACTCACTCATGCAAAACAATCTGTGATCTGTGGAAAGAAGTTTTTGTCTTACACAAGATTTCCGTCCGTGCACGACTTTATAATCTTGTACGCGAAAATAATCACGAGTTTACAAGTCATGACCTTGAGCCCAAATAATTTAACTTCTGTGCACAGTTTCAAATCACATCCCTAAAGTTCATATCTTGTGCGCAAAAGCTTCCTCGAGTGAACTTTGGGCCAACCCAAAGGCCTCCCTCCTCCCCACTAAAACACTTCCACAGGCGAGGCATCCAGGAGCCATTCTTATCAAATGCTTGAACCACCTCGACTGACTTCTCTCAGTGCGAAAGAGCAGGTGCTTTACCTCCCTCAGATATCAAAGTTCTGGACCTGATCTGAGCCTAGCCCAACTGCTTGATCTCAATCTGCCTGCAGATCGTAGAATTAAAACGTAGATGCACAAGACTGTCTGGGAATCAAACCGGTACTTGGAACACCTGCACCCCAAGAATTCGTGATACTTTTTCACTTGGGGCAAAGACTATCCCCTAACCGAGAGAGAGAAGTCCACCTTACAACTGCATCAAGAAGTATCTGTAACACAGTGAACTCAATACGTTTGGATCTGCCTATAACCAGTTCTGCCAATCTTCAGGATCTTGTCTGCACAATTCATCATCCTTTGTACAAGAGTCAACATCTTTGTGTGCACACAAGTTTTTACCTTGCTTCCAAAAGTGACTATCTTGTGTGCACAGTTAGTGTAGGAGCCAAAATATATTTGTTGAAAGTATGATTTCTAATAGGTACGTCACTTCCGGGGATCATCACTAAGAGGTGTGGTTTTGGGATGTTTGGCGGGTTATTTAAATCTCACCGGTGTAGTCAGACAATGTTTTTTTGGTGAGCTCTGATCATTTTCTGTTGACCGTTTTTCAGTTATGCTGTGCCTAAAGCTAATATCTTGTATGCAAAAGTCATAATCTTGTGCACAAATTGCACAATTTATGCTTGTGTGTCTGAAAGTTACTAAAGCTGCTATCTGACCACATCTAAAGTCTTTAGCGTAGGATACAGGGATCTTGTTTTTACTTTTTGCATGCAAGTCATGGCCTTATGCACACAAGATAATTTTTTTTTACCAGATAATGTTACAGTGCACAAAAGATAATCATATGGTGCACACAAGGTTGTATCTTGTTTGTAAAACCTCCTTCTCCTCCTCCTCAGAGCTGACTGTAAGATTTAAGATGTCATTTCTAAAATTGTTAGTCGGGTGTTAAATCCGCCTCTTTTACATGACAAAAGCTCCAGTGACACCGTTTTCACACCAACATGCAAAAGCAAGTCTAAACTTCAGAGGAGGTTGAAGCTTTTATGAGAGGTTGAAGTCCTGAATCTCTGGCCTGGATCTGAAGGTCGTATTCAGGGTCTAATGGTCACACAGCAGACATGCAGGAGAGCTGAACAGACCCTACCATATGCCCCTGGCGTCTGGCCAGTCTCGGGCCATAAAGGCGCATGTCAACAACGGAGAGACTGGTTTGTCAAAGAGGAAGTGGTCCTGAAGGAGGGAGAGGAGGGTGAAGCAGAAGGAAGGAAGAGGGATGTTAAAGAGGAAGGAGGATGTTTACCACGAGCGTAAAGCTTCAGAGGGATATAAAACCCCGAGCAGACACGCATCCATGTGTTTGATTTCTTACTCTGATCATGTCTGGATGTGTGTAAACTCAGAGCATCTGCTCTAGAGAAGGACAGGGGGAACAAATCCAGACTCTGTTTTCCTGTTTTCTTGGCAGATCTAACACCTTAAAGGGATATTCTGGTGTAAAATTAATTTAGGGTCAAACACAACATAACACCGAGTTAGACACCCCCTCAAGAGATGAATGTTACAGAAAAATTGCTTCTCTAGTTATACCAACTTAAGTATAAGGAGACAAAGAGATCAGGAGACAGAGAGACAAAGGGACAGAGAGACAAGGAGACAAGGAGATGGGGAGACAAGGAGACAGAGAGACAAGGAGACAGGGAGACAAGGAGGAAAAGAGATAAGGATACAAGGAGATAAGGAGACAGAGAGACAGGAAGACAAGGAGATAAGGAGACAGGGAGACAGAGAGACAGGAAGACAAGGAGATAAATAGAGAGAGGGAGACAAGTAGGAAAAGAGATAAGGAGACAGAGAGACAGGGAGACAAGGAGACAGGAGGACAAGGAGATAAGGAGACTACAGCGGGGTGACACAGCTTAAGGAAGAACATAATTTTTTTATCATTTCCTTGAAGTAATAATCATCATATTAATCATTTATCACTGCAGACGCGGTAGTTCTTCTGCCTTAGCGTCTCGGTCTGATTGCATTTCTATAAAGAAATGATCATAAATGTTCTTCCTTGAGCTGCGTCACCCCGCTGTAGTCCGTAATGGACTGGCCCGAGGTCTCATAACACACAAGAAATTAGGCAAAGTTAAAAAGATGTTTGGTGACTAGAACTATTGCTGGGACCCTATATGTGCTGTTGATGAAGTTAGGTGCTGTTCTGAGCATTATTTGTGGCTATAGAGTGGCGTTTTGGTTGAGGTTTGTTTATGGCTCCTCAGACCGCTGTGTATTGCTATCCTGCGGTCGTTACTAAAGTTGGTATAACTAGAGAAGCAAGCGGTCGGCAACATTCATCTCTGGTGTCTAACTTGGTGTTACGGTGTGTTTGACCCTAAATTAGTTTTATGCCGGAATATCCCTTTAAAGTTGGGGTGTCACTAAACTGTACTAGCCTTACCAGATCCCTCTAGAGTCAGGCCAGTCTCGGGCCATGAAGGCCGAGGTGAGTAACGGAGACACAGGCTTATCAAACAGGAAGTGATCCTTGAGTGGAGCAGCATGTGATAATCAAACAGAGGTCAGAGGTCAGCTAAACTATAAAAGAAAAACCTTGGTAACATGATGGAGGACTGAGAGGGAACTAATCAGCTGATGTTTGTTCTCATGGTTTGACTCACATCGATGAGCTGCTGCTGCTCCTTATCCGTCATGTCTCCCAAGCTGTAGTAACGTCCAGCCAGGTCCCCCTGCAGGCCGGCCAGAGCTGTCACCACTACCCGCTCCACCTCCCGACGCTCAGCTCTGGAGCAGGCCGGGGGGAGGCTCAGACCGCGGATACTGCGTCCGGTACGGACACGAGACGACAGGACGTACTTATCATCGAAAATACCGTTAGTGATCTGGACGAGGGAGACAGATAGGAAATGGTTTTACATGTTTCAGATCAGCTGATAGGTGGAGGGATCTCGCAATTTTAGGGCAGTGCAGGTGTAACACCTTAGATGAGTCCAGGTCAGTGGGGTGGGTCATGGTTTTGGGGTCGTAGCCGTTGTGCCTGTCTTTGATGACGGGGTCAAAGAGATCAGCAAACACCTGTGGAGGGTGGAGATCAAGGCTAGGTTAAACCCAAACAGACTCTTCCAGCAGATTACACCCTGACCTTTGACCTTCTTACCTCGTAGCTCTCCTCATCTCCAGCCACACAGCCCACAGTCTTGATAAATGGGTGTCCAGGGTTGTCCACACCAGTCTGGATGCACTGGTCCAGGGTCCAGTTGTTGGGGGTGAGTTTGTCCCTCAGTTTGGCGTAAACGGCCGGGGACAGAGCCGACGCCATGCAGTTGTTGTGTTTCCTCAGATCAGGGAAATCAGAGCTGCAGGACAGATTTTTTATCTTTAAACCAAAGAGTTTGTTTGTTTTTTTATACGTTGATAAAAAAAATACTTTCTTCTTTGTTTCTTAAGCTAAAAAAAATCTTTAGACAACACCAGATTTTTCATTTTTTTTTTTTTTTTTTTTTTTTACATAATATTTAGTTTTATTTAAATGTGGTCAAACATAAATCATATTTACAGTGACTGAGAACCGCTAATGCTGCAAATAAAAAATAATGCAAAAAAAGAAGCCACAGTGATACCGATGCAAAAAAAAAGAAAGAAACCGAAGCCCACTGCAAATAAAAAAAGAAACAGTGCAGATTAAAAAAAAGAAAAAAGGCCACAATGGAATTTGAGATCGAATTTGTGTTTGTTTTTTTTTGTTTGTTTTTTTTTTACACCCTTTTATTTTCGCAGTAAGTCACTTTTTATTTTGCATTGCCACTTTTTTGTGTCGTTAACTTCTGTTGTGGCTTTTTTTTTTTTTTTTTTGCATTCTTTTTTCATTTGTAGCAGTGGCGGTTCTCGGCCACTGTACATACCAACACAAACACTTAAATTCAGGACAAAGCAGAATAAAGAGAAAGGAAAAAAATTGTTAAAAAGGTAAATAAGTGCATACATGAATAAATTACACCCAAAGTGCCACGAGTTGATAGTTGATGTGGCCTCTGGTAGTGAAATAAATTAACATAGGAAGAAAAGAGCAAGAGAGAAAAAAAATACATATATATATATATATATGCATATCCGTACAAAAAAAATGACTATATAAATACAATGTATACAATAAAAAAAATGGTATTATACTAATTAAAAGTAAATACACAAATAAATTCATCAGCACAGCCCTGTCTACATAAATAATCATGTTTAGTGAAACTGTAATTCCCACATTAAAAATCTTTTAAGTGAACACATATTTTTCAGAGTTTGATAAAAAAAGAAATATACTTTAATGTGTTTTACATTCAAAGTTTATCTGATGAGCATAAAATGTGTCCTGCTTTGGTAAAAGTAAACACTAAGAAAAAGAAAGTTTCAACTTTGGGGTCATTTCAGGCCCAAAGTTTTTTTTTTTTCTCACTTAAAGCTGCATGTTTCATTTTTTGGCCACCTGGGGGCAGCACTGCTTCCTGCAAACACGTCAGGGTGCGATAAGTATTTGCATTTAATTCTGTCTGATCCATCAATAGTGCAAACATATCAGTCTGCAGTCTCAGGACCTAGTTTGGGGTATTTAAATGATAAAATATAAAAACTGCCCTGAAAGGTTAAATAACTTGAAATTTCCACCTAAAATCCAGAGAACACGTTAAATTCAGAAGGTACGATCCTCTGATTGTGTGTAAAAGCTCATTTCCGTCACATATCCAGACTTGTCCACAGAGACTGCCTCTCTTAAAGAGGGATGGTGGACCACAGGAGGGTCTGGGTGAGAGAGAGTGAGTCAAAGGTGACACAGATGAAACCTGAGAGTCTCACTGATACTCAGAGCGGAGCCTCAGTTCCTCATCTGACCTTCAGTGCACTTTCACACTCTCAGATGTTTACAACTTCATACACATAATCCCGCTGATCATTAAAATGTGATTATAGTAATACTATATATCGTAACTTGGACTTTGATTTATCCGTTATCCAGATAGATGAACGGTTACTTATCCACTATCAGAGCACGTCTAGAAATGTCTAAGGACTTTCAAATGAGACATATAAATGGTGAAATCAAGTCTCTGAACAGACAGTGGGAGAGGCTGAAGAATGTGATTTAGTATTCAGTGTGAAAAAGAGGCTTACAGTGTCTGAAATCCTTTTTATTCTCTCATCAATGCTGTTTTCTGTTTCATTCAGATCTTGTGCAGTCTGGCTGTTTTACACTGGATATTGGAATTACTGTAGAGGCAGATAAGCCTGTCAGTCCAGAACATATGTACATTACAAAGGAACATAGAGTGGGCTGTATAGGTTTAATTTATATCATATCACACCGATCATCTCATCTCATCTCATCTCATCTCATTTCAACTCATAGCTTGTAATTACATTAGATTAGATAGAACTTTATTAATCCTTTTAAAAAATGTCCCCCAAAGGAAATTAAGACAGTTGTTTATATTATTATATCGTATTACAATTTATGATATCAAGTCATATCATACTTTATTGTATTCTCATATCATATATCATATTGTACTGTTATATCATATCGCATCATCTCTTCCATCATATCGTGTTGTATAGTATCAATCTGATATCATTACATCATATTATGTCTCATATCTGATTGTTTCTTATCATTTATCATATCATATCATATCATATCATATCATAGATTATCTTATCTCATATTGCATCATCTCATATCAATATATCATGTTGTATTGTATCAATCTGATATCACATATTCTTTCTCATATCTGATTGTTTTGTATCATTTATCATGTCACATCATATCATATACTGTACCATACCTTGTGTTATTGTATTAAGTCATAGATCCATAATGTAGCTGTCATAGTATATCATATCAAATCATTTCATATCATAAGATTATCTCATCTCATATTGCATTATCTCATATCAATATACCATGTTGTTTTGTATCAATCTGATATAATCCCATCATATTCTTTCTCATATCTGGTTGTTTTGTATCATTCATCATATATCACAACATATCATATCATATCATAGTATATCATATCATAACATAGCATATCATACTGTATCTTTTTACATCTATATGTATAGAATCCTGTCACATTGTATCCTATCATACCTTGTTGTATCGTATCATACATCATAGTATTATCTCATATAGTATCAACGTATTGTCGTATATCATGAAACCTGAATCATGCAGTATCATAACCCCGTCATATCGCCTCTAATGTATCCAATCACATTTGATTGTTGTATACCTTGATATATCCTTTTGTATGGTGTCCTATTGTATCATTTTGTTTCTGAAATCTCAAACGAATAAGGTGGAGGGAAAAAGTCAAAGTCTGGATGCTGACCCGAACCAAACTCTCAGAGATAAAAACATCAAAAACTACCAGGGAGGCTCGGAAATATAAAACAAAAACAGGCTGGAGCGGCAAAGAGTCTGCAGCCCAATCCCACGACACAGAGAATCGTCTCACTAACCCTGAAGATGAGACACTGAGTCAGAACCATGACCTGGAAATCGAGGGTTTACATCAGCTCCTCACACTTGGTCTCAATCAGGCCAATCAGGCTCTCTCACAACCTGAGTCTGCTCTGGGATGATTCCTTCCATCAACTCAGTAAAAGACCAGACCGAATGCCCTTCACAATAACACTGTATCTTGTTTTTGATTGTACTCTTGCATCATAAAGTATCTTGTATTATATATCCTGATACCACTGATACCATTGTTGAGTTCCGTCTGCTGCAGACCCACAAAAAAAACTGTGAGTCATCCTCCTGAAATGTGTGAATGATGTGAAGCACGTGGTCAGGTCCTCTGTTAAAGCAGATAATTATAGACATTGGACCGGACACTGACTCACCAAGGTCATCCATCCACAGCACCTCAAATAAACTCTCTGTTCCTCGATTCACAACCACACAAAGTAAAAAGTCACTGTACGAGAACCAAAACCTGCTCCAGGTCATCAGATTCAGCTGCTCATCAGCTTGGCGTCAAATCCAGATACACCGTGTTCCCAGTACGAAGGAGGACACTGTCAGTATCAAGTTTAAGGTTCTCTGTAGGGTCTATTTTGAGGTGGCCTTCTGTGTGATTTTTAAATGTTAAATGTGATTTTTAAATTGATAATTTCCAACTTTAAAGATTCATTAAAGCCGCTAACATGTCCTCTTTAGAGACAGTTTCAAGGTACCCTTTTGTTGGTGTTTTAAAGATTATTTTACAGGTAAATGACCTGTTTGTAGTAACCTCGGATGTGTTCAGGTACCCTTTAGCCCACATCTGGAGGTCCCCTCTAAAACTCAGCTTAAAGTACCCAAAACACTGACTTTTTTAAGTGCTGTTTTTAAAGATATATGTTTTTAATAACAGGGGAACTTTAGGGATCTTTAACAATACCCCTTTAAATCTGTTTTAAGGTACCATTAGAAGCAGTTATTTTATTATTCATCAATTATTAGACCACCCACTTGGGACTGATATAAAAATGTTCAGGGTCTCTAAAGGAACTCTTTTAATCTGTTTTGAGGTACCCTCTTGAGCCAGTTTTAAATACCTATTGTTGATTAGTGTGTACTGCCTTGTTTTAAGTAGGTTTTAATGTCTTCTATCTGTTGGTGTCCATGTCACAGTACTCTAAAATAAGGTTTGGAAAGCCCCCCAGAGGATCCAACATTAGGTACCTTTCTTCAGCTGTTTTGAGGAACCCTATTCAGTCCATCTTCAGGTATTTACTTGACTTTAAGTCTTACTTAAACACACTTTTCTCACTTTTTGGAGGTGGACTGAAACTGAAGAAAGGACCCCCAGGAAAGACTTTGCTCCCTTATTTCTGCTATACTGTGACTTTCTCTCCTCCTCTTTTGTGACTCATGGTTTCTACTTGAAGATCATTTCTTAGGAGTTGACAGCTGGTAAACATCTCAGAAACTCTGGATGACAATGATCTAGTTTTTGGCCTCTGTGGTTTTAAGTTTATCCGCTCTTACCTGGGAGGATAGAGCTTCGTCTTTGTGTCGGCAAACAGTGAGTTGCTTTCGCTCATCAGGAAGCTGGTTGCCATCGTTCCTGCTCCCAAGCTGGCCAGCAGCACAGCAGTGTTGCGGCCAGAGATCAGGCGTGTGAAAGAGCTCGCCATGTTTCTGCGCGTAGAGAAGTTTCTGTAAAAAAGCAAAAGAGCTGGAGAGAGAGAAAAAAGAAAAGGATACAGGTCATTAAATTTGTTGGGGATGTGATCGTTGAGTTCTCAAGCTTCACAATCACTGCAGAGCGTTTCTCTGCAGAGCCACAAAAGACTCCATTTGATGATGTTGTTTGTCGCTCGGGGCATGGAGGTTGTTTACCTCATCACTTTTTACAACATATCTGCAGCAGCCAAAAGTTCACTCATCCTCAGAGTAGTTGAACTAGTTTAACTAAAGAACAACACAAAGATTTAGAGCTCCCCCTGCTTACTGGCTTTGGTATTTGTCTTAAACCCCACCCCTCTCATGCTAACAGATAGTACATGGGTTCATGGGTCCATGTTTGTCATTATAGTTAGTTATTATCATCTAGAGGCTGAGTTTTAATTAAATAATTGATATGAAAAGGTGAGTCCTTGTTAAGACTTGAGGCTCCCACAGCATCCTGTCCTGGATTATCAGAGTAGAGGAGGAACGGAGAAAGAAAACAAGAGTTGTGAACTTTCCATGGCCATAAACTTCTGCTTCAAATCAATAAAAAACCTGCATCGCCCCAGATTGTGCAACACGTCTTGGTTGGTGGAGAGGACACATGTTAGGGGCTGAAGTATTCCTTTAGGCGGTCAATGTGGCGCCACGAATGCTGTTCACTGTCACATGAACAAGCAAATCCACTAAAAAAGCTAAACACATTACGTAGGTGTGAACTATTTCATTTTATCTTCATTTAAGACTTTTTAAAAAATGTTTTATGACCTCAAAGCTCCTGTTTTAAGCTTGAAATATCAAAAACTAACTTGAGACTTCTTACGAGATTTTAAAGTTCTTTGTGTGCTCTTTACTATTTCAACTTAGGAGCACATGTGCTCCTTGTGAAAAAAGTTAGTGCCAAGCCCTGTAATATGCTAACATGCTAGCCCGTCAGCTGCAGTAGTTTAGCCTGGCAGATAACCGTCTGTGTGTCTTACAGTTTTAAATATCACAAACTAATTAAAGACTTTTGTGAGTTTTAAAAGTGGGGGCTGTTTGTTTCAATTATGACCAAGCTAGCAGCGTAGCTCTCAGTTTTAAGAGTTGTCATTTAGTATTGCTAACTTGCTAGCCTGTTAGTTGCAGTAGTTTTGCATGGCAGATAGCCGTCTTTGTGTTTGGACCCATTGCTCCCTCTCAGAGCTCGGCTGCTCTTCTTTATTCTGATGCTGTTTTTTTTTGGCGCTGTATGCTTGTGTTAATTCAGGAGGGATTAGCGCCCTAAAAGAGTCTTTTCCAAAATTAAACCAACTTCTTTTCCCACATTTTTGTGCTCAGGGTGAACCTGTGTCCTCAAACCTGCTCTGACCGCCCCCACACTCACTTACTCAGGGTTTTTTGTTTAATACAGTAACAAGCTTAGGCTGCTGGGGGCTCCAGCAGATGCTCTTAGCCTCTTAGCATTACCACACAGCCGCGGGATGACTGGTTTCAGGTGTCTGCTAATGCTCCAGTTAGAGCTGCTGCACAAAGACGTCTGCCTGTGAGGTGTAAAGAGCTTAATTGATATTCAGATGGATTTAAACGTTCAGTTTAATGTCTTAATTAAATTGTCTTCATGAAACAGCTGAAGGTCATTTTCTGGCTTGTCTTTCACTCATGGTGGATGGTGACCGAGTCTTTTTATAGAGTAAAGACATCAGGATTCCTGCTAATCCCTAAAATCAAAGATGGCAGACAGCTCCTTAAATATAAACACTTCCTAAAAACCATCAATGCAGAAGTTTGAGGAGTAATGTTTGATGTTATGATTTAATCTAAATAAATATCTAATCCCTGCCCTCTCTCTGTTTCGAGGTAAATGGCAGCAGACACGATGGGTCAGAGGTGGTATTATTTATAGTTCACTCTGGGGTAGCGGACTTGCCAGGTCCTGGTGCCAAGAAACAAGCCATCTCTGGCTCACAGCGCCGTTACATTCTGAACTGGTCACAAGACCGAGCCCTTGTGAGACCACGTCAGCAGAGGATGTTAAGGTGAAGCAGAAATGAAGTTAAGACGAATAATGAGGAGGAGAAATTTAGGACAGGGTTTTCTCAGCCCGTATGGAGCCTGTGGATCATGTGGTCTTATGGTCAGGATTACACCAAAACCACTACCGGCCTGGGATCAGCCTCCCCTCCCCTCCCTGAGAGTTTGACCTTTTAACTCGTGAGTAGGAGCAAGACATAAGAAGAGCTTCGTCCTCTCCAGAGGACACGGGACAGCCACCTCCACCTCAGACACTCACCCTGAAATAATTTTTAAATGTTCAGGAAAAAAAAACACAAAAGGATTCGTCAATTTTAAGACAAATGTCTCATTTCAATAAATTTAAGTCGAATTCCCTCATCGAGTCCAAGTATGATATATTTTAAAACTTAAGGTGCAAAAATAAAGGTCTGAGGAGAGGCATGATGAGACATTTCTGCAGACACTTGTTGAGATTTAAGTTTTTTTGCAGTATAGATGAATTTTTTTAAACAGCGAAGCTTTCATCGAGTTTTAACCCACAAATTTAGACACAAACTCCCTCCACATTTTTTTCTGCAGAATCACATCCTGTTTCTAGTTTCTATCCTCTGTCTATCGTGACCATTCAAGATAATTTAGATTTTTTAACATGCAGACCCCCCGAAGATTCAACTGAAATCCAAAAAAACACACAAAAGCAGCTAAATCAAGCTTAAATTTAGGGTTTTACACACAGTCTAAGATTTCTGGAGTGACTGTCCTACATCAGAAGTAAAAACAAAGATACAGTACCTGTAGGAAAGCTGCTCTGCTTCTTGGTGAAGGTGTCCTGTTGAAGAGCTTTTCACTCTCCTCTCCGAGAGGACTCCGCCTCCTCACGTGGGATTACAAACTGGAGGCCAATCATAAGTTCAGAGACAAACCTTCACAAACCAATAAAAGACCACAGACATGATCCATGATGACCACTCGGGGTCCAATATCACCGTCCAGTTTGACCTTGAGTCTCAAGGTCAAACTGGACGGTGATATCGGACCAAGGCTTGAGATTTCCCACTACAGCCAAAAACACACTCAGGCTGATCTCTTCCTGCTCCTCTCACACTCTGACCTACAAACACAAAGATGATCGTATGTGTGTGAAATAAAAGGGAAAATAAAACCTCTTAGAAATAATGGAGGCAGCCGTGATTGAATTTTGTTGCAATCCAGTTTTCTGTCGATTATTCAGGCGGTTAATCTGATGAGAAAGCTTTTTTTTAACAGATGTATTACAATTTTTCAATTTCAATTCAATTATTTTATTCGATTAGCATTTAAAATCCACCCACAACAGATACATAATAAGTTTCAAAAGCATCATAAAGCTAATCGAAAAGGTGTAGGCTGAAGCTCATGCTTATTTTGCCTACCCTTTTTAAAAAAAAAACAAAAACTTTAGCAAGGCGACTCTTTAACAACATGGTCTGAGTTACACCACAAGTCTTCTAAAGAAAAGGGAAAAAGAGAGAAAGAAAAGATAAATTCTCAAAAACATGTTAGAAAATAAATAAACCAACAATATTCCATAACAAGTATACAGACACAACCAAAAATTTCAATATTTTGTTATTGCTCTTCTTCATACCGGATTTAAATATTTTCTTATTGCTTTAGTTTTATACATGTTCTTAAATAAGGAAAGTGAACTACACATTCTTAATTCCTCATCACAGCTATTCCACAGGTTAACACCTCTAACAGAAACACACCTCTGCTTAATATTCGTTCTTGTCTTAGTTTTTTTGAAGAAACCTGTTCCCCTCAAATCATATTGACTCTCTCTGGTTTCAAACAGCCTCAGAGTACTACGGCAAAGTAAATTATTATGTGCTTTGTACATTATCTGAGCCATTTTAAATTCAACTAAATCATAAAATTTAAGGGTATTTGAATTAAGAAACAGTGCATTAGTTGATTCAAGAAAGTGGGATCGATTTATAATTCTTATAGCTCTTTTTTGTAACCTAAAGATAGGATCAGTATTGGTTTTATATGTGCTACCCCATATCTCCACACAATAGGTCATATATGGAAGTAACAGAGAACAATATAGCGTGTATAGTGATTTCTTGTTGAGGATATCCTTTGTTTTATAAAGTATAGCAATGGTTTTTGACATTTTGGTTTTCACATTATTTATATGTGGCTTCCAACAAAGCTTATCATCAATTATCACACCAAGAAATTTGTTTTCATTCACTCTTTCTATTTCGATGCAATTGACCCTGATTTTAACTTGAGTTTTTATTTTTCTGGTGCCAAAAATGATAAACTTTGTTTTATTTGAATTCAGAGATAACTTATTAATGTCAAACCAATATTTCAGAATATTTAGTTCCTTTTCAACTGTAGTCAGAAGCTGTTCTAGGTTTTTACCAGAGCAATAGAGAGTGGTGTCATCAGCAAACAAAACACATTTTAACAGTTTGGAAACATAGCAGATATCATTGATATATAATATGAACAATTTCGGGCCTAACACAGACCCTTGAGGGACCCCACAAGTGACCCTCAATTGATTTGATTTTACATTATTTAATTGCACATACTGATATCTGTCATCCAGGTAACTTTCCATCCACATGTATGCTAATCCTCTAATACCACATCTCTCTAGTTTATTCATTAATATACTATGATCAATAGTGTCAAATGCCTTTTTTAAGTCTATAAAAACACCAACTGTATATTCCTTGTTGTCTATTGCAGTAGATATCCCTTCCACAAGTTCCATCACTGCCATCGAGGTGGACCTTTTTGCCCTGAAGCCATATTGATTGTCACTTAAAAGATTATGTTTCTCAATAAATGTTTCAAGTCTATGATCAAATAATTTTTCTAAAATCTTTGAGAACTGCGGAAGTAGTGATATTGGTCTATAATTGGTAAATTGGTGCCTATCTCCACTTTTATATATAGGAATAACTTTTGCTGTTTTCATTTTCGAAGGAAAAATACCTGTTTGAAAAGAAAGGTTACAAATGTATGTAAATGGTTGCACAATATATTCTATAATACTTTTAACTAATGTCATGTCTATATCAAAACAATCAGTGGACTTTTTATTCTTAAGTGTTTTGACAATATCAATTATTTCTCTATCATTTACAGCACTGATAAACATGGAGGAGGAGTTTTTAGTTATATATTGATCTATTTCATTGTTAGTTCTCGTCTTAGGGATGTCTTTTGCCGAGTTATAACCAACATGTACAAAAAAATCATTAAATTCGTTAGCTATTTCTTTAATTTTATCAATAATAATATCTTTATCTTTTATAAAGTATTCTGGATAACCAGTTTTATTAGCACCCTTTTTGACTATACTATTTAATACTCTCCATATTTCTTGTGTGTTGCTCCTGTTTTGGTCCAATAATGTATGATAATATTCTTTCTTACTTATTCTCATAATATTTACTAATTTATTTTTATATATTTTATACTTTGTTTCAGCATCTTTTGTCCTCTGTTTTATAAATCTCTTATATAAAATATTTTTCTTTTTACATGCATTCCCTATTCCTTTTGTAATCCATGGCTTATTTGAACACTGGTGCTTCCTGGTGACTTTCATTAAAGGGCAATGTTTGTCATATAACAGAATTAAAGTTGACAAAAATGCATCATATGCATTATTAGGGTCATCATTAACATAAACCTCATTCCAGTTTTGTTCCCCTAGGTCCACCTTAAGGGCAGCGATGGCTCTTTGTGTTCGATATCTTTTCATTTCAAGTATACAAGTCTTTTGTTTAGCTTTTATCTCAAAATAATTTTGAAAAATTGCAAAGACAGGAAGATGATCACTTATATCATTTATAAGAAGTCCACCCATTATATCATAATCAATTTTATTTGTGAATATATTATCTATCAGTGTAGCCGTGTCAATTGTTATTCTGCTTGGTTTTATAATTACAGGGAAAAGGCAGTTGCTGTACATTGTATGGATAAAGTCTGTTGTTTTTTGGTGTCCATTTGGGTTTAGCAAATCTATATTAAAATCACCACAAATTATTCGCACTTTTTTATCATTTGAATTGCTAAACACGGCCGCTAGTTTTTCATTGAATGTGTCTAGGCATGATCCTGGTGTTCTATAAACACAACTTATAATTATATTATCAGCTTTTTTAATATGGATTTCAATGGTTAAACATTCCAATATATTATCTATTGTGTTTGACATACATTCAATCTGGCTGCATCTCAAAGCTCTATCCACATATAAGGCAACCCCCCTCCCTTTTTGTTCACCCTGTTCATTGTAAATAATTCATATCCTTCCAGTCTCATATCACTGACTTTCTCCTCATCAAGCCACGTTTCTGATATTGCAATTATACTGAACTTATTAAATTTACTCAAATATTCTTTAATTTTAGAGAAGTTTTTATAAAGGCTTCTACTATTGAAATGTATAACTGACAATGCATTTTCCATTTTAATACTTACATTGAATTGGTCATCTGTGTAATACTTACAAATGTTGTTGTTGGTGTTATTATTGTAATAGTAATTGTCTGGATCAAAATTACTTTCAGGATCATGCATCTTGTGCTCTGTATATTCAAAGGTTTTAAAGTTAATTTTTTCAGTCTGTGTGTTGGGCAACTGCCCACCTTGACAGTCGTTTCCACAGGAATCTTCCTCTTCAAAGTCTCTGAATGGAAACATATAATCCTCATCCACACTTGTCATTTGTCTACTGTGTTGTTTTCACTGTCCGCTGAAGTGCTCCCCATCCACAATCCATTGTCCATAATGTCCAGTCTTCACACATTTCCATAGGAAGGAGGAATGTTCTCATTGACAGTTGCGATCATTTCTCTTTTATTTATATTGTTCTAAGTCTTTGAGATCTCTTATCATTACAGCTTTTGCTTCCTCGGGTGTGCCATTCAGTCGAATCATTACTTTGCAGTTTCTTGTCCACGTAGCTTGTATCTTATTTTGTTTTCTTAGGTTGCGTGCCTGTCTGGCGATGTCAGCGTTCTTTTTTGTTAAATGTTCATTCAGATACACACCAGTCCCCTTTAGTTTCTTTGCCTGTTTCAGTAGTTCAGCCTTGGTTTTACGGCTCACAAGCCGAACAATGATTGCCGGCTTTGTTTTGCTGTCTTTTTTGGGGAGGGTGTGACAGGTTGCAATATGATGACTTTGAATATGGACATTTTTAGTTGCGAGGAATTGTATAACTTGCTGTTCGAGTGTTTGCAGCTCCTCTGCTGGGGCATCCTCACCGTCTTTACCTCCACCTGCCATAGCTCTAGCATAGGTTCGGTGTGAAGTCTCCAGTCCATTTATGATTACATCATCCATTCTTGTGTATTGTTCAAGGTCCTCGATTCGCCGTTCCAAGTTATCTATTTTCTTGTCTTTCTCCATTATCAGATTTTTCAGTTGTTTTAACTCATCCATTAAATCAAGTAGCATACCTTGTTGTTTAGCCACTTTGCTCAGTTCATCCGACATGAAGTTTAGCGATTTCCTGATCTCCTCCAACTCCTCCTCAACTCCAGGGTTGACTTTCTTTGGTGGCATCTTGAGATCGGTTTCGCTGTTTTCTTCACTTATTCACCTTTAGCTCTGTTCAATCACAATCACTCAGCCGTCTGAACACACTGAAGGAGCCTCTGGTCACCGCCGCCATCTTTCCGGCGGAAAGATGGCGGCCATCTTACTGTTGTAACAAAGAAAATTTCCCTCTTTGGGAGTAAATCAAGAATTATCTTACCTTGTCTCTGTACGAGTCCTACTAATATGTTCTTCAAGTTCATCAGACTGAAAGGAAAGTCAAATCTATGCTACACTTTTTTGATGTAGTTGTCAAAACAGGAAGTGAAGACTTCTCGTGCACAGATATCTTGGCCACCCTAACCTGCAGTTGTGCCACCCCAGTCAAAGAGTCTGGGCACGCCCCTGCACAGCCGCGCAAAGGAAACAGTGAAATCAAAGTAAAGTCGAAGTTTAAAGTTTGAAGTTTTAAAACATTTTGCAGCAGATTTTTACCGAATGAGAGGAAACTCTGCCAAATTTTACCTTCTGCACTAGAAAGATGTTAAAAAGGCGACTCTCGTACTGGCAGGAGGAGGTTTTACAGTCAGCTGGAGCCTAAAATGCTTGAGTGAAATATTCTGTGTTCACACATCACATGACATGACACTAACCGCAGTAAGAAACCAGGAGGACTCTGCTGCATGTGTTGGCTTTCTGCAGAAATCTAATCCCATGGAAACAACAATGAAAACGTTAAATGCACTAAGGTCCTAAAAATTTCCTGACATCACCCAGTGAGTGAGCAATATTTGTGAACAGAAACAGACGACTTTGTGACCCTGACATCACCTGATGATTTGATTGCATTACTGATTGCATTTCCATTAAGTAATAATCATAAATGTTCTTCCTTGAGCTGCCAAACTCCACTGTTGTCCGTAATGGACTGGCCTGAGGTCTCACTACAAACAAGCGGCTGCTGGAAGAGAGTAGGTGAGTTGTGTTTAGTCTCTTTGCTGAAGAAATCGGTCAAAGTTAAAGAGATGTTTGGTGACTAATACTGTGGCTGGGACCCTATATGTACTGTTGATGAAGTTAGGTGCTGTTCTGAGCATTATTTGTGGCTATAGAGTGGCGTTTTGGTTGAGGTTTGTTTATGGCTCCTCAGACCGCTGTGTATTGCTATCCTGCGGTCGTTACTAAATTTGGTATAACTAGAGAAGCAAGCGGTCAGCAACATTCATCTCTCGAGGGGGTGTCTAACTCGGTGTTACAGTGTGTTTGACCCTGAATTAATTTTATGCCGGAATATCCCTTTAACTTTCAATTCATCACTCTTGTGTTTGCACAGCATTTCTGCACTTTTTCTGTAAATTTCTGCAAGTTCATTTAACATTCACTATCAGGACTTTGATTGATGGTGTCTGGTGCAAAGAGTTTGAACTTTCTCTGTCACCATATTTCATGAAAATGTGTAACTTTTGAACGTGTTTTTCTAACCTCCTCTTGCAGGTGTTTTTATGAAAGTTGCACCATCATATGTGCTCCTTTGAACGCTGAATAAAAACCCCACCACTACCTTCATTATAATCCTCTTTTATTGTGTAAATATCTGTACATTACACAGAGAAATGTTTGGAAAAATACAAGAGCAAACCTGGAATTTCAAAGTATGCAGGAATGTAAGAAATAAAGGTTTAATATATTAATGCATTTCATTGTTTTAAGATCCCCGACATCAGGAATGTGTCAGAAAGAAGAAACTCAATAAAACTCAGTAACGATAAACTACGAGGGTAAGAGGAGCGTCATGCTATTTTCATGCTAAAAACATGTTAAAGTCTAAAAACATTCGTCATAATTCAATATTTAAAGATATTATTATTTAAATATACCGTAAACAAGGTTTTAAGTATAAATATGATTCTAGTATCACATAAACAAGGAATGAATAATAACAGAAGAATATAACTGTATGCAGAAAAAAAGAGCAGAAAAAAGGGTTCTTCAAACCTGGAATTTTTTATACAAAACAGCATCAATCTGACAAAAAAGAAAAAAAGACATGATGTGCTGCGGCCTCTGATCCTAAAAACATAAAAGACATCATAACTTAATCAAATGAGGGAGCGTGCAAATGCAAAACTGGACGAATCCGAACCTTCAGTCTGAACAGAGAAGTTAACACAAAACCGGACCTGGCATTTGAGTTTAAGGACGAAACCTTCAAGTGTTACACTCCATGTTTTTATAATCCAGGTAAATTAATCCAGGATTCGTTTAAGACCGAGTGGGAGGGGTGAGACGTCATCAACAACGACGCACAGCTCAGATTGACGCCCCCACCTGGTCTCTCAGTTATTTTGGCTTCACTTTTGCACAGGGTGGAGTCACGTCATCCATCGTTACACACAGTCAGTGGCATCACCTTTATACAACAACAGGAAGCCCTTAAATAAGTCGAGTGAAGTGGTTTTAAAGATTGACCCAGTCAGTACAGGGATGAGGTCTGACTCAGAGATCAAGTCCAGTTCTTATTCTGAGCCCGGTACTCTCAATGCTCATCTTTGGGAGCGTTTCAGTAAATGATTACAGCCTTTAAAGAAAAACTTTAAAATATCATCAACTTTTATAACTACATTATAATTTTGCAGTCCCACAAAAGCACCATTTTTTAGTCTTATGCCCTTAAACGTTAATAAAGGGCGAGTTATTATCTTGTACACACTGTTTTATATTTTGTCACAAGTTTTGAAGTTCCAAGTTGAGTTTTTAGTGCGCAAAGTTAAAACTGATTTTTTTTTTTCTTGCAAATATGAGTCCAAAAATAATCAAGCTGTGCCTGCAAAATATTGGTTTTGTGTGGAAAAATAATTCAGGGTGCATGAAATTTTTGCCTGCATGAAAATTAGGCTGTTGTTTACAGGCTAACTGACAAAAGCTTTTATGTGTGCAAGATGGATAAGTTGTGTGCACAGGTTAATATTGACTATTGGTTGTGAGCATGAGATCCCTTTTTTTAAGCATAAAAGAAAATAAAAACAGTTAAAGGTGGGGTAGGCAGGAATCCGTTAAAGAAGCATCTTTTTTTGTGGTGTATATACAAAAAAGCTTTTAATATCAGTCAATAGCTGTTAGTTATTGATGACATTTGGCAATATAACAATATCGCTGTGTTTTGTTATGTCTGTGTAGTCAACATTTTACATTTTTTGAGCGGCCTGCTCTTTCTGACTGTAAACAAAGCTGTTCTCCACCTCCCCCATCCTGATTGGTTGCGAGGCGGAAGCTGGTCCTTAGTGCTGATTGTTGTGAGACAGATGCTGCTCCCCCGTGTCGTACACGAGCCCAAACAAAGTTAGCGTGCTACAATATCAGACAGTGGAAACCAACCAGAAAGTACAGAAAAGTGTCTGAATCCTCCTTTGACCACGACTGCCAACACAAGCAAGAAAACAAAGTAAATACAGGAGACTCTGGTGGAATATCGGGCGCTTAAAACGGAGGTAGACCGCACAAGAGCTAAAAAGCCAAGTTAACATAAACGATAGGGGATGCTTCGGGATCTTCGTGACCCTGTAACCTTTCTGCTGGACAGGTAAACCGCTTTAACAAAGTAAGCCAAGTGTCTGTAACAGAAGTGTTTCTTGTCAGACGGGACCTGCTGCGTGTTGTAGAACCGTTAAACTGTTGACCTCGGGTCCTGGACTATGTCACTTTATCCTAGTTGTAGAAGTCCTGCAAACATTGTGTTTGCTGGTAGTCTGTTGGCATCTACAGTAGCACCAATGCTTTTTACTTTCACGTTGACTGGGCCCCATTTGTAATTATCTGAAGTATTTATCTACATTATATCAGAGTTTAATTGGAACGATACGAGCAAGCAGGAGCGTCTGTTTGTGGGCGGGGCTTGCTGGAGCAGAGAGGGAGGCGAGAGGAGGAGCTGAGGGGAAAACTGAGTTTACATACAAGATTTCTCCCAAAAACTGGAACTTCCTCAGATCCTGACTACCCCACCTTTAAGTCATACCTTGGAGGGTTTTTTTTACATTTAGGCAAGATAATTCAGTTTTTGCACAAGATCATTTTTTGTATGATATTTGACTGTGCATGCAGAGAAGTAGTATGATTTTTGTGTGCAGAAGGATGACTTGATAATAACTTATGCACACAAGAATCTTGTACAACAACGTGCACGCACAAGATAATTCTTTGTGTGCTCATAGATCCCAGAGATAATTAAGTGTGCATCATTTATGTTACAGTGTGTGCAATCTAAATCTTGTCAACAAGAGTAAGTTGAGTGAACAGGATCAGCAGAAACATATCAGTGGACTTGAGGGGCTCAGAAAAACTTTTCCCCAGTTTTTCACACGTTTTTCTTTCTCGCCTGGTTCTTTCAGTCAAAGTCGGACTCGTTAGCTTCTTTCTTAAAATGCAAAATAAAAACGTTACTTCAGTTAAACTTCAGCTCCAATAAAGATTTTCAAAAAGAAAACTTCATTAAAAAAAAATCAGCAATGCTCGTGTGATAATACGGATGTTTGAGACAGCACAATAGCAGCAAAAGGTTACGTTCTAGTGCCGTGTTCATCAGCGCGTGTGTGTTTGTGTGTGTGTTATTAGCTCATTCTCTTTGACTTATTTACATTATCTTATTTTTACAAAAAGGCACATTTTCTCCTGAGGTTCCTAAGCTCTCGGTCCGGTCATGAAGTCATGTTTGTGACTGAAAACATGAGAATCGGGAGGACGGAGAGATTAACCAGGAGGTACCCGGGGTTCGATCTTCAGGGAGAGCTCGTAGAGGGTGTCCTCGTCCATCACCAGAGTTTTATCCAGGAGGAACTGAGTTACCTGGAGTCAGAAAACCATGTTATTTCAGCGTTTATTAACAGATCAAACAGGAGACTTTGTTTTTTTTCTCTGACTCACCTTTGGTTGGAGCTCTATCCTGTAAGGTGCTTGCTGGAACTGACGGATCTCTCGAATGATGTGAGAAATCTGAGAGGACAGGGAAGTGACAATTAAGTTCATTAAAACCTAATTAAAAATGTAAAAATCTGATATTGATGAGCACCCTAAAGACTATCTTTACCATCCTCATCTTGGAGAAGTTCACCAGACCCTCTTCTGTGAAGTTCGGCGTCCCCTCCTCGATGAAAGCCAGATCAGTCAGGTACATGCCCAGGTACGGGACACACGGAGGGTTACAGCTGAAACAGATGATGCAAACATGAGTCTGTGTTTTCAGATTTTCGCCTCTCTGTGTTTTCTCTTTTCATGAGCAGTTCTTACTTTTTCAGCGTCTCTCTGAGATTCTTGAAACGTCCTTCAGATGACACCGTCTTCTGCAGCCGATCCATCAGAGACTTGGTCTGAAAAACAAAGAGGGAAATCTTTAAACGTGTCCCGGTCTTGTAAAGGTGACCGAGCTGGACAGGGTGATACCAACCTGTTTGCAGACTTTAGCCCAGGTCTTCTTCAGCCTGAAGATGGCGCTGCGATTGAGAGCGGAGGTGATCTCCAGCACGCCATTGTAGTTGTTGAGGCAGCGGCAGATATCAGCCACAGCTAACCACTTCTCTATGGAGCTGGCTCTGGAGCCAACATCAGTGTGGGTCATAATCTGAGACGCCACCAGGTTACTCATCTGTGGAGAGAAAGAGACGTGAACTTCTTTATCATAAAAGTGAAAAACACTTCATGTTATGAACACAATTGACCCTAATAGATCACCATTGTGCCTTAAATGTAAGTTAACAAATGGAACATATATACACTACTTCTGAAGCTGTCCAAGAATATCAAAGTTCTGGTCATGTGTATCTAAGGAAGTGACAGCAATACTCAAAAACAAGATCTGTGAAGATCCAGGCCAGTTTCTGTTGGGGCTGCCACCTACAAACAACGTTATGGATGGGAGATCAAAATTACATAATAAACTCTTACATTTGGCTGGAAAATATATACTATTTAATTGGACTAGCAAAAAACCTCCCACTGTAACTCAGTGGTACAAAGAATTTTTTATAGTTTTACTGATGAAAGAGCTAAGTGCCAAATTAAAAGGGAATGATGATATCTTTATGGACACATGGCGGCCCCTTATAGATTACTTGCCTAAAGGTCTAAGTGAAACTATATGGAAGGGTCCAGACTGAGCTAATGATAAAAATACTTTATACAAGGACACAGATTTCTTTAATTGATGACATATTGTTGTGTTGATGTTGGAGTTTTTCTTTGTTTACCCTTCTTTTTGTTTCCCCCCCCCCCCCTCATGTTTTATCCTTTTCTTGTCATTTTCTACCTTATTTGAATTAAAATTTCGCATGGTTCTATGTAAATTCTGAAAATCAAACCAAATCTGGTTATTAAAAAAAAGGGAAAAAAAAAATCTCAAAGTTGAAGAGGACTCTTCCCCTCCAGAGCCATGCTGTTGTAATCCCTGTTGTTAGAATGTGGTTTGGGCTCATATGAAGGTCTTCTCTGAAAAAGTCTTTGTCTGGATGTCAGCAGATGTTGCTCCTAAACCTGTAGATATGGTTTAAAACAGAGGATGCAGCATCTATGATTTCCAATTTTTCGTTGGAAGGACAACTGGACTTGCTTGAGGTCTCAAGTAAGTCCAGTTGTCTTTTCCATGTCGTGATTCCCACTCCAGAGTCCTGTCTGTTTTTAATGCCCTGGGGCCTCATTTATAAAACCTGGCGTAGGATCCATACTAAAAGTGTACGTAAGTTGAAAAGCTGAAAAGTGCGTAGGCAAAAAAAAAATCTGATTTATAAAACCCTTCCTACGCACACCTGCACGCACTTTCCCTTTATAAATCACAGACCAGCCGGAAAGTTGCGCAGCAGGGATTCGATTCATGCCTCGCCCTCTCCACACCCAAAATTCACCATGTATGGTCATGCAAATTCCCTAATGAATGTGATTTGCATATAAATAAGCCTGATGGATCCACGGCATTTCACGCTTAACCATGGCATCAGCAAGTCGTAGAAAAAGAAACTTTTCAGAGACCGAGGTGGAGGTTCTTGTAATTGAGGTGGCGGCGAGACGGGAGACCTTATTCGGCGGCCATTCGAGTGGCATCACCAATAAAAACGCCGTAGCGGTGGCGGTAATTGCGGTTGGCACTGAGCGCAGCGTTGCCGAAACAGTGTTGTTTTCGTCATATTTCGTCAAATATTTTCGGCAACGCCAGCGTCAAAAAAGGGAAATATTTTCGTCAACGAGGTTTTCGTTGACGAAAATATTTCCCTTTTCTTCCACGACGAAGACGTAACGTTGACGAGCTAAACATAAGTCGGGGATGACTAAAATGTGACGAGACGAAAGTGCGTTTACGTTGATGGGACGAGATGAAAATGACGAACAGAGTTGCAAAACTCAGTCAGTTAAACGCTAAACATATAAGAGCAGCTTCTGTCCGCTATGACAGCTGTCATCAGCCTGCTGTGCTCCTCCAACACACAGACACAGACACACACACACACGCGCGCGCGCAAACACGTGGAGTTTTGTTTTCGTTGACGATGACGTTGACGAAAACAACACTGTGAAGAAGTGGTCTGATCTAAAGGTGGAGGCAAAGAAAAAAGTGGCTTTGCACCGTCAGAGCGTGGCGGCGACAGGTGAGGATCAGAAAAAACAAGCACGTGTGACACTCATGCATGTGTTAAAAAAAAAACTGCTCCGTTATCCACCGCTGCTTATGTGGTGAAAGTTCGTAAACCAAAAAGTTTTAGTCATATTAATCTTCAAACAAATGCATGTAAATGGAATTTGTTTTTTTGCACATTTGTAAATTCAAATTGGCAAACTTTCTACACCGCCACAGTGGGGTCTGTGCTTTCTGCGAGCATCACTGCCTGTTACAGCAGCTGCAGCTCTCAGGACAGAGAGGCTGCATCGAGTCATCTGTTGTGCTGAACGCATCATCCGGACTGTTCTCACCTTGCTCCGATTGTCTCCAAAAAGTGCGTAAGCAAGGTGTGGAGTTTGCTTAAAGTTGCGCACATTCCTACACTAGTTTTTCTTTTATAAATCCCAACTCTTGCGTAAGAAGTGGCGTACGCAATTTCTAGCCAGGTTTTGTGCGTAAGCAAGCTTTATAACTGAGGCCCCTGAAGATTAGGACCATCCATTCCTGGTTCTGGCCCTTGTCCCTTTAGTAGGGGAGAGTGGGGTAAGATGAAACATTTCGGATCACTACATCAAGTTGATCATAGTTTTGTCTCTAACTAGTGTTGAAGTTGTTCATCCCTGCAAACCAACAGAATGAGTGTAAACAGAACTGTCTTGATAATATAGCATGCCAAAAAAAAGTGGTCTCCTATGGTCAACTTACCCCGTGTATGGGGTAAGTTGAGCTGTGTCCCTACTACCCCCCACTCTCCACCCCAGCCCTCCCTCACCTGCTCTCTCCCTAAATAACAGTCACTTCTTCACATTCATGTGTATTTTTATCTAGTACACACTATTCAACTGGTACAATATTTCTTTTTATTATTATTGCATATAACTGCTAAAAAGCTGTTTTGTAAAAAGTCATTTTAACATGAGAATGTCTTTAAGTGATTCAGAACATTCACAGCTGTATTTTTGAAAAGACAAAGTAAAAACATTTCAACAATCTGAACTGAAACTCTGATCAGACTATTTTACTTTCTCAGTTACCCCAGAACCACTATTATGACTTTATTAGTCCTCTAAGCTAAAATGGTGGACTTTTATGTTAGGTTTTTGACCTCATGTTGTAGCTCATAGATACCACAATTGATATAAAAAACAAATTTAAAATGATCTTGAACATAATTCTTATCAAATTTATGACAGACTAAATTCACTTTCAAGAGTGAAAAATGTTTTTTTTGTAAATAAATGTCTAACCCCTTCACCCATGTGCTTCTAATCTTCACAGACTCCATGAATTGATGCCCATCTCCTAAATATTTGTTGATGATCAATTTCTTTGACCATTTCCAAGCAGCAGGGTGGTTCAACTTACCCCACTCTCCCCTAAAGAGATTTCTCCAGATCCTCTAAATCTATGAACGATATTATAGAATGTAGATGATGAAATCCATTAAGGAACTTTATTCTCTCTCTCTCTCTCTAGTCTTGGTTTTGGTCCTTGTCCCTTTAGTACAGAGAGTTCTCCAGATCCTCTGAATCTTTGAATGACATTATGTACTGTACATGATCCACTCAGGAACTTTATTCTGAAACTGTTCAATGTTCTTTTTTTGGTCTTACATCGTTAAAATGTTGGCTGGTCTTCATGATATATGGAGTCCTCTCTGTCTTATCCACCTTCATCCAGCCCTGACCAAGAAACTCCCTGAAGGATCAGAACCAGAATCATCATCATTATGTGAAAACTACAGACTTAAAAAAGTTAAAAATTTATCAAAGTTGGCTGCTCTGTTGTACTTCATGTTGAACTCACTCATAAGGGATACTCCTGAACACAATGTGATCCAGCAGAGTGATCTGTTCGGCAAGCTCCATTGCCGACAGAGACTCGAAACACTCGGGCTTAGGACTCTCCGCCTGCAAACAAACATTTAAAACCTCAGCAGCAGAAATTTTATTAAACCTGTGCTTAACTAGAGAAACACACAAGTGCTAAACTAACTCCACAAACTAGGACTGAGGAGCGACAGTGCTTACTAAAACACACGATAACTACCAGCTGCTGTTTTTAAAGCTGCAGTCAGATCAGTATTCTTACCACGATGAAGTGGAGCAGGGGGCAGCTTTTCTGCAGACAAGTTATTCCAAATATTTACTCTTTAAAATTACATCCACAGTACAATCCTGTAATATTAGTATTAATGGAGGATAATACTGACCATCTGTAAAATGTCTTCGATCTTCAGCTGAGCATCATCCTGTTCTTCTTGAGAAAGGGCACTGCAGAGAAAAACCCCCTCAACATCTTCAGTGCTTCAACCAAATGCATTAATATGCTGTAAATCCTCAAAAACTGCTGTTTAATCATCAGCCAGGCCCCGTTTAACGAGCAGGATTCACAATTATCTCTGTGCAGTTTGAGATTACAGCTGTTAGCATCTCCACTCTCTGCTGCTCAGAGCTGCTCTGTGCACTTTAATCCTGACAAAGTTAAAAGAATGCTGAGCTGGATGGAGAGGGGAAAAAAGTCAGCGGGTTTAACAGTAAAAATCTGTTACACCCTGACAACAAAAGACCGCATTTTCTTAAAAGGTAAGAACTAGTTTCTGTAACAGTGAACTAAATTGAAAATAGTTAACACAGAACACAAAAAAAACAACAAAATACCTTAAAATAGTAATGAGCAAATGCTGCATTGTTTGCATAAATAATCAGTTAAAATTACAGAACAATCAATTGTGAGAGGGAAAGTCTAAATCATTTTACAGTGGAGTTAATTAACACTTATGAAAAAATTCAGCAGATTTAACAGTAAAAAACAGTTTAACCCTGACAGTAAAAGACTGTAAATTCTACAAAGGTCACAAACAGTTTTCGTAACAGTGAACTAAATCGTAAATAAATAAAACTGAACACAAAAAACTGCAAAATACCGTAGCAAATGCTGCTATGTTTGCATGAATTACCAGTAAAAATTACAAAACAGTCAATTGCGTTAAAGAATTAGATTTAAACAGAAAATGTAACGCAATAATCCCAGTAAGATTTACAGTGATGTTACTTCTTAAATTAGGTTGTTTTTTGTTAAATTTACAGAAAAATATAATAACATAATATCTTTTTTTTTCAGTAAAAACGTGCATTTTTATGGTTTGTGATTACATTAATTTTTAACTTCCACCATTAAATTTACAGCTGTCATTTTCCCTTCACTGTTACAGCTAAAAAGGTTGTACGGTACTTCACTTTAAAAAAATCAGACTTTTTTACAGTGTATAACAGATGTGACAAAGTTCACATTTTCTAACCTTCAGTTATTTTTTCATAAAATAAACAAAACCCTATTGCGGTAATGGGACTGTAAAAGAACATTCTGCGCTCGCCTAACTTGATAAGAAAGTTTTAACTTTATATTTTCTTCCTTTGGTCGCATTTCACATATTTGCATGTTGCATAAACTACACAGAGTATATCTATCAATATATATCATAATAAAAATCATTTGTCCCTCCCCTTATTAGTTTAAGTGTCAAGTTTATTAATGTTTTACCTTAATATGTTGCTGGTAGCTTTCCTCTCCTGGGGCAGCAGGTCTGGATCTCGCAGCACCTCCTCCAGGAGACCCACCACCCCCATCTTCAGATCACTGTTCATCTCAAAGTCCTGATGGAGGAACAGATTAACCACAGTGTACAGCTGAGTCACAGTTTGAGATCATACAAGCGTCTGTAAAATCATTTCTGCAGAAAGATAAAACCTGTTCTTCTTATTCTGATTGTTTAAAGACACTAAAGTGATCACTCTACTCTCTGTGTTTGGAGCCTTGACTGCTGTGCACAGGAGAAAGGACGCCCTCTAGTGGACGTCTACATCATGTGCAGTGTCTCAGTCGTTTTATCTGTGGTAGAGGTGGGCACATACAGCCTAATGTAGATCTGAAGCTTTCGTTTAATTTGAGCCGGACAACTTTAAAGCTTCAAACTCAGTGACATATTGACGTTTGTAAAAGTGAAGCTAGGTCCGAAGAACCAATACACGTCTCATATATTTTAAGTTTTAGTCTTTTTAGGATGAACAGTCTGGGCTATCTATGAAATATCTCTGCAGAAATACATGATTTAAGTCACTATTTAATGCTCCTCTGGTGCTCTTTTTATAAAAAGGTAAAATATGGGTCAAAAACTAACCAAACCTTCCTGATTTTTCCTCTGATTTATGGAACAAGGATTATTGTCCAGGCTAAGGCTGATGTGAGTGTTTCTCTGGTCCAAACACCGACTAAAGGTCAGCGCCTCAGTCTCAGATCCTGCCAGAGTGGTTTCTGTCAATATCACCAAATAATAAATGTTCACTTTTCAGGCTGCCACATTAGGGAGCAGAAATAACCTCTCTTATATAATCTTAAATGAAAATGCTCATCCTATTTACTGTCCTGGGGAGGCGGCTGACCTTTCCACACGCTTCCTGGGTGGCAGAAAAGACACGCAGAGCAAAGAGCACCTCCATCAGGGGAAAGAGTGACGGGAGAGGATGCACACACGAGGCTGGAGGAGGGGTTGGGGTTGTGATGAAAACAAACAACAACAGACTCTCAGAGGGGCTCGCTGAGTCCTGGTTTGAGTTTTCTGTAAACTATTGGTACCGCTGGGTTTGTTTTTAGATCACAGCTGAGGGGAGCTGCTTCTGATGCTCTTGTTTTTGTTTTTTTTTTACAAAAGGGCAAAGAGGGGTGTGTAAAGAGGAGCAAGACGTCCAGGCCGGCTCAGAGAAAAAGTGACAAAGTCTCCTCCAGGTTTTCTCCTTGGTGGAGAAAATGCAACAAATGAACCTCCGAGGTGTAATCCTAAAGTAAAGCATCTTTGTAAGTGCCTCTCTAGTGGAGAAAAAATCATGATGGTGAAGTTTTGGTTAAAAAAATGCAAAAAAATTCCCTGAACGGAGACTTTCTTGTGAGAAAGTGCCCTACAGTTGGAGAAAATGCTCCATGATTTCCTGTTATTGGAGAAAACACCATGAAGTGATCACTGTTGAGTGAAGGAAATGTTACGCAGTGCCTTTTTAACGGAGAAAACACAACAAGGGTCCTTTTTCCAGCCCCTCTGGAGGCCTTAATGCAAGACGCACGTTTTCTTTTTCTGCAAGTCGAGCAAATTTAGACCACCAGGTGACAGAAACATGATAAAACAAGGTCTGTGTTCATCCTGTATCCACTGTGTTTGTGTCAGGAGAGTAAAAATGTCCTGTTTTTGTACTCTAAGAATACTTTTCAGTCTTCCTGCTTTTCTGATCTCTTTTTTTTCACACCGTGCTTTTATTCTGAGGGTATGACACACATTTTTTTTTGTAGGATGGTAGGGGAAGGTCCCGCCCTCCTTCACCTCTGATTGGCTAGAAGTGCTAGGTTCCAATTTGTTATTCCTTATGGCTGTCAAACATCATTGTCTGTCAGTTTAGGGTAAGGGTTAGGAGATTCAGAAGTGCAATAATGTTCTGTAAAGTTCTGTTCGATGTACACAGCCGACAGCCCGCTTTTTGATTACGTCTCCAGCACTTCTAGCCAATCAGAAGCGAAGGAGGCAGGACTTTCCCCTACCCTCCTACAAAGAAAAACAAACAAAAGCATCCAGGACAAATATGTGACTTTCACAGCTCTTAATTCAGACTAGAAGTCCTTTCAGACCGTGAGCGTTTTTTGGTGCAATGATTTCAGCTGTCAGTATTTTTTTTCGAACCTGTATCCTGTCAATACAAGTGTTCACATCAGCGACGTTGCAGCATTTATTCTTTCGGATCACGGCTGATTTTTCTAAAGTTTCGCATACTGAGTGTCCACTTCTGACCAATCAGATTGTGTTGTTGCGACATCAGATTCACCGGTATATCCAACATGGCTGACCGGCTGATTGTTTACGTGTCGGAGAACAGAGTGCTTTTTGATAAAAAACACAAATATTACAAAAATAACAACCTGAAGGACAATTTGTGGAAAGTCATAGCGTCTGATTTCTCATATGACGATGGTTTGTGTTCTTGACAGTTTGCTAAACGTCTTTAACTTTGATCTGTGCTAAGTAACTAAGTATCAGATACAACATACCATATGTATTTTCACTGTCTCAAACTCAATCGCGCTGCTGTAACAGCACCATTAGGTCTCGGTTGTTACCTTACGTTTATGGATTAGTGTCTTATCAGAACTGAAAAACAGTTAGTCTGGTGTTGTGTCAGTCTTCTCACTTCCACCCGGAACGCGTCTTCCCCCCCCCCGGAAAGTCGCAAAATCATATCACGCTTGATGTGTATCAGACACGTCAAAATTCACCTCCGAATATTTTGTAATTTCGCGTCATATTTTTGCGTTGTACCTGGTGTGCAAGGACCTTTAAGGTGAATTTCTGCAGAATAAAAGTCATCGTTGATCACACTTTTGCCCCCCTTATTCAGTAATACAATGAGTCCTGGAGACGTGAGTCTGAAAGGTTTTGGTCTCACCTGTGAGTGCTTGGAGACCCAGTGTCGGAGCACGTTGAGGACTCTGTTGGTTGCGGCTCTCCGTATGATGAACTCTTTGTCGCAGGTTTTCTCAGAGTTACTAAAACCTGGAGGAAAGAAATAAAACTGATTCAACGGTCAGTTTGCCTTCTTGGTGTTTTTTGACCTTCACTGCTTTCTGTACTGACCCTGCGAGCTGCTGTGGCCTGCAGCAGCCGTGGCAATCGCAAACGCCGAAGCGGGCGACATCGTGCAGCGAGAATTCTCGCCCGCAGTGACTACGAGGAAGCGAAGACATTCAAGAAGGACATCAGAGGAGACAGCTTTATTACTGTGTGTCTGTGTGTGTTTGAAGGACACATACCTCCTGACGTTCTGTAGCGGAGATGTCTTGGTGTCGTCGGGGAGCGGCACGGGGACATGTCCCCCCCTTCAGTGCTGGATGGAGATTCAGGAATAAACTTGTCCAGAGAAACCGACTCCAGGACGGCTTTTAAAGGGAGAGATAATGAAGGGTTAAAACACAAGGAAACTTTGGTCCCATCCTAAACTTTAAACTTTTAACAGAGAGTTTCCTCGAGTTAGAGCCGACACACTTTGACGACACAAATAAAAGTGCAGTTCCAGAAATTTTCTGCTGCAGAACCAGGTTTTCTTTTGCATGGTATCTATCAGTGGCGATTGCTCTAAGACTGCAAGTGGTGAAATACGTACGGCTGTGTGTACATTTCATTAACTAAATACGCGCTAGAAAGCCTTCATCTTTTGTTCAAACACTGTAATAAGAAGCTGATAATCACAGGTAACCGGCATAACTTCGTTCTCATTCATCCTCGCAGCGCCTCAGCGCTTTAAACAGCCGGACGCTGGGCTTCTGCTGACTTCAATGTGGAAGCTCAAAGTGGGTTGTTCCAGCAGCGAAACTAGACGCTCATTGGATAAATGCTGGGCTTTGTCCCGCCCATCCGACGCTCAGCATCTCTGGAGTTCTATGACGAGAGGGCGGTCCCAACTTTCTCCCGGACTCCGAGCTTCTGCATCCATGATTGGATGAGCTGTCTGAGGCGAAATCCTTTTTTGATTGACAGCTAAACAAGCGAATCAGCGATCTTGAAGAAAAAAACATCTACCAAAGCATTTTCCAAGTTATTCATTCTGTTGTTCTTAACTACTCCAGAGACTTTACCGATCCTCAGCGACTTTTGTCTTTGTTAAAAACGACTGCCGTTGTGTTTGGCGACTCTGTTCTGTTACATACTAATAAACAAATACAATTATGATGTAGGCCAGAAAAATGAGCTTCCCCTCCTTGAAAGACCAGCAGCCGCCACTGGTATCTATAGATCCATAAATAAATGGATGAAACCATCAGTGTCCAACATGAGGGTGTTTTTGTCTTAAAACTAATGAATCTGCCTGTTTTTAAAACCAAACTGATGATTTTAATGTAAATGTAAGTCATGTTTAACATCATTATGAATCCTGTTGTCCTGTAATTGATAAAAACGATCTCTTTAATTACATGAAATCACTCAAAGATCATTATTAAAGCCTCTAAGATTAAAGATGATTTCTGTTTCATATCACAGGATGATCAAATAGGAAACAAAAAATAAAACAAAAACAATAACTGAGGGTAGAGTTGTTACGATTCTGATACCAGTATCAGAAATTACTTCGATACTGCCGAAAATGCTGGCATCAGTATTGGCGAGTACTGGAGTCCAGGCACCGATCAGATACCATGTAATTTATTAAATTAGTAATTTAGCTCTGACGCAGTTCTTCTTCGCCAATCCAGAGCCTGTTGACTCAGTCGACGATGCTTGGACCTAAGCAGCTAAGTAGCACTAGCGTCATGTTGGCAGTGCAGCAGTATTTCATGATGTTGTTATTTATACTGTTGTATTTATATGCCTTCATTTTCAAGCAATTAATCAATCAAATTTTAATTTATATAGTGCCAAATATAATAAAAAATTAAAAATAATATAATGTATTATAATATAAATATATAACATATAGTGCCTAAATAACAACTGTTGCGTCAAATCAAAACAGTTGTTATCCCAAGACTCCAAGATATTTTACAGTACTGTGTCTGCACTTTAATTAAAAAAAACAAAATATAATTCTAGATTTATTCATTAAAGTTGCCATTGCACTACTGTTTTATTCTGTTCTGTTTAAATTTCCCTTTTTATTTAAAAATATTGTGGCTGCACTTTAAATTTTTTTAAATTAATTATTCCCAGATTTATTTAGTTAAATTGGATTTGCTGTTTTTTCATTTACTATTCTATCTATAAATAAATGGCTAAAATTTGCTGTATTTATCTGTGTTTTACAAAAGGGTTTAACCTGAGCCAGAATGATCATTAGATCAGGCCTGGTATGCAGGCCTGGTATGATATATTTATTTTTATAACATACAGGTATCGGATCGGTACCTGGTATTGATATCTACAGCACAAGTATCAGAATTGGCATCGGCCAATATCGGTACTCGGAATCAGCCAATATCAGTACTGGGTATCAGCCAATACGGAAAGCACAAGTATTAGAGTCGGTATTGGTCAATATCGGTACTCTGCACCGGCCGATACTCATAGAATAAGTATCAGAATCGGTATCGGCTGATAACGGTACTCGGAATGAGCCGATACCCACTGCACAAGTATCAGAATCAAAATCAGCCGAAATCAGTACTCTGTATCGGTTGATACCCACAGCACAAGTATCGGAATCTGTATCAGCCGATATTGGTACTTGGTATTGGCCAATACCCGCAGAACAAGTATCAGAATCGATATCGGCCACATCGGTACTCGGTATCGGATGATACCCACGGCAGAAGTATCGGAATCGGTATTGGGAGGGAAAAATTGGTATTGGAACATCTCTAATTGAGGGACTGAATCGTTCCTCTATGCACCCTATATGATTGTGCGCCGATGAACTTCCAAACGGCGGTCGGAAAAAATCCAAAGAGAGTTTCTGTTCCTAAGCAGAGGTCTGATCAGTAATATCTGGATCTGTTTGTGTTTATTTCCTGTCCGCTGGGTAAGGAGCTGCTGTGTTTGGAGTGTTTTTGGAGGACTCTCTTTTCTTTATTTACGTTCTGAGGTTTTTCTGACCTCGTGCTCTGTTGCTGTTTTTAAAGTGAACAGGCTGTCAGCTGGAGCCAGATGGTGATCTAAGAGCACGATGATTCCTCCATTGGGTAACGCTGACCCATTTCTGTCTCTTTCTCCCACGTCTGTTTGGGATGACAGGACGCCGTCAGCGCGGCATCAGACTCCGTGAAAAAACACAAACAGTAAATAAATCTCAGTTCGAGCTCAAGATCGACCTGTTTATAGACCTGATGTTGTGAACAGTGTGAGTGTGTGTAACTGTGAGCCCACACGTGTGCTGCTGCTGCTCGTGTGTGTGTCAGAGTGTGAATCATGTGCCTTTGTGTTCTAGCTTCATACCCCTGCGGATGCTTCGCCTCAGTTTCCCGCAGAAGGCATCGAGGCGAGGCAGCTCCCCACTGACGTCCTCCCCTGCGGCGGGGCTCAGCTCAGGGGAGCTGGGGCCGCGACTCAGGTCCAGAGGGGCCTTGGTGAGGATGGGGGGCGGTGAGGACACCCCAGAGGCCTGTGGGAGGCTGGGGGAGCGCTTGGCGACGGGCGGCGGGGAGGAGAAGCCAGAAGGGGGCCTTGTGGAGCCAGGCGGCGGGGAGGAGATGGAGGGGCAGTGGCTGGAGGTGGGGGAGTTGGCTGCGGAGGAGGTGGGGGTGGTGGAGAGGTCCATGATGCCCGCTTTCCCGCCGATAGGGGAGCTGAGGGAGAGCTTGCGGGAGTGGACGGGGGAGGAGGTACGAGAGGGGATGGAGAGGGGAGGGGGAGAGGAGAACTTGCGGCACAGACGAGGGGACTTGTTGTTAAGGGGGTCGGTCGCCCACGAGCCCTGGTTGGTGGCGAAGAAGAGCTCCAGAGACCTGAGGGGGGAGGAAGAGCGTTTGTGAACATCTTTAAGTGCCTGTGACAAAGTAAAGTGGCAGTCCTGTAGCATTTATTTACTTTGACTGGTCCAGAGCCAGCTGAGTGATCTTCAGACTGTAGTCAGGACAGAGGGACATGATGGACAGACGGTCACATGAATGCTGCTCGATCCTGGGACAGTGACAGGGAGGAGATGAGGAGGGGAAAGAGGGCGTAACGAGGTGATAGAGGAGGAAATGAGGAGGTGATGGAGATGAATGAGAAGAAGAGAAAATGTGGAGATGAAACGTGAATGGTGTGCAGACATGCAACTGAGAGGAGATGGGAGGACGGGTGAATTTTCCTTAAACGTGTGACAGTAAACTCAGTTTGAAGTCCAAAAGTCCGGGAGAACTTTTAAACTTGTACCCTGACTGCATCCGGACAGCTGCGAAGAGGCCGTATCCGCCGATCGTAGCTGATCATAACCATTCAAGTCAATGTGGCAAATTCCACCGGCATCTTTCTGTACCGCTGTGGCTCGCCGGACTGCGCAGCTGATCGCAAGAGTTCTATTTTCTCCGGATGCCGGAGCAAGCTGGATATAATCAGCACAGATTAACCCATGCTGGAAAGGAGGTCGGGCACAGACACAGAATAAAACACTCCATGTTTCAGGCGGATCGTATTTTACATCATGCAAACGTGGGTGGGGACAAACAAGTGAAAGGTTTTCAGATGTCATTTTACCCCGATGACACCATGGATGAGGAGATGCTGATTCTAGAAGTCTAGAAGTGGATTTCCTCCTCTGGAGGGACACAATCTACTGCTTATATGTCTATGTGGCTGTTTTTATAGAGACAACTTGTTATCGCACAATTGCACGTGAATCCACAGGTTCTTATGAGTTCTCGTTACTCTCGCTGTCTGAAATCTGCCACAAAATTCGCCTCACAAATGGATCTGGTAGGAGTTGGCGGACGGTGAAAATCACTGCTTTTCCGGAATGCGGTGGAAATTCGGGGTTATACTCCAAAATAGATCAAAACATCTCCCGAAAAAGCGCAGACTCTCCCTTTAACTCAGTCCCACACAGGCTCCGCTCTTACCTTACAGGTATGGAGGTAAACGGCTTCTTGTAGATGTCAGCCAGCTTGTCGATGACCACGGCGGCCGTGGTGAAGATCCGATACGTGTGGAGGAAGGTGTTAAGGAAGTCGATGGAGAGGAACCTCAGGTCTGTGAGTCGCTCCAAGAGCCGCTCCACGCTGGCATACCGGATCTGAGGAACTTTACAGGAGTTGAGGGTCTTACTGAAGCAGATGTCGACGTCGTCTTTGTGCAGCCTGGCATCAGACCTGAAGGAGGAACGTCACATGATCAAACCTGGACTATCCTTTATTCGTCTTATTCTTAATCGTTCACTCACTTGATCATGTGCGGCACAGACACTTTGGAGTTCTCCTCAAACACACTGGTCATCAGGCCATTGCAGCGGATGTTATCGATGCACTGAAAGAAGAAAAATTGTTTACATGACCTGAAATCTGAACCTTTACTCAAATGTTGAAGCTGTTAGTCGGCTTACCTGGCTAATGTCGCTAGTCCAGGCGGCTTTCTCCTGTCGGGATGGAGCCAGGAGGACCACGGAGAAGGACTGACCGTCTGGAGACTCCACCAGGATTTTAAACTGCAGGTGGTTGAAGCCCTGACCTGCAGCGTTGTCTGAAACACAATAAATAGTCCAGACCTCAGATCCTGGAGCTAAGGTGGATCCGGGTTTGATATAAAGGGGTTTGTTTTTGGAACAAGCTGTTGGTTGGTTTTCCAACTATCTGACTGACAGAACTCAGGCAGTTCAATTAGATGGTGTTACCTCTGAGATACTAAAAAATTTAGAAGGGGGGGCCTCAAGGGTCTGTACTGGGCCCCCTGTTGTTTAAATGATATATAAATTGGATTGGACAAAATGTTCCCAATTCATCGCTTTATTTCTATGCTGATGATACGGTAATCTACTGCTGTGCACCTTCACCTGCACAAGCCTTACAAATCTCCAGCATGCTTTTGATTTAGTTTAGGATCAGCTTGTTCTAAATGCAGACAAAACTAAACTCATGTTCTTTACATCATCTAGAGTGGCTAAAATAATCTTGCCTGGGAAAATTTTTACTAAGGATAGTCAAGAAATTGAACTGGTTTCCACCTTTAAATATTTGGGGTTCTGCTTGATGAAAACTTGTCTTTTAAAGAGCATATTCAGTTTGTTACCAAAAAGCTTAAGGTTTTATTCGGTTTTTACTTCAGAAACAAGTTTGTTTCTCTTTTATGGTTAAAAAGATACTTGTTGAGTCAACATTTTTACCTATGCTGGATTATGGTGATTTACTGTACATGAATGCTTCTGCTCAGAGTCTACAGATGTTGAACACTGTTTACAATGAAGCTCTGAGATTTATCCCCAACTGTAGACTTCTTACTCACCACTGTGACTTATATTCAAAGGTCAACTGGACTCCTCTAAGCACACGTCACCTCGGACATTGCTGTCTTTATCTACCTTTCCTCCTTGCTCGTCGTAAAGGAAGGATTACATCATTTGCATTCGCTTCATTTTGTGCAGTTTGCTGTACCCAAAGTTTGAACTGAGCTGGGAAAGAAGCCCTTTAGGTTTTCTGCTCCTTTTACATGGAATAACCTGCAGACTGAATTTAAATTACAGAATCTAGAGTCTCTGAGTGCTTTTAAATCTTTGGTGAAAACTCTTGTAAACAAACTGTCTGTACGCCACTGCTTCAGCTTAAGTTTTATTTTTAATGTACTTGTTGCCGATGTTGAGCTGTGTGAGTCTGAGTGTGTTTGTTTTTTGTTTTGAAACTGCTTTGCTGCCATTCTTGGCCCGGATCCCCTTGGAAAAGAGATTTTTGATCTCAATGGGACTAGCCTGGTTAAATAAAGGTTTAATAAGTCAATAAATAAAAAAATAAAGACTCACAGTCCTCATCGCTGATGTCCAGCTCCTCGATCAGAGTGCACTCGATCAGAGACAGCGTTCCTCCTTGCTGTTGGCGGACAGAAACAGAAGAGTTTCACTGTCATGATCGGATTTAAAGATGGTGACTTTGAGATTTATCAAGATTTACTTCTTATTTAATTCAAAAGCGGTTTTGACCTTGAGCAGGTGGAGCTTCCCTCCAGACGTTCGTGTGCAGATGAGGAAGTGTTTGGTGAACAGGAAACACTGGCGCTCCCCTTCCTTCCTCAGAGAGAGCGAGCCGAGTCGGACCTTACTGAGGACGCCGCGCTCGCTGCTGGACGGCAGCTGGATCAGAGATCCTGGAGGACGCAGAGCCGGAAGTCAGAGACTGCTGACGAAGAGTGAAATGACCCTTCAGATACAGAGAGGAGGCTCACCTTGTCTGACAAAGGTCTGACTGGTGTCCAACAGGATGTCACAGCCTTCCACGATCATCCGCTCAATGGCGAGGTTCTTCCGGATGTTCTCAGTGTCGCTTACTTCATCATGCATCATCCTGAAAAAAAAGACACCGATCATCACGAGCAAATTCATCAAAATACGTTGCTCAAAATACCTACGAATCACGCAGACTTACTTGGACAGCTCCTCCAGTTTGGATTTGGCGAACTCCAGACTCTTTCGCTCCACGTGTTCGTGAGGCGTGTGAGCGAGCAGCTCGTGGAGAGTGATGATGTACCGTGGGATCTAGAACAAACGAGATTGGTGCTGAAGCTCAGTTTCAGTAGCGGGTTTGATTTGAGAAGCCAAAGCCCCTGATGGAGGTTCTCGTACCTGGAACATGGGGTAGGTGAGGAAGGTCTCCAGCATGCGGCCCTCACAGGCGGCGTTGGACTCGTACTGTTTCAGCAGCTTGTCGAAGTCCCGGTTCTGTTTGCAGTTCGCCAGAACCTGCAGGCTGTACTGATGGTTCCTCACAAACTCCTGGTAGATGTTCAGCATAGGCAGCAGGATGTCAAACAGGTCCGCTGGGGGAGAGAGAGAATAGAACAGGTCAGGAACCACAGGAACTTTACCAGGAACTTAGGTCTAAAACTAGGTCTGGGGTAACTGATCTACCTCTTAAAGGTCTAGGAACTTAAGCAGGACTCACCCAGGACGAGTGTGGGCCAGTTGGCAATCCGAGCTTTGAGGCCCTGATGGAAGATCTCATGCAGGAACATGATGGTCTCACTGGAGGAGAGGAAAACGGTCTCAGATCATCTGTTTAGACCATGAAGAGGAGGTCTAGATGTTTGCAGGAGGAGGATCTACCTGTTCAGGAAGATGCTGCTGACGTCATCATGGCTGATCGGAGGCTTCTTGGAGCTGGCGGCCATGCGGAGCGGCCGGAGGAAGCAGTTGACCAGGATGGAGAGCTGGTGGACGTACTCTGTCTCGGCCTCCACCATGTTGAAGACGATCTGGTTCCTCTTCCTCATGCTCTCGGCGTGAGGGGAGCAGATGTAGTCCTGGACAATGATCTTCCACTTCCTCCTGCAGAGCCAGCCGCGCATGAAGCTCTGGACCTGCGGACAGGTAACAGGAGACCAGGGGCCTGATTTATCAACCGTGCGTACGAACATTCCCACGCAAAGTCTGGAATTTATCAACCTGTACTTGGTGCTTAGGAACATGCGTAAATTTAAGCACAACTCTGACCATGCTTGCACACAAACCCTAGTGGTAGAACAGTGAAACTACAAATAGAACCCATTAAAGGAGTCACAGCATACAGCAATCTCAAAGTACAAAATTGATCAATTAGTTATTTATCAAACATTTTGAATGATTGTTGTTACAAGCTATAAAACCAGTTGCGACAGGACAACCTCAAAAAAAGAACAAATACATCATCCTTCTTGTAACTGAAACAAGTCTTCATTTTGGGTGGTTTTCTCTTGTTTGTTGCTCATTTTGCAATAGTTGTTGTTGTTACCGGTGTTGCGCCGAGAAACGCATGCCTGCCAAGGATTGCATGCACCTTGCAAAACATGCACCGCTTATAGTAGAGTGGTCCACAGAAATGCACAATTTAAACAATTTTAAAAACCCATACAGTTCTTATTTGTGGGGCTAAAAAGTGATGAGTAATGTTACAAAAATAATTCTCGGCAGGCATCCGTTTCTTGGCACAAGACCAGCATCGCCAGCGAATCACTCCATGTGCAGGGGCGTAGTTTCCTCCGCTCTAATTTTGATTGACAGCTGGCAGGGTAGTCTGATTGGCAACTGAGTAAAGAACGAATGTGATTGGTGGATCGCTGCACAGCACATGCAGAGTCACATGCAGTGTATCTCAGTCAGCTACCTTTGAAATTAGATGAGTTCATTCGCCTCTGACATCACAGGCACACGTACATCGCGATGACGATGCTCAAACGATATATCGGGCAGCCCTACACCAAAGCCATCCCAGTGCATATCCAGCTCCTGTCCACCCTAACCTGGACATTTCAGCCTGAGATTGGAGACATATATGGCATTTCGCAGCCAATGCTAGGCGTTGGATGCAATAATTTCTCTGGCTTCAACTTACATCCAGTTCCCAAACACACATCACCAACAAGCCAAAATAAAACGAGGATTTCATGCTATCGCTCGATTTCCAAACATAATTGAAACGATAGTTTGCACCCACAGCGTTATAAAAGCACTGTCATACAATAAATACAGCTTTGTCAACAGAAAAAGATTTTATTCAATCTATGTACAGAAAATCTACGATGCACATGTGGATCTGTTAAACGTTGTTGCCCTGTAGGAATGCACAACTCCTTCATTCTGCTGAACAGCTCTGTGAGTGTGCACCTCCATGATTTCGAGGAGGGGAAAAAATCCATTCACGCATTTTTGAAGAAACTGTTGATCCCATATATGGTCAATTGGGGGCGTTTCTGAATGCAAATGACCCTAACCGTGCATGAGCACGGTAGTAAAGAACAGGTGGGATTTATCATCACCGATTACTTACGAGTGTGTGTAAGACCGGTGTCCGCATGTTTGATAAATACGGGTTTTTTGTTCTTTCCCATGTTCTAAATTTTATTCCTACATCAGAATTAAGAACCTTTTCTACACACGGATGATAAATGAGGCCTCTGGTCTCCTTTCTGCTCATGTCTTTGTGTTTCTCTGATCACACCTGAGAGCGACTCTTTACCTTTTTGATCTTCTTGATGTCCGGGTCCTCCTCCTCCTGGTTTCCCTGGTGAGGCTGCAGCCTCTCTTTGGCTTTGTTTAGGACCACAATCTGGTACAAGAGCAGACTCCACGTGAGGGTTAAATATTCATGAGAGCACTTTGGAAGCTGAAAACATCAAATCTCTCTTTGCATGATAATAAAGTAACGGCCTCTGAAAACACCGGAGCCCCGCTGAGCTCCAGTTTAAGACACACATGCGCTCTGATGAGATTTCCCATCATGCCACATGTATTTAGTCGCTTTGATGTGAAGCTGCATCTGAGTTTGTGTCTTTCTGTTTGCATGCACAGACAGATGTTTGTGCACTCATGCATACCTCTGCTTTGAGCCTCTCGATCTCCGTGTCCTGGTCCTCCAGCTGAGTGCGCAGCTGATTGGCTGCGATTTTCTCCGTCTCCATGATCTGCACCAGGTGGATGTACTTCTGCATCAGGATCTCACGCTCAATGATGATGTCAGAGTAACTAAAGAGAGTGAAGGGGGGGACGAGGACAGGCTCAGTGTTTGAGGACGAGCAGAGACAGTTAGTACAACTTAACACAGACGGCTGCAGCTCACGTCTCATCCTGCTCAGTCTGCAGAAAAAATTACACTAAGCCTGCACAACGTGAAAAAACAACGAGGTCTGCAGACGCATACGAGCAAAAATAACAATGTTAATGGTAAGCTAACCTGTCGTAGCTGGACAGAGTTAGCATGACACATGATCATGATGAAATAAAATCCTAATTCCTGACACTTTAAAATTCATGCGCTACTGCGGGGGTGTCCTGATACAACTTTTTCACTTCTGATATGATAACAATATTGTAGCCTTCAGAATCGGCTAAAACCAATGTTGAATCGATATTAGCACAAACTTGTGCATGACAAGTTTTGCACTCAGCTGCAACACCCTTTTTTTTAGAATTAGACGAAAAATACTGCCACATGGCCAACATCACTCCTAGTGTAGTAAACACTGTTACTGTGATCATGTGGGCTCTGCATGCTGGATAGAGTTTTTTTTTTTTGCTGATAACAGGCTGATATTCTTTTTTCTTTTTTTTTTGCTGATATCAGGCTGATAAATTTTTTTTGATATCAGAATGATATTCGATTTTTTTTTCCTTGATATCGGACCTTTTTTTTGTTGTTTTCTTGCTGATATCGGGCTGATATTCGTATTTTTTTCTGATATTGGACCTTTACTTTGATGATATCTGGCTGATATTGTTTTTATTTTTTATTTTTTTGCTGACATCGAGCAGATATTGTTTTTTGTCCTTTTTGCTAAACTTCTCTTTAAATTCAAGGTATTATTATTTAAAAGTGAAGTGAAGAACTGAAGCATGGTTCCTTTTAAAACTGTTAAGTATTTTTTCTTTAAATCTTAAAAATCTAGTTAGAAATACTTTGGTAAACAACAAGATAAACCGTTTTTTTCCCCCTGTTGATTACATTTTAATCAATTTTAGTTCTTGAAAAAGCTTAGAGTTATTATATGAAGTTCTCAGGGTGCATGTGATGCAGATGTTTAATAACCACAATATTCATCTCAATAGAAATACTTGTGATGATGATTTTTGTCATCATCAAACAGCTCTAGTCAGAAGCACGTCTCAGGTCCGTCTGGATACCTTTTTAATTTTCTTTAATTTTTGCAAAGACGTTAAATTAAATGTCAAATCTGCTTTTTTTTTTAAAGTTTGACTACAAAATCTGTGAGTGAATACGATAGCAGCTCCGAGAGAAGGAGCAGCAGAGGCTGAAAGTATTTTCTGTTGGACATAAAAATACTAGATATGAATTTTGTATCAGACACACGGTCTTGGATTCATTTCAGGAGGTTTAAAAACACAGACTAGTGTTTTTTATTGCAGATAATTTTATGTTCCGATGATCACATGCAACTTGTTTATAGAGCAGATTTTTCAAACATCATGTTTCAGCAGAATAGGGTATCAATAAAGAAACTTATCGCTGTTCAGGAGAGAAGAAAGAGAGAGTCGATTTTAGACGTTTAAATAAAAACTGGAGAGACAGACACAGAGACGGAGGCTGAGCAGCGAGATCAAGTCTGTGATGTAACCAGTGTAGCGGTACAGCACCAGTGTGACCTAAATGTGAACCGCTGCGAGCAGAACACGTCCACACACACACACACACACACACACACACACACACACACACACACACACACACACACACACACACACACACACACACACACACACACACAAGATGTTAAACACATATGCAAAAACACGTGGTGGTTATGTCCAGCGTGCATCAGCACAAAAACAGAAAAAGAGAGAGAGAGAGGGAGAGAGCAGTCTGAGTCTGCAGCAACTTATTCAATGCTACAAATAATTTAACGTAAAATAACACGTGAAAATCTTCAGTCAAGTTGGATTTTGTGCCGATCTTTTATTCTGTTTAACTTTTATCCAGAAAACTCCACACACTGACACAGAGAAAAATCAGGAAAATCAGACCATTCACAGACAGTATAAAGGTGTCGGGCCATGTTCACACATGCTGCCTATCCTTTTATTTATCCTTCATTTTAAGGAATTTATCGTTCATGTCCGAGTTTTAAAGAGAGTCGACATCCTCCTTTAAAATGAGGTGTACTCTTGAGGTCAGGGTTTCCTCACCTTGCCTGCTGGATGTACTCCACCCACTCGTTACAGTCCGACTCCTCCTCTGTCCGCAGCTCCAGAGGTTTCTGTCCATCATGGCCGAAGATGACCAGGAAGTAGTGCTGCGTTTGAAAAAAGCGACACGAAATAATCAGAGGTTAAAGTCACTGTTTGATTGAATCCTGATCCTTTTATACTTTGAACTCCACAGAGACAGATGTGATATAAAGACAAATGACATATTTATGTTTTTATGTGAGATTAAATGTTTGTGTTTGCACTTTGTTATTCTCTATTTTTGTGTTTTCTCAGTCAGTGTTTGTCCAACAACACGAGCACAAACATGGAAACACAGAGAAAAGCTCTGACACAGTGACATGTCAGGACACACCGCACTCTGATGAGAGCTAAATATAAAATAAAATAAGGGTGAGCCGCCACGCTCTGGACTGATGCAGTGTTTCAATCGGACTCTCTGAGTGCTGGAAGAATCGATGCCTCCTGCAGGCGCTGGACCTGCTGCAACAACGAAACTAAACTAAAGTGAACACTGCAGGACTTGGTTTACTCAACAAGTCAAGTGGTTTTATGCGTTTGACATCTTTTTGTTGGGTTTTTTTTGAGCTATGGTTTAGCAGGAGTGTGATTTTAGCTCGAACATCATCTCTGACACTCCTGAAACTCTCTCTTCCTGAGTGTTCGCCATCAACCACATCCTGGTTCATCCAAACCGTCAGAACACATCTGAAATAACTCTTCAAATTTCCCTTCCTGTAATGTTAATCCCGTCCGGACAGGTTTTAGTCTAATCTGATCTATTACAGTTAACCTCCTGTTGACAGTGGCCTCTCTGCAGTTCGAGGAATCGTTGGTGTTTTTCACGAGTGCCGTGCAGCCTCTGGGTTATAACCGAGATGACCTCCCCGTCTTTATAGCGCCGAGTCCTGCTGCTCTGTCAAAACACATTAACAGCCAAAGAGACGTCACGTCGCAGCTTGTGAGATCCCCTCCAGCATCTCCACACACCAATGTCAGTGATCTAATTATGGGACTCATAAGAGCGGACCCGACAAGTCTTTGGCAAGTAACACAGATAGGAAAATAAATGTTCCTGCTATCGGAGCGGGTTTCACGAAGAAATGGTTTTACAGATTGAGAACTGTCACAGAATCTTGGTTAGCCATGTCCTTACACTTGTTTTTTCACACTAAGACAAGTCCAGCCTCTTATTTTACTCAACACAGGCATCAGGTTGTAGTTGGTTCATGAGGTAATCTTACAAACATTTCAAAGTTTCACCATCATACCCGAATCTTAAAGGGATATTCCGGCGTAAAATTAATTTAGGGTCAAACACACCGTAACACCAAGTTAGACACCCCCTCCAGAGATGAATGTTGCCGACCGCTTGTTTCTCTAGTTATACCAACTTTAGTAACGACCGCAGGATAGCAATACACAGCTGTCTGAGGAGCCATAAACAAACCTCAACCAAAACACCACTCTATAGCCAAATAATAATACAATACATAATAATACATAATACAACACAAGTTGTATTGTTCTACTTTTGTTGTTTTGTTTTTTTCTTGTAGGCAGTTGTGAGTTGTAGTGGTTATCGATGTTGTCATTGTGTTTGTGGTGTGATGTTTTTTTGTGACTGTGCACTGCAATAGAGAGCTAACTGTGAATGTAGACTCCAGGAAGAATAGCAATGGCCTTAGACAAAGCTAATTGAGATCTAAATATACGAAACGAAACGAAACAAAACTCACTTACTCTCTTCCAGCAGCCACTTGTTTGTAGCGAGACCTCAGGCCAGTCCATTATGGACTACAGCGGGGTGACGCAGCTCAAGGAAGAACATTTATGAACATTTCTTTATCATTTCCTTGAAGTAATAATCATCATATTAATCATTTTGCACTGCAGACACGGTAGTTCTTCTGCCTTAGCGTCTCAATCTGATTGCATTCTAAGCGGCTGCTGGAAGAGAGTAGGTGAGTTGTGTTTGGTGTCTTTGCTAAAGAAATTAGGCAAAGTTAAAAAGATGTTTGGTGGCTGGGACCCTATATGTCCTGTTGATGAAGTTAGGTGCTGTTCTGAGCATTATTTGTGGCTATAGAGTGGCGTTTTGGTTGAGGTTTGTTTATGGCTCCTCAGACAGCTGTGTATTTCTATCCTGCGGTCGTTACTAAAGTTGGTATAACTAGAGAAGCAAGCAGTCGGCAACATTCATCTCTGGAGGGGGTAGTCTAACTCGGTGTTACGGTGTGTTTGACCCTAAATTAATTTTACACCAGAATATCCCCTTAAAGTAGGTGACTTTTCTGAAGTTGTAAAATACAAGTATCCGCTAAAGCAAAAGTCTGACGAGCCCTGCTTTTGTTGAGATTCCTTAAGAGATATTTCAGGATTTTTGAAGCCACTACAAAGTGTTTTAGCCACAATAAATGCCGGTCTGTTCTGAGAAACTTTCAAGAGAAACTGTGGGGAGAACCCACACGCAAGCTAGGCTACAGTGTATGCTAAAACACTCATCTTGGTGTAAGCGTATTTTCTATTCAGGGACATATTTGCTCTCACAAAGCCCATGTGTTTTTGTACCATTTACAGATTAGGCATAGATGTGCTCTTTTGCCTTCAACACACTGGGTCAGCTGTTTGGGTCAACGCGCTTTAAAGACACAAAAGCAACCAGACTTAAAATAAGATTAAACTGTAAGCTAACACCTAGAGAACTACTTGCAATAAGGGACCTGGTAACAGCAACACCGCTAGATCTTTGGGGATCAGAATCCATGTTTAGAGATACAGACCTGCCCACAGTGCCAGAACTACCACCAAAGGGTTTGCTGATCATGACATTACTGAGCCAAGTGTCCTGAGCTGAACCCAGAGAGGATCTGTGGGACATGAGTCCAGAGGGGGAAGGGGAAACTATGTTACCCTGTTTTTATGAGCTGTAAAGATAGTTTAAGTAATACACACACAGAGTGCGATGTGTTGTTGCAGGCTGCACATTCATACACACATTGTGCGACAACATTTAACATTATATGTGAATCCAGTCTGCAGAGGAGAAAGTAGGGCTGTGTAGTAATGATGTAACGATAAGCGGGTGAGACACTTGCTAGCGTGTGCCGGCTACGGACCAGAGAGAGGCTTAAGGGCTTGTTTGTGTGTGATGGTGTGTGTGATGGTGTGTGTGTGTGTGTGTGTGTGTGTGAGATGGGGGTAAAGAAGAAGGAGGAGGAGGAGGAGGGGGGTGGTTTACATAACCATCCAGGCTTGTTCAGCTCCTCGTATTGCTAATGCGGCTTCCCCAGCCACGAGCCTGCATTAAGCTGGAGGATAACAATGACAGAGAGAGAGAGAGAGAGAAAGGGAGAGAGAGAGGGAGGGAGAAAGAGAGAGAGAGAGAGAGAGAGAGAGAGGGAGAGAGAGAGAGAGAGCTCTAAGCCCTGCCGTGCCCCCACACTCAGCAATATCATCATCATCACTACGTCCGGTCACAGAAATCATCAGTCTGGCAGCGCAGACACAAATTTGGGAGCAGTTTTTAGATTTACAGGAAAGATATTTCTGCCTTGAGGAATATTTTTAAACCTAAACCTGACGTCCCAGGTCGAAAACAACACAGCTAAATAGACTTACATAGTCAGACCAATGATCAAACAAGGGCTGTCAAATGATCTGTTTTTTTAAAAGTGCGATTAATCGCAGTGTTTAATCGTGATTAATCGCATGTTTGGAATGTAAAACAGTTTTTCAGTCCATGTTTTTGTGACGAATTTTATATTATATAAATTGAATATGAATTTATTGAAGGATAGCCCATTGAGATGTAGCATCTCATTTTCAAGGGGGTCCCTAAACAAACATACATAGACCTCAGGACACAGTATAATACATTAACATGCATAACATAGAACAAATACAGACATCTTGCTCGCCCAACTCCCACACACAACCCCAACCAACATACACCAAACATACAGAGTAGACAAAACAAATTAACAAGGACAATAATGTGAACATAAATGCAAAAAAAGTAAAGAAAATAAATCAGAAACATGAGCAATTTGTTTTGAGATGAGTATAGTGCCATTATGAAGTGTTAAAAAGAAGTGATAGAACGTAAAGAAAGAGGAAGGTTATTCCAATATTATGGAGCTTTATACTGAAACTTTATGAAATTGTATGCACCTCGCAAAATGTGCACCGCTTATCATGGAGTGGTCCACAAAAATGTACAATTTAAAAAGCATACAATTCTTATTGTCAGGCTAAACAGTGATGAGTAATGTTCCAAAAGAAATTCTCAGCAGACCAAGTTTCTCGGCACCGGCACCAGCGACTCACTCCATGTGCAGGATGCGACATTTTTTTTGTAGGATGGTAGGGGAAAGCCCAGCCTCCTTGGCCTCTGATTGACTAGAAAATAGAAATTTATTATTGTTGTTAAAATTTTGCACTCAAGTCTGTCTCGCATAGTAGTGTCCTTCTTTTGGGGATTCAGAATATGGTCACCCTAACATATGTCCTGTGTTAACATAAGCACAATGTATGGTAGAAATGCTGTACAAATGGCATTTTTGTTTGATTATTTTTTAGACCCTCACTGAAGGTGGCATACATCTTTTTCTGTTATCAGAGACTCAATAATATTTTGAGTTAACGGTGTAAACCTATAGTCTACTTTTTCCTTTTAATAAAAAAAGGCATTGATAAGGTAATCATTAAAGAATTGAATCAATTAGCAGAATCGATAATGGCATTAATATCGACAAAATCTTATCAATCCCATCCCTACTTTTCAGTCATGGTCCCTATATAAAAAACAGGACAGGGGGTTTGAAGTTATCTGCATGCACAGCTGTCCTCCCTGACACAACTCGTCTCTCTTCATCTCTCAGTTCAAGGTGGGCTGAAAATAACTCAGGTACCAGAGTGTGTGTGTGTGTGTGTGTGTGTGTGTGTGTGTGTGTGTGTGTGTGTGTGTGTGTGTGTGTGTGTGTGGAGGATGCAGATGCGTTGACTTGATATTCAGACAGTGACTGCAGGCAAAAAGGACCAGTAAGGATGCTATTCTTAGTCCGGCAGGGCAGGAGCATCCTAAACCCAACTACACACTCACAGACACACAAAGTCAAACACACACTAAGAGCCAGACTGCAGGAAACGTCTCCAGGAGTCATGAATATTTCAAAGAAATCCTGAAATCCTAAAATGTGGTGGACGAATGTGCTGAAAAAACAAACCTCAACATCTTTCATGAATATCATGACAAGAAACATAACACGACAAGAAAACAACAATTCCTTTAGCACAATCCACAAATCATGAAGTTGTTTGATTGCACAAAGCGATCACCACGGGCCACAGGAGCTTTCAGCCCGCTTTGTAATGTTTCCGGTTATTAGACTCGGAATCACAGCCGTGTTTTCACTCCCTCTCTCTGCTGTCAGTAGTTAATCGCCTATTTAACTCATAATAGACTAATCCATCGCACGGGAGCATTACGAACATTGTGTTCATGGTGTAAACATAAGCTGTGCAGGTGGGCTCTTTGAAAACAACACAAAAGCTTGAAGTGAAAGAGCACAAGCACATGAGACGCACAACAAAAAAACAGCTGCAGCACTCTGAAATCTGACAAATAGGAACAATGTGCTTCTTATATCAAAGTTTAAACAGAAAATTCAAGACTTTGCTCCTGAACACAAATCAATCTGCCCACTGGAGAAAGATGGAGTCAGGTGGAGGTTCTCCAGGAAACTTCACCACACTGATTATGAGTTGTCATTCTGACAATTTTCACACAGAAGAGAAAACAAATGCAAACAGACTCAGCATGCAGATTGAAGTTTCATGCCGGATTATGGATCTGAAAACGCATCAGAAAACACTGGAGTCTAACAGACCTTTGGACCACCTTGGTGTGATCTCTTTTCTCAGGGTTAGTGAGGCAAGATCACCAGAGATACCGCCTCATTTCATAGGCACTAAATTCATTATTTACCAAACTATCAAAGATAACAGACTTCAAATAAAGTAAAAAAAAAAAACATATGTTGCCTCTTTGGTTTGATTTTATATGGCAGCACTACATTAAAAACAGACATGACTCTGGAGTAGAAGTCACCACATTTGCTGCAAAGCTAACTGCTACCTCACCAGAACATTGCAATCCCCGCTCATTGTGCTTTAAGTCTCTAAGAGTAGTCTGGGTGGTAGAGCTTTGAGTTCTCAGGCTCCTCTCCAGGTCCATTAGAGCTGGTTCAGGCCTGGACCAGCTCTGAGGGGGTACTGGTACATTGAGCTCCTTTCCCTGATACAGTCTTTACCTGAAGTCCTTAAACTCCATCATGCTGTAGGTTCCTCTGGATCGCTGCTGCAGATGTCTACTTGGATCAGTCTCTCTGTTCTAATCGCTGTAATGAAAATACACTTTATATATATATGTGTGTGTGTATATATATATATATATATAATTTAACCCTTGTACCTTATTAAGGTTTCTGGAGGGGTAAGGCCTTGTCTTTGATGCTATAACTTTTTTTCTATTAATGCCCTTGCAAAGAAATTCCTAGAAAATGTGTATTTTGTGATGAGGCATGATATACCTGAAATTGAAGAAAAAAAACCCTATGGTTATGGTTTTTTCTTCAAATATGCTTAATCTTGCATTAGCGCCACACAAGTGCCCCATGCATTCCAATGGGAAACCACTTGTCTTTTACATATACCCATATCAGTGGGAAAAATGAATTTCAGCAAAGACTGTTTTCCCCCTTTTCTGAAGACATTAAAGATGCACTGTGCACTTTCAGCCACAAGGTGCACCTTTTTTTTCATGAATAATAGAGGCTGATCTAGCCAGGTGGTCAAAACCCCATTATTCCTTATGGGAATTTGGCAAAAATTACAATATTCAAAAATCAAAAAATGCACATAATTTTATCACTAATAAAATTAAGCATTTTTTTAATCTTATTTTTACCATTTTACTTTATTTGGGCATGAATCTGTCTCAAATTTGTTATTCTGGTGTTTTTTTTTTTTTTTACCATTTTGGTCAGTTTGACACACCCGTAAACCACAGCCTATGATAGATGCAGTCTTTTGGAAGGAAAATCTGCTACCTGTTTGTAATATACTGCCACAAGAGTTCAAATCAGATTTTTCCCCCCATTTTTTTGCATTTTATCTTGAGTCTATTTCCAATCCAACTTTTTCAAATTATGAATGCTGAAATTTCATTTGTTTTCATATCCGTTATTGACCTTCAGTGAGAGGCCATTTTTTGCAAAAAAACAAAAGTGGACTGTAGAAGTGAATAAATCAGGTGTGCATGTATTTTTTTTATGTGTTAGTGTTTTCCGTGTGTGCATGGTCGTGTGTGTTCGTGTGCAAATGTTTGTGCACGCGCATGATCTTGCGCGCGCTCGTCACAGCCAGCGATTGCGTTCATGGCACATCCGCCCCAAGCGTCCGAGGTTGCCCCGGGTACAGCCGCCCCGTTACCCGTGATCAGATAGCCTTAGGCCCGCGTCAGCAAAGGCGGGGAGCCGCTGGCTGCTCTGGAGGTGGTAACCTCACCTCACCACTCGAAAACAGGGGTGTCGGATGGTCGTCGCCGGCGAATTTTACGCGCTTCGCGGCGGGGACACACACACACACACACACACACACACACACACACACACACACACACACAAAGCTCATCCCCATCGCGGGTCAGTCCCGACCAGAGCAGTGTTTAATCCACAGTGTTTAATCCACTGCTCTGGTCCCGACCTCTTCTTCTTCTTCCGGGTAACGGGGTTTTGCATCCGGCAGTCCGAGTTACTCGTAGGCTAATTGCTGTGCCACGCCACCTGATCTGGAGGTACCGCCCCTCAGCTCCACAGATCGTAAGCACACACACACAGACACACACACGCACACACACACTCGCACGCCGGCACACACACACACTCGCTCGCAGGTACACGCGCGCGCGCACGCACGCACGAAGGCACACCCACACACGCACATACATGTTTCAAACTAAAATTAAAAGGATTAAAAGTTTGAAAATAGTTGATTTTTTCTTTTGAGTGGTTAGAGCAGAAGTCAATGATGACAGCCATGATAAAAAAAGGGCAACTTTTCATTTGTAGATGACTTTATAGGCCACAAAGACAGTGGCAGTTCCGTGCCACTAATGCAAGATTAGTCGGTTTTTTTTTATTTTAGGCTGTCACGCAAAAACTGAAACTGCAACTAAAACTAATTTCACACATACTCATACCACTCATAGGTTCTGATAATCCTGCACAAAGAAATTTGATTTTGCATTACTCTTATAATTTTTAGCCCTTTTTTTAAATTTTGGGCATTTTTTACGGTGTGTTTACACTAAAGTTAAAAAGGTTAAAAGTTTGAAAGTGGGTGATTTTTTATTTTGAGTGGTTAGAGCAGAAGTCAATGATGACAGCCATAATAAAAAAAGGGCAACTTTTCATTTGTAGATGACTTTATAGGCCACAAAGACAGTGGCAGTTCCGTGCCACTAATGCAAGATTAGTCTTTTTTTTTTTATTTTAGGCTGTCACGCAAAAACTGAAACTGCAACTAAAACTAATTTTACACATACTCATACCACTCATAGGTTCTGATAATCTTGCACAAAGAAATTTGATTTTGCATTACTCTTATTATTTTTAGCCCTTTTTTTTAAATTTGGGCATTTTTTACAATGTGTTTACACTAAAATTAAAAGGGTTAAAAGTTTGAAGCTGGGTGATTTTTTCTTATGAGTGGTTAGAGCAGAAGTCAATGATGACAGCCATGAAAAAAAAAGGGCAACTTTTCATTTATAGATGATTTTATAGGCCACTAAGTGACAGTGGCAGTTCCTTGACACTAATGCAAGATTAGGGATTCTGTGTTAATAAGGTAGCAGGGTTAAAAGAAATTTATATCTCCCCCTTTTTTGTACTTTTTTATTTTATCCCCCTTTTTTTATTTACTTTTTCTAACCCACCCCCTTTTTTTCACTTTTTAATTTTTTACTTTTTTTTTTACTTTTTTTTTTTTTTTTCCCCCCTCTTTATTTCATATATTGTTATTTTATTTTATTGAATGTGCATTGTTTTGGTATGATCTAATTCTGTATGATCTTGGCATTGTTTTTACTTTGATATTTATGGATTTATTCATCGAATTAATTTTTTATCTTTGTTTTTAACCCCCCCCCACACACACACACAATTTTTTTTCTTTTTTTATTTTATCCCTCCCTTTTTTTTTTTTTTACTTTTTTAAAAATCGTATCCCCCCTTTCTATTTAATTTCTTTTTAAAATCTTTTTTGTTTGTTTTACTTTATTTTTTACCCCCCTCCCTTTTTTTTACTTTTTTACTTTTATTTTTTTCACTTTTTCTAAGTCTTATCCCCCCCTTTTTATCATATTACTTTTTACTCTTTTTAGTTTGTATTAATTTATTTTATTCTTTTTTATTTTCCTCACTATTTCCCTTATATGGTTACTTTATTTATTTAATTTCCATTGTTAAGTTTGATCTGATTCTGTATGATCTTGGCATTGTTTTTACTTTGATATTTACTAATTTTAAAATGTATTAATTGATCATTGTTATTATTATTATTTATTTATTTATTTATTTTTTAGGTGTTGAAGTGAATCCCTTGTGCCCTGACATTCGCTGTTGAAATACATCTAAGGAAAACTCAAGAAAGAGTTTTGAAAGAAACTTTTGCAAACTGCGAAGTGCAATTATTCTTTGGACTTCTTTTTTCTTCAGCGACCTGGCCATTAAGTTTTAGTCGATGTGGGTTTTAAGTCCTCCTCCACTGTTGCCCAGCTCGTCTCCCAGCTGAATATCAGCTGCTCTCTGCTGTGAGGGGTAAACAGCAGCTATGAGGCAGGCAGGCAGACAGACAGCTCCCTGTGGCTCTAATGCCAAGCTGTCACACTACATGGGTCGTAGCTTAGCAGCAATGTCCTCTTCCACTGTCTCTAGATTTAGTGTGTGTGTGTGTGTGTGTGTGCAGAGAGCTGGCTGCTGAAGAACAGACAACTGACTGAAACTTCTGGCTTCAGTCCATCAAACTGTCTGAGTGAATCAGGTTTCTCTTTGTCTGCAGGATTTCCAGATATACTGCATAAAAAAAACCCCGGATCAATCCTTTAATAATAATAAATCAATAAACCTGTATGACAGAAACGATTCTGAGTCCTGAATCAGCTGTGGCTGTTCTGAGGAAACAACAACAGAGGGAAGAGACCGGGGTGAACTTTTTCAGAATCAATACGGCTCTGCAGGAGACTCTCTCCTGGATCAGGCAGCATGTGTGTGCACATGTCAGAGTGTCGACAACAGGACCCAGCAAAGTCCTGAGATCCTGCACACATCCGGAGGTGTTGAAAAACATCTAATTATTCGAGTGCACTTAAGAGCCGGTACACAACAACATGTCATTTGCATATTTGACATCCTGAAAGGCAGTTTGACGAAGACGACGGAGTGTTTCTGTTTCAGGACTCACGGCTGAACTTCAAACGAAAACTGAATTTTTTCTGAATTATTCAAAAGAGAAATGTCCAAAAAGAGATCTGTGCAGGAGATGACAAACACGTCTGTGCAAAAGAGCCAAGAGTGAAACCCGGGCTCTCAGGCTGAACTGCATTAGAAACAGGCATGACTCTGTAGTTAGGGGTGTCCCTATACGATATTGATATCTGATACTTAAAGCTTCTGTGAGGAACTTTAGGTTTGTGTCAGTTTTGGTGCCCCCCTGTGGACAGAGCAGTCCTCAACATTAATCCTGCTGGTCTTCACATTCACATGTTTCATTTATGTGAATATTTCATGTGTGAATTATGATAAACGTCCGATATCAACAAAAATAAATACAAAAATAAATTTAAAAATATTGGTCCGATATAAGCAAAAACAAAACAAAAAAAAGAATATCAGTCAGATATCAGCAAAAATAAATAAACAAATAGATAAACAAATAAATAAATAAATATATATTGGTACAATATTAGCAAAAATAAATAAATAAATATTGGTCCGATATCAGCAAAAAAAAAAGAAGAAAAAAAATGAATTTCAGTCAGATATCAGCAAAAATAATTAAAAAAAAATTAAAAATAAATAAATAAATATTGGTACAATATAAGCAAAAACAAAAAAAATATTGGTCCGTTATCAGCCAAAAAAAAAGAGAATATCAGTCAGATACCAGCAATAAATAAATAAATAAACATTGGCCTGATATCAGCAAAAATAAATAAATAAATATTGGCCTGATATCAGCAAAAAATTTAAATAAATAAAAAAGAATATCAGTCAGATATCAGCAAAAATCAATCAAGTTTGGTCTGATATCAGCAAAAAATAAATAGATAGATAAATAAATAAATAAATATTGGTACAATATCAGCAACAAAAAAAAAGAATATCAATCCGATAGCAGCAAAAACAAATATACATAAATAAATAAATATCAGTCTGATATAAGCAAAAAAATATATTTAAAAAAGGGATAGCCTGATATCAGCCAAAAAAACAACTACAGGATTATTGGGGCCTGCATCTCATTTCCCTGATATCAGCACTCTTATACAAGCAGTCCATTCCAGACTCCACTCCAGGACCTCTAGCTAGCAGCTCCCAGATCCAGCATGCAGAGCCTACATCATCACAACAACAGTGTGTACTCAGGTACGAACAACGTAGAGAGGAGTAGGAGTGATGTCGGCAGTGTGGCAGTATTTTTAAAGTCCGAAAAAGACATTTCAGCTGAGTGCAACACTTGTCATGCACAAGTCTTTGCCAATACCAGATCAATATCGGATTCAGCTGATACTGAAGGCTACAATATCGGTATCATATCAGAGGTTAAAAAGTTGTATCAGGACACCCCTATGTGTAGTAGGAGCCTCTGCATGGGTCTCTGGAGTGGGAATCACTGCATGGAAAGGACAACTGGACTTACTTGAGACGTTTCGCCTTAGTCCGTTTCAAGAAAGTCCAGTTGTCCTTTCAACGAAGAATTGGTAATCATAGATGCTACATCCTCAGTTTTAAACAATATCTACAGGTTTAGAAGCAACATCTTCAAATTACCAGTTTCAAGCGAAGATGGCGCGGTATGTGTGGACGGGGGAGGAGACGGAGTTGTTTCTGAGGTTTTGAATTGTATTTGTATTTTTCTGAAGTTGTGAATCCACAATTGGTCTGTGAATTCCTCATTAACGATCCTCTCCCAGAAATCCCTCATCCATGTCTGCTCCCATACATACGGGCTTTGCCTTTGAATTATCACCCGCTGCCTTTGTCTTCCGATGACAGCAGCGGCAACAGCAGTAATGGTCACAGAAATAGCTGCTCCAAAACGCAAAATGTTTTGTGTCTCGTCCATGTTGGCGTGCAAAAAGGCTTAAGGAATACGAGGTCGCACGGGCAGGAAGTTTACCTCATTGCTAGGCAACGGCCATTCCATCACGGCTCGCGAGAGGCAGACGGCTCGCTTATGCACTGAACACCATTCAATGGAAACACCCGCAAATCGCAATTGTACTTTGTCGAAATTTGATAAACATCGCTTTTAATTTGCGAAAAAATTAAATGGAAACGCAGCTATAGATCAAACACCAGGACTAAGGAGACCCTGATATGCTTCTCCTCATTTACACGAGGGGGACTCCTCTACTGTACATACAGTTTTATCACCGGTCTAGAGGAGAACACAAAAGCCCGGATCCTGATGTCATTTTTAATCTTTTTTATATAACAGACCTCACCGGGGGAGAAGCTGAAATGAAACATAAAAATAGAGTAATATAAGATTAAAGACGATCCCTGAGAGAATTCCCTCTCTTCATAACCCTCCTCCTGTTTTTCATATTTTCCTCTAACTTTACCGTAAAAACATGAAAACAGTTCTTTTTAATAAAGTCCTTTTAATTTAAAGATTTAGAGGTTGAGTCCCAAAGTGAGAGCTCCGATATTTCGCTGAAGTTTTCCTCAAGTCGTCAGCTCATGTTTCAGGATTTCGTCACCTGGCTGCAGAGTGTGAGAACTTTCATTAGAACCTCATTAAAGCTGAAACAACGCAGCAAACATGTCGGCCTTTTTTTTCACACCTGTGGGAAGTTTTGTGTCTGCAGATACAGATGTGTGTGTTTCATTCGTTTACCTTATTCATGCTAATCCACCTTTATTTATTTAAGCTTTAAATCTACATTAATCTTTAACTCGTGCACTCTTTTAGAAAGAGGGAGAGTTTACCGGATCAAAAGTGAGAAGACCTGCATCCTTATTTTAAAGCCAATACAAAAAGCGTCGAAAAAAGTCTCAATTACCACGTAAACAAGCTCTTAAAAGGTTGGAGGTCAAAGGTTAGGTGCTCAAACAACAGCTGCACACTGAGACTGATTTATGCCAGGGCTGCACAATTTTGGCCAAAAATAAAATCTCTTTTTTTTTTTTCTCTGAAAACTCGATTCTAAATTTCTATTCAGTCACTAGGTTTACATGACACTCAAGAAAAAACGAATTATTGCCTTACTCCGATTTATACCGGACAACTGAAGTGCATGTAAACACCTTAGTCTGACTATAATTGGAGTTTAAGAACTCCAATCGGAGTTGGTTTACACTGGTGGTTGTGGAAACTGGGGAGTGCTCCCACAGGAAGGGGGAGCCTACGGTGGACTGGAGGCACAAGACATGATAGAGAGGAAAATCAATTTGACGATTTGAATTTTCTTAACATCGTCATAATCAAATAATCCAATTACAGTGTAAAATCGATTAATCGTGCAGCCTTACATGGAAAGGACTACATGGAAAGGACAACTGGACCTACTTGAAACATCTCAAGTAGGTCCAGTAGTCCTTTAAATGAAGAATTGGAAAGCATAGACACATCGACATAATAAAATAATCCGATTACGGTTTCAAATCGATTAATCATGCAGCCCTAATTTATACTAGAGCTGGGTGATTAATCAGATTCTCGGATCAAAACAATGTTTGGGAATCAGTTAAAAACTCCTTTTAGTGACTTTAAAACTCGCCTGAACTCATACAGAACTTAAATTGTCTCACAGGTCTGTCGTTTCTCTCAGGTCAATATCTTCAGGCTCTTTGTGTTCATGTGTCTTAAAGAGAAGAGCAAATGTCCTCAAGTTACATAATTTATGTTTCACAGACACTTCAGAGTTACAGCAGATGAGAGGAGTGAGCAGCAAACATCCAGAGTTCAGACGAGGAGTTTATCTGACTGTCTCAACTAAATCAATCTTTTATTATTTCATTTAAAAAAAACTCCTCTGACACACATTAAAACTGCATCTTTGCTGCACATTTAACAAGTTATATTTGAGCTGAATTTTGAATGTGTATTTTCAAGCTCTCTAACTATCATTTCCTCTTTTGGAGAGTACATATACACTCAAATAACTTCCCGGTGTTCATACACAGAAGGTAAAAAATGACCTGCTTTACTTAATAACATCTAAGAGTTTCTTCTTCTGTCACAAATATCAGCCTCAGACAGAAAAAAACAGCAGAAACGTCTTAAATAAGGACAATAAGATGCTCCAAAGAGTCTTGAAAGTACATCTTGATCAGCAGACAGATCACTAAACAAAAACTGTTTTGGCGTTTTTTTGTTATTTTTGGAATAAAATGTCACATTTACACAGATCACTCCTTTAAAATTGAATATCTTCAGCTTTTCTTTATCATCTTTGTGCTTTTAAGTTGTATTTTAAGAGTGTAGGACTGACAGAAAGACAAAAACAAACTTGTAAGACATTTTAGAAACTTTTCACAACTCTCTTTTCTGCACTTTTTTTATCATTTTACTGACAGAGCTGCTCCACTTCAGTCCTCATAGCTTGAATATATAGCTTCAACAGTTGATCAAACAGTTAACCTTAGAGTTCATGTCTTTCTCTAACAGTAACATCAGCCTTGTTCTGACTTCTAAAATGTTTTTTTTCTGTTTTATGAGTTAATAAAAAATCATCTAAAACATATCACTGCTGAATTAATCACTTATATTTGGTTTAATTTGAAAGGAATAATAGATTTTAAGTATTAACATTAATAGTGGTAATATCTTATTGTTGTTCAGTTTATTCCTTAAAAAAAAAGTGTTGTAATATATCGGCCTGCAGCTTGCTCATCATCGGCATCAGCTGATGAAAAACTGACATCAGTCGACCACTTCCTGTTTTCTCTCTTTGTTTGTGATTATTTTCCAGACTGTTTGATTACTTATCAGTTAAATGTCAGAAAATAGTTCATCTCAGTTTTCTGTTATCCAAACACACAGATTTAAAAGTCCAAAATGAAAGTAAATGACTTAAAGCTCCTGTGAGGAACTTTTGGTTTGTGTCAGTTTTGGCACCCCCCTGTGGACAGAGCAGTCCTCTACACCTCATCTGCTGGTCTTTGATATTCACATGTCTCATTTATTGTGAATATTTCAAGTGTGAATTATAATAAACGTATTTTCTCAGCTGTTCGGCTGACTCCTACCCCCCTTACACCGATTTCAGGAGTTAAAAACCACGAGATAAAAACCGCCACTTTGGCCCCTGATGGATGAAATTCAGTCGATTTTATGAATGTCAAAAAAAACTCCTCACAGGAGCTTTAAGACAAAGAACATGTGAACATAAATAAAGTGTAATATGTTTGACTCTCCAGGTTTGCCGAGTAAGATTTAAAGGTGAAATACACTCAAAAACTAAATTATTACTACAGGGAGTTGAATGGAAAAAAAACTAATGTTTTATTTCTGGGATTATCAAATAAATTATTGATCTCACTGCAGTTTGAAGTCTTTTATTCATCTGTGTCTGTTTAATTGTTTATTAAAAACACACTGTTTTAAATAAAACACTGAGTAGAGCTCAGGAAACCATTTAAGATCATTCATGTCTGAACTGTGTCTGTGAAAATGTTCAATTATTGATATTTGGAGGGATCCTCTACAGACTGTGGACTTACTCTGTTTTATGACTCTCTACATTTAGTCCAACGGGACATTTTTTTGCTGTATTTGTGTGAATAATGAGGTCAATAATCCATTGTACGTCAACCTTGTATTAATACTGTATTTATTCAGTCTCACTCCAGATTAAAACTAAAATTTGTTGTTTTTTGTGACGGACTGTTTGTGAAGTTTGGACTGTTTTCCCTCATTTGAAGGCTGTTTTATGTCCTGACCAAGGTTCATGGATGTAAATTAGCTTTAGAGCTCACTCTGGATCAGCAGCTTGTGTACATGATCCCTGTCAAATAAACTAAAAACTAAACAAGATCTGTTCACCTTTCATGATTCAAGATGTCACTCATACAAAAGACTTGGTATTAAATCTTAAAACGACTTGACATATGAGTCCAAGTATCATTTCTTTCATTTCCTGTTGCTTTTTCTTATAATTCAAAGTAAACTTAGACTATTTTCACTCTTGAACTGCTGTGTAAAGTCATTTTGAGGAGTTTTCACTTCAGATTTTCACCTTTTTATACATGACTAAACATGTTTTTTTTGGGTTTTTGTTGCCTTAGAGGGTTTGTACTTTCCCACGTTTGTTAAGTCTCAGATTTGGATCGTTAAAAATGTAAATAAACACAAAAACGGACCTAAAAAGAAGGTTGTGTATAAATTAAATTAGAATTAATAGTTCCTCCAAAAACAGCCACATAAATCAGCCCACCAGCAGCAGCAGCTCTCGCCTCCCTCCTCAGGTGACCTGTTCACGGGTTCACCTGTGCTGCCCTCTTACCTGCTGTTTCTCGGTGGGCTCCTTGCTGATGGCGGAGACTTTGGGCGCCGGTGCCCGCTCGCACGTGCATCCCTCCAGCAGGTATATCCCGGAGGGCCTCGTGCTCTGGTCGTTTTCGAAGTAGAAGAGCACGTTCTGGTAGAGCGCGAAGTACTTCTCGGCCCAGCGGCTGTTCTCGGTGGTCTTCTTGCTCAGGAATCCGCGCTTCGTGCCCTCTTTACGCGCGACCACCGACAGATAAAGCGCGTGGCCCTCATTGTAGCGCACGCCTTTCTGCATTTTCCGTCCACCCGCGGTTTGTTTTTGATTTTTTCAGCCAACTTCAGACTCTCGCCGAGGCGTCACATCACACCCCGGAGCGGGCTGTCAGCGTGGGTATTTTTAGCGGAGGGATACCAGGGAGAGCGCGCGCTTCACCGAGGAGGCTGTAATCCAGGCTTACCATGGTCGGAAAAGTTGGAGACTCCGCGGCGCAGGACGCATCTCCTCGGGCTTAAATGTGGGGGGAAGCAGCGACGCAGGAAACACAACCTCACTGTCTTTCCATCCTCCAAACTTTCACGTGGAGTTGCCGTGCGCTCGAGGCGAAAAGGGGTGAAGGTTCTGGTCCGGTCAGCCCGCGCGCACACAAAAATAGATCTCGGGAACAGACGGTGAAAACAGAATCACGACGGAGATCAGCGCTAATCGGCTTTGACACCAACTTAAAGAGACAGGTCGCTGCAGCACGCCTCGCCGCTCCGTGCCGCTCGCTGCTGTCTCCTGCCGCGCCGTGCCGCGCAGAGCACGAGCCCAGGAACGCCCCCAGAGCGCAGGTGCAGAAGAGCGCGGGGGAGCTGCACGAGCCAACAAAAAGGGCTTATTTTTACCTGAGTTTAAGAAAATTTTAATTACTTACAAGTCTTTAAGCAAATAAAACTTTTAATCTTAATGTTTCATTTTATTTCTGATGCGTTTTTGTCAACAGGAGAGATTTTCAGACCCTTTAAATGTAAAACTACGATTTTAAAAACTTTCAAAGCTACTTTACCCAGAGCCAACCAAAGCCTCAATGGGGCCCCAAGCAAAATTTGATTTTGGGGCCCTTTGTTTCTGCCAATAATATTGATTGTTGATCATTCACACACCTTCACAAATTTCTTTTATCCCATGACATGCAAACATACCTGTATCTTGGCGTTTTTTCTCTTCTTTCTCTTTCTTCCCCTTTCCTTTTCTCTGCTCCTGAAGGATATGTCCTTTTTTGCAACATTGTTTTGCCCCAAAACTACCTGCGCTTTGGATGCTCAGTGCACAATGCACAGCAGAAGGCACACAACGATAGCAGAGCTTTGACACATCCGCAGTAAGAATCATAGGCCTACACCAGTTTTTACTTTATTATATTTTTACGATAATATGCATTTGATCATAAAGAAAGCATCACTGATACATGCAAAAAATAAAAAATATTTTAAAATCTTTTTTGGATTGCTCTTGGGGGCCCCCTATTGGCGGCAGGGCCCTAAGCAGGCGCTTAGGCTACGTTCACACTGCAGGTTTTGATGCACAATTCTGATTTTTTGGTAAATCTGATCTTTTTGTGCGGTCGTTCACATTACAACAATGAATGCGGCATCTAATGTGAATGGAATATGTCCGTGAAGTGACCCGCATGCGCACAAAGCACAAATTGCCTTCCGCGCCTCTTTGTGTTGTCAAACAGTGGTGACGTTTGTCGCATATTGATGACGGATGAATGTGACCTGAGCGTCCACACTGCAGTAACATCGGATACATATCCTTTTTATATCCACATACAAAACAGGCCTGGGTCAGATTTGAAAAAATCCAAATTGCACTGTTCACACTTACATGAAAAAATCATGATGTGTCACATATGGTTAAAGAAAGTACTTGGAGGTCAGTTATGCAACTCACAGTTACTTTTTGAAACAAATAGTTATCAAATAATGGGTTGAAGTGCGATGTCTGAATTCCATCTAAAAATATACAGAATCTAGACACTTGAAATCAGGTCTAAAAAAACACGACGTCTAGTAGCCATCTATTGCTCAGCGGGTAAGCTCTGAACCTAGAAATTCATTTTTATTTTCATACTTTATTTTATTCAGTTAATATTTAAAACATTCAATACAACAAGGAAAAATCTTAAACGTGAATGAAAAGGAGCAGAAAGAAGAAAACTCTTACGGAGTCTGCCCTTCTTTCATAATATATTAATCAACTAAACACATAATAAAATTAAACAAGAGCTGCAGGCCAACATGCCTTTTTACAGATAGATATTTCTTATTTTCAAAAACGAACAGAAAAGACCACATTAATTCAAATTTTTTACACAAAACAAACATACCAAGACTTAGATTTACAAATTCCCTGTTTTTACTAAACATACTGACTTTGACACTTTTTTATAGATAAAATTTGATTTAGCTTCTTAATTTTCTTTCCACAAACTTATTCCTCTCACTGTAACACAGTGCTCTTTCAGTTTAGGTCTGAATCTTGGCTTTTCATATATATATATATATCAAATCCTTTTAAATTGGAACAACTTTCAGTTGTGTACCGCATAACAAAATTCCATTTCTTATCCACATATAATGAGCAACAAAATTGATTAAAGTTCAGTTGAAATATAAACTGTCCATGCAAATGTCCCTCATGTTATTTTGAGTGTCTGTTCACTCAGAAAGGGTTTTTTTACCTCCGCCAAGGAGGTTATGTTTACCTTAAAAAACACAAGAGTTTCTGTCTCACTGCTGCCTCGACCGCTGGAGTGTTTGTGTTTCTGTGTTACATAAATATTGTTTTTGGCTCTGTCAAACAATTCAGAGCACACAAACACACAAAAACACACAAACCCGCAAAAGAAGAGGAAGACCTGCAGCTCCTGAGTCCTCAGAGATTTGATTCCCACTTACAGAGATAATGAACAACATTATCAGTTTACAGTCAATGAAATCCTGTTCGTTATTTAACAGTATGAGATATGAGAGTTTCTGCAGACATTTGCAGCTGTAGGCTAGCTAGGAAATGGATAATAATGTCACTTCATTTCCACTTACTATGAGATAAAAAGATTCCTCTGTGTAGGTGCTGACATGCTGCAGACAGAGCATGTGCAGTAGCGGCCTGCACATGCCGGCGCAAGGCATAGGCGAAATAAGCACCTGCTTAGGGCCCCGCGGCCAACAGGGGGCCCCAAGAGAAATCCAAACAAAAAAAAAAATTATATTTTATATTTTCTGCATGTGTGAGTGATGCTTTCTGTATGATCAAATATATATTATTGTAAAATTAAGATAAAGTAAAAATATTTTGGTGCTGCTGCTGATGTAGGTCTATAAATCTTACTGCTGATATGTCAAAGCTCCAATCCCGTTATGTTCCTCCTGCTGTGCAATGTGCACTGAGCATCCAAAGCACAGGTAGTTATGGGGCAAAACAATGTCACAAAAAAGGACATATCCTTCAGGAGCAGAGAAAAGAAAGGGGAAGAAGAAAAAAAACGCCAAGATAAAGATTTGTTTACATGTCATTGAATGTTAATCAAAGAGATTTGTGAAGGTGTGTGAATGATCAACAATCAATATTATTGGCAGAAATGGAGGGCCCCAAAATCTAACTTTGCTTAGGGCTCCATTGAGGCTTGGGCCGGCTCTGTGCCTGCACCTCACCTGCATTAAACTTTCTGATAAAACAGATTCTTGTATTGATTTGAGGCAGATGCTCACAGTTACAGAAAGTTAATTGATCCTCCTGTTTAGTACAAAAGTGTGCAGGAGTCTCATTGGTCGACAGAGCTGTCAATCAAGATGTCAAACACAAAAAGGCAAAGACTGTCAAAGCTGATACGAACCATAACAATAGTATTATCACCATAAAAAAAAACTCATTCAGACCGACATGGTCAAAATGTTAAGAAATAACTAATATTGTGTCATGTTCTGGTTTATGTGGTGAGTAAAAATCAGCAAAGACCACTTCCTCTACAGTTCCTCAGGAGCTTAAAATGTAGTTTGGATTCAAAGTGGAATATTTTCACCTAAGTATCTTCTCTGACATTTCAGGTCTGATTAAATTTTCTTTAAATGTTCAGCAGGAAAAAAAAAATCAAAACTTGCAAAACAAAAAGTTCGGGAGTTGCTTTTAAAGTTTGAACTTAGTTTTATTTACATCTTCCGTCAAACACAAACTGTCACATCAACTCTTGAAGTCAAAAGCCACGTTTCAGTTTGTTGTACTTTTCTTAGGACGACTGTTGAACAGCTCAGCGGTGATAAAAACACGTGCATTTAAATTTATGGAGCGTTATCTCACAGATCAGAGGGTGTCACAGAAACTCGGTGGTGGACAAAAGCAGAAGTTTCTATTTCTGTGACTCGCTGCTGTTCTGCTTCAGAGGACGAAGAGTGTTTGTGTAGAAACTGTCATTCAGCCTGAAAGCACAAACAGATGTTGTGGTGCTTAAGTAGACAGTGTGCGTGTGCACACGGGCAGATGTTCTGTGTGTGTGTGTGTGTGTGTGTGTGTGTGTGTGTGTGTGTGTGTGTGTGTGTGTGTGTGTGTGTGTGTGTCTAAGCTAAGCTGCTGCACCGTTTGCCTTTCACTTCTGCACACAGATTGCATCACACTGGGTAGGTTTGCAGGGGGGGAGGCAGGGTGCCGAGCATCCCTGTGTGTCCCCCGCCCTACAGAGTCAGAATGAGGTGAAGGTCAGGCTGCGTTCAGAGGCACAAATGTGCAACATTTTCAGCAGCATGTGGACGTCATGAGACAGATTATGAGAGGACACGATGTGATCTGTGGGACAGCTCAGAGTCTCTGACCTGCAAACAGAAAAAAAGACTTCATTTACTCAGAGATACTCAGAGATAGACAGAGATACTTTCACTTCACCGCCTTTGTTTTATTCTTGAACTTTCACTTTCTACTTCTCTGCAGGTATGAACAGCTGAAGTTACTTTAAAATTAAGACGTCTGTTACAAATAAGCAGCGTGTGAAAGAACAACTGTGTGGTTTCACTTTTATTACACTCAGATGAAGAAATAGAAGACACTGTTACCTTCAAATCAGGATGGATGTTGTTGTTTAGGTCATTGGTTCCCAATTCAGAGTCCAGGTCCCCCTCAGGGATGCACCAGAGATCTGATGGAACTGACACTGATGCCTCACTGAGACATTCAAAAGCAAACAAGAGATTACAAAATGAGATTATGACTTTTAACAGCATTATTATCATAATCTGGTGTATGCTCTCATATTATGACTTTTTTCTCTGTGGCATTATCAGTATGTAAATAAAACTTTTTTTTCCATGTAAGTTGAGGCCTCATGAGACGTTTTTATCAGAAATGAGTGAAGTTTTGAGTTTTTTGCCGTTTTAAAAGAAAACCTCCTGTTGACTCTCTGCCTCCTACATCAGCAGGTCTGATGGAGAATTATCAAACCCTCACTGGAGCAGATCTGAACCCACCAAGGTATCGGAACAGGACCGCCTGTTAGGAGACCACACGCCAGCTCCTAACACACCCTGGTGCACACCCTGATAGTAAGAATACATTTTATTAATAGACCACTTTTCATGGCACTTAAAGACATTTAAGAAGGAAGACTAGAGTGATGTGTGGCAGAGTTTTGGATGTATTGATAATTTATTGATAATTCTGAAGGCCAAACCATATAGAAAACTATTCTGGATGTGATAAAAGCATGGATCAATGTTTAAAACACTGAAATTGTTTTTTAAACCCCCAAACAGTCAGGTTAGACACTCAAAGTTCAAGTTCACCTCAAAAATTGACATGATGGACAATTAGAATTTGGTCTCAGTTGAGCAGAAGGTGCTATACCAAAATAAACAAGCATTTCAGAACTGTGGTCTTAGATATGCAGTCCTAAATCTGCAGCCTTCAGGTGTGCAGACTCAGACCCCACCCTGATTCCTTCACTTCCATCCATATTCCCAGTTTCCTCCGTCCTCGTGACCTTTTTATCTGAATGTGAGACTTTGGGCTCTATTTTCATGTACGCCCGTGAGGCGGCGGAGGGCGGCGAGCCCCGCGCAGTTGTATTTTCGTCTGTCGGAGCCCGGCGTACAGCCAGTTTGGTATTTTCGTGGACTGAGGCGCAAGGAGGCGAACCGAGATCCGCCAAGCTGGGCGTGGTGGCGTGGCAGGGGGAGGTGTCGACAGAATCAGCGGGCGCAGTGACATTTTCGTGCTCGACACTGGCGTGTAAAGTGCGCTGAAAGCTCGCCGATTCAAACCTGGTCAGCTTTCAGCGCAAGGCGGAACGCAGCTGGTCTTGTAGTATTTTGGTAGACCGGCGGCGTATCTGCATACGTCACTGATGCCTCACTGGCAGGTTTCCACAGTGTCAGGCAGATTTCAGTGCAATAAATAATCATCAACAACTATTAATCTGAGTCAGCACATACATTTAGATCTATATCGATATATTCTGATCTATATCTGATCTGATGAGCGCGTTTGGCACGCGTTTGGACACACAACCTGACCGAATCAACACAGCTGAAACCGCATCAAATTAAATTAAATATCTAGTAAATAGACACACACATGATGAAGTTAACAAGATATTTAATTTGTCTCCCTCCTTTTCTTTCTTCCTCTTCCTCTTATTTCTCGCACAGCTTGACCTGGACATGTCTCCGTGTCCTCTCTACGTCCTGCAGCGGCTGAACAGATGATTTGTTTCAGTGCTCAGATGCGTTATCTACTTTAAGCCGACATACGGATGTTATAATATTCAGTTTTGTGAGCCAAATTTATTCTATATGCCAACATCTATGAAAGAAAGAGCCCGGCCACAGAGCGCGATGCGTCATTTACGCACAGATGGTTCCGATTTTAATGCCATTTTTGGAGTTTATGTTGTGATCTGTGCGCTCTACCCACCTTTGTCACGTGAGGTTTGAATATGAGCAACTTTATGTGAGTGTTTTTATTTGTGGAAAAGGGTGTTCGTCTTACCAGTGGGTCCAACATTACACACACCAAATCCATCTGTGGTCATATGAGAGAGTGTGGAGGACGCCCAATGCAGCGCTTAAAGTGACACTTGTTGAGGAGCTGCCCTTTGTCGCCATCGTGTGGCATAACTGTCTTCAGACATCTCTTGATCTCTTTGACTACTTCATGAAAATTGTAATACGCCTCGCCTGTGGCGGATTTAAAGGCAAGGAGAGGAGCTTATGTGATTGGTGAAAACAGGTCTCGGCTGTGTTAAACCCACTCCACGCCCTCTCTCCTCCTTCGCTACGACTTACGCCGCTGGGAGGAGCTGAGTTAGGGAGGGGGGATACTTACGCCGGGCTGCACCGCTCACCATAATACCAAATTGTGCTTGGGAACGCCTTGTCGGCACGGCGGACCTCACTTACGCCGCTAATGCGCCGCGTCGCCGGCGAGGCACGAAAATAGAGCCCTTTGATTGACTCTAGAAACCTCTAAAGATTCAGAAAAAAGACCACAGATATATGTGTGTAGAAGCTGAAGAGTTTAAAGACATCTACACCAGACTGCAGTGATTAGCTGTTTGTGTTTTTGTAGTTAACTCATGAGGCAGACTGACCTCGTGGTGCGATGGCATCCATCCTATAAGGATGATGATGATGATGATGATGATGATGATGATGATGATGATGATGATGATGAAGATGTCCTCGTGCAAACAGTGGAAATGCTGACAAATGACAAAGTCTCAGTGCGGCTTAATATCATGAGTGGAGCTGCAGAGAGAGAAACAATCCCTGTGAGGTCAGAAGAGAAGGCAAGGACACACGTTGCATCACAGCCAGACACACACACACACACACACAGCTCAGCCTGACAATCTGTACGCTTACAGAGCAGCACACACCAACTGTCATGAAAACACACACTCACTCCAGCTGCTCACTCTCAGAGCTGCTGCAGAGGTGATCTGTTTAAAGGGACAGGTACCCAACGTTTGGCATTTACACTAGATCTGCTTCCACCACTCTTCTCCTACAGAGCCATGCTGTTGTCAGAATCTGGTTTAGGATCATATGAAGGTCTTCCCCGAAAAAATCTTTGTCCATGAACAGGACGAAAGGGAGTAAAAACTTAAAATCTGATGATGCGCAAAAAATAATAATGCATCAAAGCCAGTGTAACTACTAATATTTGACATATCTAAGGGTGTGATAGCACATTAAAAATCTCCAGCCTATGATCATTTTTTATATCAAAAATTGGTCATTTTGAGTTTTCTTTCTCACCAAATCAGTGACACCACCTCAGAAATCGGCATTTGAAGGGTTAAAATCCATGACAATAAAAAAATAATAATAACAGTTTTAACTGGGGATGAGGTTAATGAAGAGATTTGGGTTAAAATTTTTTTGATAAAATATTCAACCGATTTTTTTTTTTATGTTTTTACAGCAGCTAAAGTTAGTGGCTAAAAATGTCCATGAACAGGACGAAAAGGAGTAAAGGGTGACGTTTGACATTTACACTAGATCTACTTGCCTTTTCTCCTACAGAGCCATGCTGTTGTCTGAATGGCAGCAGATGTTGCCACTAAACCTGTAGATATTGTTTAAAACTAAGAATGCAGCATCTATGATTTCCAATTCTTCATTATTAGGACAACTGGACTTACTTGAGACGTTTCGCCAGTAAGTCCAGTTGTCCTTTCCACTTTAAATCAGGAGGTATGCTGGGTGGTCCTGACTGGAGACATAAGGGGCTTTAATACCAGCGCTCTCATCTGTAGATATAGCATGTAAAGGATTATGGGGGATTATTATTACAGTGTGTCAGTCACTATGACCGCCTCACATCGATCTAACTGCTATAATCAAGTCCCTGAACTGGAAGTCCATCCTAGGATTTTGTGTCGTGTTGTTCACAGAGATCACCTTTGCAGCAGAAGAGACGTGGCTCCTTTACATAAGCGCGTCCTTCAGTGGAGTGGTCTGTACATAAAGAGAGGGTTTGTGATTTCTGTTGGCCGCTTTTGTTCTCCAACAGAAATAAATTTCAGAGAGGTCGACTTTGTTTTTCTCTGTTTGGCAAAAATAGATTTTTTTTCAAGTCCAGTAAGCAAATACAGGTTTCTAGATCCGCCCACTTCAGGTGATATAACAGGAGGATGTCTGATGTTTGTGTCAAACAGAACTACACACACAAAACACAACAGTACAGAGCCCCTGATGTCCAAATAACGACACTGTTACTTTTTTTGAAAAATGTTATCATGTCACTGTACTATCATGTGGTGTTCACACCAAACACAAATAATTTTACTTGCAACGTTGAATTTCATGTAAAGTTAATGGGAAGACGCGATTAGACGCTTGCACTACTCTGGTGGTATGAATGACGTGAATTGGGCAGCGCGAATTGTGCGAATTGAGGGAGTTATTTGCGTGCAATTGAGTGGATGTGAATTTGCAGGAGCTAAAAAATGTCTCAACTTCAGTGGATATTCGCGTCGCAATAACTAATCAGCATGAAGGTTGCCGGGTGACATATGAAAACAGACTGTTGTCCACTGGTATCTAAAATGGAGGACAAACTGATCATGTTGTTGTGTACACTCTCAAAACGAATGTGTCAAAAGTAACTCATCATGTGTTATTTCTTAACACATCCGTGTGTCTAGTTAAGGACAACACACAATGTGTTGTTTTGACACATGACTTTGTGTTGACAGATTTTACACATGTTGTGTGTTAAATGTGTCAACACATCAACTGTGTTGGGTTTACACAAAGATAACACAGAGCTGGGTCATATTTTCATGCAATTTACACATAGCTGCGTTATGTATTCTTCACACAAAAGTTTTTTTTTATTTTTTTATTTACACACAACTGTGTTATTGTTTATAAAATATTAAAATTAAAATAATGTTCAATATAATTTTAACAATAATAATGCATCAGATAGCGCCTTATCACAGACCCTCAAAGCGCTTCACATTGGATACGTCATTCATTCGCTCACACAGTCACACTTTGGTGGTGTTAAACTACCTTAGTAGTCACAGCTGCCCTGGGGCAGACTGAGGGAAACGTGGCTGCCATTTTGCATCTCCGACCACCACCACACAACACTCACAATCATACACTAGTGGAGGACACACACTGGGAGCAAGGTGGGTACATTGGCTCGCCCAAGCACACAACGGACAGACTTGGGATAGGAGGGAATCGAACCGCCAACCTTCTGGTTACTGGACCATCGCTCTTACCTCCTGAGCTACTGCGATTATCCACTAAATTACCAAACCTGGTCACTAAAAAGAATAAACAATTGCTTGAATCTCAAGTCACTTTTATAGAATTTATTTGGCAGTGCAAAATCTTGGACTTTGTAAGACTTTAGTGCAAACTTGAGAGCAAAACATAGTGCATAGTGCTGCTGAGGGACTTCCTCCCTCTCAAAAAATTAAAAATAAATAAAGAAAAAAGTTACAGAATTTATAAAAAAAGATGATTCCAGAATTATTCAAAAGTAGGACAATTAATAAAGCCACTGCTTGGTTAAAAATAACCCTGGCAGGTGTTTTCATTAATAACCTCTTTGACCTAGCAGTGGCTAACACATGTTGTGTTTAATTCACATGATAACTATTTTATGTGTTAAAATAGCATTAACTCAAAAGTGTGTCTAGGATAATAACACAGGATGTGTAAATATAACATAACAAATGTTAAAATATAATAACACAAAAAATGTGTATGATTTTAACACATTCATTTTGAGAGTGTAGGTGCCCCGAATTATAAGATACTTTTTCTTTCAATTACTGATACCGGAATTAAAAGGAGCTTGTCTGGAGGCAAGTGAGTGAGGAAGTCGGATTATCTGGTAAAATGTAAAAAACTTTGTCTATCACTTGATCCCGCCGGTCAAATTGACTTCGTGCCAATGAAGCGAGTACATGATTTTCCTCTTTAGGCTTGGTGTGAATAGCCCTTTGGGGATGCTGGTCCCTGTCCTATCAAAACCACAGGATTGGGGGCCATGATTCAGCAGAAAAACTGTTCACAGACTGGTTTCTGGAAGTGGTTTTAAAGCCATGTGGTGATTTCCACCACAGAGTCATGTCTGTATTTGATGCAGCGCCTCCTGAGGCCCGGAGATCACAGTTGTCCAGTACTGTTTTATGGTCTTGTCCCTCTTTGCGCAGAGATTGAGAGACTTCTCCTGGTCCCCTGAAGATAATTATCTTTGCAGTATCATACCTGGAGTATGTCTGTCCTGTGCAGACAAGGGAACAACTATTGCGGCTTTCCTAGTACCTTTAGAAAAGTTGCTTGAGGCAGAGACTAGGTCCTGTATATTTGTGTGACACGCTGCTGCTGCTCCAAAGAAGCACCCAGTTCATCAAAGTTTTCGGAGCTTTAATAACAGAAAAAAAACGCTTCCACAATCGCCAATATTACACACATCTGATGTAATATGTGTACACTCTGCGACGTGTATCATTGCAAACAAAGAACATACAGCGCAGTCAATAGAAATTACGGCTAACTAGGATCACCTCTCCACCACAATGCAGGTAAGACCGCCCCTTATATGACTTACCGGCTTTCAAACTAAGTGCCAACATGACCAAAGCACAGCGAAACCAAGAGCAACAAGACAAAAGTAATTGAACACAGGATAACTGATAAGCAAAGCAACATTATGGCTCTTACAACAACTTTTGACATAATAAAGTCACTTTTTCCTATTAGATAATTATAATTTGACACAAGATAACATCTAGTACATGTAAGACAAAATCACAAACTTTGCAAATCTGCAAAAAATCTATTAACAGACACACTCTAAATAACACAGTGGTTCTCTCTACATTATGAGTAGATGTGAGTCCAGTGAAAGCTGAGGTAAAGCTTCAGTCAGCTGTTTAAGGAGACAATGACCGCGAAACCGTACCCTAAATCTGAAACAAACTGTCAGCTCCACCTGAAATCCACTACTCTACCTCATGTGGAGTCTAAAATAATCTCCAGATAACAACTTCACAGAGTGTTCCCTCTCTGAGAGGGCAATCAAGCAGGTGCCTGGTTAGTCATGAGGACTAAACATACAGGCTGTGGGCGTCTCTGGTTTCCAGCTGAGAGTACTTGTTCACAGAGAGCAGGTAACACAGGCCTGTTTAGATCCACATCCACCACTGCACGGAGATGAAAATGCTGCAGAGGTGTGTGACTGAAACTAGAAGGAGCTCTGTGGTCAAGGATTATAGATGCTGACGTGGAAACAGGCCTTAAACATAGAGCATTTTTACTTCAACAAAGTCAGACATCACCAACATCTCAAGAGGCTCCTCACTCTCTTAGCCAAGAGCCAAAAGCTTGCCTCGATCCTCCACCTGGGTCTGAAACGTCCCTGGTTACCTCGGGTAGTCTAGATCCTGTTCACTTCAAGTCCCTGAGTCTATGAAAGCATTTAAATAAGAAAAAAGTAATGTAAATCTGAAGTTCTGATGTTCTGGACAGCTTCAGTCTATTTTTAAGATGTGAGATAAAGTTTAAAAAATCACATGAGGTTCATTTTTTAACTCTTTAGCTCTTGAACAGACCCCAAACAGGCACAAACACTCAGAAGTTAAGGTTAAATTTTAGGATATTTTACAGGATAAAAACCATAGACTGTACAGTCTATGGTAAAAACCCACTGTCACCTGCTGCCACCTTGTGGTGTATCTCTGAACTGCACTCCGAGCCTAAAGTGTTTCTATGGCTACAGAAAGTGATGCAAACTGTGGACCTCAGTCTGAACAATTAACAGCTGGCTCAGGAACAGTCTGAGGACACAAAGAGGAGAGAGTTTTTCTTCTGATCACAGCTCAGACGATTCAGATTCACTCCTCTAAAAAAAGATAAAACACATTTAATTGTATATTTAATAATTTACATAAGCTGGTTTATAACATGTTTTTTATTTTCTTGCCTCTTTTTTTATCTTTATGAGCCATAAATCAATTTATCAGCTGATCTTTGTTTTTATGTTGATCAGAGCGTTCACAGGATCTTATTCAAACACAAAGGTGCATGAACACTCCCACACACACAGACACAGACACACACACACACACACACACACAAAAGAACAGTTCCTTTGCACAATTACAACATGTGCCGTCATCCGGCCTCTATGATGGTTGTCATGGCAATGTCATTGATAAGGTGGACTAAACAATGTTCCTTTCTTTGGCACGTGACTGACAGAAAGTCCTGTGAGGCGTCGTGTGTGTACGTGCGTGTGTGTGTGATCATTAAAAGCCCGTGTGCTGAATCAGACCTCCTTTAATGAAATCAGACTCCGGGTTGCTATAGAGCTTCTTCACCTTTACGTGTTCAGCTCCGTCTACCTGCCTTCCTTCCTTCCTTCCTGCAGCTCTGCCTCTGTGCAACTCTCCGGAGCTCTGCTGCTGCTGCTGCTGCTGCTGCTGCTGTTGCTGCTGGGATGGATTAACCGTTTCTTCTTCAACCTGCCTAACGATAAGCTCCTGAGTGTGAAGAGGAAACACAATCAGAGGAAAGAAAAAACCTTGATTGCTGCTGCAGCTCTGACTTACAGACTTAGAGTCCCAGCTCTGCAACCACAGGCGAGTAGATGTCTCCAAGAGAGGACTGAGCTCGACTGATAGAGTGTGAGTAATCCAGATTATCAATGATTTATCACTTCATTTTGTTTTTTGTGACATATTTTGACAAGAACGTGAAATTAATCTGACTGAGTTTGATTCAAGAGGTGAATTTTAGCTTTGCAAAGACTGATCAGTTCATATTTTACCCTTTTTTAAAGCTTTTAATTGTTTTAAATTATTTTAATTTTGATTCTGAGTGTGTGTGTTTTTTTTCACAGCAGCTCTGTATCATACGTGCGCACACACACAGCGAGGTTAGCGGGCTCTTCTGTGGAGCTCAGCCTCTTCAGGTGAAGTGGAGTTCTGTATCATTAATCTGCAGAGCTGTTTGCAGTCTGCAGGCAACAAAACGCTGCAGCAGACAGGGGAAGAAAACGGGAGTTTAATTTTCTGTTTTGAACATTATTTTGAAGGGTTACCAAGAAGTGACTCCAATATGTGAGTAAATTATACATACGGAGCATTAATTTGAAAGTGTTTGTGTCAACATGAGAGAGGAAATTATCATTTTTATCTGTTTGGTGTTTTAAGTGACTCTTAATCCAAATGCAGGTCAAAGATTTGATATCAAAGAGACAGAAATAAACTGATCTTACCTCAGCAACATGCTTCTACAGGAATCTGCTGATGTTTAAAGAGACGTCAGGGAGCCACAGGTGATGACCGAGGAGCTTCAGATAGAATAAAACCGAACAGAGGAACCTGGTTTATAAAAACTATAAAACAAATAAAACTAAATATTCAGCAAGTTAAAGATCAAACTGGAGGAAAATATTTAGAGAACATTACGGAAAACACATAAAAGACATTTTCATGTTTCTCTGCGTGAAAATCAAAAAAACTTCAAATAAATCAGAGGTGTGACATGGATTCAAGACTTTACTGCAAAAACTAAGAACTAGGCGAGTTTCCTTTTCCTATTTCTGGTAAAAAAAAATTTAGATAAATATCAGTCACCTTCTGCTGACAACAGCATGTAATACCTGGAAATTAGACTCTTTTCTGTACTCATCAGGTGAACTTGAATGAATGATTTATTTATTTCGGTATAATATGACTGAAAGGGTGTAGGCAGAAGCAATGCTTATAAAAACCTACCCCTTATACCATACATCAAGTACATTATACAGATACACTCTCTTTATACAAATATCAACACTTCAATATGTATTCACTCTTCAAATCAGATGGAGTAATGAACATGCGTTACACTTTACATGAATAATCAGATATCACTTTCTCTACAATATTGAGATATAACATTATTCTTGTTAAGTCTCTTAAAGCTTACCAGAGTACTACATTTTCTAATTTCTACCTGGCAGTTGTTCCATATTTTCATCCCTTTACAACTTGACATAAATCAGGTCTAATGAGTTTTTTTTTTAAATACAAATTCTGCATCATTTTGAGTTTCTGCAGTTTTACACTATTATAAAACTCCTGCGTAGAGAGTTACTTTTTCTCTTTCACAAAATGTGTATTTTTTTGTCAGCTTTATTTACAGATTAATACAGAATGCATTTTTTTTTTTTTTGGTGCAATTTAACAAAAGTCAGGTGTCATAGTTACCGCTGCGCAGACCCTGGGGGGGCTGTAGATTTAAGACTGCATTTCTGGGACCCTTATTTTTGCAACAGCTCGTCACAGACTTTCATTTTAGCACCAACTTTCAGTCCTGAGAAATGAAGCAGATGTGGAAGTGTTAAAAACTGCAGTTCCCTGAGTGTCCACTAGAGGGTGCCTGCAGAAGCACCGTAAACCACATACACACTCATTTAAAGCAAAGACGGTTTTCAGTTGACAGTATCATCTCTTTTGAGCGTGAAAAGTTCGCATTTTTAACATCTAACCCGAAACATAACTTTACCACAACCTGATCTACCTAACCCCCAATTTTCACTGCATCCAGAACAACTCCAATCCGGGACGGCAGCAGTTTTCACCGTCCGCCAATTTCTACCAGATCCGTTTGTGAGATGAATTTTGTGGCGGATTATGGACAGCAGGAATCATAAATTCACGTGCAATCGCGCGATAACAAGTTGTCGTCAGCCACATAGGTTAACCATATCAGCAGTAGATTGTGTCCTTCCAGTGGAGGAAATCTACTTCTAGACCTCTAGAATCAGCATCTCCTCATCCATGGTGTCATCGGGATGAAATGACGTCTAAAAACCTTTCACTTGTTCGTTTCCACCCGTTTGCATAGTGTGAAATACGATGCGCCTGAAACACGGAGTGTTGTATTTTGAAAAGAAGCCGGATGTTTTATTTTGTGTCTGTGCCCGACTTCCTTTCCAGCACAGGTTAATCTGTACTGACTTTAACCGATATGCTCTGGCGTCCAGAAAAAATCTAACTCTTGCAGTCCGGCAATCCGCGGAGGAACGGAAAGAAGCCGGTGAAAATTGACACATTAAATTGAATGGTTACGATCAGCTGCGACCGGCGGATGCGGCCTTCTAGTAGCTGTTCCGGACGCAGTTGAAATTGGGGGTTAGGATTAAAGGGTCAGGAATCCTGGAGCTGAGAAAGACCACATGTGATGGTGCATCCAGGTGAGGACCTGCGCTAAAACATCAGGACTTTAAATTAGAAACAAAAACACTAAAACAGTCATAATCAATAAATAATCTTAAATGCTTCCCTCCAGTACCTGAGTAATCAGAGCCCGAGTGGGACTGGACTCGAGTGCTGAAATGAGGAACTGCAGAGAGGCACAAAGAGAGGACATGCATCAAAAAACTGCAAAATCAAGATTCGACCTGCAACAAGGACGACAGTCTCTGCGAACTCCTCAAACCTGGCTGACCTTACTTTCACATCCTTCAAGTCCTGGAGCTGCATGCACAGAACATGAGCAGATACTGATGATGAAGACAGGAGTGTCAGAGAGCTGAAGAACATCCAGGCCTCTGGAAACAATAAGAAACCCGCTGCGCTCTGAAACAAAAGCTCTTAATGACTCACTGATCGATCTGAAATAAAACAGCACAGCTCGACTCAAACTCACCACCTCCACCTCGTCTGTCAAACAGGCTGCAGGTGGTGTTGTTATCCTGGACGTGGTGTGACCAAATCAGCTCTTTTGTAATCCGGGGCAACGTCACCGCTGATTTGAACAGCAGCATGGAGCAGAAAAACACGTTAAAAACATGTTTACAGCAGATTAAGACACGCCAGGACAGAATCAAACCGTGATCCTGAGTCCAGGGTTCACCATAGAGGTGGTTCGAATGTTTCCTGAACAGAGGTCGTCGTATTTGAAGCTGAAGTCTGGTTTTATCAGGTTTAACTACAGCTGTTTTCTCCTAAATGTACAAGTTTTTATGGAAACAGACAATAAACAGTCATTCTGCACATTTTCACCAACTGAGATCTCTTAAAATCAAGATGGCTGACTAGAAAATGTGAAAACTGAGCAGCTCAGGAATATCTTCTTTCTCCTTTCACTGAAGAGAGACCTTAATGATGAATTTAGGTGAATTAAATTCAGTAACACTGTGGTTTAAAAGAAGTTCTCTTTAATGGTTTCCGCATGTATTACAGCATACGACAGACGAAGAAGAAGTAGACTAGTGAACCAGCTGTAGCAGAGCTGAGAAAAGATTAATGCTGCGTTCAAGTTACTTCAGAAGTCAGATGTCGGAGCTGAAAATAATGTCACACCGGATTTACCAGCGTTTAAGTTACCAAGGCTGTGTCTGAAATGAATCACTTAATCCCTTACCCCTGACCTCCATATGGGGTTTCACTATATAGTTGACTATGTAGTGAGCTCAATCACCGGAGGTTTCGGACATTACATGGCAAGACGCAATGCATGACAGGATGCCCACCACCAGTAAGTGACCATCGGATGGTCACTACATTTTGCAATGCTCTATGGGAAATTTTAAGTCACCTATATGGGGCACTGGAATTGATCACTCAGGTTTCAGACACCCCTCAAAATGGCGCTAACCCCCATATAGTCACCTATATAGGGGTTAGGGATCCATTTCGGACACAGCCGAGTCGGAAAAAAGCAAAATTGGAGGCGAAAACAAGATGGCTACTTGCATTGTCCTTGTTATATTCGGACAAGGCAAAGGCTAAAATACTTTTGGTAGATGTAGCCATCTTGTTTCCCCTCTGATTTTGCTTTTTTCCGACTTGGTAACTTAAATGCTGGGAACTCGGGTGTGACGTCATTTTCAGCTCTGACATCTGATGTATTTCTCTTTGTTTTACTAATCTGTGAAACAGTTATGTTGGGTTATTTGCTGTTTCGCAGGTCGATGTCAGGTTTGTGAATCTGTTAAATATTTTCAAATGTTTCAGATTATTTCCTCGAGTTTGTTCTGAACAGGATTATTTATTCACGGATCAGATGTCTTCTTCAAACGTCAGTGGCCTAAACTATACATCTCTGTGGTTCATATTTAATAGATCTTGATGTAACAGAGCTCTATACCCATTAATACTTATTATTCCTTTCACTTTGTCAGAGAAATAATCAGAGATCACCACCACGCCTTTTTTTTTCTTTTTTTTAACCTCGTTGCAGGGAGTGTAAAGCACTGCATTGATTTGTTAATATGTGGAAACTGGATCATCGCTACTGGCAACACGTTATAAAACACGCTGAATTATGTATAAGTGTATGGTTCCAATGATGATCAGTCTATCACGTCAAACATGTTGCATACACCTTTTCCATTTGTGCATAATGGAGGAAGAAGTGAATTCAAACTCATTTCTGTCATTTTCAATATAAAACTGTGTTTTTTTCTACAGACCCCCCCCCCCCTCTTCTTTCTCTTTCTGTCATGCATGTAAATCTGAGCTGTTTTTCAGACTCGCAGTCTCTGACTCATGCAGGAAAATGTTATGTTACCGTCTGAGGCATTGGTAACTGCCACCTTATTCGGTCCAATAAAGAGAAGCAAGGACAAACAGTACAAAAGCTGATAGAGAGCGGCTGCCTCTGCTGGTGCTGCAGAGGGCGGGTGCATGAAGAACAGATTCTGTTGAATTCAGACAAAACAGAGAAAAGTGTTCAGTATGTTCGGCTTTTCTGAACCTCTGAGGTCTTACTTTACACTGAGGTGAATTTACAGGTGTGTAAGACACAGGTACACACAAACAAAAACTGTTTGGTGTGACTCCCACCTTACTGTTGGGCTGGGCAATATGGCCTCAAATCAATATCACGATATATATTGATCACTTCACCTCAATAATGATAAATGGACAATGGCTACTTCACAAGCTGCTAACCCCCTCCCACATTAACTTCATCTACTTCAGCCGCTACAACTTTTGAACCGTCCTCCATCTCCTCACCTGTCTTTCCCTCTTTGTTACAGACTGGATGGGGTGGAGTCAGCGTAGGACAGCGTTTTAGAGGGACATGAGACCATAGCCTACCTACACACATCCAAAACCAACTTTGGTTTATTATATTTTTACCGAATACCGATATGGGTAAAATGATGTTGGTTATTGTTGTAAATTTAGTATCAGTCAATTTTTGGTTTATCCCCCAGCCCTACCTCAGAGAGACAAAAACATTTAATCTAACAACTAATTTATACAAAAAAGATCTGAAGCTGTTCATCAAATTAAAATAAAACTATAAAGAAATATTTCTGTCTTTGATTATTTATCCTTAAAACGTACTGAGTATTTTTTCGTTTTATAAGAAATCTGCAGTCAGTGAATTTTCAGGAAGTTCCCTTTTGTTGACAAATTTCAAAATAAAAGCCCCAGGAAAGTATTTCTAATTTTTTTTTAACTTTTCATTTTGACAGTCACTCACTACAACTCTAACTGTATCACTTCACTTTCCTGTTGATGTTTGCACTTTATTTTCTACTTTATTAAAAAAAAATTTAAACGTTTATTCGCGATGTTGGACAATGCTTCCTCAACTGTCCCAGCTTTAGGGTATCGTCCTAAATCTACCCGACAATCAAAATAATAAAAAAAGAGAGATATAAAAGGAGCGAGTCAAAACTGCAGAAAGATGAAAAATAATGATAAATAATAAATAAATAAAGGGCCGACTCCTCAGTGGATTACACTCGTCCTGTAAATTCCCAATCATGAAATGAAAAACTGTTAGTGCACCATCACTCTCTGAAAGTCTTTCCTTGTTTCCACAGAATCCAGTTTCACATCATCCCCAAAACCACCTGCCGGGTCCACCAGGGATGGAGGCAGACGGCTGCCATCCGGGGTTTGCAATGGACTCAGGTAACCCCTTGCTGAGAGCAGTATTTCTCCGGCGCCTGCGACTTACGCGACTGCTCCTGGAGGGAGGAGCCTACATCAACGAGAGTGACAGCCAAGGCCAGACTCCTCTGATGGTGGCCTGCAGGACCCAGCATACCGACACCCAGAGTGCCAGCCGGGTCAAACTGGTTCAGTTCCTCCTGGAGAAAGGAGCCGATCCGAACATCCAGGACAAGAAAGGTCGCTCTGTGCTGATGCACGCCTGCCGGGAGCGAGTTGGCACTGAGGTTGTGTCTTCGCTACTCGCCAGTGGAGCCGACATCAGCCTGGAGGATCATTCAGGGACATCTGCGCTGGTCCACGCGGTCATGGCTGGAGACTGGAAGGTGCTGAAGCTGTTAATGGACACATGCAAGGCCAAGGGGAAAGAGGTGATCATCATAACCACAGACCAGTTCCCATGCGGGGAGCTAAAAGCCAAGCAGTACCTCAGCATGCCATCTCTTGATCCTGATCCGGATCCAGACAAAACAACATCAGCGGCTCCTGCGTCTCCTTCAGACATCCAGCTCATCACATCCCCTCAGTGTCCCTCCTCCACTTTACAGCCCCCACAGTCTGTCTTCTCCTTCAAAGAGTCCAAGTCCTTCGGCGTGAGCTCCCATCCATGTTCCCCTTCACGGTACCAAAGGCTCGGCCAAGCGGTACCAAACGGCCTTCAGCAGCCCCTCCTGAGGTTGAACTCTGAGCCGTGGTTAAAAATCCCAGCATCTCTGCTTTCCCTCCAGCATCACACCACCCTGTCTTCGGAGAATGGGAAAGACCCCAACCAAAGTGAGGACGTGTCTTTCAGGATTCCCAAACTTGACGAGGAGAGCAGCACCAGTTCACTCAGCCACAGCTTCAGCTGGTATGAGGACCAACTGGAGAAGGAGAAGGGAGTGCAAGAAGACGGGAAGAATGGATGTGCCAAACATGTTGGACAAAAGATGTCTTTGCCTGGTCTCTCGTCCCCCCACTCTGCCTCTCACCCCAACCTTCATTCTGGAAACCTTGGTACAGATTCAATGAGATCCTCTTCCTCCTTTTCTGGAGCCAGAAACCTCGGCTCTCAACTTCACAACCTGGCCTCGTCCAGTCTTTATAGTATCATCCAGAGGCGGAAGCTTGGGGCAGATATCTACAGCTCTGATCCTCAGCTGGCCTTCAACATCCATAATGTCCCTGAAGAGTCCCAGCACAAAGCCAAAGACCTCACAGATGCAAAGAGGCTGCCCCCTTCACGCTGCTCGAGCACGCTGGGCTCCAGAGAGTCCCTGTCCACCGCAGGAAGGAAACTGCTGTCTGGGTTTGAGCGCAGAGGGTCTGGAGCTTACCTATTGGACCACAACTCCCAAAGCAGGCCGAGATCTTTACCACCTCTGACCCTCAGCTCCACCAACAACCCCCTCATTAATGTTTATAACCTGAGCTCCAGTGGTGGTGGAGGTGGCTTCCTCCCCTCTGCGCCTCCAGGGCACCCCAAAGAGCTGACCAGGAGGATGCTGCTGAGGAGACACTCTATCCAGACTGAACAGTTCAAAACCACGGCCTGAAGGTCAGCCGATGGAGCCATCACTGTGTTTTGATGTGAAACGTTTAGTGTGATGTGTCTGTGCAGTAAAACCGATGTAGGAAATCATGTAAGACAAACACAAACTGCAGGTACCCTCCTCTTCTTCTTCTTTAGTGTGCGGTGTTGTAACTGTGCTTGTCGCTTTCATGTGCAGTTGTACGTGCAACGCTTCTCTAACCCAGGATTTCCACTGCATCTGGAACAACAGTGATATCCCCCGTAAGCCAATTCCTACCAGATCCATTTGTGAGGCAAATAGGGACTGTAGGAATCGTGAGAACTCACAAGAACCAACAGATTCACGTGCAATCGTGGGATAATAAGTTGTCTTTAGCCACATAGGCTAACCATATCAGCAGTGGATTGTGTCTCTCCAGAGGAGGAAATCTACTTCTAGACTTATAAAATCAGCATCTCCTCATCCATGGTGTCGTCGGGATGAAATGACATCTAAAAATCTTTCACTTGTTCGTCTCCGACCGTTTGCATGGTGTGAAATACGATGCACCTGAAACACGGAGTGTTTTATTTTTAAAAAAGGCCGGATGTTTTATGTTGTGTCTGTGCCCGAGTTCCTTTCCAGCTAAAGTTAATCTGTGCTGAATTTATCTGACATGCTCCGGCTTCTGCAGAATGGAAAGAAGCCGCTGGAAATTGACACATTAACTTGAATGGTTACGATCAGCTGCAATCGGCGGATACGGCCTTCTAGTAGCCATTCCAGATGTGGTGGAAATTGGGGGTAAAGCTGCAGATTTCTGAGCAACAGTGAAAAAAATGGAAACTACAACCTAACATTATCAACACAATAACCTCCCCCTGGGCGGCGGCTTATGTTGCTCCTTCACCTGTAAATATTCTTCAGTGTTCTCAGACTCATGCCATGGCACCCCCCTACCATCAAGGACGCTAGCTTTCATGTTTACATATGCGTTGACCTTCACTACAGAGCTTTTTAAAAATCAGGGCCACACGAGGGTCAAAGATCACAGCCATCAGTTTGGGTTTTTGTCCCGGTTTGACCTTGTTCCTATCGTTCTGACGCTGTTGAAGTATTCGCTCACACAGTCTCTCACAGAGCGGTAAACCTCTTCCCATCTTTTAAACCATCTTCACCCCTGAGAGACACAGACATTACAATCAAGAGAGCTAGATTTGTTTTTTTCATTTGCCAGATGTGTAAAACAAAACCTAAAATACAGAAGTGGAATTGATGGACTTAGAACAATCAACAATAAACTTAAACAGGGTAAAACAGACTGAGAGGAACCGTCATGTTGTTGTCATATGGTTGTCAATCTGTTGTGGTTTAGTTATCCGTTAGTTACCGCACTTGTTTATGGATATTTGACATGATGTAAATTAAAGGTTATCATCACCCCTTAATCTGAAATTAGATGAACATGAAGAGGAATACTTGATTTCTCAGTGACTGTTTTAGCATACAGGCTAACATTAGCTTTGTCAGCCAAACAAACCAGAGGAAACCATGAAGTTCTCCAAGAGTGAGACACCAAAGTGAAAAGAAATAAGCACTGAGGTATTTAAGGACTTATTCACCTCTGTTTGTCTAAACTGATTATATTTTATTATTCTGTCAGTTAAGAGAAAATGTCCAGTCCGCTCACCATCAGCAGTCCTGTCCCATCATCCATCCACTGAGAGGGTTCAGGTGTGACAGTCCTAATCCTGATCTTCAGTGTTAGCTTCTTTAAGAAACCCTCACAATCCCAGATAAGAAGACACTTCATATATTTAGAGAAATCAGGGTTAGCTTCCACTGTCATCAAAAACAGGCCCAAAGGAAATTGATGACTAATGCTACGAAAGACCATTTTGGCCAAAAAGATGGTCAACAGATTTTTTAAAAATCTTTTTTCTTGGGAAAATGTCAGATTTCTGATTTCAGTCTCTGAATCCTGACTTTAATTTCAGAATTCTAAATTTAATCCTGGAATTCTGGGAAAATTTGAATTCTGAGAAAAAAAGTCAGAATAATGAATTTGAAATAAGGAGTCTGAGAAAAAAGACACAATTTGGACTTTAACCTCATGATTCTAACAAAAAATTTGAAATCTCAGAACAAGGACAGAGTTTTGATTTTCCTCAAAATTTTGTGGGAACAAAAGTCAGAATTTTTTATTTTAACACAACATTATGAAGGTGAAAATACAGTTCTGACAAAAAAATGCACTTGTCTGAATTAAATTGCAGAATTCAGAATTCTGGGAAATCTCAGAATTCTTAAAAAGAAGAAAAACAGAATTCTGACAAACATTTCTGGGGGCAAAAAAAAAAGAAATTCTAACATCAAAGAAAAAATAATTCAGAATTATTTTTCTCAGATTTCCAAGAAATATTCAAAATTGTAATTTTCAATTTAATTATTTTTTTAACACAATTTCCAGAATTCTGAGAAAAAAGAATATACCAGGATTCTGAGAAAGTAGAATTCAGACTCTTTTTCTCAGAATTTTGATTTTCAACACAGAATTCTAAAAAAACTTAGATATCCAATGTAAACTTGAAACAAATCTCAGCAAAAATAAATCAGAATTCCAAGAAAAGAAACTGTAATTCTGACTTAAGTTAGAATTTTGAGAAAAAAGTTTGAATTCTGCTTTTAATCTCAAAAATATTAGGAAAAATCTGAGTTCAATTAAGTTTTTTGACCTTTTTAATGAGTCTTTTCTCTCCTGTACAAATGCTGATCAATTCATCTAAAATGTTTTTTGTGCCTCCGTTCATTTTCCATTTTCCACTGTTTACTCTCACCGATGGTCTTCATAAATTCAGAGAGTCCTGAATTGAATATGTTTGTAAAACTCAACTGTGTAAGATCAGCAAGAAAAATGTTTAATAAATGAATTTATTATGATAAAAACATTGCACAAAACAATGTAAAAGTACAGCACTATGCAATAAACAGGCATAGTCATTTAAAAGTGTCTGTTTGTTCATTTATATACACACACAGAAAAACACCTAACACACAAAACACACAATTTAAATCCACAAACTGCTAAGAAAAATTAAATCACAGCTTCCCACTTATGTACACATTAAATTTTCTGATAAAAAAAGTGGCTTAAAAAGACGGTAAAAATATGAAACTCAGGTTGATCAAGGGCTTTAAAAAAAAACAACTGGGATTACGTCTCATTTGTAGAAACTCCATGATCAGGCGTGACTTAGCTTTGGCAAATAAATACAGCTAACAGGACCTACAGCAGGCGATAATACAAACAGCGGTATAATACAAAAAAGAACGTTTGTTTGCTGTAACTCGGGAAAAACTAGCTAAAAGACGCTTTCGCGTAGCTCTGTCATCTCCAGCCAGCTGTCGTAATGGCGGCGGATCAAATTAACCCCCCCTGTCTTTGTCTGGAACGGAGTCGGGTTGTTCAGGCTCTGCGGTCGTAGTCGCTGACCATCTTCTTGATGTGATTGAGTTTGCCCTTCAGATATTTACATCTGCGCTTCTTCATCTGGTAATCTGGAGACTGAAGGAAAATAAATGGAGACAACATGATGAGTTACACAACCAACAGCCTGTGAGTTACACAGGAATAAAAACAGGAGCTGCTCAGACTGTGCTGTGACAGCAGGTTCGAGATAAAACTGGATTGTTTTTTAATGGTTCATGGACTACAATCCCACGTACCCTCTTCAAGCTCTTTATCCTGTCGTACTCATCCAGAGCGTCCTGTAGAAGAAAGGATCAACGATTAATCAGAGACGTTTTTAAAACATTTTAAAACCTTCATTTTCAAGGACTTAAAATTCTCTTTGTCACAATAAAGAGAAAAATCTGACTTTTCAAAAATATCTGCACAGGTGTGAACGGGGTCAGAAGAGGCACACTTTCTAAACCTTTCTCTTTCTGGACATCTACGATCTTCTCTTACCAGGTACTGTGGACTCCCCTCCTCCAGGTAATCCAGCTCTCGGTTCACATCAGACAGGCTCTTGTTGATGGCATCCAGCTCGGCCTGCAGGTCTTTGTACTCCTGGTGGTCCCGATCAAACTCCCGCTTGTAGTCATTGCGGTCCTGCTCATTTGCTATCGGGGGAAACTCCCTGAAGAAGAAGAGGAAGAAGAAGACAAAGGCAACTTACAACCTGATTTGCTCACCCTGGAACAACCCCAGAGTCCTTAAATATGATTGGTTGTTCATCTCATCGGGGGCGGCACTTGTATCAAAATCAGCACTGTGGGCTGTGTTTGAACCAACCGCACAATCCAGTTTTAAGGAATGAAGACAGTTTGGAAGTGCCGAAAACTGCAGTTCCTCAAGCGTCCACCAGAAGTCAGTTCAAAAAGCCCACAAGCAATATACACACCCATTTGTTTTGGTTCATGTAGACAAAATAAACTCGTTTGTAGGTCTAAAAAGGTATAAAGGTCGTTAGTTTTGTATAACTAAAGGGATGACTGACAGGCAGACACACAGTCACTGTTAGCAAGGCTAAACATCAGACTTTTTTTGGTGACCACTGATAACAGATGTTAAAACCCCCTTAATAAGTGGATCAGACGAGTAAATCCTGCAGCTCTCCTCTGTGCTGTTTCATATGATATAAATTATTTCAGATAATTATTTACACATATTTAGTAGTCAATACGTGAGTGTCTGTTCTTAAAACGGAAAGAATCAAGAGTTAAAATGGTGAATTAAAAATAATTTTCCATTCTTGCCACCCCTGAATTATTTGGTACAGTGGGAGGGGTCACCCCAGCCAAAAAGTCTGGACATGCCCCTGCTAAATATCTAATTATAGGCTGGAACAACTTTGACAAAGAAAAAATACTTTAAACTGCTTAAATAATTTAACTATATGAATGAGTTTGTACTTTTACTGTCAATCAAAGCAGGACTTATCGAAGTCTTTACTAACTTCAGCTCAAATCTGCTTCTGTATTTCCATCCTACCTGTCGAAGTCATCGTCGTCCAGCTCATCTCCTGAAGAGTTGTAGTCCGTGTCGTAATCTTGTCCGTCAGCTCGACGCGGCCGCCTTTTTTTGGGCCTCCCAGCTGAACTCGGTATGTCTGAGTTAGCGCCTTGAGGAGCTCCGTTCTGCACACGCACGTCGTCTACTATGGGCCTGTGAAATGAGGAACATGTTATCAAATCTGTACTGTCCAAAAAGACGACACAATTGAGGGTTAAAGTTTGATTATTCCGCATCTGTAATGTGTTTAAAGTTTGGACCTGCAAATCTGAGCCTGTAGAGGTCAGAGTCAGTCTGTAAATCCAGATCTAAATGTTGTTTTTCAACCTCTGTTCTTCAGTTTTCTTTACATAACTCAGAGGAAGTGATAAGCAGCTGTTCAGATTCACGATCACTTCTGTTTTAACAAGTCACGAAGTTAAACAATGACTCTCTGTTTCTGCAGATTCTTCTCACTCTCTAATCAGGACTCGTGTTTTTCATTTAGTCTCAGGGTTGCATGAAAAAAAAACAGCTGCTCATGAATTTTATTTGTTCAGATTTATAAACACTGATGACAGAAAATCTGAGAGGTGTTTCTTCTGACTCTACAACTTTGCAGAAAAACAACAAACTGAACGTCCTGGTCCACATTTCTAAACCAGAACGAGTCTGAACAGGTTTTTGATGACAGGGGGAAAAGTGGGGGAAAAGAGAAAAACAGTTTTTTCTCTTTACAGCCTGTTTCGGTGTGATTTTATAATTTATGGATGACACTAGGAAATACAAGTGTAATAATTAGAGGATTTAAATGTCCAGAGCCTCATCATACACCTCTCAAAACCTGCATCAGCCTTTCCTTAACATGCAAACATACAGAGAGTTATAATGTTTTATTTCTCCATCATAAGTTATTTTTATTAGTTTATAACATTTCATAACCAAAATTAACAATTTTTGGTCATGTTATTGTCGCTCTGAAGTAAAATATACTTTCGACAGTCTTATTCTTTTATCTATTTAACTTTTAAAGATCATTTTTGGGTCATTTTTTCTGAGCTAAATTGGCATCATGTTGGGGTTTATTCTCAGACAGCAGAAACTTAAACTAAATCAGTGTCATTTGACCGATCAGTTTTTATATCTTATTAAAGGTGTTAATAATAAAGTCCTGAATTTCCTGTCATGAGCAAACAGATCTACCAGTACAGTCACGTCAGTTTCTTTAAATAACTCTGATCCCAAGAATCTCAGAGTAAATTAGCTGATATTTCTACTTAATATTGAGCACTTCTTTTTTCTTGTGATATCTTAAAAATATATTTTAATATCTTTAAAAAATATGAAGCTGCCGAGGACTCACGGCGGGGTGTAGCTGTACGGAGGTTTGTCGTAGTTGGTGCTCTCGTCGTCCAGCTGGTTCCTGGAGCTCCTCAGCTTCTCGGGGTACTCGGACATGGCGAGGGGTTCAGGGGTCGCAGACACGTTATTCACCTTCAGGGGAAACCAAATCAAATGTTTTAGCCTCATGTATTTAATGAAAATCACATTAATGACAGCATGTGGATGTGTTACTAAAAAGCTCGCCATCTGTTAAAGTCTCGGGTGTGTCGAATTTGGCGCCCCCCTGTGGACACAGCAGTGATTTTTCAGTTTCTTTCTCAGGTGGATTTGTTGAGTAAATCCCTCCCTGCTCTCTAATAACAATCAGATTGTTCATTTTTTGCATGTTTTAATAACTGACTCTGACATTTACATTTCCAGGCAGTTAAAGTTTAAAGTTTAAAGGAATAATCTGCCTTTTTTTCTGATGGTAATTTTTACTTTTATACATCATTAGGAGGCTGCAGTTTTAATCTACACCTGATGTTTATCCAGGTAACAAAAACAGTAGCTTTAAGCTGCAGGATAGGATATGTGCACTCATTTAAGGGTTAAAGTTTGAAGAATGATGTTAGTGCTGCCATAAATTTGAATTAGAGCAAAAACTGTAAATAATTTATTACTTCTCTATCATTGTCATGTGCAGTTTTGTTTGTTTTATGATGCAAAAATATAAAGATTATCGCAAATAGCTTTTTTTTTTAGAAGTATAAATGACGTATATTTGAGCAATTTCATGTTTTAAACTGTTGGTAACACTAAACAAAGACAGTAAACAATCTCATCTTGGATTTCAGAGCAGTATTTCAGACATTTTCATGATTTTTTTGGCCCAAACTTTTCAGAATAACTCTCAGCTTTAGCACTAAAATGCATATTTTCTCACATTTTATCCCCTTTAAAATGTGCGTATTTTGTAATTTATACAATGGGATTCTTTTTTAAATCTCTAATTTGCAAGGAAAGGGCAGGACTGGATAAGCTCTTTGCTTCATTCTGTTCCTCTTCAAACTGTTTATTTTTGACATAGGTACATATGTTGTGTAAATTTATCTTTGGCATGTGCAGTTGTTTGGTGTACATATGTATAATTTTGTTCAGTGTTTTTGTTTCTAGTTGTTGTTTTTAAAGTTTGAGATCAATAAAGAAGAAAGAAAGAAAGAATATGATCCTTAAATAAGATGCATTTACTCTCTACCCAAAGATATGTAAAGTTTAAGTTTTGGAAATAGAGCTTAAATATGAAATTACTTTTTAAATAAGTCTCACAGCAGAGTAAGTTTGATCAGCACAAAGAAGATGCAGCGTCTGAATCAAGCTAAAACAAACAGACTTTACAGTTTCTGACTTTTGAAGGGTGTCTCCCTGCAAACAAACACACACACACACACACACACACCAAACACACACATACACACACACACTGGATCTCCTCCAGCCCTGGTATGATAAACCTGCACAGACTCGTCCCTGAAATGCTCCATAATTGCGCTGCACCCTGCTGCACAGGTCCAAAACAACATGTATGTTCTGCAGGCGGCTGCAGCCTAACAGCTCAGCACTTTCAGACCAGTTTCCACAGAGTTTAGAGAAACAAACGCTCCGGTTCCCAGAGTCGAGTTTCTCCTCTGGTGTTAAGTCTCTGCTGGACTTCAGAGCACCGGTCCGACCTGTTCTTCCTCTTCATCGCTCTGCGGTGAACTCGGCTCGGCTCTGCTGAATGTCATCATGACTCCAAACTATTATCAGCGTGACTCACACACTCATCTCCACTCATGAAGGGGGTCAAATGTGAGAGCCGCTGAAATGTCTCTGAAAATAGCTGCAGAGGGAGTGATTCACCAGCGTCAATGTAAACACTGGATCTAAAGGTTTGGCAAGAAAAAGATCCGGGTTTGTTTGAGAGCAGGAAAACATGTCAGAGAACGACTGAAACTCTCATATCTGTGTTTGTGCCACACCTTGAAACTCTGCAGGAAGGAGAAGAAGAAGCTCACAGCTCCACGGTCCCCCTCCCCCACTGATGAACAGGTGACTGCTACCTAACCTGTCGAACCACTTCAGCCGACACACAAACTCGACATCTGTGCTGCTGCTGCTGCTTCTCCCAGCACCTGTCCGCACACACCTTCACCTCACCTGAGATCAGCTGTGATTACTTCTTTACAGATAGATGAGTCCACCGACACACAAAGGAAACACAATTATACTAAACACTGTTCCTGATTCTTTAATGTCGATTGTTTTGATAAGCTGCAGCTGAACCATAAACCTAAATTTAACCGAACTTATTCAATCTTCTTGATTTCAGCCTCTAAAACATGTTAATTTTCTCATTTCTTTCTCTCTTGTCTGATTTAAATCAAATAATTTGCATTAAGGATCAAACAAAACTGACAAAAATTCATTTAGATCTTTTTATTTATTTATTTTTTGACGGTTGAAAACTCAAGTTATTAAATAAAAATCAAATCCTGGTACTAAAACTCAAATCTAGTTTTAAGTAAGAGGCACTGCTGATCAAACTGACCACAGACCAGCCTCAAAGGTCCTGTTTTGTCCAAATAAGAGTGTAAAACCCCCCAAAATGCCAATTTAAAAGGAGCAGTTCGCAGAATCTAGCATCATTTATCCAACCAAAGCTGAACAGAAATCAAATCTAATATTCATAATCATGTTAAAGTTTGTGTATGATCCCCCAAACGTCGAAGTCATACTGATTTTGTTGATCGTTTTATAACTATGTATCATCTTTAACTTATTAAATCTTTGGCCGGTTTGGACACTCGTCATTTATGAAACTTTTGGACTAATTTTTGGATATTTCCACATTTTATAAACTCAAAGGTTGATTGGTTGATCAAGAATGTAAATGTCATATTGATAAATAATGCCAAAAGTGCCAAAAAGACACCAAGAAATACCAACTCAACTAGTTAAAAATTATAAATCAATCAAAGAAGCTCCTGGTGCTGATCAGGAGGTGTATAAATTCTGTGTATGCCATGATCAAAACAATCGTTATTCATATTTTTGGTCGTCAACTTCTCGTTTTAGCGTCACTCACCCAGGCCTCCACATCCTGAGGCGGCTCCAGCTCGTCCACCACCTTCACCTTCTTCCACAAAATGTTGCTCTTCCCGTAGTTTTGGATCTTCTGCCGAGTCTTCAGGGCGAAGACGAGCATGATGATCAGAGCGATGGTGACCAGGAAGCCAAACACGATGGCGATCGCCTGAGATGAGACAGAAAAAAGGGTTACCCACCTAACAGTGAACGTCCTTCTCTGAGAAGAAGATCTAAAGATGGACGTCCGTTCACCTCCTGAGGCTCCACCACGCAGTAGTGGTACAGATATTGGTTGACAAAGACTCCTGAAGGCTGCGGTTGTTGGTACTGGGCACAGAGACCGGCGATCTGGCTTCCATAGGCGGATCCAGCTGACTGAGCCATGGGGTTCACCGCCACCAAGTAGACTATGGTGGCTATGAGCATTAGCAGCGCCAGGATGGCGCAGATGATAATCACAGCGAGGTAGAACTTCCGGCTCTGAGATAGACTCTGATGAGACACGATGATGATGAAGATGACCAAGGCCGCGATGAAGGTGATGGCTGCCATTGCGATGATGAACCCTTTTCCTTTTCGGGGGTCGTTGTAGTTCCCTCCTAGTCCACCGTAGCCATAATTGTTTCCAGCTCCATATGCGCCACCGCCAAAGGATCCATAATTACTACCGCCGGCATAGCCTCCTCCATACCCTCCACCGTAGGTGCCCCCATATGTTCCCCCATACCCTATACCCCCAAAACCACCCAGAGCCCCCTGAGTGTCCCACGCCAGAGTGGAGGCAACACAAGCAAAGATGGCCACGCACAACACGACCACGATGATGGCCATGATTTTGAGGATGCCCGGCGGAGACGTCCAGCGGTAGAAGTGCTGGAACTCGTCGTCAGGGTAGTAGGAATACGCCGGCTGAGGGGGGGCGTTACTGTGGAGACAGAAGAAATGTAAATAAGTGAATTTGACCCTTTAATGCCTGAAACCACAAATTATGACCAGAAAAATGTTATTTTACTTAGCTAAAATGTTTATTTTACTTACTACTGAAAAACAAAAATCAAAATGTCCTTAAAATTTAACAAATATATTTATTTATCTCATTTGATACATTATTGTTTTTGGAACTGATAAACTACAAGAGGACATTATTATCATTTATCAGGGTGTATTCAGGTGTTTTTTAGTAATTTGTTGATCATATTGATTTGATAGAAGTATATAAATGTATCAAATATGACCTGGACTCAAACCAAACAGTCCTCCATTAATCAAATTTTCAGGAGAGGTTAAAATTCAGGACTACCAGGAGGTCATAAAGGTTAACTGTGTCAACATGAAAACAGGATTGGTCAGACGTTTACACTCCTGAGACTTACTATCCATCTGACTCATAGGGAGGCGGACTCCCGTTTGGCCTGGAGGACATTTCTGCTGGATCCTCTGGTCTGCTCGTCTGTCGGGAGAACCTGGAAGAAGATTCTTATCATTAGGGACAAATAAATGACAAATAGAAACAGCAATAACTTCAGTGTAAATGAGTCTTTAAAATTGGATAACTTTCCTGATTAAATGTTTGATTTTTTAACATAAAGATGGGGCAACAGTGGACTAAATTCAGTCCTTTATTAGAGTTCAAAACGTACAAAGATGAGACTGTTAAAAATACCTATAAGAAAAAACTTTCCCTCATCTTTTTTGGAGATAAAATAGCAGATAGACGATAAAATTAGACAGTTTATCTCTTGCTTTGAGATCATGCAACAGTCATGACATTTTAAACCGACTTTTACACAAAGCCAGACTGCAGCTGTGAAACCGGAACATTCCTCCTCTTAACTACAATCACCTCATTTATTTTCAGGTAGATTGACAAAAGCTCATGACTGGACCAAACAACGCTGAAGCTAACAAACACGGTCATATTTTTTTAGCATTTTCATCAAAAAGCAGTCACACTTTATAACGGAATTCTCCTTTTGTGTTTACACTAGCAACAGATGCGATATTAGGGAGATAAAACTAGCAGCACACCTGTCCTCAACTTTACAACAGGTGAGAATTATCCAGCTTTTTTAATCCTCACTGAGTTTCAGTCAGAGACTCACCTGTCGTACAGTCTTCCTCCTCTCTGCTCCGTCTCTTCACCTGAAGTGTTTCACCTGAAACTGCTCGAGCTCATAAAAACAGTCCAGACCACACCTTAACAGAGATCCGCTCTCGAGCCGCCTAAGCCCCGCCCCCCTCCGCGCAGGTGTCGATTTACGTATCAAACACCGGAAGTTTGAACGCGAGTCGGTTTCAACGGACATTCCTGGAAACGTTTCAATGAAAGTGAAAAAGGAGAAATAACAGATCCAAAGAGGATCAGAAACAAATAGGTCACTTAAGTTTGTTCATAAATATAAAATAATTAGTATTTCCCAAATAATTTACAGATATTTATATATTCGAGCACTTTAAAATAACCTGTTGCTTGAAATTGGAGTCCCAACAACACAAAGTTATACAGAAAGAATGTTTATTTAGTATATATTAAGAGTAGGGGAGGTTAAATGTAGAAAATAAATTTAAAATACAGGTTTCATATTTATTTTCTTTTTAGCCTTCCATTTAAAATGTTTGTTTTAGTTCCTGTACTTATATCTTTGGTCTGAGCTTTGTTTTGTCTGCTCAAATTCACAGTTTTCTTCAATCCTTAGCGTCACATCCTTTGCAGCTCTTGCAGTTTTGATAAAACTTTGATAAACAGGCCTAGAACTTAAAGCTACAGTAAGGAACTTTTCCTTTTGTGTAGTAACCATCACCTCCTAGATGATCATGTCTTTTTCTTGTCTTTTACCAGCCGTGTTTCTCTCTGTGAATCCACAACTGTTTTATTTTTCAATTCAGGACAGTCCGTATAATCTCAGAGGTGCTTGCAAATTTAATGTACAAAAAGCTAAAAAAGGTATGAAAAGGAGATGTGTCTCCATTACTGGAGTTGAATTCTGGAATGATGCCAACATAAATCTAAAAACATGTCTTTCTTTTTTGCTTTTTAAGAAAATGGTTTGTAAAGCTATTTTCTGAAGCTTATAAGATTTATTATCTGTTGTGGTTTCTTTGCTTTTCTGGAGATCGGTGGCCTAAAAGAAGTTGACAATACAGGATAGGCTTTTATAAGCAGTCTGCTTCTGCCTATGCCTTTTCAGTCAACATTCAACACATGATTCTTGATTTAGTGATATTGTGATTTTGTGTGAAATGTCAATATTGTGTACAATATTTGGTGTTGTCATGACTGAATAAACAATTACTACTACTACTACTACTAGTACTACTACAAGTGGTTCAAAACTTTGATTTATTGCATTATTTCCACATATACGAGACTTTTATAATAAGTAAACTGAAGACCGACCTTTTTAGTCTGGCTTTTAGTTGAATTTTGTTTTAATCTTTTAATCTGCATTATGTGATTTTACCCTTTTTTAGTCCTTGAGTAACTATTTTGTGATTTATTACCTCTTTTTAAATTTACTTTCTGTTATTGTTTGATTTTAAGACTGGTTTACTTAGTTAACTTTTAAAGTTTTATCACCTTTATTATATTTTATCATAGTTTTATCATTTTAGTCCTAGATCCAGGGTTTCCTCATTTCTTTTAACTCAAGATAACGTTTCCTCAGTCATCTGTGGCAAGTTGAGTCCTCATCTGGTCTTTTGTGTGTGTATCTGTGTGTGTGTGAGTGTGTGAGTGCTGTATGTGTTGAATGGGGGTTGGGAGTTTGGTATTTGTATTTCTATTTGTTTTATTTCATTGTTTTTAATATCCTGCGTGAATGGACAGCACTTTGTGCCACAGTCTATCTATGAAAAGTGCTTTAAAAATAAAGTTTGATTGATTGATAATCCACGTAAACACGTTAGCTTGACTTCATGGTGTAAGAAAACATGAAATAAAACAAAAATCATGTACAATACCAACATTTTTGCTGATCAAAGGTTATATAACTAAAACCCACAAACCCAAAGTGACATTGCGATGGACTTTTAATAAGAAAACGAGCAAATTTTCCTGTTTAAGGGGTGGAACAATATAAAAAAAAAGGAAATGTACTTAAATATTCAAATCTGATTTCAGGAGATTCTGTCTGGTGCGGCTTTAGTTTGGCGAGTTTCACATCCTTTACTTGTATTTTTCTTCCCTTTTTCAGAGAAAGAAACAGACGGTAACAAATGAAACCGCAGAAACTAAACTTGCGAAACAAAAATCACTTCGATCACTCAACCATTTGGATGTTTTCAGCTTAATATTCATTGTCGTGTGTTAAAATAAGAGAAAGACGAATCTGCTGTTTTAATTTTCCTTTCAATCTCAGCCTCCAGTGTGTTCAGTGAGGTAAAGAAAAGACATCAGTGTGTATTAAGTACAAAATCTTTAATTATTGAAATGGTAGAACAAAGTGTTACAGCATACACATTTAAAACTTGACAATCAGGACATGGATAAAAAAAATGTGCAATTAAACAATCCAAACAATCATCACAGCAGTTTAAAAACCGGAGAGGTGTGAGATTGTTCTGGATACAAAGTGGTTTTTCTTTCCGGTTCTTGAAATTCATGAAATTAAAGCCTGAAGGAGAATGGTGCAGCATCTCCTCAGTGATTTCAGGCGAACGTTCACAACAGATCCCAGTGTCATTATTGAAATAAAGCACGAAGCGTCACGACAGTCAGAGTCACAGTATCACACGTTTACAGCAGCTCCTCTTATTTTGTATTTTTAGACGGTTTAAACACAAAAATCAGAGTTTTAGGAAAGACTAAGACGGAAAAATCAAAACCACTCTGAGCTTGAATAGACGGTGGATGAAGAGACAGCTCCCTGAAAGTGACATCATGACGTTAAGAGCTCCCCCTGCTGGCTGGATGTGGTCATAAAGTCATAAAGCCCAAACAAACAAGACATTTTTTCCCTTTAAGTGATCGTCACACAGGACTTACTGACGACTGTAGCTGCACAGAGAAAGAGAGGACTCCAGCTGCTGATCTCTACTGTCCAGACTCTGGATCCAAACGGTTCCACTTGAGTCTGTTATAAGGAGAGTTTTGGCTTCACTTTTGTGCAATATCTTCACAAACAGTCAGTGGTAGCTACAGCCATTTGTTAGCTGGCATAAACTTAGCATAGAGACAGAACCAGAGGGAGACAAAGTGCCTAAACAATCTAAAATGCTCTTTTCCCTTATTTTGAGTCTGTTTCAATGTGCTCGTGAACTTTTAGGTGAAAGAACGTCGTCAAAGAAGTGTTGAATTTACTCACATGGACCTAAACAACTCAGAGTTATCACCCAAAACACGAAAACAAGTGACATAGCCTGAAAAGAGTATGTGCAATATTGAACTAGTGGCTTTTTTTTTTCTGATCACATGAACGCAGAAAAATCTCCCAGATTATTAAATCATAACTTTCAGATCCTGTGACTCCCAAACTTACTTAAAAGTTATTTTTAAAAACAATAATTGTGTTTTACAGCTGAAACTATAACAGAGCTCTGACAGCACATACAGGCTGCCATCGTTTCCCTCTGTATTCTGTCACTGTGCTAACCTGATCTCAATTTATTAGCTACTTTTTTCCCTCAAACCTAAGAGTGGTTTTGAGTCTTCATCAAAGTCTGGACCAGAAGCAGATCAGGTGCGTCTCCTAAAACCTGAAAAAATAAAAAATCTACTCTTTAGTGTTTATAAAGGCCACAACAAGCAGAAGCAGACGGACACACGGCTGACGTTAGCACACAGGTTTAAGAGGAAGAGCGTTATGGGGATCCCTGTCGGGTTCTTGTGGTCCTGATCGGGTTTCTCTCTCCAGTTAAAAAGTCTTTTCAGCACCAGCTCCGCTCAGCTGTCACACGCTCTGTTTTTAGTGGTCAGTGGTTCCCCGGCGCGCAGGCTCCTCCTCCTCCTCCTCCTCCTCCTCGGTTTAGCTGTAGCCGTCGTTCCACTCCATCACTTTGTCGTACTCCTGGATCTTCTGCTTGATGTGCGACAGTTTGTTCTTCAGATATTCACACCGCTCTTTTTTCTCCACGAAGGTTGGGTCCTGGAGGAGAGAAGAGGAGACATGAAGTTTTATTTTTGGAATTTTTTACACCATTCTTGATTATAACTCGACTCTTTAAATCACAGAAACATGCTTCTTCATCTTCAGCTCTAGAAAATGGTTAACTCACATTTTTTTTTCTCTGGTATTCCTGAAGGATTCTGTTAATGCGATCGACCTCCTGTGAAAAAAACAGACAGAGGATGAGGAGAATTCAGTGCAGCAGTTAAAACATGCAAACTCTGTGAAATGAAGCAGTGAGAGTGAAGCGCTCTGTGACATAGCGGAGGAGGAATTTGAGGGTGGAGGGGAAATTCAGCAGGAACTGGAAATACAAACAGAGGAAGTGACAACATGAGGAGAACAACAGACGGACTGAGTGATATTCAGGTTCTGATCGGTCTCTCGTTCATGTTTGACCTGCTGAGACTAACAGACGCACACCCACATCACAGAACTCTGTCTTCGTTAAAGTCAAAGTTTCATCATGAACCTAAATGTTTAAACAAAACGAGGGTCCTGGAGTCTTCTGAAGATCAGTAAACTAAAACTCAGAAAGATAAATCACCATCTGACTGGACGGATGCTGAGGCAGACTTCGCATCATGGCGTCCATCTCCTCAAACTTCTTAACCGCCGCCTGCACGTCTGCGTGGATCTCTTTGTACTCTGCGTACTGGTCGTTGAACACAGCTCGGTACTGATCCCGCTCCTCCGGGGATCGGATTGTCGGGTACTTACTGCACGAGGATTTAAAGAGGAAGAACTTCAAAACGCTCATAAATTCAGAATTTGAACCTTAGGTGTTTTTTAGGCGGGTCTTACGTGATGTAATCAGGTAGGATGACAGGTTTAGGAATGTGTCCTGATGGGATCGTTCCCTGGAGAACTTTGGGTGGGACCGCTTTAGGAGCGGAGGCCTGGATGGGGACCACAGAGGAACCCTGAGCCTGCTCTGGAGCTCTGGGTCTTGGATCAGAAACTGGAACCATCTGAAGAAAATCAACCGTGTAGAAAATGAACTTTCAGTTCAGACAAAGTTAAAGCACAGCGAGAGAGTTTATCGTCTTTTTACTGCAGGATGCTCACCAACGATCTCGCAGCTCTCATCTCAGAGGGAACCATCTGTGCAAAAAAGAGCATGTGAATGTAAAACTCATCAACGTCAGGAGAATAATAATGAGGATTATACTGTTACAAGAAAAACAGTTTTCAGAATGGAGAAAGTGGAGAGTTGATGTTGTAAGTTCTTCTTAAAAGTTTCTTTATTTCAACAAGAAACTACCACCTCTTTTATTTATCGTGTTCTTACCGTTCAAAATGTGTTTTCTTTACACTTTGATGATTATTTACACGAATAAAAACATGATAAAAGTGCCATGAAGTGATCTTTAAGCTGCATGCAAACCAAAACACAACGATTATTAGGTGTACAAGTTTCCGCAAACTCCCCTCAAGTTTTCTAAACTACAGCCAACTGAGAGACTCTGCAGCAGCTCCACTCTGCACAGGGTTCCTGCAGGTTTTAACTAGTCAAACTTAGGACTTTTCAAGGCTTTTTTAAGATCATAATGATAACAATTTAAGATCAATTTTACATCCATACTGGCAAAAAAATACTTAAGACATAAAGAGAAATCTGAACATTTTCAACTAATTTCAAATCCATCTTTAAATATAAGTAACACCATCATTTTAAGACCTTTCAAATTCGTATTTAAGACATTTTATGCTGTTTTAAGAGAATTTTAGACATGCCTCCAGCTTTCACGCTGCCTTAGGAAGGCTGTCAGCATCAGAAAGTACCCCACTCATCTGTCAACATCCATGTGAATAACTTCTGTCGGGCTAAAGGTGCAGATCTATTTCTTTCCACAGAGCCACAGCAGCTCTGAACCAGCATCTTAAACACCCTCCACTACTCAGCATCAGCAATGCACAGATGCTTTTGCACATGAACAGTCTGGTTCTACTCCTCTACTCCCAGAATTAAACTCTCTATTTGTTGCACAACTTCTGACTCTGTTTATTCAGCTGCTCTCTCTGTTTTAAAAAGCTGCTGCAGTCTCTGTGCATTGGAGTCCAGCTGATATTCAAAGGTTTCCTGCAGCGTTATCAGTCTAACAGGGAGCGTCATGTTATAAATCAGCTGATTACACACGCACACACCTGTCTGCTGCACTGGGATGGTCATGTGATGAGGATTTTCATCTGTCTGTGAGTCTGGACAGATACTCAATAAAGCCAAACACAGACAGAGATTAAATGAAGAACTGTCTTAGAGTCAATGTGAGATAAGAGTTGGATCATTTATAACACAGAGGTCAACAAATCCTCTACTGGACTGATTTCTGAGCAGCAGACAGGGAGGGAGGACTCGGACTCCTGTAAACCTCTGTGCAAATTCTGTGGTTTTTGTTGCACTACAGTCAGACATGTTTGCTGTAACAGCCTGTTTTTGTTACATGATGTTCCTGATCCTTTATGATCCTTTAAATCCCTGACTGATGTGGAGGAGTCTCAAGACCCCGCCCTTCAAACACAAACAGGAACAGATACTCACCTCCTGGCCGTACCTCTCCCGGTATCTGCGGGTGGCCTCGTGCCTCCACAGCTTCAGACACACAAGGGCGCCAATCAGATACACCACCAGGGTGACGAAAAGGAAGATGATGGCGGCGGTCTGGCCTGCCTCTGTTCTGCAGAAGGCACCGTTGATGCCGTTGTTGAAGACCGGGTAGGAGCAGAGTCCTCCACGGGTGGTGTCCCGGACATAAACGATGCCTGGTGAACAAAAAGGGGGTTAAGTTCTGGCGGGTCAATGATCGACCTGATTTGTCAGCTTCATTTCTGTTCCTGTCTGACTTAAAATGTGTCAAAGGGACATTTCACTGTTTTTAGAGTGAGGTTAAAGGGTTTTAACCCTTGGTTCCTGTTAATTTTAAGCTCCATCCAGCCTACTTTGTCCCCAAAATGGACATGCATTTAAGTACTCATAAAAGAATCATTTTTTGACAATTTTTTTTTTACTTTTTTCGACTCAAATCTCTTAGACAACTTCAGCACTGACCATTAAAAAAATAATAAATACAAAATTTGATGTGACACCCTTTTTATGCCAGTTTTTGTGGGCCATGTCACTGCTATTTATAATGGTAAGATACACAAAATCGCCATATTTCCCATACAAAATTACCGAGATGTTTTTTTTTTTAAATAAAAAGATTCTGGGCCATGTCAATGATGAGAAGTTTGACCGATTTCGGTGCATCTAAATTCTTTTTGTTGTGCCAATTTTTCATACTTGGAGCTCCATTCAGCCTACTTTGTCCCCAAAACGGACATGCAGATAAGTGTTCAAAAAAATGATCATTTTTAAACTTTTTTTTTTCTTACTTTTTTTTGACTCAGATCTCTTAAACAACTTCAGCCCCGATCATTAAAAAAACAATGAATAGAAAATTCTATGTATTACCCTTTTTATGCCAGTTTTTGTGCGCCATGTCATATTTATTCATTAAGTGTGCATTCTAAATAGCTGAGTCTGTTGGAGCGGAAAAACGTTTTCACTTCCTTTTCTCAAGTCTCGTTCTCTACCAAATTAAATGCGATCGAATTCATTTGTTCATTTATTGACTGCAAAAAGAAGGTTGCAATAGGTTGTTATGGTGTCATAAACACACGGTCAAAAGACTTGTTTTTAATGGGAGTCTATTGGCCAATTTGCGGACAAAGGAGGGTGGATGGAACTAAAAAGCGGCAGCGGAGAACTACAGGTGATACAGAGTTGGGTTTTTTTTAAATGAAGAAAAATAAGGACTCTCACCAAATTTGATGCCCCAATCTTTAAAAATGACTGTCAGACGAAAATAAAGTAAAAAAAAAACGACAAATGTCCTCAAATCAGACATAGTAGAAACCGAGGGATAAGTGTTTTAGCAACAATGGATGCAGGTCCAATTAGAAACTGCAGGGGGCGCCGGTCTAAAAGCTAGGCCACAGTTGTAGGTTTGAATTTCCTGTGTTTCCTACCTGCTGCCATGTAGAGCACAGCCAAAGCCAGGTTGATCACGAACTCTGTCAGCGGCCACCAGTTGGAGTCCAGCAGGATGGTCCGGTAGTACATGGTCATCCCCAGTACCAACACGATCACAGTCACCAACCAGGCCAGACCCGCCACCACCAGAACAAACGGGGTCTTCGGACCGGTGTAGTACGTCCCGCCTGTTCCTGCGCCGTAGAACCCTCCTCCGTACGCCCCCCCTGGACTCGAGTACCCGAACATGTTGAACCACTCGTTGTCTTTGTGGATGTAAGCGCAGACGCAGGCGAACACGGCAGCCCCCAGAAGGAGCTCCACGCAGCCCAGAATCCTCAGCAGCCCGGCCCAAGACTTCATGTAGGCGTAGCGCTGATGGTACTCCTCCACCCGCTCGCTGTAGGTCAGACCCGTGCGGTAGGTTCGCCCTGATATGGACTCATGAGTGTCTTGTGGCTCCAGAAGCTCTTTGTGCGAGTTGTAGCTGCCGCCTGACCCGCCATAAGGATCCCGGTATGACCCAGGGACAGAGGGGGAATGCGGGGGGGAGCAGCGGACCCCCTCGGTGGTGGTGCTGTTGTTGTTGTTGAACGAGGAGCCCGACATGGGCCAGGGCTTGTTGCTGCTGCGGTTACTCCCCCTGAAGAAGTTCTTCCATGAGTCTGGGATAAAGCGGTGCACCGGTTTGATGTCGAGGGCGGGGTCGAGTTCGGGGTCCTGGTCAGCGTTGGACTCACTACCGCTGGGGTCAAACTCGGGTCCCACAGGAGGCTGGTCGGGCAGAGGCGGGGGAGGTAGAGGGTCGGCGCTGTGGGCGTAGGGGGCGTCTCTGTGCTCCCTCAGCGGCTGTAGATTGTAGACGTCTGCTCGGGGTAAGGAGCCCTGAGGTACCTGGTCATAGTGCGGCGCCTGGCGGACACGCTCAGTGCGTCCGTTAAAGCCTCCTCCATAGGACATGAGGATGGTGATGTTCCCTGAGAGCACAGAGACACACATGTAAACCCTCTGAATGATGTCACCACGTAGAGGTGATCTGTGAATTATTGATCAATCAATTGATTGAAAAATATGAGAATTTGATTGTTTTCTCTGTTTTTAATCCGACTTTGACACGTTTGGATTCATACTGTTGCTTTGTTAAAGCTGCAAAGTCATTGACTGTATATACTATGGACAACTTTGTTTCGCCTTCCACCAGTATACGGATATGAAGCCAAAAAGCTCTCAGTAATTCTGCATTTTTTTCTCCACTTCTTGAGACCAACACTGCGCAGAAGTGTTGTACGCACTCCACCACTTGCGCATTTGGCGGGAGAGTCACTTAGAGTCGCTTGGCTCAAACAGTGTATCCCCCCGGGTGAGCTATGCAATCTTTGTACACCCATAGCAGTGTTTCCCCTGCATTCATTCAGCAGCGGCGCTGCTAAATTACGTGCGCCACTACTGAAATTTCACATGATCATGAATACCAATGCGCCACTAATGATTCTACTCGCACTGTGTGAGCACAACAACACAAAATGTTATTTCCGACTTGTTATGAGTAGGGCTGAAACGATTACTCGAGTAACTCGAGTAACTCGATTAATAAAAACGATTCCTCGAGGCATATAATTTGCCTCGAGGAATCGTTTAAATCCGGAACCATGTGCAGCGCACGGTGTTTGACACGGACGGTTATTTCTGTTGCGCAGAAGCGTGCTCTTTCCGCTCCTTCCGCTGCCGCGCGTTTGGTTCAATCATGGAGGGAAACGAGGACAGACAGAAGCTGTGTCCGAAATGGCATACTGCCTGCTATCTACTTACCTACTCAAGCAGTAGCTACTGCCTACTGACTAATCAAAGATGATTTGAGTATGCCGCGGCTGCCCGAGCGTTTACACACATACATACTAAATACCCCAGAATGCATTTCGTGCCGGCCGGACGCAGCGCCGGGAAAATTTAAATAGTCCTACCACAAGCTACATAGAACGACTGCATACCGGACAAATTATATAAATTCATTCAATAATAATATTTTTTCTAGCGAGAAAGTAAGTGTTTACATCACGATTATGAGCCCAGTTGTTTGAAATAGTGGCTGTTTGTAAATTTGTCTCGGCGTTTTCGGAGACCGAAGCGTCCACTTGGTCGGTGTTTGCGTCTATTTACCGTAAACACCGGGCAGCAGCAGCTCCCCCTTCACGTTTCCAAATTATTGCGAAGTGTTTTCATAATCAACATCTACACGACACAAACCGGGCGGCAGTGGATGAAAAAAATCACACAAACATCCGTGTATCCATGGTGATAATGCTATACACCACCTGCTAGGCGTGTGATGAGCAGCAGAGGGCTGCAAAATGACCAACACACAACAACATGTAAATAAAAATGTAACACTTTTATATATTGAATAAATGTACATTTGCTTGTCAAATTATGTTAGTATCCAAGAATTATATTATTTCAGCCTATTAATTAAACAAGTAAAATTAGATCCAAAGCCTGGAAATAGTTGTGACTGGTTTAGTGAAAACTGCAAAGATCATTACCATAGCAATTAAAAGACCATCTGCAGACCTTGCCTTCAGTAGTTTCATGTGAACTACATGGTAAAATGTAAAACTTTTGGTTCCTGATTTATGCAGTAAAAATATTCATTTGAAAGACCTGGCCTATTTCAGTTTTGTGTGTTACTGATGGTTTTTAATGAGGCAAACGTGATTCAATGCAAAGTATTACAGTGAGAGCAAAACATTTCTTATCCGATTACTCGATTAATCGACAGATTAATCGATAGAGTACTCGATTACTAAAATAATCGATAGCTGCAGCCCTAGTTATGAGTCATCACGGAGTGCATCAAATCCCGCCGGACCCTCTTCCATCAACGTGAAAGGTAACGTTAAAGCTTATACATGGTTTATGTAGCGAGTAACATTAATAGCATTAGTAGCATTATTATCAATGTGGCACTACTGATTTCTACTCGCACTGTGTGAGCACAACAACACATGATGTTATTTTCGATTTGTTTTGAGTCATCAACGAGTGCATCAAATCCTGTCTGACCCTCTTTCACTAATGTGAAGGGTAACATTTAAACTTATACACGGTCTGTATAGCGAGTAGCGCGGGTAACGTAACATGAATGTAACGGCGTAGCTCCTGGAGCAGCTAGAGAGTGGTGGGTAACAACGCCCCCCAACCCCTTAATACACACACACACACACACACACACACACACACACACACACACACACAAACACAAACACAAACACACACACACACACACACAAACACCGCCGTTGCTGAAAAAAATTCTAGGGGAAACACCGCCTAGGCTGTATCAAGTGTCAATCATATAAAACATGAACCCTCTCATAACTTTTAAAAATGGAGCTGTACAGAAAAAAGAGGACATGCGCACAAACCAGTCTGACAGTAACTACATGTCAACATCGCAAGCAAGGGGGAGAAAAATTTATGTTCTAATACATTTCTAAAGTTTGTCCACAGCTCCATGGGGATTGCTGGAGGAGGCGGGATTTATGACCTATACTGCAGCCCGTCACCAGAGGGTGCTGTTCTCGTAGTGGTTTCACCCAGCGAGGAGGCAGACGGCGTGTATTATATATACAGTCTATGTGCACAGTAAAAACATTGGTGTATTTCAGCAGACCACAAAAATGAAGAGCTGATGATCAAATTTAAGCCAATCATGTTTCTGATTTGAAGCCACCACCGATCTATGACCATGTCTATCGAAAACAGGATGGAGTTTAGAAAGAGAGAGTAGAAGAAGAAGAGGTCGTCATCTCATTCATGCAGACTCCACACCTGAGAGCAAAGCCAACCTGAGGTCCCCACAGAAACAGCCTCATGAGTGCAGATGTTATCCTCCATGCAAGCCGAGTCAGGAATGCATTTTTGTGCCGCGACCAAACAAACCAGAGGCATAAATTCCCTCTTCTCCTGTTTTTTTTTTCCTTTCACAGGCTGATTTTTTTTTTTTTTATTAAAGCACAAAAATACAATCCTGACGCCAACCAGCCCTTAAAAAGCCCGACTGTTTGATCTTAAGAGGTAAAAAACAAAAAGAAACTGTGCTTCAATACCTTTCACACGCAGTCACTCAACACCACTTACATTGGCTCGCAGGTCAGAATGCAAACCTGGTTTGAACGCAGAGCAAGCCGAGGATTCACCTGTGAACACAAACAAACACACCTGAGAGGAGATGAGGGAGGTGGGGGACTGACCTGGATCTGCAGCTAATGGGAACAAATGTGGTTAAAATCCATCAGGATACAAAATCAGAATATTCAGTATAAACATGGCAAAGAGAGCGTGGAAACCGGGGCTGCTGTAGGTGTTGACGTTTTAAGATCTGTGCAAACAAATCAAAGTTTGTTCACATTTGAAGCAGAAGAAACTCATTCATGTTGAAGATTGTCTCCATGTTTGCAAAGTTGTTATCTTTTCCCCCTTTGTTGCAAACACATCATTTTGTCTACTTTATGCATGATACTGCAGTAAATGTCGCACAGTGGAATAACATAAGACAGTGTGTATCTGCGCTTGTGTGCTGCATGATCTACTCCGAAACCTGTGAAATATGATATTAAATAGGGTAAAAACATAAATATTCAAGATTCAGCAGCTGCTACTCACAGTTTTTATGTCTGCTTGCTATTCTTAATGGTTTGCAAAGTACCTGTGTTTGCAGCATGTCCCTTAAAAATCGATAATGAACCCAATAATCAACTTTTTTTTCTCCACTGAAGTCACAACGAGCCCCTGACAGCTGAGTAAGCTAACCCAGGCCTCCATCCAACACATACAACAAAGCTTGTTTACTTTTAAAAGGGATATTACGGTGTGAAATTAATTCAGGGTCAAACACACTATAACACAGAGTTAGACACCCCCTCCAGAGATGAATGTTGACGACCGCTTGCTGCTCTAGTTATACCAACTTTAGTAACGACCACACAATAGCAATACACAGTGGTCTAAACAAACCTCAACAAAAACGCCACTCTATAGCCACAAATAATGTTCAGAACAGCACCTAACTTCATCAACATTACTTACAGGGTCCCAGCCATAGCACTAGCCACCAAACATCTTTTTAAATTTGACTAATTTCTTTAGCAAAGAGACTAAACACAACTCACCTACTCTCTTCCAGCAGCCGCTTGTTTGTAGTGAGACCTCGGGCCAGTCCATTACGGACTACAGCGGGGTGACGCAGCTCAAGGAAGAACATTTATGGTCATTTCTTTATCATTTCCTTGAAGTAATAATCACCATATTAATCATTTTGTACTGCAGACGCGGTAGTTCTTCTGCCTTAGCATCTCGTCTGATTGTATTTCCATGAAGAAATGATCATAAATGTTCTTCCTTGAGCTGTGTCACCCTGCTGTAGTCCATGGGGCGGCAGTAGCTCAGGAATTAGAGCGGTCGTCCAATAACTGGAAGGTCGGCGGTTTGATTCCCTCCCATCTTGAGTCTGTCTGTTGTGGTCTTGGGCAAGACAATTAACCCACCTTGTTCCCAGTGTGTGTCCTTCACTGGTGTATGATTGTCAATGTTGTATGGTGGTGGTTGGAGAGGCTGTAGGCGCAAAATGGCAGCCACGTTTCCGTCAGTCTGCCCCAGGGCAGCTGTGACTACTAAAGTAGTTTAACACCACCATAGTGTCACAGTGTTAGCAAATGAATGATGTATCCAATGTAAAGTGCTTTGAAGATCTCTGATAAAGGGCTCTATGAAATCTGATGCATCATTTTTATTATTATAATGGACTGGCCTGAGGTCTCGCTACAAACAAGCGGCTGCTGGAAGAGTGTAGGTGAGTTGTGTTTAGTCTCTTTGCCAAAGAAATTAGGCAAAGTTAAAAAGATGTTTGGTGGCTAATGCTATGGCTGGGACCCTATATGTACTGTTGATGAAGTTAGGTGCTGTTCTGAGCATTATTTGTGGCTATAGAGTGGCGTTTTTGGTGAGGTTTGTTTATGGCTTGAGTTGGTAACTAGAGCAGCAAGCGGTCGGCAACATTCACCTCTCGAGGGGGTGTCTAATCTGGTGTTAGGGTGTGTTTGACCCTAAATTAATTTTACACTGTAATATCCCTTTAAATCATTAATTTGTAGGCGCTTTTGCAATGTGTATATTGCACATTTTTATGCAGTACTATTGTGTGGACATGCATGATACACAATGTAAACCAAGGTCCATCACTTGAAGTTAACACCTACCCCCTTGCTCTAGTGATAGATATTAAAAATTTCACAATAAAAGCCCTCAATCTTGTTCCTTATAGTCTTGTTTGCATTTTCATGCCATAGGGACACATTTATGTTAGTTTTCGTGTTTTTTATGGAGGTCAAAAAACTCCTTACAGGCGCTTTAAGTTTCCTAACGGACCTCTTTTCCCTGCAGCTGTATGTCCATAAAATCCTAACCTGGAGTCACACACATACCCTGCAGTATATTGATTTAATAAAAGAGTCTCTTAGCTCTGCTTTAAACACAATAACAGTCCTGTATTTGTGTGTATTTGTGTGCAGTCCTCTGCTCTCTGTGATAATGTGCAGTGAAGGAGGCCGAACATAATAACGTTTCCACAAACCTGCAGCTGGAGCTCTGCCAGAGGGCTCGGTCAGGAGAAAAGTCAACTAAACACTCCAATAAGACTCTGTTTTAACTTGTAAAAGTGATTTATGTCCGTTTTAAAGAGTGAAAATGTCCGTGTGTTCAGAAATATGTCGGTCTGAGTCGCTGTTTTTACACGTTTAACCTGAAGTCGCGGTGAACTTTCCCTCAAATGCGCCTTAAAGCGAATCCAGTCTGTGTTTACGGCTGACTTTATCCCGTTTAGAGTTCACTTCTCTCCTAAAAAACAACTTCTAACCGGTCAGTCTCTACAAACACAGCTTTAAAGGACAGTTTCGAGGATGTAAAGTGAGTTTGCAAGCCGCTGCTTACCTTGTTCGCTCTCCTTCCTCCTCCTCTTCTTCTTTCTCCCATTTCACAGTAACGTTAAACCACAGGTCTCTGCCTCTGAGGAGACCATGTGACCTGCCCATCCCAGTGACGTCACCCGGGTACAGGGAGAGGGGGAAATGTACCTGACAACATGGAGCACACCTGAGATAGACTAACACCTGAGATACTGTGACTCATTTATGAGCAGAAGTAAACTTAACGTTAGTTTCAACGGTGGGACATTTAGTTCAGTTCAGTTAACTTTTAACTTTTTAACCTGCTTACATTAAACTTTTTTAGGAAGAAATATTATATAAAACCAAAACTGGACATTTTAGTCTTGTCAAATTTTAGACCGATCTCTAAGCTCCCCTTCCTCTCTAAGATCCTGGAGAAAGTTTTTTTTAGTAAACTACAATCATTTTTAGACAGAAACTGCATCCTCGAGGTGTTCCAATCTGGTTTCACAGCACAGCATTGAAAGCCTTTGAAAGCCCTTTCAAAAGTTTTTAATGATATTTTATTGCTCACTGATTCTGGGGATTCAGCTGTTCTTGTGCTTTTAGACCTTTCTGCAGCTTTTGACACTGTAGATCACAACATTTTAATTTCTTGTCTTGAGCATTGGGTGGGGATTCAAGGTATTGCTCTGGAGTGGTTCAGGTCATACTTGGCTGACAGGAGCTTCTCTGTCTGCCTTGGTGATGCCACCTCCTCCTCAGCTCCTTCTCCATGTGGAGTGCCCCAAGGCTCCATACTTGGCCCAGTCCTTTTCTCCTTATATGCTCCCCCTGGTATCTATATTTAAAAAATTTAACATTTCTTTTCATTTCTATGCTGATGATACGCAGCTGTATTTACCCCTGAAATTAGGAGCTTCCAATGCCTTGGGCCCACTGTTGGACTGTCCGAGGGACATTGAAACCTGGATGGCTCTCAATTTTCTGAAATTAAATGAGAGTAAGACTGAAGTCATTGTCTTTGGACCACATGGCAGCTGCCCCAGAGCAGATCTGTCTGCCTTTGAGCCCTTTCTTAAAGACTGTCAAAAATCTGGGGGTTTTAATGGACAGAGATTTTAAAATGGACCTGCAGATAAATGCAGTTGTAAAAGCCAGTTTTTATCATCTTCGTCTTTTAAACAAGGTCAAGTCTTTCTTATCTTTCAGTGATTTTGAGAAGGGTACCGTATGCATGCTTTTAGCACAACTCGTCCAGCAAAACCTCTCTTAATCGTTTACAGCTAATTCAAAATGCCGCAGCTCATGTTTTATCTGGTCACCGCTAATATGACCACATTTCCCTGATTTTAGCCTCGCTTCACTGGCTTCCTGTGCGTTTTAGGGTTGATTTTAAAAATTTGTTATTAACTTATAAATCTTATTAAAAAAAAAAAGGCTTGCTCCTTTTTATCTCTCTGACCTTTTAAAACCCTAAATTTCATCTCAGATCCTCTGACCAGTGCCTTCTGACTGTCCCTAGGTCAAGATTCAAGTTCAGGGGTCACCGCGCTTTTTCCGTTGCTGCGCCTCTTCATGTCCAACTGTCCCCCTCACTGCCTGTTTTTAAATCACATTTGAAAACGCACTTTTACTCCTGAGAACTTGGCCTTTTAATCCTGTTTTCACTGAATTATCCATGTCCACCTGTTTTTAACGTGTTCCTGTGTCTTTGTTTTATTGTTCGTGTTAATTGTCTGGTTCTGCTGTTTTTAATTTTTACTGTACAGCACTTTGGACAACGTTTTGTTGTTTTTAAATGTGCTTTATAAATAAACCTGGAATGGATTGGATAAAGAAATAGCTAAATTATGTTTTCATACCTGGACTTTAATACAGGCTAATATGAAAGGTTGTAGCTTTACGTGACAGCAGATGATGACTTGATTACAGCCTTAGTGTACATGTTTAAGAGTGACTCATCCACCTCTTTATTATAAAGATCTGCTGTTATGACTTCATGCTTGTTCAGGAGTTTACATGATCATGCCTGAAGGCCATAATATTTCCCATCTACACCTCTAATGTTTCATCTGTTTGTTTACAATCTGTTTCCATGCGGCTGTCTTATAAACTTTGAGGTAACTTGTAGGCTTGAATGCTCCCGTAGTAAACAGAACATAAGAAACATACAATCTCTGTGGAAAATACATGGAGATGGCTTTAGTGGCTGTTCTTCTTCTAAAGGTTGAAACCCAAAGAAGAGTCACATAGATGCTCTTCCTGTATAGAAAACTGACAAAAGGTATTATCTGGATGTCATTCCAGTTTATGAGATACATAGAAGTGCCCTCTGGATAAGTAATAAGACCATAACATGTAAAAAGCGCCCATTAAATACCCATCCAGAACATGAGATGCGGAATTAGATGGCATCCAGTATAGAAAATGTAAAAAAGAAACCCTCTGGATGCCCTTCCTTTACGATAAATGTCATAAAGTAAGTAACAGTAAGTAAAGTTTATTTATAGAATGCTTTTCACAGATACAAAGCGCTGTACATAAAAAAGTGCAATTAGATAAACATAAAACAGTATAAAAAAGACAAGCACATGTACATACATAAATACGAATACAGTACAGTGAATATGGAAATAAGTGCAGATATAAAGGATAAGTAAAGAGACAAACAAAACCCTGTTAATTAAAAGCTTGTCTAAATAAAAGAGTCTTCAACTGCTTTTTAACAGTTTCCACTGAGTCGATCAAATGGAGGGAGAGAGGCAGATCGTTCCAGAGTCTGGCAGCTAATGTCTTAAAGCCCGGTCTCCCCAAGTTTTAAAAAAAGCTCTCTCTAAATGTTTTCCTTGTACACAAAATGCAAAAGTAGAGCCCTCTACATGCTCCTTTAGTTTTTTAAAATGTCAAAGAGAATGCCTTCTGAAAGCCCTTTCAGTTCATACCAATGTGGGGAAAAGCCTTCTGCATACTTTTTCTGTACATGGCAATGCAAAAAAAGTGACTTTTGTTTGTCCTTCTGACCCACAAATTGTTAAAAAGTGCTCTCTAAAAGCCCCTCTGTGGATTAAATCCAAAAAAGTACAACTGAAAGTTTTTTTAGTGCATAGAATGACTTCTGGATCTGAAATGAAGGATATTTGTGGTTACATCTCTGTTCATTTCAGTCAGTTTGTGAACTATGTTGTTGTTGTTGTTGGTTGAGTGTCGAGGGAAGGGCTGAATGGATGGTTCTCATTTGTGTGTGTGGTTGTGTGTGTGTGACAGAGACATACGCCACCCTTTCATGACTCAGTGACCCAGTTCAGCCCGGACACACCTCTGTGTACACTTGCCTAAAACATCTCCACTCTAACTCCACCTCCACGTGAATACAGCAGTGATATCAAAACAAAAACACCATGAATGAGCCTTTGATGGTCAGGGTTAAAAAGTCAAACTCTTACCTGTTTGGAAATGTTTCCACAACTTTATATGAAGAAGTAAAAACATAAAAAAACTTCTCCAAACATTGATAATCTGTGGTCTTATATCAGACTGTTGAGCACTAGATGGTGCTCTGTAGTTACAGAAAGAGAGGTTTATCCAGTTACTGTGTTTTATGATTTGTTGGACTCACTTTTTCTCTGTTAACTTTAAATCTGATGATTTTAACATTTAAGATGAATTTACTGTCACTTTTTTATGTATTCTGGGACATAAAAAACAAAAATTAACTTCTAAATTAATGAAAATTTTAAGTTAAAGTTTACAACAGCTGAAAAACACTCAAAAATATTACATCCAAGCCGTTAGTGCAGATTGAACTTTAGTCTGAGTTTGATCATAAATTAAGATTATCATTGTAATTGTTAATAAGAGTTACACCTGCATGTGTCATGATACCCCAGCTCCATGTATGTGAAGTAAACTCTGAGTTTATTTGTCGACTTCTGCAGGTGTCCGTGTGTTTTGTCTGTTGACAGTTATCAGTCTCCATCTTTAGTCCGTCTCTTCCATCGGCTGCGGTCACTCTCTGCTCAGCTGCTGCATGAGGCAGATGCTGGATCACTCCTGAGGTCTGGCAGAAGGTGAATTTATTTACATTTCCTTCTTATTTATCTGTCATTTCATCAGAAACCTCTCCTGAGCTGCAGACCTGAGAGGAGGGAGTAGCGCCAACACCTGCTGACACCTGGTAGGTTCATTTATAGAGCGATTTATTCACAGTTAGATCACTGACGTATTCAGAGCTGTGCTGCTTTAAATACAGATACTATATAGTCAAAGTCTATCTGTCCAGAGCTGATTAATTCAGGGTTTATTTCTCCATCATAACATAGCAGGTTTCTGACAGCATTTCTTTAAAGCTCCTGTGAAGAGTTTTTAACAGTCTAATGTTTTTTAATGACCTTCAAAGATCTATTAGGACCATCTATAACAAGATCGATTGTTTCTACAAAAGATTGTTTATAAAAAAAAACTCTTGTGAAGATGCTCTTTGACTTTATGAAACTCTAAAAAGTTCTTTCTGGATACCATTCAAGTTTATGAAATACAAGAAAATTCCCTTTAGAGGTGCAATAAAAACATATATTATATAAAATGCCCATTAAATGACCTTTAAGTAAATGAATTGTTAAAGGAGCATAGCAACGACCTCTTGCACTTCATAAACTGCTTAAAATGTGGGCTTTGGATGCTCTTTGACTACATAACATTCATAACTACAGCCGTCTGGATGCTCGTTCTGTACATGGAGTTGAAAAAACTGTGATCCCCGGTTCCCCTTTCTAGTGCAGAAATGTGTTCACGGATACTGTTCCTGTAGACAAAATGTAAGTTTGAATGCCCTTCCTGTACTTAAACAGAGAATTTCCCTCTAGATGCCCTTCTTGTTTATAAAATGTTGAAACAGAACCTTCTGGATGCCCTCCTTTGTACAGAAAAGTGACTTCTGAATGATCTTCCTGCACATTAAATTCAGAAAATGTTGTCTCTGGATGCTCATCCAGTATATTGAAAGTAAATGGATGGGTGCTTTTCCTGGATATTGGATACAGAAATATTGCCCTAATCATGCTCTTCCAGTGTATGAAATGTAGAATGAGAACCCTCTGGATGCCCTTTTTGTACATAAAATGCAAAAAAAAAAAGCTTCCCTTGATTGCCTTTGCTGTGCAGAGATTGTAAAAAAAAGACCCCTCTGATGCTCTGAAGTATAAAAAATGTTTTTAAATAGGCCTCTGGATTCCAGTCCTGCAACATTCAAAATTATTGCCCCCCAGATTCCCTCCAAAACATCAAATGTAAAATAGAGCTCTCTGGATGCCCCTCCTGTACATAAACTGCTAAAACAGTCTTAAAATGCTTTTAAGTACATAAAACGTTTTTTAAAAAATCTTTAGAAGCCCTTTCGGTGAATGAAATGCAGAAATAAAACTCTCTAGAATCCCTTTACTCTCCATAAAGTGTGTAAAAAGAGAGCCCACTGAATACCCTTCCTAACTATCTGCTGTGTGACGTTATAAAGCTGATTATCTTCATTTTAATGGTGGAAGTTGATGTAAAAGTGAGTGCCTGTTAAAAACTGATCCCCATAATTATTCCTCTATTAACGGACTCATCAATCAGACTGGTCTGGATCTCAGATAGACATGGATTTTCTGTGAAGTTACTGAATCAAGAGTTTTTTTAAAGCTCGTGTTGAGATACCAGTATGTTGTGTCTATTTTGGGTAAAGCAGATATTGCCAGAGCTCTTATCGGCACAAATATTCTAACTTTAGACCAGCGTTTACCCGGGTTCCAGGAGATAAAGATGTATCAGTGGGCAGACAGATCCTGCACAGACCAGGAAACAAAAGCCAGTATACTAAAAAGCCGGTTTAAATGAGAACCACATCAGTCCTGCATAACGAACCGTCTCCAATTATAACTTTTAAAACTATCTTTGTTACTGATAATACGACAAAACATGAGGTGGAGCTGTCTGAGCGTCTGTCTTTGTTTCAGACTATCACAGTTGTGTTTGTGGACATCAGTGTCGCTGTGCCACAGCAGATAAAAACCTGCAGGGTGGGGCCCTCTTGTCTATTTTTACCACCTTCTCCTCTCTGATAGCGGCCTCGCTGATCCGTTTCTCTATATTTAGCCTCGCTGGCTGACTGGGTCCACAGGATGGCAGGCAGACGGTCTATCAGTCTGGTCCAGACTCAAGTACCACTTAATAATTATTTGGTGATTGCCATAAACAGACACTCAGAGTCACCAGAGGATAGACCACATCGTTTCAAAGATTTCTTAGTAGAACTTTTAAAAGAGAAATCTCAGTGCTGACAGGACACACTGGAAAAGTTGTTTTTGTAATCCTGGCCCACAGAGGATACATCAGAAGAATCATTATGACACTTATTTTTTTCTCTCGCATTTTCACAAGATTTATATTTTAGTATAACTTCTGATATTTATCGTTTAGTTTGTCTTCTAATTAAGTTAAGACAATGATAATCCCAAAAGGATAGACCAGCTGACTCTTGGTTTTTGTTTGAACACCATCTTAAAGTCAATTTTTCAATTAACAAAATATTTATCTCAACACCTACAAGATGAGTTGTCAAAAACATGATACCTGTACTCCTGATCTACAGAGGATACATCATGGTGATAAAAGTTTCCTACTTTTTCTGTAAGTAATCAAAGTGATAGTCATGGTCCCAAGAGGATAGACCAGGTGACTTTAAAAACTGTCAGGCTTTTTGTTTTTAGTGCCATCAGAAGGTTAAGTAAAAATTTTAAGAAGTAAAATCCCATCACCTTTAAGAAAAGGGATCTAAAACTGGATTCCTGCACTCCTTATCCACAGAGGATACATCATGGTGATAAAAGTTTCCTATTTTTTCCTTAAGTATCCTCATGAGGTTCAGGTTTTGTCACCATATCTGACATTCAAAACTTGGATTATCCTCTAATTTAGTCAAATAAAAGTCATGGTCCCAAGAAGATAGACCAGGTCACTTTAAATACTGCCTGGCTTTTTGTTTTGAGTGCCGTCAGAAGGTTAAATAAAAATTCAAAGAAATAAAATCCCATTACTGTTAAGATAACAGGATGAAACTGAATTCCTGTACTTCTGATCCTCAGAGGATACATCATGGTAATAAAAGTTTTTTACTTTTTCTTAGAGGATAGACCAGGTGACTTTAAAGACTGCCTGGCTTTTTGTTTTTAGTGCCGTCAAAAGGTCAAGTAAAAATGTTAAGAAATGAAATCCCATCACCTTTAGGATTACAGGTCAAAAACTGGATTCCTGTACTCCTTATCCAGAGACGATACATGTAAATGATTTTGTTAATCCTCAGATTTTTAAGCATCATCACAAGATCGATTTTTTTATTTTTATTTTTACTTTAAAAAAAGGTAGAATACTGTCGATCTCATCATCAGACTTATTATATTTAAAAGTTTATTGTCCCAAGAAGATTTACCCCTTAGCTTAGAGGGTTGGCTTTTCTTCAGGCACCATCAGAAGGTTATTTTTTTTATTTTTAGAGGTAAATCTCAATACCATCTTAAGCTGTTTTGTACTCCTGGTCCACAGAGGATACACCACTATGACTTTAATGAGTCAGGGTGAATATAAAGTTCTTGCTCCAGTTTTCTCCATCAAATAAAGGTAGAAAAAAAACAGAACTGTCCTGAATCTCTTCCAGGTGCGTTGTTGTCCAGAAGTCTGAGATGGACCAGCCAAACTACACCCAGCAGCTTCTCTTGCAGCTCAACCAGCAGAGATCTAAAGGGTACCTGTGCGACGTGATCATCGTGGTGGAAAACGCTCTCTTCAGGGCTCACAAGAATGTCCTGGCGGCCTGCAGCAGCTACTTCAAATACATGGTCCTCCACGAGAACCTCATCACCCTGAACACGGAGATGGTGAACCCTTCAGTGTTCAACCAGGTGAGAAGCAACCAAACATTCTGATGATTTCTGTCCAGTCAAGGACATGCAATGACTTCTTGGGGATTTTTTTTTATTTCAGGTACTGGACTTCATCTACACAGGCCAGCTGCCTTCAGCTTATGTTAGCGTTAAAGGTGTGTCAGACCTTCTGAGAGCAGCGTCCTACCTGCAGCTCTCAGATTTAGCAGCTCTCTGTCGCAGGAAACTCAAATCCTGCGAGTCCAGTAACCATCCATCGTCTGCCATCTTTCAGTTTAAGACAAATGGACATCCTCCGTTTGGCAAAAGCTTCCAGTCAGGATCTTTAGAGGATGGACAAAGTCGTCAAAATGAGCTCCGAACAGACAATCTGTTCAAGGACGAGGTTTTTACTTCACCAAGACCAGAACTGACCAGACAGAACCGGACCGGGAGCATTTCCAGCAGTCTTCAGCAGAGCTCCCCTCACTCCAGCATTTCTTCCTCTTCTTCTTCTGATGATCTACCTCCAAACTCCACCTCAGCTTTCAGTAACCCAGCTATAGATCAGTGGTACCCAACCCTAGACTGGCAAACAAGAACCCATTTTAGCCAAGAGGAACACGAAGGCGATCAAGGTGAGACGATTCAGCCGGATTGGAAGACATCTTCAGAGGTGGAGGACCGAGACAAAGTCCAAGATGAAGATTCAGGCTTGAAGAAAGAGCTGCAGAAAAGTGATGAGAGTGAAGGTGAAGATGTGAAAGTAAGAGGTAAAAAACACCGCAGCTATGTCTACCAGCGACAGCAGTCCTGGTTAGAACCTGCGTCATACCAAAGTCCGTACATGTGCATCCCGTGTGGAAAAGGCTTCCCAAGCTCGGAGCTGCTGACTGCTCATGTGGACTCACACATGACTGAAGAAGCAGAGGAGGAAAGAGTCCTCAAAACCGAAGATCAAGATCCAGAGAGGCAACCTTCAGACTTCACCAGAGAAGCTCCAAACAAAAACCAAACCTCACCTGGATACCCCTGCTCGGTCTGCGGTCAGATCTTCGCGGATGCCACTTTGCTGAATCAACATGAGAAAGGCCACAGGCCGACCCGGCCGTTCTCCTGCAACGTCTGTGGGAAGCTGTTCACCCAGCGGGGCACCATGACACGACACATGCGCAGCCACCTTGGCCTCAAGCCCTTTGCCTGCGAGGAGTGTGGTATGCGCTTCACGCGTCAGTACCGCAAGATGGAGCACATGAGGATCCACTCCAGAGAGAAACCTTACCAGTGTCAGCTGTGCGGGGTAAAGTTCACCCACCAGCGCAGCATCATCAGCCACCTGAGGATGCACACCATGATCTCCTGAGGATACGCCCTTGAAATTGTCGTGGGATGAAACATTTAGACGAAAAACACTCAGGTTGTATTTTTAGGCTTTTATGATATGAACCAGGACTTTAAATTGAGACGCTCCCTTACTCACCCCTCATATCTGTGAAGTGACGGTGGCCTTTGAGGACAAGAGGCTCCTGTGATGCTTGTCGCTACCCGTTCCGTCCCGGAGGCGATATTTTTTTTGTAGGATGGTTAGGGAAAGTCCCGCCTCCTTCACCTCTGATTGGTTCTCTGACTTTTCAAAGTATCAAGGGGGGATTTAGTTCATTCATTTTATAAATTAATTAACAAGAAGCAAATTCACAAGAAGCCTACACATCGTGGACAATGACGTTCAAGCATTTTAGAACTACGTTGTAATTATACAATTTAACTGGAGTAGAAACCTTGAATTGTGAAACTGGGCGCCATTCTCTTGACTTTCCGGTGCTCTGGTTCAGTCGGGGGAACCACTCCATTCAGGAGAAAAGAAAAGCATGTGGCTGGTGATAAACTGAAGCATCCATAAACTCAAGCATCCTTTCTAACTGTAGCGAGCTCGCTGATGCTGTCAAACAAGTGTTGAAGCTATCGCAAAACACGAGGGGCAAAGAATTGCTGAGCTGTCGCAAAAATGGCTCGCAGAGAAAGTGACGTACATTTCACAAAAGCGCAGTACAAATCGGGTTTTCAGGATGGCTCAGGTAGCGATAATGCATGATGGGTACAATCCTCCATTTGTCCTAATTTTACCATCAGAAAGCTCTTATTGGTTTACTTACTAAATACAGAAGCACATGTTAATAGTTTGTCTTTTCTGTGCACCTGTAGAAACATGGCAGCCTCAAAAAGGAGAGGCCTGCTTTTACAGATTTAAAGAGCTTATTTTAAGTTATTTAATACCCAGGTGGTTTTATAACAATTTTAAAAATGTATGCTAAATCTGTTCTTCCACATATTGCTAAAAATACTCACTGAACCTTTAAACATCCAAACAACTATGAGTTTGATTTGAGTTTCGGGCTGGGTGATAAACCGAAAATTTACTGTTACCGAAATTTATGACAATAACTGATGCCATTTTGCCCATATCAGTATATTCGGTGTCAAAAAAATAAATAAATAAACGTTGGTTTTGGATGTGTGTAGGTAGGCTATGGTCTCATGTCCCTTTAAGACGCTGTCCTACGTCAGAGACGTGACTCCACCCCATCCAGTCTGTAACAAAGAGGGAAAGACAGGTGAGGAGATGGAGGACGGTTCAAAAGTTGTAGCGGCTGGAGCGGCGGCTGAAGTAGATGAAGTTAATGTGGGAGGTGATGAGCAGCTTGTGGAGTAGTAATCGTCCATTTATTGTTATCGAGGTGAACTGATCAATATATCGGGATATCGATTTGAGGCCATATCGCCCAGCCCTATTAGAAATTATTCCTGACCTTTTCATCTGGAGGCTTTTCTTTGAATTCCTGTTAATCTAGAAAGCAGCGGATGTTGATCTGAAGTAGACCTGTGATTAGACTGAATTAAACTCCAGATTAGAGATTACTGTGGTTGAACCTATTCACTTGGACTCTCAGTAGTTTCTCCTATGAGGAGCGTCTCAAAGTGTGGGTGGATTTTGTGAAAGTGGCCTCTGGGGTTCAATGGAAACAAAAAGGAGGCACAGGGGTTCGGTCTGTCCTTTGTTCACGAGCGACACTCCCACTGCTGCCTCTTTCTCTGTGTCTCTGGGATAATTTTTCAGTCAAACATGGCTGTCCTTCCTGAACGAAGAGATTTATTATTTTCTCCAATAAAAAACACGTAAGACAGACTTCTAACTTTCTACATAAATCTGTTTTCACTCCCAGCTGATCCGACCAGCACAGCCCCATCAATCAAATAACAGCAGGATGTGAGGAGAGCTTTAGAGGCCCTGGCTATAATTGCCACAGAGGTCAGAGGTCAACACAACACCCACTGACCCTCATCTGACCCTTTCCTTTGTTCAAAGATTCAGAGAATCCAGAGAAATCTAAAGAACCAAAACCAGAACTGGATGTTCCTGATTGGCTCTGCATTAAAAACAGACAGGGATTTTCAGTGGAAATTGCAACACAGACTCAAAATCCACTGTTTGTGAACACAGTTAGTTAAAGGGATATTCCGTTGTAAAATAATTTAGGGTCAAACACACTGTAACACCGAGTTAGACACCCCCTCGAGAGATGAATGTTACTGACCGCTTGCTGCTCTAGTTATACCAACTTAAGAAATGACCGCATGATAGCAATACAGAGCGGTCTGAGGAGCCATAAACAAACCTCAGCCAGTCCATTATGGACTACAGCGGGGTGACGCAGCTCAAGGAAGAACATTTATGATCATTACTTTATCATTTCCTTGAAGTAATAATCACCATATTAATCATTTTGCACTACAGACATGGTAGTTCTTCTGCCTTAGCGGCTCGGTCTTATTGCATTTCCATGAAAAAATGATCATAAATGTTCTTCCTTGAGCTGAGTCACCCCACTGTAGTCTGTCATGGACTGGCCTGAGGTCTCGCTACAAACAAGCGGCTGCTGGAAGAGAGTAGGTGAGTTGTGTTAAGTCTCTTTGCTAAAGAAATTAGACAAAGTTAAAAAGATGTTTGGTGGCTAATGCTATGGCTGGGACCCCATATGTACTGTTGATGAAGTTAGGTGCTGTTCTGAGCATTATTTGTGGCTATAGAGTGGCGTTTTTGGTGAGGTTTGTTTATGCCTCCACAGACTTCTGTGTATTGCTATCCTGAGGTCGTTACTAAAGTCGGTATAACTAGAGCAGCAAGCGGTTGGCAACATTCATCTCTCAACGGAGTGTTTTGGTGTGTTTGACCCTAAATTAATTTTACGCCAGAATATCCCTTTAAAATTAGGTTAAAACTAAGGAAGCAGAAACTGTCCTGTGGCCAATTAAGGAGTAGTGGACGCAATGTCCTTCAATGAGGGATCACCAAGTTCATCAGTTAGTCTGACAGGAAACAGATTTTTCAGCGTTTAATTGATTTTTCAAAAAACATGTTACTGGATATTATTCTAAAACAATCTTTTTTTCCATTTTCAACATCAAATATGTTTTTTTCAATGAACTGATGATTCAGGTTTTATCTCAAAATTTTAGGGCAGTATGGGATGATATTGATTTTGTTTTTCTGGTCTGGTCTGGACTTAGTTTCAATAAAATACGTCAGTTTTTTATGTTTTTGTGTTTTTTTTATTCTTTGAATCAATAAACCAACTCCAGTTTTCTGATGAAATGTTCACACATTTAATCTGGAAATAAGACCTTTCTCACACATTGTCAGAAAAATCAGATATGATCTTAATCTGAACCAGCAATTATGAGCAATTACAGACGAAAAGCACGCTCTCACACACACTCACACACACACACACACACACACTTATATCACATATGAACCAATACTTGTGGTGCACAGATAATAACAGAAGAGATCACTAACTCATTGATAAGAACAGAAACTTAATAAAACTCTCTACGTTAAAATGGCTTTCATGAGGAAACGATGAAGTGGGTTTATCAGAGTTCACATCAGTAAATACTTCTCAGTGATGGAGAGACAGCAGCTGCAACGTAAAATACTTCGATGGAAGGATTTACAGCAACGACGACAACACACACAAATACAGCATTGATATACAGGAATATATTGCATAAAGTTAGGATTTCGAGTCAAGTATTACTACAGCTGTGGTTCTACCGAGGGTAGGTAGGAGAAATGGCTTTTAGGTTTGAATCATCCTCTGCATCAAGTAACAACAAAATCCAGAACAAGGAGGTTTCAGAGGACTCAAATACTCCGAGAGGAATGTTTCCAAACTGGTTCAACTGACTGACTTAAGGGTATGAGGACGAGGAGAGGGGGACCTGTTTCATCAGACGGGACAGAGAAGAGTATCATGCTAGGATCTAGAGCTCCTGAATCTCTCCTGAAGCTCTTTATTTCTGATACAGGAACTTTTAAGTAGGTAGATAATTGTAATGTTACAGGTTCTGCTTTTATTTCCACTGAGCAGTAATCATTCTCCACCATATTTAGTGGAAGTGACAAACTTCCTGTTGACTTTTAAAGGTTAGTGTTGAACAAATTGAGGACAAGACTGAGGCAAAAACACAGATATTCAGAGGACTAAGAAGTTCATCTGTTTCCGTCCAGCCTCGGTTTCACTGTAAATACTAAGTTACTCAGAGGTTACTCCTCTCTTACTTTCTTTAGAGCTCTGAGCCTGAAAAAAACACCAAAGTTCAGGGTGCAGGTTTGTAAAAAGGTAAAAGTCGAGCTTTGTCAGGTCGCAAAATCTAGATGCTGATTGGTTTGTAGAACAGTAAACAGCAGATCTGAATGTTTGCACTGATATCTGCTGATGGAGATACGTCCTCATGGATTGTGTTACACCTGCTTTTGCACTCCATACAGACTGTTTCCTGCTACGCGATTGGTCAACATTACTCTAACTAAAAATGAACTAAAAACAGGAACCAGAGCAAATACTGACTATAGGAACTACGACTCTTGGGTAGTAAACATCAGGTATTTAGCTAATGTTTTAGAGACTTATAACTCATTAAGAGCTTCCCTTTGAGTCAAATACACATATAAGGGCATGATTGCAATCTTTAAATTTTAATATTAAAGGTGGGTAGTCAGGATCTGATGAAGTTCCAGTTTTTGGGAGAAATCTTGAATGTAAACCCTACCCCTCCCGACCAGTTTTCCCCTCAGCTCCTCCTCTCTCCTCCCTCTCTGCTCCAGCAAGCCCCGCCCACAAACAGACGTTCCTGCTCACTTGTATCGTTTTAATTAAATTCAGATATAATGCAGATAAATACTTCAAATAATTACAAATGGGGCCCAGTCAACGTGAAAGTAAAAAGCATTGGTGCTACTGTATATGCCAACAGACGACCAGCAAACACAATGTTTGCAGGACTTCTACAACTAGGATAAAGTCACATAGTCCAGGACCTGAGGTCAACAGTTTAGCGGGGCTACAACACGCTACAGCAGGTCCCACTTGACATGAAACACCTCTGTTACAGACACTTGGCTTACTTTGTTAAAGCGGTTTACCTGTCCAGCAGAAAGCTCTTGTCTGGTCTACCTCCTTTTTAAGCACCCATTCTCCCGCCAGAGTCTCTGGTATTTAGTTCATTTTCTTGCTTGTGTTGGCAGTCGTGGTCAAAGGAGGATTTAGACAATTTTTGGTACTTTCTGGTTGGTTTCTACTGTCCGATATTGTAGCACGCTAACTTTGTTTGGGCTCGTGAATGACACGGAGGAGCAGCGTCTGCCTCACAACCAATCAGGATGGGGGAGGTGGAGAGTGGCTTTGTTTACAGTCAGAAAGAGCGTAGCAGTCTGAAAATTTTAAATGTTGACTACAAGGACATAACAAAACACAGCGATATCGTTATATAACCGAATGTCATCAATAACTAATACCTGTTGACTGATCTTAAAAGCTTATTTGTATATACATCACAAAAAAAGATGCTTCTTTAACGGACTCCTGCCTACCTCACCTTTAATACAACAATAATTTTAAAATTCGACTCCTGAGTTCAACCAGAATTTAAAGAAAAACATTTCACGATAAAAGTCCAGAGTAAGAGTTAACCCTTTTTGTAAGTTTGACTTATTTCTCTCAGAGTAAAAATTTTAAAAACTGGGAATGCTCAGAGGTTTTAGAGTTTGTCACTCGTTCACATCGAGATGTCATTACAACTGCAAGAAAACCTCTGAAGCAGGCTTAAAACCCCGAACTCTGCAACTGCAAGACTCCTAATCCATTTCTTAAGGAATCATTTAAAACTAAAATCTAAAAGCAGTTTTGGTCGTTTTTTTGTGAAACTTTGAGATTTGACTTTCTCAAAATCAACGAGGAGACGGATGAAGAATTGGACCAACTGGGGTTTGAAAAAAACTCCAAACTCTCTCCTCTACCTCCCTCTGATGACCGCAGCAGGAGTCGGTATGAGAATCTCAAAAATATCAAAGTTTAAAACAGTGGAAGGAAAAAGCAGGACCTGAACATCACATCTTTAAACTCCTCCATACCTTTAGTATGTGAAGCTGCTGAGCTCCCTGTGTCAGAAAATAAAGGATTGAGTGTTTCAGATGAATTTGTTCTTCAGGTTCAGCTCTCCAAGTTTCACGTAAAGCACAGACAAAAACCCTCTGTGGTCTTGATTTGAGTCTACAGTGAATATTTGACAGAAATACTACAGCATGATTATGTCTGAATTATATATATCTGAGCAGCTTTACATTCCTTAAGACTACAGCTGATTGATTTTGATCTAGAATCAAAACACTGATTGAATCTTTAAACTACAGCTTGTTTGAATCTCTGAACGTCACCTTTAATCTCAGGTAAAGATGTGAAACACAGGGATCTCTAAAGTGCATCAAAGTGGATAACAGCGTCGTAACACAATGACGAGTACAGCTGCTCAGCTGACGACACACCACAGTCCTCAACTCATCAGAGAAACAGCATTCAGACCAAAATACTTAAAGGGTGCTTCAAGAACCTCCAACGTTGATCTTCCCTCTCAAGTTAAAACATCTCTTATAAAATCACAACTTACAGTGAGCTCTCCGATTAAGTCAGAGCTCTCCGATCAAAATGCTGAGTCCTGTTTGTTGTTAGTGAATTCATCCCGTCGTAGAAATCATCCGCAGGAACGTTCAGAGTTGCTTTGAGTTAGCGGAGCTCCAGAGGAGGACTTTAGTACGGGATTTGGTTCTGGTAGTACTGCAGCATGTCGTAGGTTTTACTCCTGTAGAAAGGAAATCAATACATGTGTCAGTGAGATCCACCCGTTCACAATAAAGCTAGTTTTTGTACTTTATAAGTGCTGAAGAGGCAGACTGTATAAGACTTTTCTTCTTTCTGCTCCTTTATTCACATGTTTGAGATTTTTCCTTGTTTGTATTGAATGTTTTAAATATTAACAGAATGAAATAAAGTATGAAAATGAAATGAAATTAAAGTCTGGGCCTTGTGGTGCATTCCAGTTGTACTTGGAAGTTGGGATTTCTGAGCTTCGAGTCGAAACTTTCAACTGGAACGACCCCCGAGGTCAGATTTCTGACTCGGAAAGTTGGACGATCAAGTTCAAGTTTAAGTTTGAGTTATTTATTGTCATTGTTGAACAAAGTTAACAACGAAATTTGTATGGAGCATCCCCATCACCACTGGCATCAAGTACACAATAACAATCATTGTAAAGAGAAAAATAAATAATATCCCGAAGTGCAATAGTGCTAGTGCATATGAAATATTGACAATCCAGTTGTGTATCACAGTTAGCAAAACATAGTCATGCAAAGAGTCCATACTTATGTGGGGGGTTGATATTTAAAGAGGGGGGCGCTGGTTGTAAACAGTAAGTAGAAGCTCCTGTAATGAACCTTTTATTAACACTTTTTACTATTTCTTGTCACTAGATGTCAGCCGTACACAATAGTGTTCTTAGGTTTATCTATACACATTTTTATGTGTATATACGAACTACAAAGCAGGCTGTGCTAACACCAGCTAACCTTAGCCAGGTTGTTTCAGACAAAGTTTTTGGCCGTTGGCTACTTTTTTCTGACTTTGTAACTGAAACGCAGATAACTCGGGTGTGACATCATTCCCAGTTATGACTTCCGACTTCTGAGGTAAGTAGAACACACCAGTTTTATGCTGCGTTCGAGTTACCTTGGAAGTCAGATGTCAGAGCTAAGAATGATGTCACACCCGAGTTAACAACATTTCAGTTACAAAGTCAGAAAAAAGCGAAATCGGAGGCCTGAAACAAGACGGCTACATCTACAAAAGTTGTTTTCGCGCTTGTCTTATATGAATATAAGGCCTTGTCCTTGTTTCAGGCCTCCGATTTTGCGTTTTTCCAACTTGGTAACTGACACGCTGGGAACTTGGGTGTGACGTCATTTTCAGCTCCGACGTCTGAATTCCGAGGTAACTCGAACGCAGCATAGCCTGTTTGTCTCTGATGTAAAGATATGAAGCCTGTTTACTAGAGTAGGGCATCGTTTGGATTTGAACGATTCCTTATTCTGATTCCGATTCTCTATTCTGATTCTTTTAAAAGGCAGGATTAAAAAAACTTTTTATGAACTTTACTATGAATTTCTCACAGGGCTATTTTCAATCAGATATAAATATTAATCTTTGTTTGTTTGTCTATGAAAAAGAACACAGGCTAACGTTAGTTGGATATTTAAGTTGCAGTTGTTTGCCACCTTAATGTAAGCAGAAGTTAGACGTCATATATGATTCCGACGTGTTAGAGGCAAACCTTTTCAGCCTTGAAAGACCAAAACTGTATCAGAGTAATAAAGCCCATAATATAAAAAACACACATGTCCTGAGAGAGCGCAGAGATTCCTCTTACCTGCTGCTGAGGAAGCAGCTCTGGATGACTTTAATGATGAACGCTGCTGCTTCTTTCTCACTCATCTGAGGATTAAACCGTCCTCTGAGAGAAAAAAAAAACAACAAAAACTCTTATTACAAAAGTGGACTCTAAAACTAAGACCAGCAGGATCAGAGTTTTCGTCAGAGTGCGTTATCAGAGAGCAGTAAAGACCTTCCAGACACAAACTCTGTTTTCAGACTCACTTGAGGAGTTTGATGGTTTGTCCTCTGAAGCACGGTAATCCGGTGTCCAGCATGAGGGTCACCAGAGACACCACAGCGTCCATGTAGGGTCTGAACAAGAGAGATCCACAACAGAGGGACAGACCTCCTCGTTTTAAATCACACTTTTATTTTATTTTTTTTATTCTGAAGTCATGTCCAGGACGGTTATTTGGTGACAGATGTAACCTGCACAGCTCCTTAATCGTCCTTTCTTACCGTACAGCCAGGTATCCTCTGACGCACATCTCCATGAACCACTTGAAAGGCGTGGCCTCCATCTTCCCGCCCATGATCATCACCATCTCGTCTGTCAGCTTGATGTCCGGCTCCCAGCCCAAGTTTCCTCCCGGAGAGCTCTCAAACATAAAGCCAAAGTCTGCAGACGTGAACACAGACACTCATGAGTTACCGGACATTTTTGAACCATCTAACGCAGACTCAGAGAAACCAAACGTCTGTCACTGACCGATGTGGATCAGGTGTCCTTTACTGTCCAACATGATGTTCCCGTTGTGACGATCTTTGATCTGCAGCAGGAAGAGGAGGAGGCTATAGGCCGCCATGCTGCGAATGAAGTTATACCGAGCCTGAGGAGAGGAGAGGAGAGGGGAGGAGAGGAAGAAGGAGAGGAGAAGAGTCAAGAGGAGCGAAGAGGAGAGGAGAGGAGAGGAAAAGGGAGGAGAGGAGAGAAGGAGAGGAAAAGGGAGGAGAGGAGAAGAGTCAAGAGGAGCGAAGAGGAGAGCAGAGGAGAGGAAAAGGGAAGAGAGGAGAGAAGGAGAGGAAAAGGGAGGAGAGGAGAGGAGAGGAGAGAAGAGGAGGGGAGGAGAAAAAGAGGAGAGGAGGGGGAGGAGAGGGGAGGAGAGAAGGAGAGAAAAGGGAGGATAGGAGAGAAGGAGAGGAAAAGGGAGGAGAGGAGAGGAGAGGAGGAGAGGAGAAAAGAGGAGAGGAGACGAGAGGGGATGAGAGGAGAGGAGAGAAGGAGAGAGGGGAAGAGAGGAGAGAGGAGAAAGTTTGATCACAAACACGTGACATCAGTTGTGTTTTCACCCCTGAGTCATTGTTTCCTTCTCAGTTTACCTTTTCCCTCCTAGTAATTATCTTTTCAAGTTTAAGAAATAATCTAAAAAGTAATTGAAGTGAGAGGTCAAAGGTCAAAACCTCACCTTCTGGAAGGCCAGGGTGGATTCGTCTCCGTACTGGTTACGGAAATAATCGTACATCCCAAAGTCTGTCTGTCGGCCGAGCTGGTCTCTGGACTTACAGTCTGGGATACACTCGATCACGCCACACTGAAGGGATCAGGATCAGGGAGTTAAGATCTGGTCTAGGAGCTGAAGTCTACATTAAGGATCTTGTTAGTGAATATCAGACTTCATAATTCTAGATACTTTTACCAACAGCGTATTGAGTCAAATGTGATCATGAGTTTTAGAAATAAAAAACTAAAACAACCAAAAATAAAATCCCAGAGAGAGGTTTTTAATGAAGAGGAGAACTCTAGGGGTTTCTGGAACATGGACTCTCACCCCTGGTGCTGTGGCCACCACCCTGTAGGGGAAGACGAACAGATCGAGGCCGACCAGCTGGAAGATGTTCTTGAAGAGGCCGATGATCTGCAGAGCCAGCATGTCCTGGAGAGAGAGAGAGAGGAGAGGGTCAGAGGTCGTCACCTTAAACGTTTCCCTAAATGAGCTCAGTAGAGGGCAGCTGAGGTCCTGGTACCTGTCTGCAGTCGTCTCCCACTTTAAAGATGGCCGCCTGCCAGCACACCTTGCGCGACCCATCCGGATTCTCCTCTCCGTCCTCCAGAGAGTCGGAGGGGGCGCGGAGACCCTCCCTCTCCAGCTCGCTCACCCCGCAGCGCTTGACTTTAAACTTGGCAAGATAGGGCGCCTTGGCCGCGCTGAGAGGACAGAAACACACGTCTGTTAGAGGAGGTCAGAGGTCACAGCCGGGAAACCTCGACACGAAGAAGTCTGTCTGTACCTCTGCATCGGGGTTCCTGACTTGTAGTCAATGTCCAGAACGATGGCTTCAGGGTTACTGGGTAGGTAACAACCTAAAAAATAAACACACACCATGAAGAACGAAGACCACGTTTCTGCTGTTCTGTAACTTTTTAAAACAATCACTACATCTAACTTTTACGACGCAATATTAGGGCCACATTAAGAAAAAAAAACACAAGACTTGGAGGTTAAAGTCATTACTACCGAGAATAAAGTCAAAATAAAAACCTAACTTACAAGAAGAAAGTCGTAATAAAATCATTACTTACAAGAATAAAGTCAAATAAAATCCTAACACACAAGGATAAGGTTGTAATAAAGTAATTACTTATGGCAAAAAAGCCATAATAAAATCCTTACTCATGAGAATAAAGTCAAATAAAATCCTTACTTACAAGAATAAAGTCGTATTAAAACCATTATTTACGAGAATTAATTCCTTATTAAGTGATTACTTTTGAGAATAATGTCATAATAAAATAATTATTTCTGAGAATAAAATAGTAATAAAGTAATTATTTATGAGAATAAAGTCGTAATAAAGTAATTACTTACAAGAATAAAGTCGTAATAAAGTAATTATTTACGAGAATAAAGTCTTCATAAAGTAAGTACTTATGTGAATAAAGTCGTAATAAAGTAATTATTCATGAGAATAAAGTCGTAATAAAACCATTATTTACGAGAATTAATTTCTTATAAAGTAATTACTTTCAAGATAAAGTCGTTATAAAGTAATTTCTTAGGAGAATAAAGTTGTACTAAAATCCTTTCCTAAGAGTCTTAATTTTTTTTTCTTAATGTGGCCCTAATACTCCTTGGTAAACTTTTATGGTTCTGAGTCTCTTCCGCAGAAAACTTCCCTTTGAACACTCGCTTTTCTCAAAACCTCAATCACATCATTACCTGACTGCACTTTGATATCCGACAGCGCTTTCAGACACGCTCGTTTCCTCTCCTCTCCTTTTGGGACTGGCCTGCAGAAAAGAAACCACAAAATAAATCACAAACTCTCATCAGTTCAGTTTCCTCTTTTTTCATCTCTGGTTTGGATCCGCTCTTCAGGGTCGCTCATTTACTTGATGATGGCGGACACGTTGGTGATCTTGTTGAAGAAATCAAACTCCCTCTGGTAGAAATCTTTAGCTGGACCCGACAGCGAGCCTGTGATCTCCTCCACCATCTGCTCCAGCAGCTCCCCGATGTCGGCTGAACAGACAGAGCAAGTTAATGAGGTTAACGAGGCGCAGATAAATGTTATTACATCAATTCATCAAGTTTAACTGAACCTTATTGGTCCCATTTGGCACAGAGAGCATTATTACACATGAAGAAGAGGAGGAGGAGGAGGAGGAGGAGGAGGAGGTGTGACTCTGACCTCAGAGAAACAGACCAGAGGGAAACAAGATTTCATTGAGGTCATTTCATTTATACTTATTAACCAATTATAAAAATGACTCAGGAGTTCAAACTTAGAGAGGGAGGGTTAGTTTGGACTCTAAACTATTAAAGTGTTTTTTGTTTTGATCGTTTATTCAATATTATATCCTGAAAGTATATTGCTTTTTCCGAGTTGTTGTAAGAAGTTTATTTTGGAAGTTAAAACTGCAGGTTAGAAGTTTGTTGTAGATCATTTTTGCAGACCTACAGTCTGTTTCAAGCTTAAAGACCCACTCCGATGAAAATCATGTTTTTCTTGTTGTCTAAATGTCCATATGTTTATTTTTCTGATGCTACAGGACATTTCTGAGTATTTCTGCATTCAAATCGCTGTGAATCTCTTACAGACTCAAACAGCAGGTTCGGACACAGTGAGATTTCCTATGTCACGAATCCAAGCTCCGCCCCCTGGAGCCCCACTATGCAGGCCAGACAAAGGGAAATAGGGAGGGCGATTGCAGAACAAGTGTGTGCGTTAGCGGATTGCAAGCTCGTAAGAAAGCTAATTATGATATTAACTTTCATCATGTCCCCAAAGACATTAGTGTCCGAGAGCTGAATATCTCCTATGTTACCTGCTTCTTCTACTACACCGGCAATGTTAGGCTACAAGATAGCGTGAATGTGCTGAGCAGCGCTGTCTCCGCCCACAGAGGTGAATTGCTAATGGGCTACTGGAGTTTGCAGAAGAAAAGTCCTTGAAAATGACACAGGTAACATGATTTTGGCAAAACAAAACAACAATCCCAATTTAAAGGACACTGAGGACACATTAAGTAGTAAAAAAGAAACAAAAAAACAATCCGAGTGGGACTTTAAGATTGGTGCAATAATCTACTCTGTTGTTCATACACACATATTTGGATACTTAAACTGTTTGTGGTGTGAGTCTGTGAGCCATGGACCTCACCACCAAAACAACCAAAACAAAATCAAATGTCGCCTCATATAACATCCTCTGCGCTCATGTTTAGGGTTGCTGTTTTTGCAAGATAACAAAACAATTGAAAGCAGTTATTTATAATCAAAGTCTGTAATAAAACTCATCATCGGCTTTATTCTGCCCAAGAGAATAACATCTAAAGCTGAGGACTTCGCTTTAAATGCAGGAATCTTAAATACAATACAGTACGAGGCGTCTTATTTGAGCTGCTGATCTCTGTTGATGGTTTCCAGGACAGTTTCTACTTAAAAAAATTTCCCAATCAATGAATGATTTATTGATTGGTGCTGAAAAATAAACAATAATTGAAACTGCACGACAGAAACAGACAAAAAAAAATGGGACGAAAGCTGCAGCTGTGTGGAGGACAAAAAGAGACAGAATGAAATATACTAATACATCTTTAAATAAATACTTAAACGTGTCATTCATTTATTAAAATACCAGACATTCAATGTAAAAACATAACTAATTATTTCACTATTTAATTAATTAATTCATGAACCTGTGTTGCAGTGCTTCATGAATTTATTTTATCTGTTAAATTCACCCATCAAAGTCAGTGAGTGGATCCTAACACCTTATTGGTTATCCGGCTCATCAAGTCAAGACAGATCAACTTCAGATATTGGATTGATGCAGTTCATTTATTTATCTAATTCCTATTTTAATTAATGACATATTTAAGTATTGATTTAAAGATGTATTTATATATTTCATATGTCTCTTTTTGCCTTCCATACAACCGAAGGTGAATCTCTCCTGAAAAAGGTTTGGGCTCCCAGTCTTGCTGCTTCTTTGAAAGAAAACCACAGAAATAGATCTTCCTGTAAAAACACGTGCAGGCTGGTGCTCTTCAAACAGAGACACATGCTGTCATACAACACTAAAACACTCTGAAGTTAAAGTTCACATTATATTTAACTTTATTAAGAGGTTCAAAAAAGGCCTCACGATCTTTGGTGTGTCCCTCCTCATCCATGAAGATGTTGGTCTTCATGTTCCAGATGAACTGGTGGGCGAGGAGCTGAGACTTCTGGGCCGCCCACAGGATGTACTCTCTCACATAACCCATCTGAGCCAGAGAGGGGAGAACGGTTCACCACCACTTCGTAAAAGAGCGATCAAACAGCCATCAAACGTATAATTATTAGTAAGAGCTCACAGTACCTTATCGTAACGGAGAGCCTGAACGATCTGAGGAATGTAGAACAAGATGGCGTCCTAAAAACGGAAAAAAAGGTTGAGGTCATGAAGGCTCTGTTTGACTTGAAGTGTGGACGCTAAGATGCAAACATCGGTCTGACTCACAGGAGGGAAGGAACGCAGCACTTTGACCCCGTACTGAGCAGTGAGAGGATGAGGAGGGTACATGCTGCTGAAGTAGGATAGACCGGTGGGAGGGTCTGCAGGAGCCCAGCACAGGATGTGACTCAGCTCAGGAGAGTCCGCGTCAATCGTGTGCCAGGTCACCAAGAACTGAGAGGGTCCAACAATCGACGAGGTCATTAAAAACCAGGATTTAGATACAGAGAAGGATTTTCAACAATCACCAGATCAGCTGATCTCACCTTGACGGCCTCAGGTACATCACTGACAGCTCCAGGGTCCAGCCTCACCAGACGGGTCACCTCGGCAACGATGGCGTCATTCTTAAACCTGAATATCAAGAACCAAAAGATCGGGACACATCATCACTCCTACTTTTAGTTTGGGCCCTTATTAACCCAGGTGTTTAAGAAATCAGAGCTGCTCAGCTAATGATGGGTTTAAACCTAAACTAACTTAAACTTAAACCAATTAAAATTTGAACTAACTTAGACTTATACTAATCTAAACCTAAACTGATCTAAACTCGCACTAATTCATACTTGGGCTAATTTAAACTTTAATCTAAACTTAAACTAATTTAAACTTGAACTAAATTAAAATTAAAATTTAAACTAACTTGAACTTTGACTAATTTGAACTTAAACTAATTTAAACTCGAACTAATTCATACTTGAGCTAATTTAATATTGAACTATAATGAAGTCAAACTAATTTAAACTAGGATGAGTTAAGCTTGAATTTATTCAGCTTGAACTAATTTTAACTTGAACTTATTTTAACTGAAACATTGAAAATTAAACAAATTTAATTTTAAACTAATTTAAACATGGACTCATTTAAACTTAAACTAAAACTAATTCAAACTCGAACTACTTCAAACTTAAACTTATATAAACTTAAACCAACTTTAACTTGAACTAATTTAAGCTTAAACTGATTTAAACTCGCACTAATTCATACTTGAGCTAATTTTAATTTAAACTAATTTAAACTTTAACTAATATGAAGTCGAACTAATATAAACTTAAACTGATTTAAGCTCAAACTTATTCGAACTTGAACTTATTTAAACTCGAACTTATTCAAACTTAAACTCATTTAAATTTAAATTTTTGATTTTAACTTATTTAAAACTTCTGACTTTAAGTCTGGCTTTTAGTACTTTAGATCCTTGTTCCTGCAACCAAGTCCCTAATCCTGTATCTCCATGGTAACCTGATTAGATCTGATCGTGTAGGACAGTAGGAGCAGAGCCTGTGAGGAGTTCACCTCTAAAATCTGGTGTCTCCTTTCAATGAACTAGAGAGCATTCTCAGTCTATCTTCAGAGAGCCTCACCTTGCAGGTAGCTGCATGGCCAGGTAAGGTGCGATCCCCCAGGCCAGGTTGACATTGTCCTTCCACTGTTTCTCAGTCAGACTGATGTATTTGGACCTCCAGTTGGCGATACTGGTCTCCACCGACTGCTCTGTGGAGATGGCCAGTTCCTGAGTGGACAGCGGGTTGTACCACGTGGTCAAGCGTTCAATCTCACTGGCCTGGACGGAAACAGAACAAGAGACAGAGTATGATTAAACCTTTGTGTTTAGACCAGAGAACCCCGGTTCAGAGTGAGTCCTCACCAGGAGAGCCAGCAGCAGAGTCCTTCTCTTCATGTAGTATTTGTGGAGCTGGGTCCCTCTGTTACTCTTCTTGGATTGTCCTAAAAAAAAAGTGAAAAAGTGAAATTATTGTGTCTTTTTGGAGACTCTTCCAGTCCTGGATCTGGTCTTGTTTCAGGTCAAAGTGCTCTATCTCCAATAAGGTGAACTCAGTCAAGGATGCATCGTTCTAAAAAGGCAGCGTAAGCGTTACCAGATTTCTTGGAGGTGGTGGACATGCCGCTGGACAGCGGGTAGGTGTTGATCCATCCCTGTCCGCTCTGCTGGGAGCGAGAGCTGGAGTCGATGCTGCTCCTGAGGTCGGCGGCGTTCATCACGGACAGACTGTTCAGGGATGGGTCCTGATTATCTGCCCACACAGAAATAGTTTCAGTATCTCACAACACACTCTGATCCCTCAGTTCAACATAATCCTAGGTTTACAAGTGACTGACACAGATAAAAGACGGATTAGGACTCAGTGGAAAACATTGATAAATGGTCAATGATGGAGGAGTTTGGAGAGCGACATGAGCGGTGTCGGTTAGTCCTCTGCTGTTCGGATGATCATGCATCTGAAAGCGAGAAAATCCAGCAGGATTTCAATGCAGGTAGAGGCTGCCTCGAGCTGCTGATCCAGGACTCTGTCTGTTCAACCGATCTGATCCAGAACCAGCAGTGTGAGGGCTCTTCTACCTGAAGCGCTTCGATGTGTATGAGGATGACACCATGTTTTAATTCTCGGGGTCGTCGGGGGATGAAGAGGAGAAGGAAGAGGAAAAGGGGACTTTCTGGGTCGGAAGAAAAAAACTGTTTTCACTGTTTTTTTTTTTTGTTATTGTTTCTTCTTCTGATGCCGTGTTGAGCGAGGAGAGGGGCAGACTGGTGGGCTGATGATGAAAAGTCATGCATCTCGACGCAGCTGACAAATTTGCACTTTTCCTCAGAGCTGCTGAACGAGGATCACAAACAGATTCTTAAAGATATGAAGAGAGAAATGAAGGAAGGAAGGAAGGAGACACAGTTTAAACCCGGGTCCAACTTTAGCAGAATCTGGGACAGAAGCTCTGAGATCGCTCCAGTAGATCACATCTATGAGGAAGTCTGTCCTCTCTGATCCAGACTGTGACTTTCACTGAAGCTGTCCTGAATCCCAACAACACTCACAAGTTTTCTCACTCACACTTGAGTCCTAGATTGCTTGTACAAAAATCATAGTTTCTCTTCATCAAGCACCTTTACATCATTGAAAGACATTTTTTAAAGTTTTATTTCAATTGTGCGATGTTTGGTCTTGCTGGTAAAATATGAAATTATGATCAAAAACTATTTTCATGAACAAATTTATTAAAAACCCCGAGAAGATGTCGGGAACTGAGGCCCTCAAAATACCAATGAGGACAGGACTTTCTCTTTTGGACCGAGTGCCTTCTTGAAACCACAAACAGCTGTTACATTTCTGACTTTTACTCAACCAAACCTCATTGACAAAACTGCTTGTTTTACAGGAGATGCTGGTGTATTCTCTGCCCTGATGAACTGGTTGTTTTTTGTGTTTTTGTGTGACTCCAGTGTTTGTTTTAGATCTTAAAAAAACACAATAACACAAAAACTAACCCTAAAATAAAGACTGGGGCAGAGATGGACCAAAGGCTCCTGTGATTTGTCTGTTTCTGGTTTCAAAAAAATAATCTGGAGCTAAAAGAGAAACTACGCTCTGCAGGAATCTGCTAGAGAAATCACAGAAGCTTTTTTTATCAGCTGATTATGCAAAAACAAAAAACCCAGGATTATAAATTAAGGAGGGAGGAACTGAGAGGGAGTAAGAACAGAATAAAGAGGAAATGAAGTCTGTTTATCTATATATAGATACAAATATAAGTTCATACTTGTATATAGATAAAGGAATAGAGATGAGATAGATAGATAGATAGATAGATAGATTCCAGGATCTATCTGCAGCTCTGTGAGGAGGACGCAGTGTCAAATTTGCCAGGCGTGAAAAAGCATGCTCCTGCTGCGGTGCAGTCCGAGCTCCACCGCTTTAGGCTTACTTAAGATCGATATCGGAGAAGTGCTGGACACGATAAGGGATCCGAATATCCCGGCAGAGAGCGTGCTCGGGGCCGGGGTTGTACCAAGCTCACCGGGTGGGACCAAGTGACACGCTGCCAGGTACTTCTTGTCGGACAGGATGCTGGCGTAGAAACGGATGATGATGCTAATGTCCTCGCGGAGGTTCTTGTCACACTGGGTTGGGAACTTTGGATTCACGCTGGAGACACAGACGACAGAGACAGAGACCATCAGCGACAAGAGAGACTGTTTTTATGATGTCATTTTTAAAGAGCTGAAACCAGAGCGAGAGCTGAACCCTCAGAGTGTGTGTGTGTGTGTGTGTGTGTGTGTGTGTGTGTGTGTGTGTGTGTGTGTGTGTGTGTGTGTTTATGAGCAGATACCTGAAGTAATCAAAGGCTGTGGAGTAGATCTTCTCTCTCAGCACGTTTCTCACAGTCGCGTTGGTGAGGACATCTGAGTGGAGCAGGGCCAGACCCAGGGTCAGGAGCCTGAAACACACACACACACACACACACACACACACACACACACACACACACACACACAAATTAAAACACCATGAACAGATCAAACTTCTCCACAGCTTGTTGAGACTCTCAGGAGAAGAAAAACTAAAATATCTCAAACAGGAAGTGTCTGTGACCTTTTCTTTGATCTTTTTGTGTTTATGTGTTTGTGTCTTTGTGTCTCTGCATTTTTGTGTCTTCCTGTGTTTGTGTCTTTGTGTCTCTGCATCTTTTTGTCTTTGTGTGTCTGTGTGTTTGTGTGGTTTTGTGTTAGTGTGTCTGCGTCTTTGTGTGTTTGTTTGTTTTTCTGTTTGAGTGTTTATGTGTTTGTGGGTTTGTGTGTTTGTGTGTCTGTGTCTCTGTATCTCTGTTTGTGTGTCTGTGTGTCTGTATGTTTGTGTGTCCATGTGTTTGTGTTTTTGTGTGTGTTTTTGTCTCTGTGTGTCTGTGTGTTAGTGTGTCTACGTCTTCCTGTGTTTGTGTGTTTGTGTGTTTTTGTCTCTTTGTGTCTGCGTCTTTGTGTGTTAGTGTATTTGTGTCTCTGTGTGTTTGTGTCTCTGTGTGTGTTTGTGTCTTTTTTGTGTCTTGGTGTATTTGGTAATTTGTGTGCTTGTGTGTTTGTGTTTCAGTGTGTTTTGTGTGTTTGTATGTACCTGAATCGAGGTCCGATTGCAGCCACATGGCGGTTGAGGCTACTCTTAGCTCCGCCCACGTTCAGAGACAGTGAGCGCTGAAGCAAGCTGCCGAAAATCTCCACCTGGTCGGCGCTGGAATACTTGGCGATCTCGAACCTCTGGACCAGAAACTGAACAGAGAAACAGAAACAGAGTCGGGCTGTTGGAGGATTTACACAAAAGTGAGGAAATTCAGACGAAGAGCGGACCGTCTTTAGTCTGACCTCGATCCATATTTGGTGAGGAGTGACGTCTGGAGGACACGGGATGGGCTGACTCTCCTCTGATGCAGCGAGAGGGTCGGCCTCCACCTGAGCATCTGAGAACAAGCCCATCTTCAGCTCCACTGTCATCTGCCACGCCCCTGCCATCTCACGCATGAACTAGGCGACCAGACGGGAGACTTTTAGAGGGCTAACCACACAAATCCACCAAAACAAAGACATAAGAAGTTAATGTACCGGCACTTCCACACCAACTCGAGCCGCCAGCAGCCACTCCCAGCAAGCTATGGCGGTTTCCATGCCGTGAGCTGTGAACATCTTCAGAGGAGACCAGCAGAGGTGGTGCAGCAGCTGGGGATCACAGTCTAAAGGACAACAAAGATCAAAAATGTTCAGAGGTCTGCATCAGACTGAAGAACCTGTGAGAGCAGCAAAGACAAAGAGAGAAACCTTTGGTGTTGATGAGCAGAGCCGCCAGTTTGAACATGGCCTCAGTGAAAGCCTCCGGCTGAGCTGAGTCCAGAGCTTCTCCCATCTGTTTGATCATCAGCCGACCCAGATCAGACTGTCCTCTGACCGCCTGGGCGAAGTTGATCATCCCCGACACCTGCAGGAGCAGAAAAAGAAGGAGTGTGGGAGAGGATCTGGATTCATGTCTCTGTGACAGTGTGGACAAATCCAGCTCAGCTTTTCTTAAAAATCAGGATCTGTGTTTAAAAACTGTCCTGCAAAAATCCCAGGATGAGGATCTGGTGGTTTTACCTCTCCAGCGTATCTGTTCCTGAGGTTGAGCGAGGCCATGAAGTTGGAGTAGTCCTTCTTTACACAGGCTGGCCTCTCAGTCAGCTGAGTCGACTACAGGGTGAAGAAGAAGAAGGTAAAAGAGATGTGTGAATTTTGATTCTCTACGTTGAAGTAAAACCTGATTTTTATTTGGCATCCCTCAGGGCTCCATTCTGGTGCCACTTTTGTTTTGGGAAAGAATAACTACTGTTGCCATGGAAACGAGTCTAAATAAATCCAGTTTGTGTCCTACCCCCAGTGTGGTGTTCTGCTTGTTATAACCAGCAAAGTGCAGGATGCTCTCTGTGGCCATGGCCAGACCGGTGTGCTGGGAGAGACCCGAGACCCAGTTCTGGTGTTTGTTCAGATACTCCTGAAGAAGACAACATAAAGACGTGAGATTAAAACGGGTCTTAAAACAACATGATAGATTTTTTATCTCTGTGATGGACCTCCAGAGAAAAAAGGTGTTACCTGGAGGTGGGATTTGGTCACAGATGGCGCCCACTTCATCGCCTCTTTGAGGATCTCTCCACAGCGTGCAGCAAAGTCCTTCACAATGCTCTACGAGAAGAATGAGACTCAGATTATAGTCTGGTTCTTTTTAACATACGCAGACTTTAGAGGATATAATCTAATCTGGTAACGCTAAGGTGCAGAAAGATTTCACACTTAAACAATCACAGATGAAGAGTGATTGATCAGGTGATGTTTACCTCTCTGGCCTCATAAGTATCAGGGACAGTGATTCTGTACGGTGTATCTGGGATGTCATAATAAGGTTGGTCTTTGTGAATGTCCTAAAACAACATTAGAAACATCAAATTAGAAATATTAAATAATCTGAGAGAGGAAGATGCTGCAGAGAGGGAAAGACTGATCACTGACTGCACTGAGGGAGAGGGAGAGAGTCTGCAGGATGTCCAACATGGTCCTCAACACGCGGCCGCTCCACAACAAGTGAGGGAATCTGAGGAGAGAGAGAGAGGACGTACGTGTGAAACAGACGGGCGCATAGACGCGTTTTTTAACAGCACATATTTCAGAGTGATGCACTCTCACGTTTCAGCGAGGCCGGATAAATATTTATCAGCCACTCTGCGGATCCTCTTGTGGATGTGATTAAAGTTGACCAAAAGGAACTGAGCGTGGCGTTCCAGCTCCTCCTCGTGGGCTTTGGTTTTTGGCTGGAAGTGAAAAACAAATGTTTCACAAGGACAGGGTCTGAAAATAATTCCGTTTTGTTTCTAACAACAGTGAAAACTTAGCGGGTTGTTCTGTATGAGAAGCTGAAAAATAAGACTTTAATAAACTGAATAATTTCTCCTGGAATGTCATTGAGTGTCAGGGAGAGTTTCAAGGATATCCGTTCTTACTTTTTCAGCCATCATTTGCAGGAAGACTTCAAACACCTTGTCGCTAACGGCGATCACACACTGCATCATACCTGGAGAGGAACCACAAATGTCAACACAGGTCATAGAAATGTTAGAGTCAAATGTTTTTTTAGGGTTTTATCTCCTTTTCTTAAACTCACCAGATTTATCTTTTTGGATGGCTCTGTCCTCAAAGTATCGAAACATGACCTGGAAGCGGTCCGAGTCCAGAGACCGCAGCATCCTGACCCAAAACACCACAGAGTTCAAATATGAACAAATAGAGTCACGTATAAGTCTATTAATGCCGTGTAAAGATGAGAGCGTACCTCATGTACTCCAGCCTGTACACAGACAGCAGATACGTTGACATGGCGAAGTCCAGTTTGTTGATGAGAGCGGCGACCTCAGGAGGAGGGTCCAACAGGTTGATGATTGTGGATCGTAGATCATTTAGTTCAGCCTGAAGTGAAAAAAAATAAAACATGAATCCAACAGAGCTTTACATGAACATGTGTGTGGATATACATGATGTGATATGTGGATCCTGTACCGGGGTGACGGTGTCGTTCTTCAGAGCAGAGTTGTACTGCAGCTCTGAGCGTAAAGGTTCCCCGCTGGGAAACGTGAGCAGTGGTGATTTGGTTGCGATCTCACACACTCCCTCGTACCATTCCTCCGGCCACAAACCTGAAGATTTGGACTAAAATTCATCATGTTTTCCTTTTTTTTTCACTAGTTGTTTCAGTCTTTCCAAAGCTGACAGACAGAACTCTGAAGTTATGAGTCGACTGCTGCCTTAACCAGCTGGATTTGTCAGACACAAAAAAGGACAAAAATACAAGGTTGAAGAGAACACAGTGTACCTGAACCCTCCACTGCAAACCCCATGACGACTGAGTAGAGCCAGAAGTCCCTGAAGAGTTTCTGCAGACGTGGCTTTGCCTCCTTAATTGGTGGTAACCTTTTGGTTAACTAAAAGCAGAAGCAGAAGAGAGAGTCGACCCCGGAGTCGTTAGAGAGCTCTGAAACCTTCACATGAGGGAATCGTCATTAAGTATTTGAATCACCGGAGGAGTGGACTGGATTTACCTTTGCACAGCAAGACGTCATTTAACTAAAGAATGAAACCAATGTGATCAAAATAAAGACAGAAAATAATAATAAAAGATTTACCACAGCGATGACGGGAATCAGCACACCCAGGTTTCCAGCACTGCTGGAGGCCTGCAAAGACACAGAGGGGGATTAAAATCAGGGTTCAAGTCCTGATCTAAAAACATCGATGATCATGGAAATCATCTCTCTCATTTTAGTGCATTCATCACTTTGGTTTTATACAATCGATGACATGCCCTCCACTGCCCCTGTTTTTAAGAGTCAAAGACACAAAATACCCAGAATGCTCTGAAGCAGATAACGGGACCTGATCCAGAACTGTACCAGAACCCTCTTTTTTCTTCTTCTCAGCCCATTTTGAGCGTACTGAACCTTTGAACCCTGGAAGGTGACACACAGCAGACTACAGCTGATCTGTATTGAAAGATGCTCCCATAATGTCCAAGTGTAGGACGTCCAATAGGAGACACACCGATGAAGCTCAGACGGGTTTCTGGTTCTGCTCTAAACAGCTGGTTTCAAGACTGGACCTGCCATCAGGTTACAAACTCCTGTTAGGACACGCCCACCCTGAGGCGCTCTAAAACTGCCCCTCGACTGGGAAGTTCACATTGCTCCTCTTCCTCTTCCCTGCTCTGGACTTTGTAGATTCAGTTTGTCTCTGAAAATGTTCGTTTCATTGTGAAGCTCCAGAAAACATCAGGAGGTTTGTCATAACTCCTGTGTTATCAAAGACTGGGACCAGATGGACTTGAGTCTCAGCTGTTCATCAAGTAAGACCTTCATGAAGTTCAGAAGCTAGCTTAGACGTTTTCTGACTCTAGAGCTTTGTAAAAAGTAACACCCACAAACTGAATCTCACTTTATCTCAGTGTCAAAGCAGCCAACAGGAAGTGTTTGAGGCAGAGGCTGAATTCAACTCAAATTAGACTTTAATTAAACATAAATAAGCAGTTGTATGAGCTGTAAACCGCGCTAAGTTACTCTATAAGTGTCCCTGAGTGACAGGATTAAAGGTGAAAACAGATCAGATAAGTCTGATAAGAAAACAGATAAGTCTTTAAGAGTTTAGTCTGTAATTCTGACACTGAGAAGTCTTCCTTTGTCTTTCTTGATAGATGTGAAAAGAGATGTGTAAGTGAGGTTATATCTACACTTTGGTACGAGGAAGTGACGCTGAAGAACAAAAACTAGATCATTTGAAACATCTCCCAAAATAAACACCCTCCAAACCTCCCTCTTCCCACGTGTCTGAGACTAAAGTGAGACTAAAAGGAGCCTCAGGATAATCCCCTTTCTCTCAATCTCTTTGTCTCCTCTCTGGACTCTCAGGTTCAGGACTTAAGGCATGTCTCACCTTCAGAGTCGGGCCTTTGTCGGACGCTCTCTCGCTGGCTCTCTTCCCCTCTAAGCCGAGCTGAACAAAGAGCTCCAGCAGGTTGACCAGCAGCTCGTCCACCATCTGCTCTGCCTGGAGGTTGGCTGCGATGTTCCCCAGCGCATTGATCACCGCCAGGGAACAGTGTCTGTTTTCAGAAGTGAGAACATTAAACTGAACTGAAACACACAGAGGAGAACGTTTGTCCTGATATGTTCTTAAAGATCACGCTCACCTGTATCCATGGTCCTTGTAGTCTTTGGTGGAGTAGACCATGGAGCTGGCTTTCACGCTGATCTGCTGGAACAGGTTCCAGACTTCCTGGTAGATGTATTGCTAAAGAGAAAGAAAATTTAAAACCTTTAAATTCAAAATAAAGATCTTAGAGAAACAAACGTGAAGGTGGAGGTTGTTTTACTCACGTTCCCTGTGATGACCATACAGCCCAGCTGGTCGATGATGAGGACGTCGAGCTGCGACGGAGGCTGACAGAACTTCTGCTGCAGGATCTGCAGGATGGGTTCCATCACTCTGGGGGTGTCTCTCAGAGCGACGGCGATGTGACCCAAAGCTCTGATGGTGTGGTCTGGGATCAGGTGAGCATCTCTGAGGATAGAGAGGAGAAAATATGTGACCTGAGACCCTCTATATAGCAGCATATAGAGTTTTTACCAAAGCTGGTTTGATGACTTCTTCTCTTACTTGTCGTTTTCCTGATAGATGTAGAGACGGTTGGACAGACTGGCGAGGAACGCTTCTACGATGACGTTATCCATGGTCAGGCCGGCTTTCAGGCACCTGAGGGGGAGAAGACAGAGGAGAAGTAAGACCTTTGAAAACCAGAACCTCCATGTCTCATGTTAGTACAGTGAAGGTGGATCTACCTGCAGATGTTATCGATGGAGATGTCCCTCAGCTGCTCGTACATGGACGGCTGGCTCTTCTTGCTGGAGTGGGTGCTGAGAGTGGACTGGGAGTGTTCGTTTGTCACGTGGATCTTTATCTCGCCTCCCCCTTAGAAAAAAAAGACTCGTTAATAAACTCGCAACGATAAACGAGGCTGCGTTTGATTGGTTCTGGAGAGTTCTGTGGTCACCTGAAGTGTACTGGCTGTGGTATTTGTACAGCTTCACCAGGACAGGAGATGGCACCACCAGGAAGTCTCGGAGCGACATGGTGACTGAATGAGCCACTACAGGGAAGCGCTCGCACAGACGGCCCAGACCCTGACCATGAAAACACACAGAGGTTTGTTTTTACTGCGTATGGATAAACAACTACAGCTGACTCATCAAAAACAAACACAGCTGCTGCAGATTCAACCTGCTGGAGGCATCTGTGTTTACGAAGCATCAGCAGAAAGAGAGATCAGTTAAACATGGCATCTTATAGAGCGAGGCCGGCGTCAATATTTAGATCTAGAAAATGAAGACATGATGTGTAATCTATAGATATATCTCTACGTACACTTCTAGGGTATTGGCGGCTTCAGATCACTAATTTGGACACACGTGAAACTAGGGCTGGGCAATATGGCTTCAAATCAATAAAATGATATATTGATCAGTTCACCTCAATAACAATAAATGGTCGATAACTACCCCACAAGCTGCTCACCCCCTCCAACATTAGCTTGGTCTACTTCAGCCGCTACAACTTTTGAACCATCCTCCATCTCCTCACCTGTCTTTCCCTCTTTGTTATGGACTGGATGGGGTGGAGTCACGTCTCTGATGTAGGACAGCAACTTAAAGGGACATAAGACCATAGCCTACCTACACACATCCAAAACCAACTTTTTTTAAATTATTTTTTTTGACACCGAATATACTGATATGGGCAAATTGGTTTATCGCCCAGCCCTAACTCAGAGAACCAAAACCATTTAATTTAACACCTAATTTATACAAAAAAGATCTGAAGCTGTTCATTAAATTGAAATAAAACTAAATTATAAAGAAAATAGTCTCTGTCTTCGATTATTTATCCTTAAAACATACAGAGTATTTCTCGTTTGAGAAGAAATTTGCAGTCATTGAATTTTCAGGCAGTTCCCTTTTGTTGACAAATTTCAAAATAAAAGCCCCAGGAAAGTATTTATAAATTTAATAAACTTTTTATTTTAACGATCACTCACTAAAACTCTTACTGTATGCACTTCACCGTCTGTTGATGTTTGCCTTTAATTTTCTACTTAATGAATAAAAATTTTAAAACAAGTTTATTTGCGATGTTGGTCGATGCTTCCTCGACTGTCCAAGCTTTAGGATATTATCCTATACACAACCAAGACCAACTTTTACTGATTTTTTATTTTTTTTGACATCGAATATACCGATATTGGCAAAATGACATCAGTTATTGTCGTAAATTTTGGTATCTGTAAATTTTTGGTTTATCGTCCAGCCCTACATGAAACACACAGGAGTATGAGGAGGTAATGGAAGTATTTCAGCCGAGATTGAACATCTATATCAAACAAATGTCTTCTGTCTAATTAGTAGAACTTTATGTGGTTCACTTTGAAACCAGCTAGTCCAGATAAACAAGTAACCGCCCTCTAATTCTTACTCAGTTGAATCCTTGACATTGTCTTTTCCACTTTGTGTAACGTGTTTAAAACCCAGAGGATGTAACCCCATCTATTCTTGCTGGAAAACTCTTTTTCACAAACTCACAGGTGAAGACTTTAAATGAGGCCTTTGCTCCTCAACTGTTTACTCTTTCTGCTGTCCCGTCCTCCATCTAAAACCTCAAACTATTCTCTGAAAAGCACGAATCAGACTCCTGTGTTTCCTGTTCTGCTAAAATATGCAGAAGAAGAGTTGACAGGGAAGCATGGCCACCTCTAATCTGAGTTTGAGTTCGTATCTGATGCAGAAGTTCACAAAGAGTTTCTTCTTCATTTTCTGATAAGGGATGAAGGAAGTGTTTGACTGATACCTGCAGGCAGCAGATGAGGAGGGGCATGTGTGCGATGATGACTTTACTGGACGTCTTTGACTGCAACTTCTCCGACAGTTTGGTGCACAGATTCTCGGCTCCTGGTGAAAAAAAAATAAGACAGGGAACATTTGCAAAGACGACGACGTCTAGAGCCGTTTTCCTCCGTCTCTGTTCTTGTGAAGTGATTTCTCACCCTGTTCTTCAGTCACCGCCCACACCATCAGGTCCACACAGGCAGCGTTGGCCTGACAGCGCAGCTTGAGCGGGCTCAGCTCACTCTGGAGGTACTCCACGTCGTGCAGGATCCTCTGCAGCTCTGATTGGCTGCTGCTGAACTGCTCCAGGACAAAGTCATGAACCTCCTTCACAAAGTCCGTCTGGAGGTCTAGTGAAATGAAGGAGATGTGTTATTATTGCTGCTGCTGTTCAGGAAGAAAACTGAGGCTCAGAAGACGTATAATTTAACTTTTTACCTTTTAGATTGTACAGCGTGTCTCTGAGCATCTTAAAAATCGCTACATAAAGAGGGTCACTGAAGGTTTTGTAGTAGAGGTGAAGACCAGGACTCAGCTGCCAAAAAAGAACAAAACAATGAACATGCCGGGACAAAACTGAGTCAACAATCAGCTGTGAGCTCTGAAACTTCTTACCTCTCCAAGTTCTGCCAAAGAATCATCCAGTGATTTCAGAAATGTCTCAGAGACAAACTGTTCCACCTGTGAGAGGAAAAAAAAAGGTTTTCAGAGTCAGTTTTACTGTTTTGGTTTTTTTTCGTGTCTGTAAATCAGATTTTTGTTTATCATCCTGCTGACCATATGGAGGAGCTGCCTCAGAGTGTCCAGAGGGACCTGGAACTCTCCGGTGCTGCTCCCCGTGAAGAGAGGGGAGACGGAGAAGCTGGAGCTGATGGTGGAGAAATAATAATCTGGGTCAACTGCGCTGCCGTCAGGGAGGTACGAACCTGAGAGGGAACAGCAGAGATATGAGGAGGGGGTGTGAGGCAGCTGTCACTCAAACCCTGTCGAAGGTTTTTTCCCGATTGGGTTTGGATCCTAAAGAAACAGGCCCACCAGGACCAGGAAATATCCACTATAAGATGAGTTAGTGTTGGCTTAGTGGGCTCACCTTCAAAGTACTGGGCAGAGGGGTCAGCAGGTGAGATGGGGGTCAGACAGGCTCTCTCTGGACTGGCCTGGAAACACAGAAACACCGTTGAGTAACCCTTTTAGAGGTAGATCGTATTCTTTTAATGATTCCTCATTATCGTCTCTACCTGCTGAGAAACACTGGACAAAGAGGAGCCTTTCCGTCGAAGCGTGTCCCCCTGACACACAGTGAGCAGCGAGCTCGGCAGGATGGAGCGGAAGTCGTTGAAGGAGCGTCGGTGCACCGGGTCACTCTCGGTTGTGGCGGGCAGCACAGGAGCGACCGGTCGAGGAAATAGCTTGGACAGTAGCGGCTCGTCTGTGTTGCTGTATCGGCCGAACGCTCGAGCGACACCGAGAAGAGTGGGCACGGTGTACCTGCACAGGTACTCTGTACAGAGGGAGAGTAACGAAACATGAACAAGTCGGACAGCAGAGGATCATACAGATTGAAGAGGAGGTGTGTTTGATATGTGGGCACCTTTATCATGAGCTTCTGGAGCCTTACAGGTATCCTGCAGCACCTGCATGAGCTCCATGACCGACTCCAGGATCTAAAGAAGTCACAAAACCCAACAGGATCATATTTACAGAAAGAGTTTGACTTTAAAACCACAGTTCATGTAACTGGAGGAAATTAGGAATTTCCCGTGTTTGTGATGAAAGACTAAAGCGACAGTGTTTTTTTTTTTTTTTTGTCTTAACGTTTTTTCTGAAGTTCAGCTGAAACGAAAACGTGGTTCAGGAAGCCTGTGTCAAAGAGACAGGATTATCTCAGCGCACACTTCCTTCTTTGTGTTTTCTCAGACAGTGTGTCTTTCCTGGGAGTCTGACACAATGAGGACATTTATCACACTAAAGACTGAAAAAGGACCATGGAACTCAGAACTGAAACTATGAGGTCCTGCTATAATCCGGTCTATATGGGGCACCAATGACTCAGCAGTCACAGCGCCCCAAATTCAGAGGATATAGTCTTCTCTGAAGCAGCTCGACGCCTCGCTTCATGTATCTTCTCTCCACATTTCTCTCTCTCTTCAGCGGTCCTCATAAAGGCTTAAATACCCAAAATAGAGCTTTAAAAAACTTCCTGCAAAACCAGCATGAAGAAGAAGAGAGGAGTGAGGAGTCCATGACAGTAAACCCAGAGAATCAGGATCTTGCATTATCCCCTGTGACAACTGCTGATTCCTGGATCCTGATCTCAGCGCTCTGATTCCAGCTGATTTGTCCTTTTTAAAGCTTTTCATAAATCAACAATCTGAGAAGAGTCTTACTGCATCAAAACCACAAACTCTGGACTGTAGAAGAAAGGAGAGATATACTAGACTGAGTGAAAATTTTCTTTAAGACTCCAAAATCCGGCAACTGGACTATGTAGAGTTAGAGAAGACGTTTCGCCGCTTATCCAAGAAGCTTCTTCAGTTCTAAAATAGCTCGTAGAAGCTGAAGAAGCCTCTTGGATAAGCAGCGAAACGTTTTCTCAAACTCTACATAGTCCAGTTGCCAGATTTTGGAGTCTTCAAGAAAACCATGACCTGGATGAATGAGAATCTACATGGACAGACTGAGTGAAAAGGCTGAAAGGATTATAGAGAAGGTGGATGAATTCATCACTTTGGACAACCAGCACATCTCTGAGGTAGAGTCTGCAGGTTTTGGCCTTCTGCTGCTACACTTATGAACCCTGAAACACACCTGTGGTCGTAGAGTTTCATCCCGCTGAGCAACGTCTGACAGTAGTGTTACGAGAGAAAAGCTGAAGTTCTCGGCAACAGGAAGAGTCTCTGCAACACAGTGAGGGGACTAAATGTTAAAAAAACAGCACTTTTGGTGAGACTTTTAAATAAAAAGTACAGAAATGTTACACAGATAGAGAGTATTTACCTCTGCCTTTGCGCTCAGAGCTTTCTTCAATCCACTGAACTTTAGGAAGCCCTTTGAGAAGCCCAAGAAGGTAGGGGACGATGGCGTCTTTGTGCTGCAAGAGAGGAGCAGGATTTTAAGGGTTAACTCTCTTTACAGTAAACCTGGTGTCACCACAAAGCTGAGGAGCGATTAGGTTTAATGTAGACCTGCAGCTCAGACTCCACCAGGAAGATGCCGAGTGCAATGACAGCATCTCTCCTCCTCTCGTCCAGCTGAAAGACTCCTCTGAAGTCCAAGGGACACATGCATTGTAGTTTCTGGACCTGCGGGGACAGGACACATGAATTCATTATGCAGCTGGCTGCACTGAATAAAGGGAGCTGTGAGCAGAAGCTTGTCGGTGGATAATAGAATCTATAAAAAGCTTAGACTTCACCTGCTCTCAGGGCTTACACAGACACATCAGTCCTGTCTGCTTCCATTAGTGATAATGATTTTTTGGCCTCTATGTGAGTCAGGATTGAGCCAAAGCGACCTCTGGTATTAGCGGGCTTCATGGTAAAGAAGAGCTGGACTCTGACCGGGGATCACTAACCCTTCAAGTTTTATTTTATTCTGAAAACAGAGCAGCTGTAATTATAACACAGCTCTGCCCTCTCCTGTTATAATTTAGATTTCAGAGTCTAAATCAACCCAATCACGTCAGTCAGTGTCAAAACAGTCATCAAATTAAAAACGGGATATGGATTTTTCAGCTGGATGTGGGCCAAAGTTCAACCTGCTCTGTTTGGACAGCAACAAATCCTCTTATGGAGACGAGGAAAAATGTGCTCATGAAAAAATTCTCGTAAAAAAGCTGCAATATTTCCTCTTAAGACCTAAGCCTCCTCTGACACCCACTTAAAGAAGGAGAGAGCAAAAACAATGAGGCAAGTGTGCTGGAGCAAAGCCAGTTTCCTAACGAAGGGTCTGAAACCTCAACAGGGATGGAAATCAGGAGACTGCTCAAGCTGGAAAAGGCTCCGTATTATGTAATCCATGCCTTTGTAATCCTTTTTTTATTTCATATCTATGTAAAACTCTCGATTCTGATTGGTTGGCATCCCATAGTGACGGTCTGTTATTCCTCGATAGCCGACTGTTGCTATGAAGATCAAACTGTTGCCAGGGATTAGCTTGTTGATGTAAAAACTGGGCTACAAATATTCATTAAATATAAATATTTCTGTAACAAATCAGCAAACAGCAGCGTGTGAAAAAAGACAACAAGCAGACAGTGAACTGGGACTTTAAGAGCCTTGGGGCAGCTGGTCGTTCAGTCTCACTTATGATCCATCCCTCTGTCTGATCGTTTAAACTGTTGTCATTTACTATTGATTGCTGAGAGCGGACACATCATCAGCTTAACTATCACTGGAAAACTCTCCACAAATACTCTGTCCCTCTTATATTACTGTGCAGTAACTTGTGTGAAGTACTTTAGCCTCGGGGGCTTCAGGTCAGGGTACAGATCCAGCATCCCTGATGGTATGGGGATCATCAGAGTCCATGTCATGGGTATCTTCTACATCTGTGAAGGCTCCATTAATGCTGAACTATATCTCCAGGGTTAGGAGCCGACTGTTCACCACATCACCCCTGTCCTTCAGCAGCTTCACTGGCTCCCCGTCAAGTTCAGAATCAACTACAAAATCCTCCTGTACACCTTCAAGGCCATCCATAACCTTGCCCCCCCCACCTCTCCGATCTCCTCCACATATCCACCCCCTCACGTTCCCTCAGATCCTCCTCCTCCCTCCACCTCTCTGTCCCCTCTGCCCGGCTCAGCACCATGGGGAGCAGGGCTTTCAGTCGCTCTGCTCCCAAACTCTGGAACTCTCTACCTCAGGAACATGGACTCACTACCCCACTTTAAATCCAATCTCAAAACACACCTATTCCGAATCGCATACTCACTTTAACTGTCTACTTTCACACCTGTATGTTGTTTTTATTTATTTTAATTATGTTTCTAGCTGTGTTTTTATGCCCTGTAAAGTGTCCTTGGGTGCTCAGAAAGGCGCTTTTAAATAAAATGTATTATTATTATTATTATTATCTGCTGGAGGACTCTGGAGTGGAAATCACCGCGTGGAAAGAACAACTGGACTTACTTGAGATGTTTCACCTTTCAATAAAGAATTGGTCATCATAGATGCTGCATCCTCAGTTTTAAACAATATCTCCAGGTTTAGGAGCAACATCTGCTGACATCCAGACAATGATTTTTTTCAGGGAAGACCTTTCCCAAACCACATTCTGACAACAGGGATTACAACAGGAGAAGAGTCCTGCTAAAGAAACTGGACTAATGTAATCCTGACTTGTCCCCCATTGAAAACATTTGGAGCAACATTTAGAGACCCTGAACTGATGAGCAGCTGATATTCTTGATCAGGAACCTTTCACTTTCTGAACTCTAAACACTGGTCTCTTTGGTGTCAGATTTTACTTCCACTTAATTAGAAAACAAGCAGCACTCTACATACACACAGAAGGGCACAAAGTCCTGTCATAAATGCTGTAAAATGTAAACATCCTCCTCAATAATTCACAGAAATAAAAGTATCATAAAAACACATGGAGATCTTGATCAAGTGCAGCTTGTGAAGTAAAAAGGTGAGTCCCAGCTGCCTCTGTCAGGTGAACTCTAATGAATGAATTATAGTTGATAATAAACTGTAATAAAAAGCAGAGTACTCCCAGTGGTGAGGTCGTAAACATATGGCACGTGAGGCTGCTGACTGTGTGTCCATATATCTTTGACGATAATCTGAGATTACAGGTTCACAACAGCTAACGTTAGCAGCCGTTAGCGCATCTCTCATGTCAGTTACTGATGCTTCCGTGTCGAAGTCCTAAAATTACGGTTTCATTCATACATGTGTTTGCTCACAGAGACGTTATCTATGGAATTAAATCCGCGGTTATGCCCACACAGCTGTAAAAGCGGAGTAAAAACGGGCCTTAGTGCCGAAGACTCCCTGACAGGTATTAGCTCGTTAGCTTTCATCACGTACTGTTTTAAACCGTTACCTTTTCAATCGGTGCCTGCCGGTGAGCTGCCAACGAACGAGCCAAGGACAAGACGGTGTTAAAATAAAACCCTCTGCCTCCGCCTCCATTGAGAGACATGTTTAAAAAGGAGTTAGTACAGCAGCCACACCAACACAAACATCTTCTGTTATTTATCCCGAGGAGGAGTTAGAAAAAAAAAGCGAAGTCCGCACTGACAGGTACGGCAAGCGCAAGGTCCAAACAGAGACGAGCAAGGTCACAAGAGGGAATGGAAACAGCAGTGAATAAAACACAAATACATCACTCACGCTAGAAAGAAAACATAGAATTGAATTATCTATAAGGTCAGGAATATATTACTTGATAAGAGAGGTAAAAGTGGGGTTATGAAATATATTTAGAAAAATCAAGAGAAATGTTCTAAACATAAAATAAAACGATATTAAAATGATCCGAAATACGGAAGCCCTGAGCGGGCACGCATCGATACAATTTCATTGCTTTTTTTCCCGCAGTCAGGAATAACTTGCGACTGTTTTTTTCTCTGAGAGTTTGAAAGGTGAAAATATTCTGTTACTTTTAAATAATTAAGTGTCAGCTGGATTTCCTCCTCATCACCACTGCAAAAAACAAGGAGCTGGTGGTAGATTTCCGCAGGAGTAGACCGATTACTCCAACATGGGTGAACATTCAGGGAAAGTACATTGAGATTGTGAACTCCTAAAAGTACCTGGGTGTTTCCCTTTATAATATTAAACTGGATAGACAATACTAACTCACAAAATAAAAGTATTTCCAAAAGACAAATTAATTTTGAAAAAAAAAAAAAAATTTAGGGAAAAAAAATGGCCAAATGAAACTAAATAAATAAATATCTTGGAAGCAAGAAAAAAAAAAATAGAATCTGAAGAATTATTAGAAAAAGAATAGATTTAGAAACTTAAAATATTTAGTAAAAACTGATACATTTAGAAACTCCATTTTCGGAGTCCACCAAACAAGTAGTTATCCTGGAACTGACAGTCCCCTGGGAAGACAGGATCGAAGAGGCCCACGAAAGCAAGAGAGCCAAGTATGCAGAGCTCAGCACAGAGTGCTGGAACAATGGCTGGAAAACCCGCTGTGAGCCAGTCGAGGTCGGGAGCCGAGGCTTCGCTGGCCAATCGCTTCTGAGAACCCTCAAACTCCTTGGAGTAAAAGGACTGCAATTGAAGAAAGCCATCAGAAACATCCTAGAGGCCGCAGAAAGGGCCTCGCGGTGGCTGTGGATCCGTAGGGGGGATCCGTGGAACATCACGCCACTTGGACACAAGTCGGGGACTGATCACCCCCGGCTGGGTCACCCGGGTGAGGGTGTATGAAGATTAAAGACCCGAAACACCCTATGACCCCAGGTACTTCACTGATGACGTGTCCAAGTAGCACCAGCAGGTGTATTCAAATTCTAGAAAACAGAAATTATATTTTGCAAATAATTTTTGAAAAAAATATTTTAGAAACACAAAGTTTGAAAACACATCAATATATATATATATATATATATATATATATATATATATATATATATTTTGTTTTTATTAGAATTTGGTAATGGTTTCCCACCTTTGTAGTTTTAATTCTTTTAACTCTTGTAAGTATGTATGAAAACAAATAAAACTGAAGTAACAAAAAATCAAACAGGACAAGATAAACAGTCTAATCCCATGTTTATTTGTGAGTTTATAGATACCATATTCAATTAGACTGAAGGCACAATACTGGATTGAACTGCTGGGAGTTTTTCCACATGTCAATATGAAAACGTTAAGACATTAGAAGTACCTCTGACATACATCAGGTCCACATTTATGTAAAGTCAGGCTGCAGCTGAAGCAGAGGAGGGCTTACTCAAAGTAAACATTTGTAAAACAAATGATTGCATCGCATGTAAACATGCCAGATCCACAAACCACAAACTCCAGTCCAAACGAGGCATTATATGTCGATGAGCAGCACTTGGCACACTGAGTCTTCACTTGTTGTGAAATAAAAGGCAATTAAAATTAGATCATTAAAATCTGCAATAAAATCTACTCTCTACCACTTTATTACCCATGGAATGAGATGGAAGGCACTGTTAACGGTGTTTCTCAAGCAGGCATGTCGATGCATTCAAGGCAATTTAAAATCTAAGAGTGAGGAGTTCATCCAAACTGTTAAGATGGGTAAAAAAGAAATAAACATCTCAGAAATACCTGCCAGGAAATAAACATCTGACAAAACTGCAAAAATATTTAAAAAAAGAACATCTGTAGTGACGAAGTACATACAACAATCAATCATTCTTAATCTCACAAGATCTCAAAATGAATCATACAATACATAGGCACTTCTTTAGAGCATAAATCTGTAAGTGAATAAAACATCTCTGCAAAGGTCACTCTTTAACCGAAGAGGATCACATTTAGTCGGGGGGTGGGGGGGGGGGGGGTCCCACCTTTTTTTAAGAACTGAGACTTTAATCCAAAAACTCAGAGGACCTTGAACCTCTCAAATGAGGTCAGAATTCAGAGGAAAAGTCAGAATTTTGGGTTTTATCTGTAAATTCCTGAGGAAAAGCCTGAAATCGTGAAGAAATGGAAAAATGTTATAATCATGTAAAAAGAGTTTTGAGTTTTACTTCATACTTCTGACAAAAAGTCAGAAAAAGTCAGGAAATGTCAGAATTCTATCAAAAAGTTGAAATTCTGAGTGAATATTAGAATTCTGAGAAAATAAAATCATAATTCTCAGATTAATCCAAGAATTCTGAAACAAAACCAGATTTCTGAGAAGTCTGCGAAAAGTCAGGATTCGGAGGAAAAGTCAGAGTTTTGAGTTTAGTTCCTAAAACATGAGGAAAAGTTAAAGTACACGAAAAAAATCAGACATCTCAAAATTTCATAATTCAGCAAAGAAAAGTCAGACTTCTGAGGAGGAATCAAACCTATTCATCTGAAAATATTTTGAGATAAATCTTAGAAAAAAAGTTTAAAAATGTCAGTTTATAACGAAAAGGCCGGAATTCTGAGGAAATGTTTAACTTTGGAGAAAGAGTCTGATTTCTCAAATTAAACTTAAATTCCTGAATGAAGGTCAGGATTTTGAGTACAAGCTTGAAATTCTGAGACAAGAAAAAAAGAATCCACATTGGAACCAGAATTATGAGAAGTCTGAACATGAAGTTAAACCTTGCAGTTCTAAGAAAAGGTCTTAACTTCACCTCATTTCCTCTGCAGCTTTGATTCAGGAGAAATCTGAGTTAGTTTATGAAGAAGTCTGTGATTAAAACCACAAACTGAGAAAAGGTGTGACCCCCAAATGGTTTTAGAGTGACCTTGATTCTCTTCTTCTCTCTTGACATTAGCTCAAACACTGTTCGGTGGAAACATACTACTCTAAATTAGCTCTGAAAACTGCATTTCTATGGATCCTACAGTCTTAATTCATAGATTTAAGGCATTTAGTTAGAACTGTATTGTTGAGCATTGTTATGACGTGACATCTGAGTATATATCTTATTTCATCTGTGAATGAATTTGAAGATAAGAAGCCTCATAAAAAAAGGAAATACTTGCATATAAAGGGCTTTAAAGGCTTGTTCTCTGGTAGAATCGCTCATTCCAAGTATAATTTCTTTGTCTACAGCGTCTTGATCACATTATATTGGGTGGGTTTCTCTTCTCTTTATGGATAAATTGAGCTAAAAGCATAATCACCTTCCTGTTTCTCTCATTGATCAGATCCAAATAAATGCTTTTGGTTCCCTTTCCCTGAGCTCTTCAGGAACTTCCTCTTTCTGTAATTTTAAGACACCAAGTGTGAGCGTAAACTCTGCAGTCTCGAGTTTTTTCATGCTGCCACTTGCAAATGCTGTGTTACGGATAAAATCGAGAATATACTGAACCCTTTTTTTTCTCCATCTGAAAATCACTCAGAGGTAGATATTAGAACCTAGAAGCAGGGTTTAAGGAGATCCGTTCTCGGGACTCAAGTAGCACCATTACGTCCGTCTCAGTCCGTCTTCCAAACTATGTTCAACATCTTCACGACTTCCTCGTAGATGATGAAGACTATGGCAACGTCCATACACACACGACCCAGCCGAGGAACAGTACCTTTATAGAACCTGAACAGGGAGAAAAGAGGGACTGAGGTCACAAACTCCACAGACACTCAGAAAATTTATGTTACTTTCTTAGGAAAACACAACTTTACAAAACAAGCTAACTCACTTTTTTGTGTTTTAGATTAATGAGATTCACCAAAACTGGTGCTGGACTCTAAACCCAGACCAAAACCCTCTCCAGGTTTAAAGGTTTACACTAACTTAAAGGGATATTCTAGCATGAAATTAATTTAGGGTCAAACACACCATAACACCGAGTTAGACACCCCCTCGAGAGATGAATGTTGCTGACCGCTTGCTTCTCTAGTTATACCAACTTTAGTAACAACCGCACGATAGCAATACAGAGAGCCACGCGCTCAACCAAAATGCCAGTCTGTAGCCACAAATAATGCTCAGAACAGCACCTAACTTCATCAACAGTACATATTGGGTCCCAGCCATAGTACTAGCCACCAAACATCTTTTTAGCTTTGCCTAATTTCTTTAGCAAAGAGACTAAACACAACTCACCTACTCTCTTCCAGCAGCCGCTCATTTGTAGCAAGACCTGAGGCGAGTCCATTATGGACTACAGCGGGGTAACGCAGGTCAAGGAAGAACATTTATGATCATTTCTTCATGGGAATGCAATCAGACTGAGACGCTAAGGCAGAAGAACTACCGTGTTTGCACTGCAAAATTATTCAAATGGTGATTATTACTTCAAGGAAATGATAAAGAAATGATCATAAATGTTCTTCCTTGAGCTGCGTCACCCCTCTGTAGTCCGTAATGGACTGGCCCAAGGTCTCGCTACAAACAAGCGGCGGCTGGAAGAGGGTAGGTGAGTTGTGTTTAGTCTCTTTACCAAAGAAATTAGGCAAAGTTAAAAAGATGTTTGATGGCTAGTACTATGGCTGGGACCCTATATGAACTGTTGATGAAGTTAGGTGCTGTTCTGAGCATTATTTGTGGCTACAGAGTGGCATTTTGGTTGAGGTTTGTTTATGGCTCCTCAGACCGCTGTGTATTGCTATCCTGCGGTCATTACTAAAGTTGGTATAACTAGAGAAGCAGCAACATTCATCTCTGAATGAATTTGGTGTTACAGTGTGTTTGACCCTAAATTAATTTTACACCGGAATATCCTTTTAAGCTAAGAGGAAGCGTCAGTGGTCCTAGAATGCCACGTTGAGGTACTCCACTCCAGTACTTGGCTTTCCCATATTACAAAAGCATGATCATATTTGTGTTTGAAGGGGAATAAACCCTGTTTGTTCGTCGGTTTAATCTCTAACTGATGAGAGAGTCTCTGTGAGTCACAGCAACTCCGCCTTTGAACTTACGCCAGCGGTCCCTCGTGCTTCATGATCTTGACAGCACAGTCCAGCGTGCTCTTGTACTTGCTCGCCTCCAGACCCTGTTGAAAACAAACATACGTGTTTCTTATTCTGCTCAGAGTGTTAATCATAAACACATAATCATGTTTTGTTTTTTTAAACTCACCTGCATCCTGGTCTTAATGACATCCAGAGGAGTGTTTCCAAACACACTGGCAGCACCAGCAACAGCTCCAAACAGTCCAGTTAGTAAAGGGTTAATGGTTTTATTGGGGTCGTCACCTTTAAATACAACAAAAATGATTATTTAGCTGCTTTTTTTTTTAAAGGTTTAATGTTGTTAAGGACAATCAGGTTTAATCACAAACCTTTGTACCAGTTCCTCAGAGAAGTCATGACGTAGAAGCGGATGGCCTGGTTGGAGCCTTGTTTCAGTATGGTGGCTGTCAGGCCTTGATAAGTCCCTTTAAGACCTGAAAACAAATAACAAAAAACACATCAACAGCTAAAACGCACTTTTAGCACCACAGAGAGCGCCCTTCTTCCTGGCACTCCAAAAACCTTCTAATAGACGTCAATATTGATCAGGAAACGATATGAAACTCAAAAACACAAAATGCTGCAAATATAGAAATAAAAATCAGAAATCTTTGAAATCATCTGAGACCGATCAACGGGAGAAAATGACCTCTGTAACAAAGAGAAACAGCACCTGGATAACAGCTGAGACGACTTAAACAAATAGAGAAAGGATGGATAAGTGTCATAGAGGAGTTTGACCACTAGGCGGCAGTCAAATGCAGCCCATTCTCACCTTCAGTTCTGACGATCTCCCTCACCCCGTGGAAAAATCCCTTATATTTTGGGTTGGCTGACGTCTGATCGTGGATGAATTTGACCTGAAACAACATCATTAAAATGATTTATCAATAAATCCAGACAATTGTACGGATAAACGAGTCAAAATAGAAACAAACGAGATGAGGCTGTAAATCTGGGGCATGCTGGGTAATGTGCAGAGCAGGACCAGAAATATGAGGTTTTCAAAGAAATGGATTTGAGGTTATGAGGAGGTGAGGGACTGAAAAAGAGCTTCAATTCATTTTCTGTTCATCTGATGGACATGAAAATGACTCCAAATAAAGATCAGTGTTTCTATCTAAAAAAATATTAGCCTACTCACAGATGTTTGAAATGATGATTTATGAATAATAATGTTATAAATCTGTTTTTTTTTTAACCTTTACAGTCTCCATCGGACAGACGACAACCACAGCTTCAGCGACTCCAGCCCCAAGCCCACAGAGGAAACCTCGTTTACTGTCCAGTTTACCGCTTTCATCTCTCATCTTATTACTGAGGAACTCAAACACCCCGAACCTGAGGAGAAAAAAAGATGAATTAATGAATCAAAATGAAATTAAAAGTGAAAATTTACCCGTAAATTCTGCAAAGGGATCATTCAGGAGTGATAAGGTTCGTTAAGGACACTTTAATATTTACAGTCATTCATTAAGTGTGTGTGTGTGTGTGTGTGTGTGTGTGTGTGTGTGTGTGTGTGTGTGTGTGTGTGTGTGTGTGTGTGTGTGTGCGTGTGTGTGTGATTGTGCATGCACAGGTGAAATGACAGCATTACCTGACAGCTGCTTTAGGTATAGATCCATACAGCAGAGAGCTGAGACCCCTATAAAGACCCCTGACCCCATGACCGTCCACAGTCTGCTTCACACAGTCGACTGAAGGAGGAACAGAGAAAAAGGGACAAATCGAAGCGTCAGAAGTTTAAAGTTTATCCAGTTTATTGAAGTATTAAATATCTTTCTTTAAAAACATGTTTTCTTGAGCAGCTCTGGGATTCTCGTTTGTCTTTCGCAGCTTGAAACAACAAGCGTCACTCCAAGTCTCTGAAACACAACACGTCAAAGTCTGTGCCAAAGTTCACCAACAGATAACAAAGATTAACTCACAACACAAACACACAACCAGTCCTTCATGTTTGAGCTCAGATCTGAGAAAGCACCTGCACTTCCTCTGAACCAGGACTGGTCTGACTGTTAAAGAAATCTGGAGAATCTGAGATGAAGATCGAAGTTTTGGGATGACTGCAAACTCTTCACTTTCTGCTCCTTTTATGGAGTCTTTGTTTTCATTTATTTCATATATTCATATATTTTCCTTTTCAATGTACTTCATCTGTTACTTCATTATTTGCGTGCCATGAGCCTTCACATGAATGAGAGATTTGTTGATTTGGATGATTTTGAGCTCTCTACGCTTCATTTAACTGCATGAAAATTGAATTTCCGACTATAATTCAAGTCACAAACTTCATAATGAACATGAACCACAGCTGCTTTACGAATTAAATTTTGTTTTGCAGGTTTTAACCCTTTGAAAGTGACCTCAGAGCGTTTTCACTTTGACTCACCGATGCCTTTGTATTTGGGAGGATTGGCCTTCTCGTCCAGCTGCAGCTGTGTTTTCACATACTCTGTGGGAAAGGTGATGCAGATCTCGATGCCTCCAGCTATCCCCCCTGAAATATCAGTGAAAACACTCCATGAGAGAAATGATCAGGGTCAAAAAATAGAGCCAAAAAGTAAAAGACATGATAGGGGTTGTGTTGTGGAAACATCACACAAGTACAGATCACTGAGGAAACAAACAGGTGTTTATTAAACTGCATTCAACATCAAACTGTTAGGGAAGGCAAGTCTGACAAAAACCTGTTACTGAGATTTAAAATGAAGATTTCAGGATTTAATTCATCATTTAAATAGAATAAAATGTGTTACTAAAAATTAATCAAATCAATCATATCATAATGTATTAAAAAGTCAATATTTCAGCTGTCCTTCTCACAGCAGAAAGACAACAAAATATTCATAATTATAAATAAGATTTAAAATATCGGGCAGAAAAATGCTAAACTTCACACTTAGTAAATTTTGGTACATGAAAAAAACACAAAAAAGTAAAAAATATTGAAAAATTATTAATTAAAATAATTTGAAATATTTATTTTTAAAATAAAATATATTAGAAATATTATTATATTAATAGTATTATCATTTTAAAATATTATTGCATTTAAAAGGATGTTTTCGACCAAAATAAGTGAATCAAACATTATAAAAGTTATCAATGACAGCAGGACACACTGAAGGACGAGCAAAGACGGCTTTCTCCAGAGGGGGCGCCAAACCGACCCAAACCAAAAGTTCCTTACAGGAGCTTTATTACAGAATTAAAGCTGCTGTGAGGAATTCTGAGCTGATGGGGATTTTGACGCCCCCTGTGGACTTAAATGTACCTCTTTGCTCTACACACACACAGAAAAAGGAGTTTCAGGCTTTAAAAATTGTCAGTCTGGTTGCTGCTGGTCTTGGTCGGCTCTTGAAGGTCATGGAGAGGCCTCAGTGTTTATTGTTAAAAACTCCTTACTGGAGCTTTAATAAAACTGTTGCTGCTGATGTTTTCAAAGAAAAATAAGCTTGAGAAGATGAGTTAAATCCACACATTAGTTCAGAACAGAGGGGGTTGTTGTTCATGCTCATGAATACCACCCTAATAAACGTCCCACGGTTTTACATCAGCTCCACCTTAAAACCCCAACCGAGGCACATCTCCCGTTCAACAGCAAACTCTCCGGCTGCAGCTGATTGGCTCGGCTGATCTCAGTGCGAGTCTGCCTACAGAAACTCCCCCTGGCATGACTCCAGCTGAAGGGGGTGTGTGGCCTTCAGAGCACACACTGTTCAACTCACTTGATTGTACTACAGCTACAGACTCCAGCAGTCAGAGCATGGCCTGACACCGCTGACGTGCTGAGAACTAAGTTTGCATAAAGTGCAGAAACTTGAGCTTTCTGTCGTCAAAGAGGGTTTTTGACCCTGCAGCCATGGGGGGGGGTTGAGAAATCTGAGAAATCTGACTGGGAAAATCCACGTGGAATTCTCCTCAAGTCCTGACAGAAACTTAAACAGAGCAAAAACATGCAGAGTTTGCAGACATGTGGCAGATATAAGGAAGTAGTTATAGTAAGAAATGATTCATCTGCAGCTGTTTATAGATTGTTGCTGTCTAGGCAAAGTCGCACACAGAAGCAGGGACAGTTATTTATTGGCTGATAATGAGTCAGTCAGATAACGAGTCACTACAAGACTTCGTCAAAGTGATGATATTGTCTTCTCATTAAAACTTGAAAACTAATTTTATCATTACCTTTTTTTTTTTTTTTTTACATACATCTCCATTAAAAAACTAATCTGATGGTTTACAAATCAATTAAAAGTGCAAAGACAAGATTTTAAAAGTTCAGCTGGATCTGAACTAAGATCTGATAATAAGACCTCGTCTTTAGAGGGGTCAGTGCAGTGTCCATGATTTCAAAAATAACTGACCATCTAAGTATAAATATGTGAATATAGTTTCCTCTTTCATGGTTCGGTTTTAAGCTCAATATTGATATAAATCATGATATAAAAAATTAAATTTAACAGTGCTTATTGGTAGCATGTCTTTTGCAATACAACAAGCTACTGCATCTGTGAGGTCTTTGTGTCATTCATGCATTTCATTCATTCATGTTCATTGGCTATTCGTATAGTCTACCAAAACATGGCTGAATGCAGACTATCAAAAAGCATATTGACCATGTTTTATATTGATAGAGGGAAAGTAATTTTAATATATATCGTTATCATTTTATCGCCCAGCCCTACCTCATTAGTAGATGTGTGAACTGTGTTTGTGGAAGTGATTCTGAGCCAAAAATAAGGATGCAGCATCTATGATTTCCAGTTCTTTGTTAAAAGGACAACTGGACTTACTTGAGACATTTCGCCTGAGGCGAAACGTCTCAAGTAAGTCCAGTTGTCCTTTCCATGCAGTGACTTCCACTCCAGAGTCCTGTCTTTTTTTAATAACCTGAAGATCAGGACCATCCAGTCTTGGTTTTGGTCCCTGTCCGCCTTTAGTTTGGAGATTTCTTCAGTTCTCTAAGTCTTTGAATGATGTTCTATACTGTAGATGATGAAATCCACTCATTCTTTCACATTTTTGTCTTCCTTGTACAAACCTTTTTTTTTTTTGCATCAAATTTAAAATGAGCATAAATTAGTCATTACATGGTGAAAATTAGGGCTGTCCTAATATTGATATCGAATATCGGTCAGCAAAAATCAATCAATCAATCAATAATTATTGGTCCGATATCAGCAAAAAATAAAAAATAATATTGGTCCGATATCAGCAAAAAAAAAATATCAGTCAGATATCAGCAAAAATAAAAAAAATAAAAAATATTAGTCTAATATCAGCAATATATGTGTATATATATATATATATATATATATATATTAGTCATATATCAGCAAAAAATTAATAGATAAATGAATAAATAAATATCGGTCCGATAGCAAAAAAAAAATCTATTTAATCTATTTAAAATCTCCTACATTAGCACTCCAATTCAAGCAGTCCATTCCAGACTCCGTTTCCGCACCTCCAGCTAGCAGCGCCTGGATCCAGCATGCCCACATGAGCACTACAACAGTGTGTACTAAGGTACTAACAAAGTACCAAGGAGTAGGAGTGATGTTGGCCGTGTGGTATTATTTTTTGCCTGAAAAAGATGTTGCAGCTGAGTGCAAAACTTGTCATGCACAAGTTTGTGCCAATACCGGATCAATATCGTATCGGCCAATATTGAAGGTATTGGTATCGTATCAGATGTAAAAAAGTTGCATCGGGACACCCCTAGTAAAAATGTTTAAAAATTGCTCTATCTTCAGTTAGATACACAGGACAAATGGTTTGCAAACTATCAAAATCTGCTTTATCTTGGAGGTGAAATTTGCCATATCAAAAGTTGTCTCCTATATCTTCTTGGTTTACCCCCGGGAGCTGCTGCTCTACCTCTGCGCTCATCTATTTGAGTCCTGTCTGATACAAATACTGTGTTGGCTCTGAATAAACCTGCAACTCCTCTATTCTGCAGGTCAAGAGCGTTTAGAGAAAGTTAAACCTAGATGTGGATAAAGTTAAACTCTGTCGAGAGAAGACTGTGAGTAGTGAAATGTTATAAAAGGACTCTTTGTTTTCAGCTTTAACATGCGGTTTCTCCAGAAATGCCATGCAGAGAACTCATCAGTAGTTTCAGCCTGCACTCACTCACACATGCAAGTCACCAGGCTGCTCGTACGCGTACAATCACCAGATTACAGCTCGACTAAACATTGTTTTTCACCAAAACATGGAGCCCAAACTGGAGCTCTTAAAGCGACACACCCAGGCATTCCTTTAGTTAGAGACAGGCCAGAGCTCTACCTATAAATTACTCTAGATCTAAATTACTCTAGATTCACATACACTCCACATCATCACCATCATTGTGCAGACAAACTCTGGGGTAATACCTGCAAACTGTCTCCATATTCAGCCTGCAAAGAAACGTAGAACCAGTTCATCAAGTTTCACATGGACAGGTGTTTTAAAGAGGGCGTGAACATGCAAAAAAAAAAAAAGGTTGTAAATTCACGCTGAAATTCTTGAATGAAAACTTAAACAGCTCCTCAAACTCTTCATGCTGGGACAAGTCAAAGTGATTCACATTTGCATAAAACACCAACCTGAGATGCCTGGACAATTAAAGCAGTGTGGTAAAGGCAAAACAGTTATATCTGTAGCTCTGATGGATCAGTCTGAATAAACCTTTTAATGTAAGCTCTGTCTACATGCTTTGGAAAGTACATGACTATTTTGCAAAATACTTGTACAGATATGAAGCAAAAGCCAGGTGAGACTAAAATAATCCCCTCAAATAAAAGGGTCAAAGTGAAGAAACACAAGAAGACGTTTATCATCTGCTCAACAACAACAACATCCCTCCAAAATCAGACAAGTTTTTAGTTTCCTGATTTGCTTTTAACACAAATTCAAAGGTTCACAAGAGTTGGTCTAATCAGCACTGCTCTGGACAGACAGCATCCACACCGATTGTGTGCAGATGTCTTAAATCTGACACAGTCTTCAAATTCTCTGCAGCTTCTCAAAAAGGTCTATGTCCTTGTTCCTGGTCAGGAGTTGCTATTAGTTCATACAGTATCTTGAGTACTGAGATGTACTGAGATGTATCTTGAGTACTTTCTCCAAAACCATTTCGCCTAATCAAGTGTTTCTTTTTTTCTCAGGTATCTGTGACTGAAGCAGTGTAGCAGCTCATGTGCATGTTTACATTTTGCAGTCATGTCACTCACAGATTCAGAACATCCGTCAGTGTCTCTATGAGTTTAAGTGAAAGGTTGCATTAAAGGGATTTCAGGTGGATGTTTATCATAGATTCGTCCTGAACAGTGAGGGTGTGGTTGTAAAAGGATGCATTTATCATTTATGGATATGGATCTTGTTTCATGTCCAGGACTCTACCTCGTGGTTTTATTGGTCGGTGAAGTTTGCTGTTTTGCATTTGCTCCTGAACTGAACCTTTGACAGACGAATGTGAAGAGGCTGACAGAGCAATGTGCTTTGTCACTGTGGCTCATGGCACTGAGGGGGGGTGGGCCTCTGAGCACACAGTATGAGGTCACCAGGTCAACAGAAAAACACCCTCAAAACTGCTGACAGGCACGCACAGAAAACTACAGGAACCAACAGGCTGGTGTTTGAACTGTTCCGGGTTCAGCTGGATCGGTGGTACCGGTGTTGATCTGCCGGGTGCAGCGTGGCGGTTTGCGCCTCTTTACATCCTACTGATGATGCAATAAAACCAATAATGATTGCCTGAGCTCTGTGTGAAGTTTGAGCGTCTGTCACTGATTGACTAACACGACCAGAAGATAATGAGAGTTCATGTCTGGAAAAGTCTCTTTGGAGAGGACCTGGGGTTAAAGGTCAAAGGTTTTTTTAAAGGTACAAACCAAACTGTCTGTCCTGGACAAAATCTACAGTTACAAAAAGGACTCATTAAGGAAATCAAATTAGCAAGGAAGAATCATGATTTCCAAATATTAAGGTAAGTGCTGATAAAATGTTCAGGTGTCAAAAATGACCAGGAAAAGATATTGACACTGTGAAAAATACACAAGTAATACTGTGTTAACACAGTGGTAGTATACTGTGTTTCACAGTAGTGTTTTCACTCAGTTCTCTATTTTTGAATCTGTTGGACAAAGCTAAAAAAAAATTCAAAATAAAAGTACATTTTATCGATCTAAGAACACAACTTAAATAAATGGGGAGGAGTAAATATGGAGCGCCTCTTCTTTAAAAACTCATAAACTGAGCTGTTTTCACTTGGCTCTATAGCAGACATTATAGAGGAAGTAGTATACAACTTGTTTCAGTATAAAAGTATACTTAATCGATCGAAGAATTAAATTTATATAAAACAGGAAGTAGTAAAAATAGGGCACAACTTCTTTAAAAACTCCCCTCTTTTGGAACTGTTTTCACTCAGCTCCATTGCTGAAGTAGTATACAAATTATTTCAAAATAAAAGTATGTTTTTAAAATACAAGAACTAAAGAACTCTTAACCAGAAATGGTAAAACTGTCAAAATAAAAGCATCATACTCTCGTTTTTGTAAGCATCTCTGAAGGAGATCACAACCTGGGTCACTTTCACAATAAAACTACTCACAATTCCTGTTTTATTTACAGTTATCCTTATTACATTATTCCTTTTTATTTTATCATCTTACTCTTTTTACTAGAGTAATGGCTTTCTGTTATGATTTCAGCTACTGTTTTCAGTCTTCTGGTTATGACTCCTGCAGGTGAGAAAGTATCCTTGACTTCCTGTTAGTTTCTAAATTGACATTAATAATTTAAACTTTACCTTTGAACCTTTGAATCTAAATGCAAAGATCTCCTTAAACATTGTGAATGTAAGTGAGTGTATGAATTCATCCACACTGTCCAAAATGCAAGGCCCTCAGCTGATAACCATTTGTTGCTGCAGTGTGCACTGGCTGTTATAATCTGTTCTGACAGGCTCAGAGGGAGGAAAGTTAATTAGTTTAATCATGAATCCCTCTTTGTTTTCCTTTAACTTCTTGCCTCTTTTGTTTATTTAAAGGGATATTCCAGCATAAAATTAAGTTAGGGTCAAACACACCGTAACAAGTTAGACACCCTCTCGAGAGATGAACGTTGCCGACCGCTTGCTTCTCTAGTTATACCATCTTTAGTAATGACTGCATGATAGCAATACACAGCGGTCTGATGAGCCATAAGCAAACCTCAACCGAAACGCCACTCTATAACCACAAATAATGCTCAGAACAGCACCTAACTTCATTAACAGTACATATAAGGTCCAAGCCATAGTACTAGCCACCAAACATCTTTTTATCTTTGCCTAATTTCTTTAGCAAAGAGTCTAAACACAACTCACCTACTCTCTTCCAGCAGCCTCTTGTTCGTAGCGAGACCTCGGGCCAGTCCTTTACGGACTACAAGTAATAATCACCATATTTATCATTATGCACTGCAGACGCAGTAGTTCTTCTTCCTTAGCATCTTGGTCTGATTGTATTTCCATAAGGAAATGATCATAAATGTTCTTCCTTGGGCTGCGTGACCCTGCTATAATCCGTAATGGCAGAGCCGACCCAAGTCATAAGCAAACTAAGTGCCTGCTTAGAGCCCCACGCCTAATAGGGGGCCCCCAAGAGCAATGGAAAAAAAGTTATTTTTTATAATTTTTTTATATTTTGCATGTATGAGTGATTCTTTCTGTATGATCAAATATATATTAATGTAAAATTAAAATAAATTAAAATAAATTAAAAACATTTTAGTGCTGCTGCTGATGTAGGCCTATGATTCTTACTGCTGATATGTCAAAGCTCCGCCATCGTTATGTGCCTCCTGCTATGCAGTGTGCACTGAGCATCCAAAGTGCAGGTAGTTGTGGGGCAAAATAATGTCATACAAAAAGACATATCCTTCAGGAGCAGAGAAAAGAAAGAGAAAGAAGAGACAAAACGCCAAGATAAAGGTATGTTTGCATGTCATGGAATGTTAATCACAGAGATTTGTAAAGGTATGTGAATGATCAACAATCAATATTATTGGCAGAAATAGAGCTTAGGAGGCTTGGGCCGCTGCGTAATGGACTGGCCCAAGGTCTCGCTACAAACAAGCGGCTGCTGGAAGAGAGTAGGTAGGTTTGCTTATGGCTCCTCAGACCGCTGTGTATTGCTATGGTGCGGTCAATACTAAATTTGGTATAACTTGAGAAGCAAGCGGTAGGCAACATTCATCTCTCGAGAGGGTGACTAACTCGGTGTTACGGTGTGTTTGACCCCAAATTAATTTTACGCCGGAATATCCCTTTAAGTGCCAAACTTTAAAGGAGAGCTGGTGCCCCTTTAAGACAAGCATGTATCCTCCTCCCTGCACTTTCCCTGTGCATCAGATTAAAATCAGGTCTGCAGCATTACCCTCTCTGCTCTCATCTGTACGCTCAGCTACAACTTGTAAACAACTTTAACACACGTCCCTGTGCGCACGAGGGGGAGGAGGAGCGCGTGCGGCAAAAACTTTCTTACCTGCCAGGATCGCTTTACCAGGGTGCGTGAGTTTGGCTTTCCCCGCAGGAGCTGCAGCAGCGGCCAAACAATGCGGTCTGTGAAACGGACTCACGAATCTGGGCTGTCCGGACATGACTGACTGAGTGAGAGAGAGAGAGTCCGACCTCCAAACTTTCTTCGTCTTCTGTCAGTGCGGACGTGCTGGATCACCGAGAGCAGCCTTCAAGCCCTCATGCAGTCCTGGTTCAGTGTGCAGCAGGAGTCCGGGTGCAAACATTCAGAGGACAGACAGCAGAGGTGAACATTGGACTCTGGCTGCTGGTCTGGACTTGATAAAGTCCGTGCTGGAGTTCCCTCCGAGGTTTACTCGGGCTGATAGCGCCGAGTCAGTGTTCATTCAGGGCGGGGCGCAGAGCACGATACTTCCCCCTCCTCCCCAACACGGAAAAACGTCATGTTTGTCAGTATATTTAAGGTGGACCGTAGGGATTTCCGCTGCAGGGCACAGTCCCAGGCTACTGTACTTACACTAGTTCACCAGTGGAGGGCGCTGTTTGTCAAAACTATCTAGGGGAAAAAACGCAAAGAGTTTCTAATACAAGGCTGGAGGACAGAAACGAAAGCGGGTTTTAATGAGATTTTAAAGGTATAATCTGGCGTGAAATTAATTAAGAGTTAAACACACCGTAATACAGAGTTAGACAGCCTCTCGAGAAATGAATGTTGCCGACCGCTTACTCTAGTTATATCAACTTTAGTAACGACTGCATGATAGCAAATCAGAGAGCCACACGCTCAGCCAAAACGTCACTCTATAGCCACAAATAATGCTCAGAACAGCACCTAACTTCATCAACAGTATATATAGGGTCCCAGCCATAGCACAAGCCACCAAACATCTTTTTGACTTTGCCTAATTTCTTTAGCAAAGAGACTAAACACAACTCACCTACTCTCTTCCAGCAGCCGGTTGTTAGTAGCGAGACCTCCAGGTGAGTCCATCGACTGCAGCGGGGTGATGCAGCTCAAGGAAGAACATTTATGATCATTTCTTCATTGAAATACAATCAGACCGAGGCAGAAGAACTACCGCATCTGCAGTGAAAAATTATTAATAAGGTGATTATTACTTAAAGGAAATGATAAAGTAATGATCATTAATGTTCTTCCTTGAGCTGCGTCACCCCGCTGTAGTCTGTAATAGACTGGCCTGAGGTCTTGCTACATACAAGTGGCTGCTGGAAGAGAGTAGGTGACTTGTGTTTAGTCTCTTTGCTAAAGAAATCAGGAAAAGCTAAAAAAAAAAGGTTTTGTGGCTAGTACTATGGCTGGGACCCTATATGTATTGTTGATGAAGTTAGGTGCTGTTCTGAGCATTATTTGTGGCTATAGAGTGGTGTTTTGGTTGAGCACGTGGCTCTCTGTATTGCTATCCTGCAGTCGTTACTAAAGTTGGTGTAATTAGAGTAAGCGGTCAGCAACATACATCTCTTGAGGGGGTGTCTAATTTGGTGCGTTTAACACTAAATTAATTTTATGCCGGAATATCCCTTTAACTGCCAACTTTTAAGAGAGAGCTGGTGCCAAAATATCGCTTTAAGTGAGATATTTAAATCAAATGACTGACTTTTTACACATATTTTTAATTTTTTATCATTGTAACTCAGTGACTAAAACTCTAAATCCAAAACAAACTGAACTGTATGATTATTTTGACTATTTGCGGTCATTTTTTTCAGTTTTTATGGTCATTTTTGCCGGCAGGAGTGCCTGTTGTGGCCACTTCATTCAGAAACGAATTCCCCTCGGTGTCAGATAAATTGGACCAATCACTGTCCTTTATCTAAGAATGGGGCGGGTTCATTGAAGATGATGACGCAAGAGCAGCAACACTTAACGGTGTTCGGGAACAAAGATGGCAGCTCCTGCCATTGGAGGATCTGTTTTAAACAAACTGGATCAAAAACTAAAAACCGAACTTTCAGGGTTAGCTGGTGAGAGACAGAATAGTGCGTTCCTATTATCCTCTTAATGCCGCTGTCTGTTAATGTCTCCTGTTGCTATGAGCTACGTCACATGCTGTGTTGATCTGATTGATTCTAGTATTGGCCAATCATATACAATTGCTTCCGGAGGTAGGCAACCTCTGCTAGCATACATTAGTAACAAAAACGGCGCCAGACTATTAAATCAGATTTTTTTTATATTAACTTTAGTTATTATTTCCTTTTCATTCCCACAGTTTAAAGTAACTTTTGCTTAATTTATTATTCTTATTTATTTTAATGACCTAACTTCTCAGTCTTTGGTAATTTATCCAATAATCATGAATTCATATTAGCTTTTACTATTTAAGAAGTTCACGTTCCGTTCCCTACAAAATAATGGTTCAGCACATGAATTTAGCCCTTTAATGCCTGACACCACAAATTATGGTAAAAAAAATCCAAATTGGAGCTAAAATGTTTATTTCACTTACTACTGAAAACCAAAAAAATCCAAATGTCTTTAAAATTTAACAAATATATGTATTTATCTTGTTTGATACATTAGATGTTTTTGGAAACTCAAACTACAAGAGGGCATTTCTATCATTTATCGGACTGTATTCAGGTGTTTTTTTTAGTAATTTGTTGATCATATTGATTTGATAGAAGTGTATAAAAGTATGTATCCAATATGATACAAAAGGCATTAAAGGGTAAACTACCTAAAACACAAGTTCCCAGAGCATAAATCAGATATTTCTGATTCTACATTACACTGTGTTTGAATAAAAAAAATGATCAAAAGTTCCTTAGACTTTTTGAATGTTTTTATTATTATAATTCCCTTGATTGACATTGGAAAAAAATGAGGTACTGTGTCTAAGTGACAAAGAAAAGTGAGCTTTTTAATCATGAAAAGACAGTCAGATGGAAAAAGACATTTTCATGATTACCATAAATAAAACAGGAAAGTCATGTGGGACACAACAACCTGGAACAGAATCCTATGACTTGTTTGGACTCAGAGAACAATCAAACTTTAGTTTCTGTACAGATCTGAGGAGTGCAGGTTGTTTTATTTGAGACGAGAGCGCTGACAGTATCGAGTGTAGTCCCTGCGCAACATGATGAAACAGCTGGACCCCAAAACACAGACGCCTGAACCTACTAGACAGCTCAAGCTGATGCAAAATATCCTCCATTTCTCTGTGACTGCTGGGCTGAAGCAGATAGATGAAAACAATATGGTAGAAATACAAACTAACTACACAAGCTACCAGAAGATTCCACTACATTGATTTCACCTACCGAAACACGAGTCACAAAGGATTACAAGATCATTTCACAGCCTCTAAACCCCCTACAAGTCTTCCTTTAAAGCAGTGCCAGCTTAAATAGCCTTCATTTCTCCTCCTCCTCTAAACAACCAGGGCTTCAATAACTCCTTCATATGTCCATGAAAGGTTTTATGTGGATTAAACAGTCCACATATTGCAGCAAAAACGCGTTCAAACCGATACAAAACAACGAAAAAAACAGACACCGGCACCTTTTTTAATCCAAGCAAATCCGCCTTCAGCTCTGCATCCATGTTTTCATTCTGACATGCTTTAGGAAGGCAGGAACGACTCAATACAGAAGCCTTAAAGAGCTAAACATTTACAACTACAACTACTTTATCCAAGACCTACGAGGAAATAAATAATATCACTTCAATATCAATAAAAACGAGAGTAATTCCCGGATACGCGGCGTCAGTTTTCAGCCTCATGACTCCTCTCTCTAAGTGTTTAACACGATGCTGAGACTCGACTCTTTCTGTCAGAAAAGCTCATGAAATGTGTGAGGAAGCTACATGAGGTGGAGTGTGTGTGTGTGCGTGTGAAAGGGAGGGGCGGGGCGGAGGAGTGTGTGGTGATGTTGTTCGGGGCTCTCTTTTTCCTTGTTGGATGATCTGGTTCCTCCCGTTTACGCCTCCAGCTCGAAGCCCATCCCCACTTTGTGTCCGCCGGCGTTGAAGTTCTTCCCGTCGATCAGGGCTGAGAGGGTCACCTTCACACCTACAGGACAAAAAAACAGTTTTTTTTCTGAGGAGTTCAGACACGTTTTAAAAGGAGACAATGAATCCAGCAGAATTGTCAGACACTGTAGAAGCCAAAATGTTGCTTTGGTTATCAGTTATCCTGTGTTCAATTACTTTTGTCTTGATGCTATTGGTTTCGCTGGGCTTGGGTCACGCGGGCACTGAGTTTGAAAGCCGGTAAGTTATATATGGGGCGTTCTTACCTGCACTGTGGTGGAGAGGTGAGCCTAGGTAGCGGTAATTTTTGTTGATCGCACTTTATGTTCCTTTTTTTTGCAATGATACACGTAGCAAAGTGTACACATATAACATCAGATTTGCGCGTGTAATCATTGGTCACTGTCAAAGCGTCAGAGCAAAAAGATGTAGCATCATACGGCATCGTTTTTATCATGCATGTTGTAAGCGCTATTTTTTCTGCAGATGAGATGCACGCTACTCTGCTTCTCTGGTGTTTTTATCCCGGGGTTACGAGGGCATGGCGCACGTGCACTAGGGGTGTGAATCTCAGCACTGAGGACGATTCGATATACATCTCGATGCACTGCCAGCGATACGATACTTTACCGATACATGGAATTTTCTGGCGATACGATGCGATACGATTCACCCTCTTCACGATGCGATACGATAATCATTTAGTTCAAATCAATGCGATCCGATACGATATGATGCAATTTGTTGCAATATGATGCGATTCAACATAATGCAAATGAGCAAAGAAAAAAAAGAAATTTAAAAAAAAATGGAATTCAATATGGTACTACAAAAAGGATTTTCCCATCCTGTTATATTGCAGCATTTATTTTTTCGGATCACGGTTGATTTTGCTTAAGTTTCGCATACTGTGTGTCCACTTCTGACCAATCAAATATCGTGTTGTTGCGACGTCAGATTCACCGGTATATCCAACATGGCCGACCGGCTGATTGTTTATGTGTCGGAGAACAGAGTGCTTTTTGATAAAAAATACAAATATTACAAAGATAATGACCTGAAGGACGACTTGTAGAGAGTCATAGCGTCGGATCTCTCATATGACGATAATTTGTGCTTTAACAGTTTGCTAAACGTCTTTGTTTTAACTTTCATCTGTGCTAAGTAACTTTAGCTCATTAGCTAACCTGTTCAGATACAACATACCATATGTATTTTCACAAAGTCGCAAAATCACATCGCACGTCAAAATTCAACTCTTTGTTCCCAGTGTGTAAGGACCTTAAATCAGAATAAGGCAATAATTCAGTTTTCTCGAGTGTCATGTAAACGTACTGAGTGTTACCCTGACGTACCTGGCCGCAGACTCTGAGTGTATCCGACTCCGATCAGACTGGCGTTGTTGACTTTGGCCTGCAGAGGATTGAAGCACACTTAGTCATGTACAAACAGCTGATATCTCACAGTCAAACACGCAGTAAAACGAAGAATCTGTGTACGTACAGACAGAGAGGCGTCTTTGTCCAGCTTGTATTTAGCGGCGATGCCAAAGCGAGTGTTGTTGCTGCCGGCAGTCCAGGCCAGAGTCACTGCTGTCTCCAGCTCGTCGTTCACCTTCTGATAGATGGAGCCGCCGAACTCAGTCCCATCGTTACTGAGGACCAGAAAGAAGACAGTGTCCTTTATTTAAACCTTTAACCTTTATGTTCTGCTTTTAAAGATTTTTAAATTCTGAATATTGGAGGTAAAACCTGGAAAGTCAGACAGAAACAGAAAAACAGCTGCAACAATGAGTCACTTAGTGACCAGCTGTTCTTACTGACCGATATAAACATTTGGAGTCAGCGTCTCTCATTTTACTTCTTCGATGTGAAAAACTTACAGATTTTTTTCCTCCTGATTCTTTTGGGTCAATTAATAAATTATGATAATGATGATATGACTAGAGTTTTTGCGGCCCACAGCAGAAATCCCATGCCCCTCCTCAGACCAGTACTCACACATTGGTGTGCAGCTGGAAGTCCCCGGCCCGGTACCCCAGAGCAAAGTTGTTCTGGACCAGTTTGGACTTGGCCGTGTCGAAGGCCATCTGGTATCCGGCCAGCCAGCCCTCGTAGCCCAGCACGGCGGCTGCGTGGATGATGGGACCCTCGAAGTCCACGTCACAGCCCAGGTTCACAAAGTCACGCTTGTAGCCCGTCTTCAGCTTCCCACTCTTCTTACTGATGAAAGGTTAATAAAGGGCAATGTGAGTTTATGTCGGATACTAAAGAGTGAGAGGGGGAGGGGGGATCTGTTTTTTTCAATGTAGGAGTTAAAAAAGAGCTTTTAGATGTCCTGAACTTTGTATTTTAGAAAAAAGACAAGAAGGTCCAACTCTGGTTCAGGTTTTTGCTCTTCTGGAAATCATGGAAATCCCTTCTGAGAGGAAATCCTTCAACACGAGTTAATCTGCTGCTGAAAATCCTCCTTAGTAAGTCCACTCTTTCCTCTTACATGTTTTCAACTAAACTGAGCCGCTATTTTATAGAATTTGTTGAACTTTAATCTTAAATCTTTGAGCTTTGTTTTAGCAGCACAGGTCTAATTTTCATGTTATTTAAAACAGCAGCTGATTCGTATCAAGCAGAGCCAAACCAGAGGAGGCTCTCAGAGGTTTCTACTCTCTGCTCTGACTCCAGCTCTCTCTCTATCAGGTCTGACCCAAAGTTTATCCTGATAACTTCACGTTTCATTTATCCTATCACGTTAAAGTATTCTCACCCCGTGTTCGGTACAAAAGACGTGTCCAAGGCCACCTTCAGTCCTTGAGTCAGCTGTGAGGAGAGAAAACTTTGAGTCAACACTTCTCTTCACGTCCACATACCTGAGCGAGACTTCAACAAAGCGCCTCTATCGTTTGCACACAAACCTGGTCCTCCACGGTGACCTCGGTAGCCAGCGTGTTGTCTGTGTTCCACTTCTGGTTGACGCTCAGGCCCAGCTCCTTCATCTTGTACTTGGTCTCCAGACTCCCCGAGGCCTTCCCTGTGTCTGTGTTACTGGAGCCGGATGTGTTGAACTCCTGGAGGAAGATCAGGAGGAGAAACCGTCAATATAGACCGAAGAAGAGAGGTGATCAGAGAGTGTGAAGATAACGGAGTATTAGACCGAGACACCGCAGAGGTTTGACTGTATGTCACGAGCACAGTCTTTAGGAGGTCACCTTCATTTGTAATTTGAATTTTTGTTTATTCTAACATTATTTTCTTCTTCAAAATAAAAGACAAAAAGCAAACATCTTTCAAAGAATCTCTAAATATCCAAAGAACCAGAAAAGTAAAGAGAAAAACTCATGAATGAAAGAAAAACCGACATTTTAAAGGAGGAAACCAACTGAGAGGGTCCTCCTGTGTAAATAAAATACAAACCAATGATACAAATATGATTAAGTTTTGGTTAAATTAGTAAAATCTTCCTGAATATGAAACTTTTCCTATAAGATAAACTCAGAACCATGAATTTCACTTCTTATTCTAATCTTTAAATAAATCTTCTTCCTCTTTCTTTCTTCGGTTTAAAGTTTAACCCTAACCAAATAAAGAAATAATTCAAACAATCAGAGTCATGGACATCACTCACATCTGAACATTTGCACATGAAATCATGCAGAACAACACAGACACGTGATAAAAAAAAAGACAACACAGAAAGTCTGACAGGTGAAGGTTGTTTCTGCTCCTCATCATCGTGGATCTAATTTTTCAAACTGCAGATTCAACTAAAGCCGAACACAGCCGACACAAAAACCTGAAAGAGAGTAAACTCTGGATTCTGAGTTTACATCTACCCACTGACCTTTACGTAAAGAGAGGAGTAAACGGATTAGCAGGAGAGTTTCGGACACACAGCAGCGGGTCCAGGAGGTACCGTTAACTGAGTGTATCCTGTCAGTTATATGCTTTATTTGCTCATGTAAAGAAATTCATGTAAAAGTCAACAACACTTTCTTTACCTTAAAGGGTTAAAAATCAAAAGACCTGTTTTTGGACTCTTAAATCCTGCAGGTCTTCATCATAAAAACAGGCACAAATACTGACCACTGAGAGAAACATTATAAATCTTCTAAATCAAAAACAAAGACTCCTCTTGAGAGTTCTGAGTCAAACGAAGACCATGAACTGAAAGATCCCCCCCTTTCATTTCCTGTCCCTGCAGCGGCTCTCTGAGAAGGTCAGGAACTCTGAATCTATTCAGCCAAAATCATCTCAGGAGATGTAGATAATTTTACTGCAAAGACTCTGCAGCTTTTCAGTTTTTCCTCATGACGTTTCTCTACTGTTACACGAAAACAGACCTGAAGGTGGTAACCTGACCACTAAACTTGACAGGAGAACTCAAAGCTGAACGTCATCTACGATAATACTGAGGTTAATTGGATCATTTATAAGATCTGACTGAAACATCAACACAATTCACTGTTTGTGCAGATCTTCAACTCAGCATGATGATGCTAGCATGTTAAATCCAGCAGGAATGTTACCCCCAAATTTCCACCGTATCCGGAACAGCTTAGAAAAGGCTGTATCTGCCGATCGTAACCACTCAAGTTAATGTATCGGTTTCCACCGGCTTCTTCTGTTCCGTTGAAGACTCCACAGCTGATCGCAAGAGTTCTTTTTTTTCCGGATACCGGAGCATGCCGAATAAATTTAACACAGATTAACCCGTGCTGGAAAGGAAGTCGGGCACAGACACAAAATAAAAACATCCAGCTTCTTTAAAAAAAAAAAAAAAACACTCCGTGTTTCAGGTGTTTCGTATTTCACACCATGCAAATGAGGGCGGGAACACAAGTGAAAGGTTTTTAGACGTCATTTCACCCCGTTGACTCCATGGATGAGTAGATGCTGATTCTAGAAGTCTAGAAGTAGATTTCCTCCTCTGGAAGGACACAATCTACTGCTTATAAGGTTAGCCTATGTGGCAAGAGACAACTTGTTAACGCGCGATTGCATGTCAATCCGTGGGTTCTTGTGAGTTCTCACAATTCCTGCTGTCTGTAATACGCCAAAAATTCGCCTCACAAACCGATCCAGTAGGAATTGGCGGACGGCGAAAATCGCCATCGTCCCGGATCGGAGCTGTTTCAGAGCTGTTTCGGATGAGGTGAAAATTGGGGGTTACCGTCAAGTTGCAGCATATTAGCGTCTGTTAATGAGCTCTGAATGTAAATCACAGCTAAGCCTGATGATGATGATGATGATGATGATGGTCAGGGTTATAACACCAAAAAATAAACAGACAAACAAATGAGACTCAAAGACGTCAAAAGTGATAAAACAAAAAACATAACCATGAAAATAAAACAGCTGAATATTCATGCTGTGTGACTGATGATCACAAAGACGATAAAGAAAAATGAACATGTTGTTAGTTTGAACATCAGGACGGTGGTCGTTATGATGTGCATAAAAAGCAGTCAGATCTGACACCGATCTTACCATCTACATTAGAGAGCGAGCAGTCCAGGAGGCAGCAGCATGGAGACAGAGCAGCGGTTAGGAAAGGCAGGTAGAGAGACAGACAGGCCCAAGAAAACAAAAACAAAAACAGATTCAGGCTTGTCATGTTTCTCTAGAGCGACAAAAAGCTCAGCCAAGCAGGCCGGCACCAGCCCCACACGCAGGATGAACCTGGAAACCTTCAAACTGCAGGTCACAGCAGGGGTCAGGAGGTCAGTGTAAGGAGTTTGGGGCGGGGGGAATGGAGATGGTAGACAGACAGAAGAATCAGAACAAGAATAGACAGAAGAAAAATCCTCACCACTCCACTTTGTGATTTGGTCTTGAGGTCCAGCTTCACGACACCGAAGCCTGGAGGGTTTCAGGAGACAGTTTGTTAGCAGAGGTCAAAGACAAATCCGAAACCATGTGGACACGGTTTTATTTGACCATTAAGAACAAGCATGAAGTAAACTGGACCCCTTCAGTCTGAGATCAGTTGTGATGAAGCACTGGTTCAACATTCAGAGGTTTGAGTCTCGCTCCAAATGACTGGAGGTCCTTTCTGTTTGTCTGGTCTGCATGTCGATATCTAGTGTGTCTGTGTCCTTACTGTTTTTATTTCTCAGAAAAGAATTCAGGTATTTTAAAGGAGGAACCTTTTTTATATAAATATTTCCTAGAGTTTTTAACAGGTGAAAACTCTAAAAAGTGTTGGAAAAAGATCACAAACTTAATTGAACTTGAAATGAAACGAGAGCCTGTTCACAGCACTCCCACAAGCAGATGTTTATTCTTTAACAACTCAGAGTGATTTTTGGAGTTTCTGACAACATTAGATAAAGGATCGGCCCAAAGCAAGACCTTTGATCAGAGAGCAGTATCCTTCTTTTTAAAGGTCACTACGTTCTCCAAATTAATCAGCTTCTTTCCTCCTAAACGTCAACTTCAGGTTAGAGATGAAAAATCCTTTGAGGACATTATTTTCAGATTTTAGATGCAGTTATTAACACTTTTTAACATTTTCTGGCATTTGACATAAATCAAAAACCCAACAGTATATTCAGTGTACCTTATAGCTAATAAGAAGTTATTGCGATAACTGAATAATAAAGAGGGTAAATGAGTTAATTCAAGAGTTTTGCAGGAACTAACAACCTCCTAAAATCTACTTCTATCTACAGAGACGTTGAACAGCCAAACCCACAAAAACAGCAGGTTTTTTACAGGAAGTTAATCATTCACTCTCAGGTCTAAAATAGAGAACTCACCATAGCCCTTGCTGAATATATCCTTGGCAGCCTTGCCCAGGTCTGAGTATGCAGGAGGGACGGCCATTGTGCTGCAGAAGATAAAATCAGGTTAAGTCACATGTAAAGAAGAGAGTGAGGAGCACACAGTGGTTCAGGGGTTAAAGAGTTAAAGCTCGGATTCTCTGATTGGAGGGAAGGAGGGGCAGGTTAGTGTCCTCCATGATGGTGCAACATGGTCAGAGCTGATCCTGAATGAAGGCAGACTACAGTCATTAACACTGAACACTTAAGTCAAAGGGTTTCCAATCACTGCTGCAGCAGTCAGACACGGGTTTCTGTGAGCTCCAGCAGGAAGGAACAAACTGTTCTTTCAGATGAAGCTAACAACCACTGAGCTACATCCTTCAGAAGGAAGAACCACACAAACACACGCTCTAATGAGCGCTAATGCACACAGCTGGAGGTTGGCAGGGTTCGAGCTGCAGAGACGAAAACATCTCAGCAGGGGTGCATCCACAAGGGTGGCCAGGGGTGGCATATGACTCTTTTGAAATCACTGAATTCTGATTGGTTACTCCAGGTGCCACTCAAAGCCCAAAACTATGATTGGCCAAGGAGAATCAGTTCAGCAAAACTTGCAGTCAAATTCCTGCACACCCCTAACCCGTCAAAACCAGGACATTGGAGTCTCAGTGACGCCACCTGTTGGTTTCTAAGGAGGCGTGTGGGAGCCCAAAGATGGTGGCCGCCATATTGGAAATGCTGAATCAACTTCACTTTCAGTCATCATAGATACAAGCAAAAAGGCGGAGCTTGTTCAGGCTTTCAACTCCATGACTAAACAACTACAATACACCCTCCTGTCCCTTATTACATCCCACATGTGGATTGAACCAGAGGGACAGAATAAGAGCGATGACACAGCGGCTGCAGAGATCACAGGTTTGCACTTGTGTTTACAAACTAACAACTGCTAGGCTAACAAGGTAGAGACATGGTTCTGAATCAGAATAAAATACAAGCTCAAGAGCGGTCTTAAGTTGCACAAATGTAGAGATGCAGATTAGGCCTGCACGATATATCGTTTGACTATCGTCATCACGATGTACGTGTGTGCGATAGTCACATCGCAGAGCCTGCGATATTGGATGTGAATGAACTCATTTAATTTCAAGGGTAACCGACTGAGATACACTCCATGTGACTCTGCATGTGCTTTGCAGCGATCCACCAATCACCTTCGTCCTTAACTCAGTTGCCAATCAGACTCACTTCTCAGTTGCCAATCAGACTACCCTGCCAGCTGTCAATCAAAATCAGAGCGGAGGAAACCCACCCCTGCACATGTTCTGCACATGGAGGGAGACGTGTCCGCTGAGAATTACTTTCGGAACTTTAGTCATGACTATAAAGTCCAACAAATAAGAACTGTATGGGTTTTAAATTGTACATTTCCGTGGACCACTCTACTATAAGCGGTGCGCGTTTTGCGAGGTGCATGCAGTTCTCGGAGGACATGCGTTTCTCGGCACAACACCGCTAACAACAACAACAACGATCGCAAAATGAACATTGAACAAGCGAAAACCACCGAAAATGAAGATTTGTTGCCCAAAAGAAAAGGAAAGTCAGTTATCTGGAATTATTTCGGTTAAAAGAAGGATGATGTCGACCAAAACATGTGTTCTGTGTTCATCTGTCGCCACAATAACGTCCCAGCACAATAAAAGCTAAAAATATCTCTGAGACAGACAGAAGCCGTTCTACTAACATTCACAAAAAGAGGTAAGATCAGAGCAGATTAACTGTCCTCAAGATTTCAGCAGTGCAGCATAACATTAAGTGCTATTCAGGTCATCTGGTGAATATTCCTGTATTTTTAATATCGCAATATATATCGCAGGGTTGAAAAAATCGCAATATTATTTTTTTCCAATATCGTGCAGCCTTAATGCAGATGGATAATTTTTACTAATGATCATAATATTAATACAATAATGATTGTTGCCATTTTCATTCCCTGCCGTTCCCTCAAATTTCCACTGTGTTAAAGTTAAGGCTTTGTCACACACGTTGTACTTTAGTTTTCTGCATCATTATCTTTGGGTAACTTTCATTTGTCCATATTAATGATCCTTTTCTCTCAGTTTCTTGTCTTTCTGAATACAAGATGATATGCTGCTATCTCAACACAGCAGGCTCTGTCAGTTAAGCAAAAGTAAAAGTAAAACCTTTGTGGGTTCAGTCCTCAAAGATTTACATAACTGACAGGAACCAAAAAACACAATCAGATTCTCAACAAATCCACAAATCTCTGAATACTAATGAGCCAGGGCTCGACAGTGTGACCGTTTCATTTGCATTTGCGACTAAAAATAGATGTGTGTGAATTTTAAAATGTATTTAGGGTCACATGTGTGCATAAAAAAAATCAGCTGAGGCAACAAATGGTTTTTTTTTACGTAAATACTGCGGTAAAGTTAGTTTTAGGTTGGATATCTGACGGACATTCACTGCAGATCTACTGGTGCGTTCTCACTCTCCATAACTGGAATAGCAGCAGCAGCGCAGTTAAATGGACTTGGCACCCTCGCTGTCAGCGTCGGGTGTTGAATAAGGGACCATCAATAAATTACCTGTTGATGATCTAAAAAAGGCTGCTTAACCGGAATAGCTTCCATGTCATGTGACCAATTGACTTAAAATTGATTTCAAGTAATAGTACTGAGGTCAGACAATAAGACACACCTCTTTATTTCCCTGATTTGTCCTCTACAATTTTGGTGTTAAATTTAAAGGCAAATTTTGAACATTTCCTTCAATAGCTTCCATGTCATGTGACCAAAAGACCTAAAATTGATTTGAAATAATGGTCGTCGACCAATCAGACAGATATTATTTAATCAATTTTCATTGTGCCCCTAAAGTTCTTTGTGTGGTTCTTACTTTTTTCAACTTAGGAGAACATGTGCTCCTTGTGAAAAAAGTTAGTGTCAAGCCCTCTCTTTGGGTAACTTTCATTTGTCCATATTAATGATCCTCTCAGATCCTTGGCTTTCTGCGTACAAGATAATACGCCGCTATCTCAACACAGCGGGCTCTGTCAGTTAAGCAAAAGTAAAAGTAAAACCTTTGTGGGTTCAGTCCTCAAAGATTTACATCGCTGACAGAAACCAAAAAACACAATCAGATTCTCAACAAATCCACAAATCTCTGAATACTCATGAGCACAAACTTCACACCGTCCCCATCTCTGTAAGTCAGTGTCTGACCTGGGCCACCCCAGAGTCAGAGTCTGGACGCAGCCCTGGATCTCAGTGTTTCTCAGAGCAGGCCTGGACTCTATCCTGATGATGCTGCACGTTACGATGACAAATCAGCTTCCTTTAGCATGAACAGCTGGCTTTTAGACAAATTCCCATGTGAACAATGGAGAAGAGCTCAGGGTTGGAGCTTCAGTCTCTAGTTTGGGACAAAAGGACAGCAGATGGACCACAGGAGGAGGAGGAGGAGGTCTGTGAGTGTGCGTCTGTGGGGGTTTGACATCCAGCTAGGTTAGTCAGCTAACTGCAGAGACAGGCAAAGCTAACTAGCATGAAAACGACAGGATATATAGGACAAACTACCTGATAAAATCACGTTTCCGGTGACTTTAAACCTCTTGTCCTCTCTTACACAAACACATTCACGAACACACACACAGACGCACACGCCCCTTCGCAGTTAGCCCACCATGAACCACCTTAATAAAGCTGCTAAATGTGTAACTAAGTCTGTCGATCTGAACCTCAGCACTATCACAGGCATCATGAAAGGATTAAACTGTGCATTACAAGGCTAAACATCATTACATAACACATCTACCCTTAGCTAAATCGCCTCACATGCTAGCTGGTTATATGGCTAACCTTGGAGAGAAACCTGCCGTAAATTCAAGTAAAAAGCAACCTAACACAAAAAACATGTATCCCAAAGGTTTGTGATATATTTGAAACATAAAAACATCTTCTTACCGCTGCAAAAGTGTTCAGGAAAGGGGGGAGTCTGCAAAGCCCGGAGCGTCCCTGTCGTGATGCTGCTGAGGGGATTGACAGCTAGCTTAGCTTAGCAACGTCTATAAGGGGAACAGGGCACAATGAAGGAGACACATGACGCATGCGCGGTGTCCCTGCTCAATCTGAACAAAGAGTCAATAAGAGAACAAGAGATTAATCCAACTGATACACAATCAATCAGACTCTTTGTTTTAATAAAGGACTCTTAAATCAGATGTGTTTTATAATAGAAGTATATCACAATCATTAAAAAGGATAAATATGTTTTTGTTTTATATATATAAAGCACTCTGGACACAGGGGCCACCATGTAGAGAGGCTTTTGTGACCCTGTCTTTATAGCTGACCTGTAGGAGGATGGCGTCTGGCAAAGGGGCAAACATAAATCTTAAAGGGATATTCCGACGTAAAATTAATTTAGTGTGAAACACACTTTAACACTGAATTAGACACCCCCTCCAGAGATGAATGTTGCCGACCGCTTGCTGCTCTAGTTATACCAACTTAAGTAACAACCGCACTATAGCAATATAGAGAGGTCTGAGGAACCATAAACAAACCTCAACCAAAACACCACTCTATAGCCACAAATAATGCTCAGAACAGCACCCAACTTCATCAACAGTACATATAGGGTCCCAGCCATAGTACTAGCCACCAAACATCTTTTTAACTTTGCCTAATTTCTTTAGCAAAGAGACTAAACACAACTTGACTACTCTCTTCCAGCAGCCACTTGTTTGTAGCGAGACCTCGGGCCAGTCCATTACAGACTACAGCGGGGTGACGCAGCTCAAGGAAGAACATTTATGATCGTTTCTTATTGGAAATAAAATCAGACTGAGACGCTAAGACAGAAGAACTACCGCGTCTGTAGTGCAAAATGATTAATAAGGTGATTATTACTTCAAGGAAATGATAAAGTAATGATCATAAATGTTCTTCCTTGAGCTGCGTAACCCCGCTGTAGTCCGTAATGGACTGGCCCGAGGTCTTGCTACAAACAAGCGGCTGCTGGAAGAGAGAAGGT